ATTGGAAGGCTTAATCTATTCCTCAGCTCTCATGCATTCTATAGGTTCTTTTGTCGTACTTGATACCCCATAGTAATTCAGAAATTGCGTCAAGTAGATAATAGATCAAACTCGCCGCTCTCCCATGCAAGAGAGCCATAAATACTCACACTACACCAATGCACAGCGAAGACCACAACCGTGCCGTCCAGCGACCTATTGGGACCAAGTTGACCTACTTCTGGTGAAGATTTTCACTCGATGTTGCATGACGTCATAGGCCTTCATCTCAGCAACTACGGCAGCTACGCCCGCCAGACTAGGCTATTTCGGTTTCTACGCCACAGATTATTGCAGGGACGCCCTCGTCTCAGATCACAAAAATACTCAAAATCCCGAGTTCCAACGAATGTAACCTAACCACATTGAAATTTTGGTGTCGTTTTGAGTTCGGAAAAGAGTCATGTATATTTCCTTATACATTCACATTCTTTCGTCCAGGGCCAATTGTGATTCTAAGTAATCGAACAGTACTTGATGTAAGCGAAAGAAGGTTCCATGATGACAATGCTTGTCTCCCCCTTCATCTGCTCGTAGACTAACTAGTTCATGTTCACATTGCAAATGCTTCCGTAACATCTCCGGTTGGCCCTTCAGAAAGTGGTCGTTCTCCGCATCGAGTATCAAACACGGCGTTCTGATATTTTCACAGCGCCCTTCCAAGGTATAGTCGTTCACTGCACGCATTAACTCTGCCTCGGACGAGACACCGAATGTCCATTTGCCATTTCGCATTCCCCAACTGGCATTAGTGGAAAAGGCTTGCACACCGCGAAAAATGAGATTGCAGATCGAATCATACTTCAGTTGGACCAGCTTTTGCACAAAAAGGGGCTGTTTCGCTCGGAAGGCGGAACCAAAATCGTACACTCCATCATCTAGAATTATTGCACGAGCCCGATGCTCCTGTGTGGCTCCTCGCGCCACAAGATATCCGCCCATACTCCAGCCAAATAAGACGATGCCGCTGGCGTCGATGTCTGCGCGAGTCAATGCATAGTCAACAACAGGGGTGAGCACATTCTCCCAGTCAGGTCGGAAGTAAAGATGCTGTCTTCGAATGGCAGCACCCTGACCCGGTCCATCAAATGCAAGGAAGTTATATCCCCGAGCCAAAGCTGCCGCTCCAATTGCAAACCATCCTTCACTTCGAGTTGAGTCATAGCCACCGTTAAAGATGATGGTACGACGCGCTTTTTTTGTCCCGTCTAGGCTGACAAAATATCCTGGCAATGTTGTCGCTTCATATGGGATGTTGATGGATTCGTAAGTAAATGGAGACAGTTCCATTGCTTCTAAAAAAGCATTTTCTGATTTTTCATACAAAAAGTTTGACGTTTCATCTCTATCAACATTTTCTCTACGAAAGAATTCAGCCGTACGGAAATAGTTCGATGCACGAAGATACCCCTCGTATGCACTTGCTTTGTTGTTTACTACTTTCGAGTGATCTGCGTACCCATACGCCCGTTGCGCAGCTTTTTGCCATTCACGCACCCAGTCATCTTCATTTCCAGGTCGGATTTGTGAGCATATGGCTATCACCTCGCCGAGATCTGCACCGCCATAATTACTATAACCCGCAGCTCGGAGAGCTTCATAACTGAAGCTCTCGTTGGAACTGAAAAAGTAGTTGTTGATGAGCATTGATTGTTGACATTCTCAACTCAGGTGAGATGCTTGCTTCCTCCAATAAAAAAAAAATATATTACCCTGGAGAATGAAGAAATACTTTTGATCATACATGACAAAACAGGAGCATGGCAGCTCTCACAGTCATTGATGTGTTTTAATTGACTGTCTACTTTGTGGCGATACTATCTTAAAACACGACTCAGTTGAGCATAAGAAGTTACCGTCATCCACGACAATTTTCGCGACTTTCCGAATGAATATTGCTTTGGTGTATCATCTTCCACCAGGGAATACTATTGTGGGCAAATTTCCTTGGGCGTTGTCTAATTGGAATAAGGAGCCCGGTGAGGAACTCACCGTCAAGGGTATTCTGATATTCTGTGGACTGAGCCTGCGAGCAAAAAAGTCTCAGTAACATAAGTTCAGGTTAACATTGCAGTTATAGATTGGTTGATTAGGTTTAAAGCACAAAACACTATTTACGGTTCTTATAAAAAAAAAAAACTCAGAAGTATTCAACTGAAACCTATTAAAGACATCATCTGAATAACCGGAAGTCCTCAATGACAAGCATAAATAAAACAGGCTTTTGCGGATGTTCCTAATTTGGATTAATCTTGTGCCACTCTACGGAACGCTCCATTGTGAGGGTGTTTAAAGCGCCACCCGCACTGAATACTATTAGCACAAACCCTACTGGAACGTGATCATGATAATTAAGGACGTCCGTTTATGTTCGATATTCAAATCTACTCGAAATTCTCGTTAGCACTCTTCATCTGCCAATTTTTAGAAGTTTGTACCTAACTTTCTCAGAAGAGATTTATTGTGAGAAGAGACTCTGACAGTCCATCACATTCAGTCGACGCACCTGATACCCATCGAGATAGGTTTGTCATCGAAATGAATTCTGACAGTCCATCATACCTATTCGATACACTTGAATGTCGTCGAGAAAGGTCTGTCATTGAGATATCTTCTGACAGCTCAGAAGGTAGTCTAGAACTTCGAAAAAGGATGTTTTTGGAGGTAGAATCTTCTCAATCGGATGTTCCGAGAGTGTAGAATCGAACAGCGCAGGATTTCATCAGTTTAATAAAACAGACACTGAGAACAAAAGGGGTCGGAATGTCCGCATATTAAAGTAGATATACACATAAAGACTTTAAAAGTGATTGATAGATTCAATAGATATGGAAAACTGTGTGGTTGGATAACGACAATCGAGCTGAATTTTAAGTAAACAGTATAATAGAATACAATTAACATAAAAGCGAAAATTACTGTGACAAGTAAGAAAAACCCGATATAGTCAACTGAAGTTCGAGATCTGAGAGTGTCGCTGAAGGTAATTGGTTCTTCACGAGTCTATTCTTGCAGTAAGGAAAGGTTAGCAAGTAAAAGATATAGTTTACTTTACTCCTGTTGTGAGTATCTACTAAATCATACTTAATGATGAAACTCTAGATATATTGTTAAGACGATACAAAGTTAAACTGCGTCCATCAATACTTCTTGAAGCATGAGGATTTGAATGGTATGTTGAATTGGTAGGAAGCGTTTCTTGACTAGTGTCGTAAAATGTCTTGATGATTTGCGTGTCCGGGAATTTTCTCGGTTACGCAGAACCACCGGAGTATCTTGGGTACGTAGTCAATTGTAGTTTGAAAAACTCGTAAGGGGCTTGAAGAGCTTGTGCGTTCCTGAACATTGGACCTAATTCGAACCGAATGTTGATCTTGGTTATCTTTCTTCGCAAGGTGATTCTTGCCATTATGTGTCTCCTACATATAAATATTCTATGCAAGATGCTATCATCTATGCCGCACGTGCTGCATTTCGGTGAGTCGATTAGCTTGAATCGGTATCGGTATGACTTAGTCGTAGGGAAGTGACCTGTACGTAGCTAGGTTGCTAGACATGTCGCTCTAGGTAGTTCATTGAGGATCTTAGCAGTTTTTGCAGCTGTCAGCTTTCCGGCTGATGTTTTTGAGGTATTGGACTTGATGACTGACAATTTCGAAGCTTCGATTTTCAGTGGAGCTGCATAGCGTTCGCGCATTGTGCGTCGCATTGCTAAGTATGAAGTCCTAGGTGTAAATCATACTTACATAAATTTTGTAGATCGTTTTTGAGTAGTCAGATATGTTCGCTGATTTCAGAAAAATATGTAAACCCAAGATAAAGATGTCCAACCATAGGTTATCTGGATAATGTCTTCATGGATGGTCGTATGTTGTAAAAAGATCAGTATTGTTGCAAGCGTTGCCGGTGCTTTGGTTCAGTTCCGCTATTGTAATATAGATAGGTATCTCAAGTCTTACTCGAATTCTACGTAGAATTTCTTCCTAATATAGAAGTTCCTTATCCCCTTTAATGTGTCTAAGCTTCACTGAATTATGTGCTGGGCACATCTGTTGCAATCTATTGAGGGCTGGCTAGATGAAATAATGCAGGAAATATTATGTTATCAGTAATTCGGAATCCCAGTGCTAGTTAATATAGCAATTTACTTAATCACGCTCATGCTTATCATGGACCGTTTGATAAGAAATCAGGCACAATAATAACATTGCAGCGATAAGTTATCTAGCGTTATACAAACACCGTCGGTAATAACTTGACTCACAGGTTCTCGCTTAATGATAACAGAGAAGACATAAAAGGACGACAGGCTTCTATTCGTTCTTTAACATGCTAACACCACTCAAAGTCCTCTCAATCTTAGTTTATACAGGTGCATCTATCGCTTTTCCAGCTGCACCAGCATCAATTAGTAGCCTCTTGCAAATAGTGACTCCTCCATCAATCGCGTCTTCTTCACTTCATAATATCCATATAGGATCGCATGGTTACCTCGCTCAATATCTCAAAGATCAAGAACACGGTGTTAGACTCACTATATCATCTTGTGACGAGTCTTATGGACACGAGGAAACTCTCAAATCATTCTCAAAGGAAGATTCAATGTCTTTCATAGGTAGTGACATTCCTAAGCTGCTTTGGAGATCCCCATCGACACATCATCTCAATAAATTCTGTATCAATGGTTATGTCGGACAGCAACTGATCGGAAGATCAGAACCTATTAGCTTTGTTGAGAATGAAGCGCGTAAAAGATCGAATGACATGGTAGCTCAGATGGATGACTTCGACTCCTTGGGAATGTGGTTCGACGGTGTAGCTTATGTGGACAAAAACCTTGACTCGTCGATGGTTGAAACCAAGTCGAAAGAATCTAGTATGTAATAATTGAAAAAATATCACAGTCATGTTTTAACACTCTATAGCCATCGGAATAGTAGGTGCAGGTATGAGTGGACTCATGGTTGCTTTACTTCTCGATAGCGTTGGTATCCATAACTGGGAGATAATAGAATCAAGTGACAGAATTGGAGGTAGACTCTATACCGAATATTTCAATAACACAAAGCCAGATGAATATCAATATCAGGAAATGGGAGGAATGCGGTTCCCTGTCTCATGGACAAAAAACGGTCAAACGGTTGAGATCAACGATCACAAGCTCGTCTTCCAATTGGGCGAGTATCTCAATAAAATTAATAACAACGACCCCGCATGGAAAGTTGAATTCATACCATGGATACAAAGTATGGAAAATAACTTCAGAGATTCAAACGGTGTGAGGTTGTCAGATGGTTCAATACCCCGCGTCAATGACATTGCTGCAAATCCCTCATTAGGCGAAAGTATGATGTCAGCTAATGCAAAATCCGCCAAAGCACTCATCTCGAACATCACGGATAATGTAGATTTGCAGAAACTGACAGCAGAAAATGTCTTCAAAGCACATAGGACACAAATAGATCTCGGTTACGATGATGTTAGTGAGGCTGGGTTATTGCAAAAATATGGTTATGATTTGATGACTGCACAAGAAGCCTCAGGGTATGATTTTGTGTCTCTTTGGGATTTAATATATGATGAGAACAACTACTTCGGAGCGACAGATTGGAAGGCTGTTGACAAGGGCTCTGCGCAACTTCCAAATGCTTTCCATCCCCTTATCGACGGCAAAATTAGTTATAAGAAGCGGATCAACAAGATTGCAACAGCTGATGATAAAGTCAGGCTCGAATGGAATGATGAAGCAAATGGCAACAAAAAGGAGAGCAAGGAATTTGACTATACGTTTGTCGCAAGTCCTTTCTCGGTTGTGAGACAATGGGATCTTCCAAAGTTCGAAGACTCCGTAATAAAAAATGCTATTGACAATTTAAACTACGGTAAGCTCCTTGTTGACCTCCAATTTGTTTCTCAATTTTTTGATACAAGGTTCTGCGTGCAAGACAGCCCTGCAATTCAAGACTCGATTCTGGGAACACGGTGAAAAGCCGATTGGGGGAGGTTGCGATAATACTGATCGCTATTACGGAATAAGAAATGTCTGCTATCCTCCATATCACATAGGGTGGGTAATAGCAGCTGCCTTTCTTCCTCTGAAATGACACTATTGTAGCTCCGATGGACCAGCAGTCGTGCTCTCCTCATATAGCTCAGGGGATACGGGCTACAGGTTGGCATCTTGGTCAAATGATAAGCTCGTGGAGCAAGCGATTGAATCACTAGCTTACTTGCACGGGGATCAAGTCTATGAGCAATACTCTGGCAACTCAGCGTATCGATGCTGGATAAAGGACGAGAACTATGCGGGAAGCTGGGCCTCTCCAACTCAAGATCAACACAAAATGTTCATTCCATCATATCATAAGACACACGACAATATTATCTTCGTTGGTGAACATACGAGCATAACCCATGCGTGGGTATTCAGTGCTCTCGAGTCAGCAGTGCGGGGATCTGTGCAGTTGTTGTTGCACATGGGATTGGTCGATGAAGCCAAACAAATCAATACTGAATGGATGGGTAGATGGATTACGATATAGATCTTTTGTATATAAAATGGCGCGGCATTAAATAAATAACACGACATAACATAAGCTTGAGTTTCACTTGAGAATAAAATGGACACATATTGTGCACCAATTCAAGGAATGGCATAAAATTACGTCAACTCCTACCAGTTGCAATACCTTAACATATCGCATTTGTCAAAAAGAGAGCTCCTATTTTCCGGTTGATTTATTGTAACTTTGCATAAATGTTTCAGTGCAAATCTTCAATTAAAATGTTTAAGCATACTTGATATACAATATAAACCCTTCATCAATATTGCTTTTGATCTAATTTCTCATTGTATAACATCACTTCACGCAACAAATACGAAAAAATACTAGTATATTCATTCCGAAGTTCGTAACTAATTGTTTACTTAACAATTGTTTGAAGCACAACTATGCTCTGTCGTCATGCGATAAGATCCTGCACCTTGTTGTGCCTTTGGTAATACCATACACTCATTACCGACAACATGCCAACAATCATCTTGGCAACTACATTCACCATGTGGTGTATGTACTAAACGGAGATTAGTTTCTGACAAAACACTGTCGAAAAACTGAATCGATTTGAATCCATCACCAGCAATACAACCTGTGTTCGTTGTTCTAAAGTTAATTGAACAGTCAAGGGTACAGTATTCATCCTTGCAGAAACGGAAGTATCCAGCACCCGGTTTACCATAGTCTCTCCGGTCGAGGGAAGGTGATGTAGCGTTACCGTACGTATTTACTAATTCAGCTGCTGATTCGTTTGTTAGCCCTTCTTCTGCTTCTTCTGAGGTCGGCTCTTCTTCATCTTCGACAACTTCCTCAATATCCTCTGAGTAATCTTTAAGAGCAGGGATAGATCTACTGGAGCGATCTGGACAGTTACTGGTACCACAAGAGCCGCCAATAAAGCGAAGTGATTCTGATTGCCCAATATGGTAGCATTTATTATCAGGGATGATAGTAAATCCACACGTATCAATTGTGCTCCCAATACTGTTGAAACCAGTAATACAATCAAATTGGCATGGACAGCTTGGTGATGGTGATTTAACTAATGAGAAACATTGGGCGTTAGCGCCATGGTATTTAACATATTCATTACTACCAACACTAAAACAACCTGCATCGTTTACGGAGAAGTCAACCGATGCATTCTCAGTACAATCAGAGTCTGAGTAAAATGTTGCATATGTTGTTGCGTTGACTACAGCACTAGTTAAGGCAGTTGAAACGAGTAGAATCCTATTAAACATCTGTGAAGTGTTCACTGTCGAATTAAAGGAGACGCATTTGACTTAAATATTGTACTCCACACTTCGGATTTTGTGATTAGAAAGGTACGGTACATATGAATCTGACTATTTACATCATCAAAGGTTCTTGGAGGCTGTGCAAATCAATTAAAGAAATGACAAAAGCGTAGTCCAAGTTTACCAAGCTTCTTCCCGTCAAATATGAAGTCTCTTATAAATTATACTTTTGATTTCCGAAGTGAAAATTACGACATTTGAGACAGAACTGACTGTTTTTATAGTGTACCTTAAACCCGGTGATGTAATCCAAGTTTTTTTAAAAACTAATTATAGGCTATATCATATTTTTCATCTGGCATGGTTCAGGAGTTGTATAACCAAATGTTGCACCAGGACTGACCTATCCTGTATCGTCTATATTTGTTGTTACAAAATCTCCATCTGTGGATATATCTATACTCTAACCTTCAACCAACCTTAAGCTCGAAGAGCAAACCAAAGAAGCTTCTTTTTGGTGTCATAATATCTAAGGTATATTAGATGCTAAACCCGGCAGGTAAAGCTTCAGAGTTATTAATCTTTGGATTGCTTTAAATCTAACTCTATAAGTCAGTCTATCCACGATTGATGCAAACTACAATTCAAGATAATCCGAAAAGTCATGGAGGTACCTTGTTCTGAACCAACCGTTCGTTGTACGTCTGAAGGGTTGTATTACATTACTTGAAAACCATGGGTCCCTTCAATGACACAATATTCTGAAGGTAATGAATGTATCTTTTGAGTCAGAGGTTGAGGACCAAAAATTTAAAAAAGTTCCATAATGATCCTGTAATGAGAGCATTTCCGATGAAATAATAGTACCATCGTTAAAGCAATACATCACGATTTTCTACGCTTCTGTTATGTGTAAGTTTGTTGTTTTAAAGTAAAAAGACCAAACAAATAGTATACTTAACTTCAGTCTGCGAGATTGCAATACAATAGGGTTGGTCGTATGATATATTAATAGATTATGCATTCCATTGATCAATGCTGCGTGTAGTGTTATAATCGAAGCACTATACACTTTTCACTTTGAAATCACTTTAACTCCCATATTCAACATAAACATTACAGATTTACAGTTGAATAATGGTACGCCGCTCTTCCGTATCAGGTTGGATCACAAGCGCATAAGGAGTCTCTAAGATATTAACACGATTCACCAAATACAATTATCAGAAGGAAAGCAATTAAGTCTTATTTGATTTTTAAATGACGTATTAGATCGTTTTGGTGATACTTTGCAAGTTTGCTCGTAAAAATCCTAAACAGTATTTAGTATAACATCATAAAGTAGAAAACATATTATCTTTCTAATACATCCAATACAACACACTCTTCTGCGACAGTACCCTGATTTAATGTAATGTATTCTAAATATAACCCTTTAAGCGATTACTTCATCTACCCTACAAATTAAAAATTAAAAATCTTGCAGAATTGTGAATCTCCCCCACTTATATTAACCAGGACATCTGTGTCTTCAAGCAGTAGAATGGCAATAACTCTTCATTTAGGTTGGAACTGGAAAAAACCAGTCGCAGTTTTAGAGAACGTACCCTATTTTATATTTGTGCTCTTAGTATGTTTCTTACAACTGAAGTTCTCGCGAGGGCTTCAGAATGAGACTTCACACAGAGCAGATCTGAAAAGGTTGTCATATATAATCGTAATGCTATTAACGACATTGATTATGACGAAGGTAGGAATTGGATGATGAGATATATGAATCACATATGTTTACGTGCATGTTAATGTTGATGTTAAAAATACTGTCCGTTGTGTTCTCAATTTATGAAAGCTGAAAATATCATTGGACGAACAAACTAGATGAATATTGCTTACAAACTTTCCTTCTAATATATCATTATTTGTTGTCATTAACATAATTATTGCCTCAAAGCTGACCATGTATTGTGTAGTTTGCATCGAAACACTACCGTTGCTCTATAATACCCGATACCGAGAATATCCGTGCAACAATTCATGAATTAAAATCTTCTCAAATAATTAAGCTTTGAATCCTTCTAACGTGCTAGTGCGGTACTAGGTCTCTCTCCAAACATAACCATGTTGCGAGAACTGTTAATCCCTAGCTTTAATCTCCTCAATGTTTAAAAGCTATCGAGTATCCCATGGAGAATCTTCTTGAAGATAAGAGTATATGTCTTAATAATTTCGAAGATGTTAATGTTCGTACAAGCAGAGACTGATCCGGATGCTCATTAGAGGAAGGTTTAAAATGATTCCTGTAAAACTCATAATAGGTCACAAAGATGATTGCGATAAAAGAAACGAAAAAAGTGAGAAAGTGAAGTTAATTGAATGCCTAAGACCTTGAAGAACTGAGTAATCATGTTAATGTAATTTGCATTGTATTTTTCTGACTAGTCAAAATTCTCCCTGATGATGACAGAAAACTTCTTATCATTGTAACATTTAATAATGCATAAAATACACCAATTCTCTTTCACTTATTCGTGACAAGTTAGCTACAGTATATTTCCTATAAAACTGCAATTATAACCAAACTACTGAAATGCACAACAGTATGTCGTAACAAATCTATCTGTACCGACCTTAACGTTGCTGAACATGGGTAAGTGACTAACGATCTCTTTTATGGATTTTTTCTCTACATATATTATTGTTAGTCGATCTAAATCTGTACGATGATAACATACGAACTGGCAACATGATTAGATTAATTAAGGGCTGAAAATCACTGAGAAGGAGATAAATGATAAGTTTAAAATAGTTTCATAACAACTTGATATGATATCGGGCGTAATATGTAGCTATCTCCAGCTATCCGCATTTAAGATAAGGTATCTAAGATAAGATCGAGGAAAGTTTTCTGTCATTGTTCATAATAAATCTCTATAATAATCTCAGCAAAAATGCCCAACAAGTTTGTTGGACGGATTGAGAACTGGAATGAAATTATCAACGACAAAATCGCGGACAGTTGGTTCGGTCGTTATTTCAGATTGGATGGCTCAGGTGAGTTGATGATACGCAACAGAAGATATATTTAAGTTACTAACTCATTATGTAGGACACAAGAGAGCTCGTACAGGTGCTAGGTTTACAGAAGAAATCCGTGCTGGTATCACGACTTTCGGTAGGCGGTAAGACTTTTTCAATTAACTTCTCTCATAGATAATCTATAGTTGCAATGGCATACATCATTTCAGTCAATTCCAACATTCTTAGAGGGTGTGGTGGTACATGCAAATGCGATGATTATGATGGTGGTTGCGATGATCCTGCTTACAGTGACTGTACAAGAGAATTCTACAGAGATATGATTACAGCGACATCAGCTGTTTCTTGCATTGGCTCATTTCTAATGGGTGTTTTAGGTAATTTACCTGTTGCTGTTGGTCCAGCTTTGGGTACGAACGCATACTTTGCCAACGCCGTCGTTGGTTCAAACAATAGTGGTAGAACAAGCTACGAGACTGCACTCGGTGCTGTTTTCTTAGAAGGTATTATTTTCGTCGTTTTGGCTATGCTCGGTGTGCGTGCATGGCTTGCTCGTTTGGTTCCACGTTCAATTGCCCTCGCCGCTGGTGCTGGTATTGGTTTCTATATCGCATTCATAGGTTTATCTCCTTCAGGTTTGAACGTCCTTGGTCCAGATTCATCAAACATTATAGGATTGAGTGGCTGTCCAGATGGCCAAAAAAGCTGTGCTACTTCAGAGATAATGCGATCACCTACAATGTGGCTTGGTATTTTCTGTGGTGGTGTAGTCACAATTTATCTGATGCTTTATCGCGTTAAGGGCGCTATATTCTTCGGTATCATTTTGGTTTCAATTATTTCCTGGCCAAGACCAACACCTGTCACTTACTTCCCTCACACTCCAGAGGGTGATAAAAATTTCAACTTCTTCAAGAAGGTTGTCACATTCAGACCAATTAAGCAATCAGCTGGTGTTCTCAACTTTGATTACAGTGACGGCCATACTTGGATTGCCCTCATTTCCTTCCTTTATGTTGATTTATTAGATGCTACTGGAACCCTTTACTCTATGGCAAGATTCGCCGGAGTCATGAATGAGCGTACACTCGATTTTGAAAATTCAACACTGGCTTACTCGGCTGATGGTATATCTATTATAATTGGTTCTACTATGGGTAGTTCACCAGCCACTGCTTTCATTGAATCAGCTGCTGGTATTGCTGAAGGTGGTAAGACAGGTATCACTGCAATTACATGTTCATTCTTATTCTTCGTTTCTATTTTCTTTGGTCCAATTTTTGCATCTTTCCCCTCTTGGGCAACTGGAAGTACGTTGGTCATTGTCGGATCATTGATGGCCAAGAACATTGTTGAAATTAACTGGGGATACCTCGGAGATGCTATTCCTGCATTCTTAACTGTTATTATGATGCCACTCTCGTACAACATTGCGTATGGCCTTATTGCCGGTATTTGCTCGTATATTGCACTCAATATAGTTCCAGCAGCAATTAGAAAGCTTACTAAGAACAAGGTTTCACCACCAGATTGGGACCGTAAAGATGTATACTGGGAAACACAAAGAGCATACTTGGTTCCACCATGGATGAAACGTCTGGCAAAAGGTGACAAGCAATTCTGGAAGGGCGATGATGATACTGAAATTTATCATGATGATATATACCACGAAACGGAAGCTGAATCTGTCAGTTCGAGAAGAAGCGGAAGATTACGATCTACAAATGATACATCCAGATTTGATGAAAAATCGTTTGCAGAGGATGATGATGGCAGTGAAAACAACCACAAATCACATCACAATGTTGGCAGTATTCCACTGGATTCTTCAGCCATCCTAACAATAGAAAAATGAAGTGCACTACAAATATTAAGTTGGCAAACAGTTCTGGGATATACTGTAAATTTTTTCGTTGTTTATTTTTTATCGTTTTCTATTTGTCTTAGATTACTCCTTATGGAAATTATTTTGGATGATTTGTATACAAGTTATAAAATTCCTTTTTTTAAACAAGAATTATAAGCACTATGAAATATTGCAATATTTATTATATCATTGCAAATAGGTATGTATGTTGCTTTTACCTGTTTTCTTTTTGCGTACTTTTTTATTGCTCAATAAAAAGACTGCTAGAATAATATCCAACTTTTATTTCACTTAAACAGAATAATCTACTTTTCTCATCACAAGCTTTGACTGAAAGTAGTTACTCTTATGACTCACTGAGTTAGGATGACGTCATCTTAAAGAGAGATACTATAAATGATTCGTCAGATGGTTGTTTTTTGATAACCATGAAAGGACTAATTATAACCGGTACACGCAAGGCTGAAGTATTGGAGATTGAGAAGCCAGTGTTGACTGGTCACAATAATGTACTCGTTGAGGTGAGTTTGGGAGTTTCGCACGTGCGTTTCTAATGATATTAGGTTTATTCAGTAGCCCAGAACCCACCAGACAGCTTCTCTTTGTACGGTTCACCTGGTAAACCTGGAAACTTGCTTGGAAGCGATTTCGCAGGTGTTGTCGTCGAGTCTAAATCAGATAAAATCAAGGTTGGTGACAGAGTATGTGGAATGGTCTCAGGAAACCACTCAGCTAGCCAAGGGGCATTTGCGGAGTATGTAGCAATTAATGTAGACATGTGTATCAAAATACCCGATGAAATGACTTTCACTAATGCCTCAACCCTGGGCATGTCTCTTTATACTGCGGTTCAAGCACTCTTCCTCAAGTCACCTTTCGCACTTGATCCTAGTCATACTCAAAATATTTTGATTTGGGGTGCAAGTACTGCTGTCGGCATGTACGCTGTTCAGCTCGCACGTAAAAGCGGTGTTAATGTTGTAGCTACAACCAGCTCAAAGAATAGTGATCTTGTGAAGAGTCTTGGTGCAAATTTGCTGTTTGACTATGCTGACGTCGATGTCGTCGACAAAATCAAACAGGCTACTAATGACAACGTTACATTTGCATTAGACTGTGTTGGCTATCCTGATTCATTGCATAAATCAATCATCAGTGTTTCCGACACAAAACCTGCAATAGTTCACACATTGTTGCCACCACAAAAAGATTTCCCTCTCAATAAAACTAATGCTCAAGTGAAATTCTCTTTAATTCACTCTGTCTTTGCTGAAGATCTCTCATGGGCGAACTACATTTTCAATCCTCCAATCACTCAAACAGAGATGGATGAGGAGCAAGAAAAAGCAGCCAAGTTTTTCAACTACGACAAGGGTACTTTGTATGAGCCCATTTCAAACAACGAAATTAAGACAACACCTATCTTTGCTACCAGCAGAGGTCTTGACAATATCTTGCCCTGGTTGCTTAAGATGGAGAGAGGTGAGATCAGAGGTGGTAAGGTAATTCACGTATTGAAAGACTGAAGATGATTCATATCTGCGTTTCTCAAACTTAATAGACTTTAAGTTGGGACAGCCTACTACATTTATAGTAAGGTCCATTATATAGTAGTTTCATCTTCACCTGCCAATCGAAAGTCATATTTTTAACTCAGAATAAATAATAGTCATGATGATTTTTTCAACCAAAATGAATTTTTTTTTTCCTTAGTAAGACCCTAATGTGGTATTATGTAAACGAAATAAAATTTCAAGCTTCGTATAAACCTTGAAATCGTATCTTATCTGCTATGTCACAGGTAAGTTACTGCTAAGTTGTGGAATACCCAACTTAATAATTACGCAAGTCTATCCATGTTATAATAAATTAATGAATACATACAAAATATCTATTCCTCCATAGCTGTATCCACATCTTCGCCACTCTGATTATTGGAGCTATCGCCTCCCAAAAGAGCTTGCCATCCACTTTCAAGTTGTACTTTGTCTCGAACATCTGTAAGACCTGTAAGAGCAGAATTGAACAAGTTGAAAGCAGTTGAGTTCTTCTTGATAGATAACAACCATTTTATGGTCTTCAGGGTGATTACGACAGTATCTGAGAATGGATGTTCCCTCCAAGCTCTATATAAATCATCGACAAGGTTTTCATTTAATTCAATATCAGAGGAGAGAATATACTCGTAAAATCCTGGTGACGGTGAAATGACAAATGATGACGGGAATAATTGACGTGGGGAAAGTTGAACGATGTTGTGAGATGAGTTGATCTCGATAAACCTGCGGAGTAGTTTATCATGTATCGTTAATTTGCCTTCGCTAACCGCATTTGCATTTGCTTCGATAAGAGCTGCACCGTGTAGTGAATCAGCAATCAATGTTTCAAATACCTTGAGGACACCTTCGGGATCATCGTTAAGCGAAAAGAATAGATAACCTTCATAAAGTTCCCAGGTTGTGGGACACAACCTTAAAGCTTCTTTATATGCTTCTTTCGAAGGTTGTAATTCCAATTTCAAAAGATGTAATTGGGATGAGTTTGAATGTTTAGCTAAGCCATCATTCACAAGCTTGAAGACCTTTTCCTCGGCTTCACTCGACCTCCGCAAGTATTCGATATAATTAAGATAAGCACCTGCGGTGAGCAGCTTCCTTGATTTACTGGTTTTAAATGATGTGATGATAAAATGATTTATATACTGTTTGAGATTCTCTTCTTCCTCATTATCATGGCGGTGAACCAACCATTGTAGTCCCATCTCTGACATTTGTGGTAGTTGCAATTCTGCCATAACGGTAGTGACAGCATTACAGGCAACCTTCAGACCTTCGACTTTATCAAGAACACCAGCTTCTTCTGGCGCATTACTATCTGGCCGTATTGCTATCATTAGTCTAGCTTCTGGGTCTTCAGGTAATGTCAATCTGAGAGTATGGTATGTGTGATTGAGAAGTGAATGCTTAACTGTGATAGGAAGAGGGAACTCTCTAAGCATGCTAATTAATGAGGAAAAAAATGGGAGTTGTGATTGAACTTTTAGTGATGATCTAGCGTTATCGATGATGGCTTCGATGATAGCGCCATCCATGACCTTCTTATCTGAGTCTGGTGCTCTAATATTCAAGTTTTTGTTTGAATTGAGTTCTCCTTCTGGATCGAGTTGCCTTTCGACGCCATCATCGCTATCTTTCTCTTCGTTTTCCTGGAATTGTTGATCAAATTCTAAACGCCTTCTGACTCTCTCAGCAAACACCAATTCCATTCTTGCGTACGCCAACCATAAGTCTAGATCAGTAGTATTGAGTCTTAAACCTCTTTGTAATAAAGTTCTTGCACTATGCGCGCTAACGTTGTTGTGAAGTTCCCATGAGGCAGCAAGAATGTAAAGCTGAGGATTTGATGGATGTAAGTTGATGACAGTAGAGAATGTTCTTGTGAGGAGCTTGTTTGCGCCTATCTTTTTGAGATATTCTATATATTTAACCCATAAGCTTATATCACCTCTGAACTTCCTCGTTGCTTTGTCGAAAAGGCTGAGAATGCGCTTTTGGATACCATAAAGTGCAGGTGAAGGTGTGAGTGCTACCTTTAGTCTAGACATGCGCTTTCTCTTCAGATTCTCCAAAGTGATCTCGTATTCTATATATTTAAGGTAGTCACTTTGTGAAGGTGTCTTTCTGCCTAATGAGGTTTCAAAATTCTTGCGCTTTGCTGCTATACTCTTTATCTCGAGCTAGAAAAGTATGAGAGATGAGAGTGCGTAAGAGATATTGACGTACTTTTGTGAATAAATTCTTCTTCTCATAATCTTTAAACTCTGGGAGCATTTGCTCCATAGCCATCGTCACGTTCGCCATCTTCTGTCCTAAGTGATGGAAGTTCTTCCTTAAGAGATACAATGATGTTGAGGAGCTCCTGTGGTTTAAATATTAGAAATATTAGGAGATCTACGTTATTATCTAGATTTAACACCTTACGCTTTCAATCTAATAAACCGACAAAGCATGAGAATATATGGACGATCCCAAACGCTCTCACAGCCTCACGGATAGTCAGCTGTCTTCCATTAGGTTACTCTATTTGTATGCATGATTACAAAACTGCGACAGCTATTCTCGTTTACGCTGGCGTATCAGATGCTGTGGGTTACTTCATGAATATGTACGATAGCCAGCTCATATTAACTAGCTCGATGGATTTTTAGCTCGTAGATACAATATGGGTAGCGTATTAGGTAGTATACTCGATCCAGCTGCCGATAAAGCTCTCATGAGTGGGTGGATGATATCATCAATAATACAACTGACAGAAAGGCAAAAGCAACCTTAACGTGCACACTCACTTATGCCGGGATGATACCCTTACCATTGGCTGTCATTATATTAGGAAGAGATGTAGGATTGAGCTTGTCTGCGTTTTATATTCGCTACGCATCGTTGTCAGAACCAGTAAGTATGGTAGCAATGATGTATATACATATATCTCACTATCACCAGAAAACATTCAAAAGGTATTGGGATTTCAGCATACCATCAGCTGAAGTCAAACCAACTAATATCAGCAAGGTAGAGGACGAATATGGAGAGTGTAAACGCTGGCTGACTACTATCACAGTATAATACCTTCCTGCAGCTAATTCTCATGGGTGCCACCACCGTAAGCCCGCTCATTGGATTCGATACGGCTATACTATTACAGTCCTTACAATGGACTGTAGGTGGTACGACGATAGCGAGTGCTTTGAGTTATATACGGAATAAGAATGCAGTACGTTATCTAAACTGAGAAGCTTGTATGATTGTACATAGATTATTTTTAAGCAAGTGGACTGAGAAGCTTGATGAGACTTGGCTTTGGGTTGGCATTAACAAATCCAACGTAAATAACAAATGGAACCCATCCCCAGTGAGCAGCAACCTGTACTTCATTAGCGAGAATATAATCTTCTTATTGTAGAGCGAACCTTTGCTACTTCGACAGCTTTTGTGACACGTTCCTATATAAATGTTAGAAACACTGATACAGTTATGTATTTTATGAAACCCACTTTGTTGTCGTCGCTCAGCATTTCGTTGATGAAAGTTGACGATGAAGAGTTGACAAGACGATTTGGAGTGATATAAGATTTATATTAACTTTGATTATAGTAATATCTAATTAAAAGTAAAGTCTCCACAGAAGCAGAGCAGAGAGTGGCGAGCTGACAATTACAATTACAAGTGATAGCTTATTTAATACAACAATGCATGAACTCTTTCATCGTATTTATACAAACCTTATAGTAGATTCAATCAACTACTTGGGCTATTACACCTAGACCTTTAGTTCTGCCTTCTCTGAACAACAGTTGCATCCCTTCTTTGATGTATTCCGGGTTTTTAACAAATTCAAAAGTAACAGACGCCCTATCACCAGTACGGAGCAAGTTGTTGTCGTTATTCAATCCCACAACTTTAACAGTCTGTCTGATACTGCCAATATGTGCCATCGCTTGATAAGATGGTTTAATCGTAGTAGAATGATATAGTATCAAAATGTTTCCAACAAATCTCCAGGATGCTTTTGGTGGTGGCTCTGTCTTCGCAATAACGACCTGTCCTTTACGTACAGCAGTTCTTCTAACACGCTTCAATGCTAATGACACAGATTGACCAGCTTCGGCAATGTTAACATTCGACCTTTTCCGCTGCATAGATTTGACGGATGTCGTTATAAAATTACCAAGGCTGTCTGGGCCAACCATTACCGTGTCATTTAGCCTAATACTACCGGTATTGACAATTCCACTCACGACGGTACCAGCATAAGGAACTGAATATACGTCGTTAATCATGAACTCCAGAGGCTTCTCAATGAGATCAGGACCAGCGGAAGCTGGTGGAATCACATTAAGAAAAGTCTTGAGATGTGGTATACCGCTACCAGTAACACTTGAAATCAGAAATATTGGAGCTACTCTATCTCTAACGAATGTAGATGACAATTCAGCGGCTTCCTCCTTTGAACGAATAAATACAGGTGTTTTGCGACATCCTGGACTTTTGAGTATCTTGGTAAGTTGCTTTAATGTCTGTTCGAGAACGTTTGGTGGTGCCATATCAATTTTAGTGACGCAAATGAAAACTGGCACGTCTAATGCTAATGATATTGCCAAATGTTCTTTAGACATGCCAATCAGACCTGCATTAGCACCGACTATGAGTGTTGCATAATCTGGCTATCTAATGTAAGCAATTTTTTAGAAGGTTAAATCAAACATACCTGCGTTCCCGTCATCCCAAATATTGTTGTCTTAAGGTATCTTTCATGTCCAGCGAGATCAATGAAGGAAACAATCTTGCTGCTTCTGCTACAAATTTCATCCCAACCATGTTTCTGGGTAGCTGATTGTACCTCATTACCTTCGTGATCGAATCCCATAATCTCTAAACCGACCGAGCTAGTTCTTCCACTTTCAATTTCATGCTTATGACGGAATAAATTTACTCGCATCTTTCCTCTACCGTCATCTAAACCACCTCTGGATAATATACCTAATAATGTTGATTTACCAGCATCTACATTACCACAAACAGCCAACCTAACTTCTTGAAACAATTCTGCTGAAGTTGGAAGTCGTCGTATTATAATCTTGACAAATGCTTCTTTCTCATCTTCGGTAACGCGTTGATATAGAACGCCCAATCCGCAATCAACAGATTTACAGGCTTTTTTAAGTTGCTTGAGTATAACGAGAACTTGCTCAAATGTTAAGATGTCTGACTGAAATCCGTCAGTAGCATTGCCCAAGCTGGCGACATATTCACCGCGTGCTGATCTGATGCAATCTTCAACGTATAAACCTATACTATCTATAGGTGGATCATTACTCAAAAGTAATTCTACAACGTTCGTTGCATTCACGTTGACTAAATTGCCACTTATATCTTTATCCAAACTGAGCTTATCAATTTCAGCCTCGAGTGGTTTATGAGCTAGTGATTTAGCTGCTTTTGCTTGTTGCTTGCTGTGTGAAAGTGCAGTCTCGAGATACTTCGCATGTCCAGCCTCACGTTGGGCTCTAATAGCTTTCTCATGTATACTATCAATTTCTTAATTGAGTAATTAATAGTCGTCACTCAAACTTATACTAGAGCTTACCCCTTCTAAACTCTGTAAGCTGTGCCATCTTGACAGTTTGAATGAAGTCATAGATATTATAAAAATACGTGCCAAACGTATGTTTATCTTTAATAATACAAAAATATTCATGATATTTCACTCTATGTCAATAACATCCAAAACCTTCCTCATTTTGTTAGGTTGAAGTATATCAAAATGACCTTCCAATACACCACTCAAATCAACATCTCTTATGTGAGATTTACGTCCTGATACAGAAACTTCCTCAACAAGGGGTGTCGTGCCATCTTCATTAGCTACTTTCTCAGTTTCTACTTCTTTCTTATTTACAGGTCCGAGACCTGCTACTCGAACTGAAGATTTTGGATTGCGAATCGTAAATACCTCATGTAATCTACAAACCAAAGCCAACACGATGTCGTTTGGTACATACGCGTTAGTGATTTCATCCGCGACAAAAGCGCGCAAATGTAACCATTCCTGCTCACTAAGACTTGCAGGCAATGCAATAAGGGTAAGTGTGGATATAATTGGTGTATCTGGTGCTGGTAAATTGAGTAATGCTTTCACCAACATTAGAGCACCTATCGAATGTCCTATCAAGGCAAGTGGTCGTTTACCGTGTACTTTGTCTCTGATAACATCTGAAAGTATATCACCAGCTTTCTTCGCTCTATCTACAGCACCTTGCCATGCATTGTCAATAACCATACCAGTAGCTCCAATAAGTGCCATGGGGACAGCTGTTGCCGCCATAAAGGCACCTAAAGCAGTCGCTCCTAAGATCTTTGTACCAGCCATATTAAGTATTTTGTCAATGACCCATCCATTGATCTGTTTGCCAGCGTCAAGGAAGTAAGCAGGGTCTGTGGTAAGAGCATATATATCTCTTTGATCGTTCTCTGCGTTCGAAATATCACCAAGAGCCTCTCTCCAAACATTAACACACTCTTCCGGAGAGTTTAACAAAAGACCAGTAGTGCAAATAGTTGCAGTCATTGAAGGTGCAGTGACTGTATTCTCTGTAGCTTTCTCTGCTTCTTTTTCTTTCTCTGTCTTGTTATTGATGTTTATATTAGCTACACCATTACTAACTGTGTCCCCAAATTTGCGCATTCCCATCCATGTTTTACTGCCAAACTGCTCGAAGGAGTTACCAACTTTTTTGAATGAGAATGAGCTTTCTTCAGCATTCTTCTCATTATTGATCTTCTCCTCAGCTTGTGACTTAGCTTTGATCGTTGGTGGTTTCGGTGGGACAGGTGGTTTGGTCTTCCCAGTTGGTGTTGATGGTGAGGATGGTGTTGATGGTGTAGACGGAGTAGAGGGTTTCTTTAGTACATCGTAAGTAGGTTTGAATTCTGGATCTATTCTAGATGTAGGTGTACTACTTGTATTTGCACTTCCATCGAACAAGACCTCATTTTTGATCGGTACAAACTTGAACTCTGAAATACCTGCAGTCCTTTTGGCTACTCTATACCCGCTTAAACCGCCCCCTGTTAAACCAAACATCACACCTATCGCAATAGCACCACCACCGGTCGCAAAGAAACCTAGTGCCGGAAGAGCTGCGAATAAAGGTGCTAGACTGAGTAAAAATTAGTAAAGCTATATAAGTAGTAATAGTAATACGTACGCTGGGGCTGCCAAGCCACCTGTCAAACCTAAAACCACACCGCCTATGACGATACCAGAACCTGTAGCTGCCCATCTGATCCATTTTTGACGATCTTTCCGCTGTACTCTAGCTTTCTCTGAATCATCATTGAGACTATCCTTAACAGTGATCCAAATTGTCGTTGCTGTTTGACATTCTGCCGTTCGAAGTAATTGCAGATCAATATTCAAAATACTAAGCATGTTCCTCATGCACGCTCTACTAATAGCTGTATACTCTGGTAAATCTTCGTTATGTTTTGATAAACTAGCCATAACAAAAGATGGTACAACTGTGTTGTGTGTCTCAACGGGGATGGTCATCCCGAGAGATTTGATAGCGTCATGCGTTGGTTCTGGTGGCAGACTTTCGTATTCCACTTTGAGCACTTTTGATACACGCTCTAACCAATCGTTGCACTCTATTTCCCAAAACTTCCTCTGATTAGGCGGTGCACGCTCTAATACATCCATAGAAGACAGTTTAGCAGCGCAAGCAAACGCTATTGATATTTCAATAGGTAATTCTAATTAATTTAGTTAATTACCTCTTATTTACGTTTACCGTCACCCACCGGGCTCGCTGCTTATCTCAGATGATCGCATATTCACAAGGAATACAATAATACAAATTAATCGTTATAGGTAAATAATCTATCAATCATTATAACTGAAGACTCTATTAATAGGGTTTTTAGTCACTACTCCAGAAATAGCTTGACCGATAGAATTACGAGTACTACTTGGTGAAGATTTTGACGTATTTTCAGCTATCATAGATTTTGGTCTTGGGTGAGTCATACTACGCTGTTGATTAGGTTTACGAGGGTGGAAAAATGGGTGTTGGTTGTTTTTAACAGGTTCGAACCACTTAGGTGGTGGGTCGAATTTACCGTTTCGAGCACAGCGTTCAAGTGAGTCTTTTTGAGGATGGAAAAATGTCCTTAGTGCGGTATGTGAGCCTAAAAGGTTAGGATTTGATGATAACTTTGAATATGTCGGCGTCGGTGGCAGATCTTGACTACCTGCGGGTGTGAAATTACTGATAACAAGATGTGATTTCGCCGGGGCGGTCTGAGTTGTAGGTGTGCTAGTATTCTGTCGTGTTATCGCGCCCAAGGAACTAGTATAGCCTAACTTTGCTGCTAGATTATCTTGAAGGTTAGTAGTCGATAGACTATGTTGAGGTGAATCAGCTGCGTGTGCTACTGTTTTCGTATCCACGCTCGCCAAAGGAGAGGTCATTTTAAAAACTGATGGTGGTGCTTTCGAGGATGTTGTACTGGTGATTGATAATGGCCGAGGTGGTGCATTGAAAGCATAACTAGACGATGGCTTGGGAGTTTGTAAATCTTCAACTTCCGCTTCATTAGGTTGCACACTCAATTGCTTCAACTGGCTTGGAAGACTACTCAAATCCGGTTGGGATTGTGACTGTGTGAGCCGAGGTGACTCTGAGGGTGATTTCTCCGGTGTCTCATTAGCAGATGATGCAGATGTCCAACCTTCATCCTCTACCGCTTTACTATCGCTCTTACTCCTCGTCATTTTATGGGCCCGTGTTTTTGTACTGGTTTGGGTAGTATTACTAGCCGTGAAGCCAAGCGTACCACTATGACTAGATTAACTAAGTATTCCTAATCTGGTTTTATAGCTCACAGATGGTTCAGTTTTGAAGATTTTGAGCTACTTCTGCGTTTCAATTTCGGCATACGTCAATGTTCTGGTCCAACGCCCAAGATGGCTTCAGCGCGCTTGGATAAATTCCATAAAATACTAGAAAGTCCACAGATAGATATCACCAGTCTACAAAAGCTCAGCTGGGCTGGTGTGCCTAGCGCGTTGCGATCTACCGTTTGGCCCCTCTTATTAGGTTATCTGCCGACGAATAGTAGCAGGCGAGCTACTACTTTATCAAAGAAGCGTCAGGAATACGCGACAGCTGCACAAAATGCATTTGATCGCCCATTAGATGGTAAACTTTGGCATCAGATTGTTATTGACGTACCACGCACAAATCCGGGAAATCAACTTTGGCAGAGGGAAGCCGCACAGCGTTCCCTAGAGAGGATATTATACGTATGGTCAATTAGACATCCTGCCTCTGGTTATGTACAGGGTATTAACGATCTTGCAACTCCTTTCTATGAGGTTTACTTAAGTACTTACATCAATGGAGACGTCCAGGAATGCGATCCAAGTCAACTGAATGACGATCAGCTTTCAACTATCGAAGCTGATACCTTTTGGAGTCTCAGCAAACTCCTAGACGGTATACAGGACAACTATATCATCGCACAACCAGGTATAATGCGGCAAGTCAAACGCCTCAACGAATTAACACGAAAAGTGGATCCAGAACTTTCACAACATTTCGTTGAGCAAAATGTTGACTTCATACAGTTCAGTTTTCGCTGGATAAATTGTCTACTCATGCGTGAAGTAAAAATGGCGAATGTTATAAGAATGTGGGATACATATCTGGTGCGTATCATAATAAGGCAAGGAAAAGCTAACAACTCTCAGTCTGAGGGTACCGATAGCTTTAGTAGCTTTCATACATACGTTTGCCTAGCATTTCTGGTGAAATGGAGCAAAGATCTCAAGCAAATGGACTTTCAAGAGATTATAATGTTTCTTCAATCACCTCCAACTCAAACGTGGAATGACAACGATATCGAATTGCTTCTCTCTGAAGCATATCTCCTCAAAATGGTTTGGCACGATGCACGGTCACATATAAATTAAGCATATCCGCAAGTACACAAGTAATTTAGACATTAATTATATACCCTATTTTAATCAAATAAGAAACATTTATGCATGGAAAAGTTTTTGAGTGGTGAGTCTATAGTCAGTGGATGAAAGTATGCGCTATGCAATATTACTTTTTATTCTTTTTGCTTTTCTTGGAATTCTTTGTTGAGCTTTCTCCTTCAATGACTGTCGAGTGAGTTAGTTGTGGCAGCGAATGTGCTACTTTCTGACTTACATCTGACCATTGCATCTACATCATCCTGGCTAATATTGTTGGTTGTGGTGTTTGCAACGTTTGATTTCTTTCCGTTGGTAGTACCCTTCTTAATCTCATCATTTTTTTTCTGTTTTTCAGCTTCCTTCATTCTAGCTTCAACAACCTTTCTAGCATTTTGTTGAACTGGATCGCTGTTTACTCTAGCAATGTGTACTGCAGCGGCTGTGAGTTGGTTCAAAAAGGCAGTTGCATCTTTGTATTCTTGTGATTCTTTACCAACTGCTTCTTCGTAACCCTTGACGGCTTCCTTACATGCATTGATGGCTGGCTTAAGCTTCAACTGGTTAACACAGACATGTTGTTCTGCGACTCTTAATAACATAGTTGCACCAAAGAATGAGTAAACACCATAGATCTTAAATGCCAATTCCTTTGCGATCTCATACATCTTCAAACTTTCTTCAAATCTTCTTGCTTGTTGGAAAATGTTACCAACTGAAGAGTAAATTTGAATAATTTCTGGGTGATCACTACCATAAATACTTTGCCAAATATCAATGGCATAACGGAAGTATTTGAGTGAAGAGTGAATGTGACCAGCTGAAATTTCGAGATGAGCGAGGTTTTGAACAAAGCTGAGAGTTTCATAGTGATCAACACCAAGGGTACGTTCAGCGATAATAACAGCGTTTCTTTGTAATTTCAAACATTGTTCGTGTGCTTCAACATCAGTTTCTTCCTTTGAAGTACTTCTGATCATTTGGTGCTTAGAAACGACATAGCCATTGAATGCCTTAGCAACATCAGCATGAAGTGGAGTGTAAATTTGCTCAAAGAGGCTAACACCCTCATACATCAAATCCAAACCTGCTTCTCTGTTCTGAGCAATAGATTGTTGTTGACCTTCTGGGTTAATAAATCCTGCAGCACCAGTTTGGAATGCAAGTCTACCATGTTCAAATGCATCATCGCAAATTGTTGATCTTGGTGCTGAATCCTTAACAAGTGGAACAATTTCGAGTACATCTGATGGTGCAAATGTTGTTGATCTATCAAGGCCGCTGAGTGCTCTGTTTTGAGCTTGAGCGGCTGCCTTTGCTTTCTTCAATGCTTTCTTTGATGCATTGTTGTCGAGAGTAACCTCCTCTACCGTGTTTGCGACAACATCATCGAATCTATAATCCCTTAATTCTAATTGGAAACCAACTCGCAATGCTAATTCCCTTAGCATTTGTGATTTACGTAAGTTTTCGAAGTCTTGGTCCTCGAGTGAGTATCTGAATCTAATCGCGACTTCCTCTTGAATCTTTTGGCGCAATGATGAAGGTGTAAGGTTGAACCACTCGACATCCCCAGTGAGGATATCTTCACCAAAGTCATCCTTAGGTGATTCAGCTTTTGGATCAGCGTTGATTGAAGATCCCAATAAGCAATTAAGGAAGTGTGAAATAAGTGATTGTAAAACAGTGAAGTCGGTACCCTTCATGTATGTTCTCAAGATGTGTTTGGCAGATCTGAGGATCATTTCTTGCTTAACGATACCTTTGAAGCAATCAATAACACCAAATGCTGGACCAAGTATGCTCTTCTTGTTACGGTGTTGATTAGCAGCTTCGACGATTGCACCGAGGTATCTATTACATGTTTTAGCTGTTATAAAAAGATCTACTTCCCACAAACCTCATATTGACACCTTTTTGGTGCATAGCAGATGTAAGAGCGGAGCCATCAGCTGGAATATTGTTTCCGTGAACTACATCAAGAACGAGGAGCGGTATCAACGTTTCTGTGATATAAGCGCTAGCATTCTTGATCGCCTTGATGCTCTCATCATTCTCATCAGTGTCAATATCTGGGTTGAAAGTGAGAGTGCCGATTTGTGGAACAGAAATCTTTCCTTCGTTAATGGCTTTCTCAATGTCAGCACTGCTTGGAGGTGGTACAACATCCTCTTTGCTTTCTTCCTCGCTGTTAGTTTCCTGTTTCTCAGTTGGTTTAGGGAAGACACCCTTTTCGATACCCTCATTACGAGCGCGCTCTACGGCGTCTCTAGAGCGCTTTCTCAATTCATACTCTGAGTAAGCTTCGATAGCCTCCTGTCTGAGAACAGCAGGGTATGGGTAAGCAGGAGCATCTTTCTTAACGACATTTTCATCAAGACTGTCGACAGAAAGTTTACCGTCTTTCCATGCCAAGTCAGCGCATGCCATTCTTGATGGTTCGATGATGTATCTTCTACCATCACCACCAATCAAACCCTTCAAGTTAGTTGAGAATTCGACTTCTTCACCGTCAACTTTAACCTTCTTATTAGCAAAGCGGAGAGCACGAGAGACAGGTTCTAAGAGTTCAGCAAAGGTCTTGTCATACTTGATTTCTTTGGTACCCTTACCGTTGACTTCATCAATCCCGTAGACGACCTTGTTTGTGTCAGTCTTAACCTCTTCACCCTTGGCTTCTCTCTCTTGTTTCTTAAGAAGGCCTGGGATAATCGATTGTGCAAGCCAGCGCTTACCAGCGTAATCAACTGTAATACTTGCCAATACGTTCAGACCTGGGGCGTCAATAGTGTTGAGGAAGCGGTGATAGGTAATTTCTCTACTAGCCGCCTTTGCATCATCCACTAAAGTGTAAACAATGTTTGCATGGACGAAAACGTTTTCGTCTTGATGGTGTGGTGGTACTTCACCACGCTAAACATGTGTCAAACATCGACACGAAACGGTAGATATTTAAACTTACGCTGACAGCAATTACACCTCTAACAGCAGCTAAAGAAAAGTCTGCGTAAAGCTTTTGCAAGAGTTTTTCTCTAGTGATACGATCATGGTATGTGTTTACAGTGGACTCTTTTGTGGTTTGCAGCTCATCGTTCCAATCTCTGGCACCTTCCAAACCTTCCAAGGCGGTACTTCCGGTGAGCAAGTATGCAGATTGAGTACGAAGTCCATCAGGCAAATGCTGTGGGCGACCAACCAACCAAGGATGAGCTGGAAGAGCTTGAGGTATTTGGACGATCGCGAATGGATCTCTAGCAAGACTGAGAGTATCTGAAAAGATAGGAGTGAACTTAGTGTTGTAGAGATTGCTCAATTTGCTTGTCAAATCGAAAAGAGAGTGTGAGTGTGAGACACCACCAGTAACTTCATTGGCTGGTTTGAGACTACCATCGAATTGAGAGGAAGTGCACTTGTTGACATGGAAACCCTTCTTTGTGGCGGTGATGTGAAGAATTTCACCTTCGAGTGTCGTGAGTTGGAGATAGAGAACATGACCTTTCAAGCGACATTGTGGTGGTGGTGGGTTCCAATGACTGAGTGAGAAAGCTCTGACTGACTGTTGGAGTTCCTTATTTCTCTCCTTTGGCAAGTGCTTTGAAAGAGCTCTTGGAGCGCTAACATCGAATTGGCGGAAAGGGTGATCATCCTTCAAGTCAAGAGAAGCCTCCTCTTGTGCTGATGGTGGTTGTACGTAATCGATTACACTCAATCCAGATTCGATACCCAAGTTGGAAGTATCAGTTGAAGGGCCAACAGCGGCTTCTCTGAACCTTATAATGTGATGTCTGAGATCAATATCTGTGTAATCTTCTAAGACGACAAAGAGTTTCTTATCCTCTGATTTTTGCTTTTCAAGGACTTTGGCGACCTCAACATTGTCGCCTAAACGGTCCTTCGAAGGTACTTCCTTGCCATTCTCAAAATCGACGTCCCTGAAGCTGAATGCTCCTACATTGTAGCCCTCTGCAGACTCGTGTACTGCCTGGGCCAAATCTAGGCAGGTCTCCTTTGGGAGGGTCATTATCTCGATGACCTTTGGAGATTGCTGTGACTTCTTGCTTGTATTCTGCAGAGGCAGCACAATTGACAAGTTGAACTGAGCGAGATCTGCCTCTTCCATTTTGTCTTGGTGGTCTTCGGTTAAGGAAGAAGATGTGTGACTGTGACCGTATGATAGGTGGGCGAAAATATCTCGGAAATAAGTAAAACTTCGATTTTAGTAGTAAATTTCTAGTCATATTCTATAATCCCCATACCTTCTCATCTCTGCACCGTCAAGAAAATAAATGGCAGACGAACCAGATACATACGACGCTCAGAAGGAAGCTGCTGAGCAAGCTACACTCCCATACAAATGGTCTCAGACTATTTCTGATTTGGATATCACCGTTGATCTCCCTGCTGGCATACGTGCGAGAGATCTCAGCATTATTATTAAAAGGCGTAAACTTAGTATCGCTATTAAAGGCTCTGAAGCTATAGTAGACGGCACATTATTCGCAGATATCAAAGAGGAGGATTCAACTTGGTCTGTTTGTGAGTTAGTTACCATACCGAACATACCTATACTGATAATACAAAGCTGATGGCATGCTAAATGTACACTTTGAGAAGGTGTCACAAGCTGCATGGTGGCCTTGCGTAGTTGAGGGCGCCCCCAGGATCGACACTAAGAGAATCGTCCCTGAAAATAGCAAACTTAGCGACCTTGACGGCGAAACACGTGCTATGGTTGAGAAAATGATGTTTGACAATCGTCAGAAGGAGATGGGTCAACCAACGTCTGACCAGCTTAAGCAACAAGAGGTAAATACGCGTTTTACATGATATACCTATATATACTTACATAGCATTAAGATGCTTAGCAAAATACAATCAGCCAACCCAGATATGGACTTTTCGAAAGTTCAAATGCAGTAGTTGTGGAATAGGAAAAATTTCATACGCTCAAACGCCTTTTTATGATGTAAATAATGCATTAACAAAGAATCAAAGATGTTTTTCATTCATGACCCTCACTGGGAGCCTCCTTCTTTGATTGAATTCCTCTTCAGTTCTAATAACAGATCCTATCGACATGAAGAAACCAAAAGTTGCAGCAGAACTGAGCATATACTGTGATAAAGTACCCATAACACCTCTAGGACCTGGTCCAGCTCTTTTACACCATCAGATTGTAATATTACCGGTAACTTCTACGCACCTGATGATGGAGAATCCACCAAAGATAAAACCAATAGTCAAACCGACAGTAGATCCCATAAGAGCACCCATCTATACTTTGTGAGCAGACGAACCTCCCCTCGCGAAATCTCTCACCTTCACTGTGAGCACATTGTTAGTATAATAGCAAAATAAAGTATAGAAACTCACTCTTTTGGAACGTAGTTGGCTCAGCCATCCCAACTGCAGCTGGTGGTGGTGGTGGCATTTTTTGTTGACCGTCGAGAACAAACGTAGGTCTTCCACTTACCATCACGATAAAATGTCAGGCGTTAGGCTAAGATTAGCGAGGCATGGTATAGCCAACAGACCTTTCTATCATATTGTAGCAATTCCAGCACAGAAAGCTAGAAATGGACAACCACTCGAGAAGCTCGGAGAATACGACCCAACGCCTAGGATAAGAATAGCAGGTACTCCAGCTAGAAAATTAATAGAATGGAATAAGCAGCGTATTGATTATTGGTTGAGTGTCGGTGCCTTGCCTACCCAGCCAGTTACAAAGTTGTTGATGAGGGTACGTTCAATTACTTGATTCGTATAAACATATGTTAACACTATTGTAGGGCGGAATTATCCCAGAGAACAACAAATATCTGAAAAAAGCATCCCCACAGCCAAAATTACCACGGTCTTACAGTGAACCTTCTCCGATTCCTAATAGCAGTACAACAAAAGATTAAATGCATTTCATATTACAGTCCATATTACAATTTCCAATAAGTTATCCATTTGAGAACGTCGTCCTCGTCAAGCTGCTCGCAATTCCTCAATGTTTCTGAAACTTTGCAACTTCTCTTAGTAGACAGGCGAGGGTTACCTAATGCCTCAACATAATCTCTTCTCTCGTCTGACACTGTAGAATTACTGAAGAATTGTTTCAATTTCAATGCTGGCGTGTTGTTCATAGCATTGATAAGATCCTCTTCTTTTGTTGAACTTTCAATTTGGTTGAGTTCTTCCAACCATTGGTCATAACTAACGAGAGGTACGTGAATATGCGCTGCAGCTGCGCTCATTATTGTATTCCAAGATGTTGGATTTGGGTGCACCAGTGAGAATACTCCCTCGGACGCGCTCAAATCGAGTACAACGCGAGCAGCTATATCGACAGGTAGCCATGCTACATCATCGTTACCATTTGGTAGACAATTAAGCGAATCGGCGCTCCTAATTATGCTTGGTAGCCATTCATTACTATTCCAGCTACCAGAGGATCTACTTCCTGCTATTTGTCCTGAGCGAATAATAGTAGTCTGAAGGCCACTTTGTTTTGATGCTGCGGTTAACATCTAAATTTACATTAGTGAAAAATAATGATGTTAGATTAGCTACTTACTCTCTCACCGACATATTTAGATTCACCATAGCCCAAGCCTAGTGCTACATTCTCATCGAGCAATGTTTCCTCAGGCACATCCCTATCTTTCTTCCAGTTAGCTAGTACTCCGATCGAAGACAAAAAGCTGATCCTTGAATGATACTTTGTTAATATAGCAAAGTTCGTCAAATTGAGAAGACTCTGTAAATCACCTTCAAAGGATTCCAATGATAGGTTGAAGTTAACTCTCCATGCATTGTGTATTATACGTGTTACGCTGTTTTGCATATCCAAATTATCGAGTGGCTTGCTCGTGTCTGCTTCAACTAAGTGTACTTTGTAATTCGTAGCTATAGCCGGATCGAGGCCTCGACTCTCGAGTGCTTCCTTCTGGCGTTCTAATAAGGTCCTACCTGTGTGGCTTCTGTTCACTGCGTATACCTTCGTGCAACTTTCCAACATCACTAATTCGCTTAGAATATAGCTACCAAGACTACCTGTAGTACCAGTAACGAGATAAACGTCACCATCTTGTTTAATCTCTTTGGATGGCATATTTGCAAAACCAGTCGTGTACTTTTTTATCATGCGCTTAAAATCCTGTGAAGCAATCAAAGAAGAAGGTGATGTATCCTTATTTGATAATACGCTTTTTACGTATCTAATCAGATCAATCAAACGAGGATGTTCGAATACGACATTTTGACTAATCTTGTGTTTACAGTGAGAAGGCATAGCACCTCTGATCTTGTTCCTGATCATTGTAGCTTGGAGACTATCACAACCTTGACTGAAGAGGTCCATTGTACTGTTTACATTCGTTAATAATCCTTCAACAATATTCCTGAGTACATCTTGAGCATTCTCCAAAGTAAGTGAGTGATTATCAGATGTTGATTCATCTTCTGCACGTTTGTATAGATCTTCAATGTCATTTTCGTACATTTTCAAAGTTGCGACTCTTTTTACTACAGGGTTTATGTTAAGAAAATCTTCACGATTTAGTCATCACCACTTACCACTGCCTTTAGGTGTCATTTCAAATGGCCTGTCGGGATCTGAAACCATTATATAGTTTCTAAATATACGACTATGTTGTGGTGCAAATTGATTAGCACGGTTTACGCTATGCCATATAGTATCAATGAATGCTTCTTTGTTAGTCACAGGTGAAGCTGGTTCGATAATAACACCATTGACAGGCTTGGCTCTACCAAACATGACAGCACTTTTTACTTTCGGATCTGTTGTAAGAATAGCTTCAATTGGCCCTGGATTGGTTTTTTCACCGTTGAGTAACATAAGTTGATCATCTTTCCTTCCTATAACTCTAACCAGGTTACGATTATGAGGGTGTATTTCAACCAAATCATTAGTTGCAAAGCCATAAACATCATCCAGGTTACTTGCTGCTGGTTTGTGACTATCGCAGGCTAAAAATTGCAATTCGAATACGCCCTTTTCACCTTGCTCTTCTACAAAACGTGGTTTAGTATGTGGTGACAAAGTTATATATTGCCAATCCTTGCATGGATGTGTGAAAAAAGATGTTGTATGTCCACATTCTGTAGAACCATATTGATTTGATCTAGCGAAAGTTAATAGAAGCTCAGATGCAAATAAAATACGCACAAGTTGATACCTTGTCTAACTAGGTAATTTCCAACATCTTCACTCATAGGACTACCTCCAAACATCTATCAAGAAATGTGAGTAAGTGAAGATTTTCATTAATGTGTACCCACAACCGCATCCATCCCTTGTAGCACTTCAACACTCTGTGAATCATTACTCCAATCCTTTAAAGTAGATGCAGGTGCCATAACGAAATTAACATTACCCATAGCTTTCATGCCCTTCATTATATTATCAGATGTTGGAAAGACAGGAGGAGATTGGGCATCAAAGCAACCAACTATAAGACCAGTAGTGAATGGAATAGCTATCTGAAAGATACATCCCATCTATGGAGATATTAGAAAATATTTTATTTTCATTAATAAATCACCTACCGCGTGAAATGTAGGTAAACAGCCTGCAAATATGACCTTCTCGCATACATCAGAACCCCCATAAAGTGGTACTCTACCCCAATGCATGACATTTTTATTTGATTGAACTATAGCCTTTGGGTAGCTAGTCGAACCGGATGAATGTATAATGAGTGCAGGTGCATTTAGATCTTTCCGTGAGACGGAAAGAGGTGCGATTTTTGGTGGTTCACTTTCATTGTAAAGTGTACTTAATTTTGGCATGTTCGTCAATTGCACTTCTGGAGCATTCTTAGACGCGTTTTCAGCTAAGTTCTTCAATTGTTCATTTGTGGAGGTGTAGATAAGGTGTTTGCAATGTGTGACCTTAAGTAAGTGCTCGATAGCAGCAGGAGAGTTGCGATTGCTGATTGGGAATGGCTGTAAGGTAGAATTTAGTCGCGGTTCCTGTAATCAAAAAATCAACACACCACCAAGCCTGCTCTCATAGCAGCTAAAACCATTGTCGAATAAAGAATTGGTTCAGTTTCTAAAGTATGTAAGTAAAATAATGTATTTAACTTCGATACGCACCAGCTAAAATACCTAAAACATCGCCTTCTCGCGCGTTTTTTAAATTCTCATTCAAATATTCAACTCCTTTGTAAGCACCATAGGCTCTTTCCTTAAGTGTAAATCTCTTCCCTGATGCTGTTATAAGTGACACGTGTTCTGGTGATTGCGTTGTATGATAATCCATTATTTCTGGGATTGTGAGATTTGACTAATAAAGTTCATGTTAGAAGTGGGCGAAACTGCAGTCAGAAACATAACTCACACTTATTGGTGAACCATTAAATGTCGCTGAGTGGATACCTTGATGTTTTACATCCGCTAAAGCTCTGATGAAACTAGATGATCGTGTACGTGATAAGTTGGCCGATAATCCTTCTCTTCTCTCAATTGGTACTGTTAAAGTCGACATTACTGAGGATTCTCTTATACTTTAAGAAATATAAATGAAAGTAATAAAAGTATCGCAATTTTAGTCTACTTCCCCAATTGGACGGTCTTCTCGCCGTATTCGGATGTGGAGTTCTATTATCATTGATAACAGCTTATTTTGTAATATATTATAATTTCGAGTATTTTATTAAATAATATCACGTGATAGCTTGTATTATATATCCTAGAAGGTCATTCAACATCTAATGAAAATCTTCATCAACGGTCTAAACAAACGCATTAGGTAAAGTTAAAGTTATATTACATCGGTCGCAATCAATAAACCAAATGAAGTAATGAAACTTAATTTATGATCAAGTGGAGGGCAAGGTAACAATAAAATGTCAGAAATGTGTGGATGATATTTTTCGTTAAAAAATTCAAGAATTGAGTGAGTAAAGGGAAAATATTAGTTTGAAAAGGTCCACGAAAGTTTGAAGAGTTATAAAATAATGATGTGTAATCAATCAGGCTTCTGCATCACCCCTAATGCGTCTTTCTTTCTCATTCTCGAGCTGGGAGTAAAGAAGAATCAAAGCTTTCTCGTTAGCTTCTGGTGTCCCTATTATAGTGAAAAGTCTTTCACCTGTTTCATCGTGTGGTTGCTTTGCTATAATGATTTTGGCGGTTGATAATCTTCTGATTTCAGAAATTCTAGAGCCAGCTCTACCGATGATTGGTCCAACCATGTCTGAAGGAATAGAAATGTGTTGAGTTCGTACGTCACGAGGTTGAGGTAATGCAGAGTTTAATGATTGCATGTTAAAGTTGTCTGGTCGTCTGACTGAGTTGATTGATCTGATGGAGGAATTGTTGAATGAGCTATTGAATAAACTGTGTTCGTTAGGTGGAGCAGGTGTGTATAAGATGGTACCTGAGTACCTATCCCAGTCTTCCAAGAGGCATTTAGCAATATCATTGATGGCGATATGTATTGATTCGACTGTACCTTGCACTTCGACAATCCTTTCAGTAGATTGAGGGAGTAGCTCCTTTGAAGCAACCATTCTAACACCTGAAGTATCTTGAATCTGTTTTATTTTGATGCCCTGTCTACCTATGACGGTACCCATGAGGTTGTGTGAAATGAGCAATCTAATGGCCGTTGTCGCGGACGGAGGCGATTGTAAAGGAGCTGTTGATGGATTCAAAGGGTTGTCTAAGATTGTTTGAGCGATGATAGAGAATGCCTAATAGTTATTAGCTCGAGCTCCAATTACGTATACCAAGGACTCACATCAGCGATTGCGGAAGTTGAACCTGTAATAGACAAGACTCTCTCGTGTACGCCTGCTATAACTTTGCTCACGCCAGCTTTCACACCGGTTCTCTCCCTCAAGTCTGCGACGTTCTTACCCCCTTTACCGATAATGATACCAGCTGAGGTAGATTGAATAAATGGCTTGTAAAGAAGAATGCTGACGTACCTTCTTTGGTCGAGACTAAAGCTCTCAACGTAAGTGTGTCTATCTCGTCTGCGTTCTGCTGCTGAGGAGCTTGCGGGGTGGCTGATAGAATAATAAACAAAAAAAGACGTTTCTACTAAGATAATAACCCACGATTGTCTGACATTTTTAATTTCGTTGATGGGTGCACGATTCTAAGGCTTGCCTTGGGTCGATTCCGACGTTATCATAAATTATGTTTGTCGTTAAATCACGTTAGTAGAGTTCTATTCATATTTTATACACTAACTTATTTAAGTTTTCGGTAAAATTATGGGTACATCTCCTATAGTCATCGATATCTCTCTAATCTGCTATAGGTAACGAAACGAACCCTGAACTGATACAGCTACAATCTGGCCAGCTAAATTTAGTTAGGCCAAACAGCATAAAAGGCTCGAGGGAATGCATGTCCGTTTATTACTTTCCTCATTACAAAATCTAACGTCACTAGATATAAAGATGCCGTCGCGACAGTTAGGAGAACTACAAAAGAGTTCAACTACCAGGTTAGTTTACTGTAGCCTACTTCATTCTCTTATACTCATCTTTAGCTCGTTGTAACACGTGCATACGAGGAAGGTGAAGAGGAGTTGCTCGACGAAGACGAAGAGACAGACGATGAACGCGTTTTCTTAATCGATCCTACGCTCAAGTTCCATGACGCACAACACGAAGGTCAAGAAGCTTTCAGATGGGATGAACTCAATGGCGACGACGGCGATACTTGGGAGTTCGTTGTCGATTCAAACGTAGTAAATGCACCTACGTGCTCACTATTCCATTTGACCGTCTTGCAATGTATGTACGAGCGCGTACATGATAAATCATCACAAAGTGCTTCAGAACAGGACCTCGAAGAGTTCAGATTTAAACCAAATAGGCAGTCAGTATATCCAGATTTAAATAACAAAGATTTACCAGTTCAACCTGAGCAAGATGCTCCTGAAACAGATCAGGTAGAACAGCCTCCACAGCAAGAGGAAGAACCAGTAACAGAAATCCAACCAAACACCCTCGCCGAACACCTTCCAACTCCAGAGAAACCCGGTGAAGATTGGCAGCCCATCTTTTCATCTCATGCTGGCTTATTTATCTTTGATAAGGCGTCTGAACGCTTTCTCATGCAAGCCGAACACGTTGATATCGAGATTGTAGAAGCAGGCCGTTTCTTATGTGAGTTTAATTCGCTTCTTTTCATTCTGACTCACGTGTTGTTCTCAGACTGGCTTATCGTTAAGAACCCTGAGGATGGTCAACTTTGGCTCACTCAACCAATTGATTCAACAATGAACTCAAAAAACGACCTTGAAACAGGATCATTTATGTGGAATTACTACAACTCAGGTAAAACTCACACTTGGCTCCTCAGATTCTATGAAATTGATGAATTTGTGAAATTCTGCGAGAGATTTGCTCAGCACATGTGGGAACATCTCAATGAAACTAAATGGGAGAAAGCCAAGGACGACGAACAGAAGTTTGTTAAACAATCTCATGATCAGGATGTTGAAATGCTTGTCATCGAAGATGAGGAAGAAGAGGAGCCTGAAGAAGAAGAAGAGTTTGACGAACAATACCAAGATGAGCAAGATGAGGAAGAGGCAGAGAAGCTCATCAGGGGTGGCGCTGAAGAAGACTCTGACAATGAAGAACCAATCAGTAAGGATCCCAACTCTCTACTCTCCATGGGATACACAAATGATCGTTCATTTGTTGTACGTGGTAACAATATTGGTGTTTACAAGCAAGGTGATGATTCAGTTGACTTTGTTGGTAACATCAAAGATATTGCTCGTCCGAACGGGCAAATTTTCACGCCTTCACAGGTGAGTAGCTACTAAGGTTACGATATATTAGCTAATTTATTTAAAGATGATGCTTCACGGCCAAGATCGTACCATGGTTATGATGGATAAATCCAATAAAGGTGCCTTATACAACCTCGACATTGAAACAGGAAAGGTCGTTGACGAATGGAAGATGAATGAAGGCGTAAACGTCAACAACTTTTTGCCTGATGCTAAATTTGCTCAGATGACACCAAATCAGACATTCATCGGTACATCTCATAATGCTGTGTTCAGAGTCGATCCACGTCTCAATGGAAAGGAGAAGATGGTTGACTCTCAATACAAGCAATATGTTTCAAAGAATGACTTCTCTGCAGCAACCACTACAGCTTCAGGTAAACTTGCAATTGCGTCAAATAAAGGTGATATTAGATTATTTGATCAAATTGGTAAAAACGCAAAGACGCAGTTACCTGCACTTGGTGATCCTATCATTGGTATTGATGTAACAAGTGATGGTAGATGGATTATCGCAACCTGCAAGACCTATTTGCTTTTGATTGACACCTTAATTGGCGCTGGTAGATACCAAGGTGCATTAGGTTTCGATAGATCATTCCCGGCCGATGCAAAACCTATTCCTCATAGACTTCAATTGAAGCCAGAGCATGTTGCGTACATGGATGAAGAGATCAGTTTCACACCAGCTAAATTCAATCAAGGTGAAAGTATCGACGAGACTAATATCGTCACATCTACAGGCCCTTACGTTGTAACTTTCAACTTTAAGCGTATAAAGCAAGGTAAACTTGATGCGTACAAGATACAAAGATATGACGACAAGATTGTTGCAGATCAGTTCAAGTTTGGTGGTGATAGAAAGATCTTGGCAGTTCAACCACATAAAGTTATGCAGCTGGATAGACGTCAACTTAGTAGACCATCCAGGCAGTCAATCAGTACACCAACGAAATCACTCAAATCCCGTTCATCTATAGTTGATTCGAGGTATTAATCAGATAGTTTATAATGATATTTTACGATACTTTTTAATAATGCTTAATATGTTAGGCCTTGATGTTATATTCTTGTTGGAAATCAATGAATTCTTTCTCTTTAGTCTTGTATGCTTCGATTAATTGACTTAATGCTTGTTTTATCTGTTTGATTGTTAGTTGTAACGGGAATGTAATAGCATACATACACCGGTCAAGTTAGTCGTCAATGCTGGCAATACCTCATCGACAGTTCTTTCTGCTAAAGTACCACCAATCATTCTGAAGCATTTTCTATTAGGATCGACCTTCTTTGCTTCTTCTAACGTTTGCACGACTAGCAAATGCTCCTCTGCGTCTTGCTCAAGTTCACCAATCTTCTGAGCGACGGATTGTAGCTCATTCCTACGTCCATTGAATTCGATTGATATTTCTAAGGTATCTTAGTAAAAGTTGTCGTATATCCGATAATCGCACGAACCTTGATTAGACTTTTGCTTCTGATTAGACATATGGTATGGTACAAAGGAAGTAGAATGAGAGTGCCTGATTGTTTAAAGTTTATATTCACATTGTTGAATCTAGAGGCTAATTTTTAACTTTAACTGTAATCACGAGTATTATGACAATTTGACAAATTTTCACGCAGCTTAGAACTCACAATTGGAGAACAATTGAATTAATTTTTGTACTAATGAAGTAATTCAACATCTAATATAATTTTCTAGTACTTGCCTTCCCATCCGATTAAAGCCGTCTCAAGCCCTTCAATTCCAAAGCCACCAAAATTGGAATTCATTCTAAGACCGTCATCATCATGTTCCGCAACTCAGTTTCATTACAAGCTAAGAAGGTAGAATATACTACAGTTTACTATAATTTTTATCTAACTTGTTTATCAGCTCGCCCGTGGATACGCTACCGGTACTGCAACAACAACCGCTAGAGAACCAAGCAAGTTCGGTGGTATCTACAACGTTACTTTAATCCCAGGTGATGGTGTTGGTAAAGAATTGACACAATCCGTTAAGGAAGTTTTCGAAAGTCTCAACGCACCTGTACAATGGTCTGAATACGACGTTTCCGGAGCAACAAACGCTGGTGAACCACAATTTTTAGAAGCCGTTGAATCTATTAAGAGAAACAAAGTTGGTTTAAAGGGTATCTTGTACACTCCACTCGAAGCCAACGCTCACAACAGCTGGAACGTCGCTATGCGTCAATCATTGGATATTTACGCTTCTGTTGTTCACTGCAAATCACTCCCAGGCTACCCAACCCGCCACTCAGATGTTGACTTTGCTATCATCCGTGAGAACACTGAAGGTGAATACTCTGGTTTAGAGCACCAATCATACCCAGGTGTTGTTGAAAGTTTGAAGGTTTCAACTGTAGCAAAAGCTGAACGTATTGCAAGATTCGCTTTCGACTTTGCTATCAAGAACAACAGAAAGAAGGTTACTGCAGTTCACAAAGCTAACATTATGAAATTGGGTGATGGTTTATTCTTAAACACTTGCAGACGCGTTGCAAAAGAATACGAAGGATCAGGTATCACTTTCAACGACATGATCGTTGACAACACAGCTATGCAATTGGTTGCTAAGCCACAACAATTTGACGTCATGGTCATGCCAAACTTGTACGGTAACATCGTCTCAAACATTGGTGCCGCTTTGGTTGGTGGTCCAGGTATCGTTCCTGGTGTCAACATTGGTGCAGACTACGCACTCTTTGAACCAGGATGTAGACACGTCGGAATGGACATCATGAACACCAACAAGGCTAACCCAGCTGCTATGCTCTTCAGTGCTTCAATGTTATTGAGACACTTGGGTGTTAGCAACCAAGCTGACAAGATCGCAAGCTCTGTCTACCAAGTCGTACGTGATGGTAAAGTTAGAACTGCCGATATGGGAGGCAACTCTAACACAACTGATTTCACTCAAGCTGTTATCAAGAACCTCTAAAATTAATATTATAGACAACACAACACTGCCATTCATATTAATGTAATTATCAATTCATTCTTTATACTCGACAATTTACTTTTTAGCTTTACGTCTACGGGTATTTCTCATCTTTTCCGATGCTTTGAGTGGTCTACTGGTGTCCTTTTTGGCACTTTTGTCTACCTCTGACTTTTCTTCTGACTTTTCTTCTGGCTCTTCTCCATGAACTGGTTCAACTGCATCTTGTATAGCTTCACCTGACTTATCAATCATGCCGGTTAGCGGTGATAACAATTTGAATACGAGTGCAACTGGCCATAAGCGTCTAATTGAAGGACGTGGTACGAATTCATCGGTGAGTAATTCCATTGTGTTATCAGGTTCAAGCTGGGTATTTTGTTAGCTACAAAATCGTCCTAAGTGTCTACTTACCAGGAAGACCTCATCGTTTTCAACAATACAGTCAATAAAAATATCACCTTCTTCGCGTAAAGGAACACGAGCTCTATGCTTTCCTGAGGATAAAGCAATTGTACGAAGTCTCTGTATTCTTGAGATGTCCTTAGATGCGTTCATATGTTGTACCAAAGCTTGTAAACCGCTTGTAAGGATAGCAAGGAATATTAGAACAGTCCCTAATCCCGGTCTAAAGCGTGAAAACATGTATGCACCACCTAATAATTGTATAAGTTTATGCGTTACGCTCTTCCTGTCTGTACCTACCCTTCCAATATGGTACACCTCTTTTGAGCCAGAAATCGTAACGCTTTCTAGCTTCTTTGTTACGCAGAATTGATCCAATCGTAGTCAATCTCTTGTGCCTATCTTCTATCAGTTTATTTCCTGGGTTTTTGTCTGGATGATTTGCCAGCATAGTCGAACGATAAGCTTTTGTTATTTGGGAAGCTTGAATGCTGTTAGTTGTAAACTATGGTATTACAAACAACCCACTAGTCGCACTTGGTGACACATTCAAGAATGAGTAGAATGTTGTACCTTTGCCTATGGGTTTTTGTGAGATTGTACTACACCATATTAGATATTCTTACCCTCTCCAGCTTCTAATTCTGCTACGATATCGAATATTTCATAGTCTTCCTTCTTCCGTGTGAGTTCATGTCAAGCATGTCAAAACAATTTACTAACTTTCTCCCATCTGTAGTACTTTATCAGATTACACTCAAGTTTAATGACAAAACTCACGCTACTACCAAGCTCAGCAAGGCACAGAGTACTATAAGCCAAGTAAAGCGCATGATGGTTCGAATGAAGAAAGAAATCTATGCATTTTCTACAGCTGTATCTAATTTACGTTGTGGGATAACACTAAAGAAGGCTTTTTCCCAGTCATTTTGCTTGATGTACTCAATTAATATCTCATACACTTGATTGACTGTGAGTACACGTCTAGTGGACAATTTTATGTACTTTGAAATTGGCAACGCGGCTACAGACATGCCCAAGTTCTTTGCTTTATCTACTGTAATGTTCTTCAATCTATTGTGATCGACCATCGCACCTATTATGTAATGTTTGGATGTATCGAGTTCAGTCAATACGTTGTCAGTGTCTGCTGTGAGATATACACAGTCTTTAACGTCGTAGGCCTCCTCAACTGGTTTATCAGTGAATGATATCTTATCAAGATCCCATCCTGTATTCAATGTGTCTAATCTTTGTTTGAGTTTTCCATTGTATGAGGTGACGTTGAGCGATGTAGGCTGTTTTGTATGTCTATTAAGAGAATAGCAGCTAGTTAATTGATTGGATAAACTAATAACTTCTCTATCAACTTGTAAATCGTCGAATGCACAATCCATGACGACGTTCACGCCTGAGTGTACGATATCAGCTTTATTTGGCGCTTTCCTATTCAGCTTCTGCTTCTTCAATTCGTTCAAATACTCAACGTCATTCTCCTGCTTTGCTTTTGCGATACGCTGCTTCTTCCTTTCTCTATCTTGTGCTCTACGCAAGGGCTTCTGCTCTTTTAATCTCTCTAACTTCGCCTGTTTTTTCTGCTGACTTTTACTATTAGGATCTGGCGGCGTTTGTCCCGTCATCTTCGTTGTTGCGAACAACCAAGAGATGAGCAACCATAAGTCTTTTTTTAGTAGATTTATCAGTCCCCATAAGTTACATCGGCAGTCTAGTCAGACTACCCTCAGTTCATCTCCTTCTTCGAGCTCACCATCTATCAATATCAATGAAGCTATCCAACTATTCGTAGATGAACCATCATCTAGCTTAGTATGGAGTTTGGTATCTGCTATAGATCCACAGGGCATGGGCTATTCACTTTCAAAATCTAATTTCAACGCTATTTTATCCATCAAGCATTTACTCATCAGTGATACAACACCCTTGAATATCAGAATACCAGGATTTCATTTACTAGCGACAGCTTTATTACAACACCATCCTGATTCAAACATCCGTGTTAGTTTGTTTGTAGATATCGTTAGCTTCCCCTTACCGAACATGGACATTCCTGAATTAGCTGCACGATTGAACGCTTTATACAATCTCACCAAGTCAGGAAAAGAAGGTGGCGCTTATCCTTCATTCTCCCATATTATTCGTCGATGGTTGAGAAAGTCCAGTCAGGCACTATCGCAGGATCGATTACAGTATCAATCGATGCATTCCAAATTCACTTCAATCGAGAATGCTACATTAATACAAAGGGTTCACATACGTTTAATTAGTTTAATTGAAGGTTACATAAAATCTAATATATCTCAAATACGCTCTGCAAACCTTACAAAGTTGGTTCTTGGTTCATTGAATACAATTAATCCAACAAATCCAAACCCAATTGAAACACCGTGCATTTTAAGGTTATTGCAATCCGTATTATCTTACGCGTATGTACCAAACAGTACAGTCGAAAGAGTCGTATTCGCTCTTTGCGCCGTAATTGGATCACAAGCGCAATCTTTACCTTATCCAGATAGTGAAACAACATGGGATGAAGCTGGTTGGTCTGTATTGAGAAACTTGTTGCGTAGTCAGTGCGCAAACATTGCAGCTAAAGCGATACGTGAAATTTCTACAGTAGGTGTTGTCTTGAAGTATATAATTATTACTAATTTCAATGAACAGAGCCAGCCATACCCACCAATTCAAGCTCATCTTGGTGCTCTCAAAGCTATCAGATTCTGTCTGCAAAAAGCTAAAGAGAAAGCACACGATAAGCAAGTGCGTACTGAATCTGGTGCTCCAAAATCTACGCCTTCCTTCACCGGTGAAGAAGATGCTGTTAATGTCTTCACTCCTGTATTCGTTTGTCCTGTTTATCAAGCAGCTCTTAAACGGAATTCACCGCTACTTGATCAAGAAATTTGGAAATTTGCGAAAGATTGGCTTGATGAGCTTGATCAGTTTGAGATTGATGAAACAGCTGAAAATATGGAGAATAGTGCGGGTTCATTGCAGCAGCTCTCACAGGATTCATCTGAAGAAGAAATTGCGATGGGTAGGCAACTACTAGTATCGCTATTGGAAGCTGGTAGAGATAGAGTGCACAAATTCAGGTATGTCAAAATTCCTATTAGTAAGCACGATTAACACATTTTTAGATACCCAGATCAAAGCATCTTTAAGCTCTATCCACCACATCCATCACCTCAATCGCTCAAAATACATGATTTCTCAGTTCCACCTCAATTACCACTTTATGCAACCATTTTATCGAGAATTCAATATATTGCTTTCAAGAAGCGTCAAATGCCTCAAGGTTTACCTTCCCTCTTATTGGATTTGTCCTCACATTTGGACGCGTCTTCAGCATTAGCACTCATTGACTATCAGAAGGCAGCAGGTCGCTGTGATCCTTCAGATGAGCGTTGGTTGCATCATTTATTCGATTTAGTGCAGAGGTTTTATTTGCCAATTCCATCATCAACCAGCTCTATCGTTTCACCACATCAGCCATTACCTGCTAGTTCAACCGTACGGCAATCTGTTGCTCATCTTCTTTTCGAAACTACGTTTGAGATTTTAAGAGATGTTCAGAGATTCAGACGTCCGCTCTTGGAAAGATTGACTGTACCATTGTTAGAACAAACAATGGCATTCGAAACAGATCCTGAAGTTGAAAGTATAGCGTGGGACTTCTTGTGTACTGTTGCAGTTATCGAAGCTGTCGAAGAAGATGAAGAAGATCGTAAGAAACGTGATGGCGAGATCAACGATGGAAATGATGATGAAACCAAAGAAGAAGATGCTGAAAGTGATGTGACAGAAAATAATGACATATATCCACCTGTCATAGGTCATGTTGCGCTGCTTCCAGTTAATTTTTCAAGAATAAGTACACTTCTACGCTCATTAGCGACACTCCCTGAAACCGAACCTGTTGGTGGTATACGGAATCTCCCTGACGGCAGGTCACAGAGAAGTTCAATGTCATCACAATCAACAGTACTCACAATTTCACCTGGTGAAATTCGCTTACCAACTGATGCACCACGCACTATGATGAGCTTGGTGAGTGCACCTGCAGTCCAATCATCGAGTACGACATCACCTCATCGTCGGACATCAGTAATGCACTCGAAATCAAGAGAGAGGAGTGTCGGTAGAGAAAGAGCATCATTCTCCTCGTCTGCTAGGGATATCTCTGGTAGACAGACTCAGCCTACTAGTGCATCTGCAAGCACAACATCATCGCCAAAATCTGCTAATACGGCTTTACCTACAGCCTCACCCGTAAGGGCTGGCGAAGAGCATCATTTCATCTTCCCACCAACGCAGTATTTGTCAACGAATCAAATTCGTTCTAAGGCTGTTGGTGCAGTGATAACACTCATCCACGTTTTTGATAAATTGGCATTCTCACCACCTCATTCACTCACCACAAACAAACTCGCGCGTGCACCTGCATCGAGGAGATGTATATTGATTATCAGAGAATTGTTAAATTTACTCACTCCACCTATCGAAGAGAACGTTGATAGTCCAACAAATTCACCTAAAATACAACCAAAGCTTACAGAAAAGAGGATTTCACCAACTGCAAGAATTCATGCTTTACAATTCCTGTTCCACTTGAGAGCAGATAGGGATTATAGAATATTTGCAGACATTGATCTAGATGAGGCAATACAGCCATCAGCTAGTATTTTAAGACGTGTGAGACAAGATATTGGCATAAATGAAGAAGAAAGAGGTAGAGGTAGAACATCCAGAAGAGCAGATATACGTGGTAGATCTAGAGATCAATTGGATAAGGATTTAGAAAAGCGTTTACACGATAGGAGTAGATCTGCATCAAGACCACCAAACGCTGCTGGTATGACAACAAGTGGTGCGTCGCAATTACAATCTCCTCGTGATATGTTATGGATGGTACCAGAACAATTACCATTCGAGCTTACTAGATCATCGAGACCGGCTGAGGGTATGGTAACTCATGATCCCGATACAGCTACCGATAAGCAAGTTCCATTACCAGTTAGTGAATATATTAGCGCTTTAGTTAATATATTAGAGTATGAAACTGATTGGGAAATCGTCAGTTATGTACTTTGTCAGTTACCTTTACAATTAGCCAATAAGAACTTCTTTTCTGGACCAAGAGCTGCCGATTCACTTCGTGATTTGCGGCGGCTTTTATGTAATGGTTTATTACGTGATAAGCTTTGCGAACATGTCAATCTTCCTGGTGGAATAAAGCGCACGGAGGTTTATGCAGTTGCTTACCAATCTTTAACAGTCTTGGTAGCCTACCGCCGTCTATTCGATAAAAGTTCACATGATGAAATGATTGAAGCATTCCTTCAAGGATTGTCAAGATATCACTCTACAGCCAGACCGTGCGTTCATGCTCTCGTACTTTGTTGTTATGAGTTACAGAATTCCATGGTTAGGTATATGGGCAGTGCTATACAAAAGTTATCGCAAATTATGTCAGCTGCTAGTATGGGTAGTCATATACTTGAATTATTGGTCAGTGTTGGACATATGCCTACTTTATTTAGCAACTTCACAGAGGCTGATTATCGTAGAGTATTCGGAATGACTTTGCAATATATACAATACCATAATGCAATCAACGCAGATCCTGGTTCGCGTCCTGGAACGATAGCTGAAAGTACACTTTCTGAGCATGTTTTGTCGATCGCATATTACAATGTGAGTATTATTGGACCTTATGTGCTTTCCTAACTTATCTATTTAGATATACATATGGTTCCTATCTTTGAAACTTAAAGATAGATCACATTACGTACCGATTATCATTCGTGGACTTTTAGTCGCAAATGAACATTCAGGTAAAATTGACGAACAATCGGAGGTTTGCTTCGATATGATTATGAGATATGCTTATTCGAATGTCAATCCTCGTACAATCAGGTCGCCATTAGCAGAACTTCTTTTATCACCAACGCCAAATAGTTATGCGAAGAAAGCACCTGGTACTTTCAAGCAATGGGTAATGGGTAATGCTGTCATATCCGTTGAAGCGCTTGATAGAGCTGGTTGGGTACAAATTATAATAAGAAGGCCATCCGGATCAACGACATTATTATCTAAACTTGAAAACTTCTCACTTGTTGGTTCGGAAACTGATCTTGTTGATATTACAACAGTCAGGACAGCTTTGATGACAGGTTCGCTGCCAACATCCGTAATGAGGACTAACAAAGACCCAACTGTTCTGCGTGCTCCTTCACTTAATCTTGATAGTGATGATTATAGTTCTGAACGAGAAGTTGGAAGTGAAATTGACAACGATGAAGATGAAGATGAAGAAGGCTCGAATGAAGAGGTGAGTCATTCTAAAATATAATAATAAACTACTAACAGCTCTAAGGAAACTGCAACAATTCATCCTGATGTTGAATACCCAACTCAGCTTCAAGATTTGGTATTACCTGAACATATTATGCTTCAATTATCAACTTACCCTAACACACATCCAACAGCTAGATTGATGCCAAATAATACTGCGACTGAGAGATTTATAAGATCATTGGAAAGTCATCAAGTTGTAGATTCTCATAAAATTGGTGTCATCTTCGTTGGTAGAGGTCAATCTAATGAAACCGATATACTTCTAAATACCCATGGCTCACCACAATATGTTAGATTTTTAAGTAAATTAGGTCACTTGATTAGACTTAAAGGACATGATGGATATGTTGGAGGTTTAGATAAAGAACAAGATATGGATGGTAAATATGCTTACGCTTGGTGGGATGATATAGATCAAGTTATCTTTCACGTTGCAACATTAATGCCAAATCATCCACATGATCTACAAGCGAGGTTTAAGAAAGCTCACATTGGTAATGATTTCGTTAGAATAGTTTGGAATGGTAGTGGATTACCTTACCAATTTAATACGATTTCAACAGATTTCAATTACATTAATATAGTTATAAGTCCACATTCTAAAGGTGTACCTGTACATAGGGGCGCATTTAATACGAAAGTTCCACCGATTGGTGTCGCAATAGATGAGGACAACATTGATGAATTTTATCGTGTTGAATTACAAATAAAGGAAGGTATGCCCTCATTTGGACCAATTGGAGATTTCAAAATAGTTTCAACTGATGCTTTACCTGACTTAATACGTCAGATGGCATTATTTGCTGATTTATTAGCACAAGTTTACGTACAGGTTGATCTCGAACAGGAGTTTGTTAGTAGTTGGCGTAGACGTTTACAAACTATCAAGAGATACAGAGAGCGTGATCTACCTGAGATGGATATACCACCACCGGCTGAAGGTATTCTTGGTGAGGAGGTATCAAGAGAGTAAGTTTATTAGATAACTATGATAAACAATAAGCTAATAAGATAATAGCTTCTCGAGATTTGTTTAGTTATGTTCTATTTACATTTAATGCATTGTTTAACAGTTGTTTAATACAAGGGATGAACACTGCCTGGTGTGAATGTTGTAAGTATATCTGATCGCCAGAATTCAATCCAATCGGATGGTCTACTCGGAAGAAGACCCATAGTGTCAGCCTTGTAAAGACCAAGTGCTAAAGCTGCAACTTGACAAGCGACGAAAGCCAATTTCTGTGGTGTGAAATCCAACTCTGCATGTGTGAGTGTTGCACCTGGAGGTGCGTTACTAATTTGAAATGGTTTAAAAGTTGTATTGATCTTTGTTAAGCTTTTAAGTGCGTTCCAAATAGTCATGAAGACGATTGATATTGAGAATATTTGTATAGATGAACCAGACATGTACATCATGAAGGCTGTTGTGAACATCGCTTTACCAGGTGCGATAGCTGTTTCCCAGGCTTTATTATGTTTTATAGCGCTCAATTCAAGACTCTTTTTGTTAGCTTCATGCGTTTGCTCGAGCGTATTATTACGTCGGGATTTCCGGAGTGGCTGATTGGGTATATATCCAGGCGGATCACTAAGGCTGTTAATTAATTAATATGCAAATCATATTTCACATACGATTTAGCCTGCTCAGCTGCGTTATTGAGGTAATTTAATGACCAATCACTTGTCATGGACGTAACAATCTAACAATTGATAACAAAATCAAAGAATTATACAACAACATTTGAGAGGTGCTCTGGGAATTTTACATCCAAGTATTGCTTTCCAAGCTTAGAAATAGCCTCTCCGTCAACTTCTTCGAGTGTGCTAGCGTAAACCTTGTTGTATTCCTCAAAACGCTCATCTTTGGAGGTCGTTGTAACTGCAACGATCTTATGGGATTTTAACCAGAGAAGAATGATAGCACCCTTGGATAGACCGTACTTCTCGCCCAGCTGGCTGAATAAATTGTCTAAGTCAGATTTAGGTGAAGTGAGTGCAGCAAGTGCGCCGTATGCCTATATTCAAGTAAATTAACATATCAGAGCTATAAACATAACGTACTTCTACAACTATACCCAATTCAGCATTACGCTTGTAGATATGCTCAACCTTCTTCCAGCAGGTTGGACCGAGTTCAATTTGGTTGACTTCTGGATATTCCTTAGCTGTCTTGAGTAGCTCATCAAGATCATTGTTGTCGAAATTTGATACACCAATGTGTCTTTGTACGCGCGTTAGCTGATATGTCTTACTCTTCTGAAGGCCAACTCACTTCACAAGTCCTTCTGACTTCACTTTCGTTAATGATGAAACGTTAAGACTTAAGTACTCACCTTGAGTTTCTCGAATTCACTCCAAGTGGCTGCCAATCCACCGGATTGTTCAACTACCTTTGGCCAGTGAACTATGTACAAGTCGAGATATTCCAATTGAAGCTAAAATATGTGAGTTGGATAAAAATTACACTAAAAACAGACCTTGCGTAATGAGTCATTGAATTCTGAACGTACGTCACGACCACCACCGTATTTTGTTGCGATGAATAACTCAGAACGACTAACACCGCTATCCTTAAGAGCCTGTCCAACTGAATCTTCGTTTCCATACTATACAAACGACCATAAGTCTACGTCATATCTGGAACTGCTTACTAACAATCTGAGCAGTGTCTATATGTCTAACACCTTTGTTGAGTGCTTGACGAACACCATCGTAGGCACTTTGCTTAAACAGTGATGCTATTTTTCACTCAGTTTGTTTCCTCATGTAAGTAAGACCTACTGCCAGTACCAAAAGCGCTATCAGCTTATTAGAATTGTTAAGAGGAGGTATGTTATACACACATAAAAGGTATAGTGCCGTTGTATTTGAGTGAAATTTCAGACATTATGGTTGAAAAGCAATATGCAAAATCACGCAATATTGATTATAATCTATACAAAAAAAATCTAGAATTTACCATGAAGGAGGTTGGCAATGATCTCACGACCGGTAATAACGCTAGTATGCCAGAGCGTTTGTATGTCAAGAGTAGAGAAGAAAGTGTCTGCGTATCCGAATGGCAACATTGGTGGTATCCAGCCTGTATGATGTTAACGAATAGTATATAAACATTATAGCAACTTACCTCTAGCGTATTCCATAGCCCAACAAGTGTCTGGCATACGGTATTGCTTAACTACACCTCTTTGGAGGTGGTGTACTGATCCAGCTGGATAAACCTCCTTAGTAAGTGAATCAGCTTCATAAGCCCATTGTTCTCCTTCGAGTATGTGGAAGTAATCATCGGCGGTATGACGACCTGTATGTCCTTCTGTGCCGAGTGCGGTACCAAAGATGATGAGGTATTCGGTTATACTAGCGTGTATAATGTACATTGAACCCATAGCACCACCTGCGTTGTTAAATACCCATTCTTCGCGCGTGTTGATTGTTCTACCTGGATGTGAAACCTTCAATTGGCGTACGATATCATCAATAACGCCTCGGGTATCAGATTGGCGTGCTAATGCGTTTTGTGCAACTTCGTTGAGTTGTTCTGGACTGAAAATATAAAAGCGGTCGAGCATTCCCTCTAAGACACTACCAATAACGCAGAAAATACCAATGATTGAAGCTAAGATTAACCATTTCATAGAGCATTTACCAGATGGTTTGCTACTTTGTGGAGGTCTTCTTGCTGACTTTACTGCCATCTTTTTGGTGGTAGCGGTAGAAAATGAAGTGAATTTAAGTTAATGCGGAAAATGAACTGATTATGAGAAGAATATAAAAAATAAAAAATTGTTTATTTAACAATTATCAATATTCTTCTTCCTTAGATTCTATCATAATGTCCAGACCAGAGCATATTGCACCACCAGAACTTTTCTATGGCGATACAGAAGCTGGAAAGTACACATCTAATACTCGTGTACAACAAATTCAAGCAGAAATGACATATAGAGCACTAGAATTGATGGCATTACCTGAAGGTCAACCTAGTTACTTGCTCGATATAGGATGTGGAAGTGGTCTTTCAGGTGAGATACTTGATGAAGAGGGTCATTATTGGGTCGGTTGTGATATCGCTCCATCCATGTTATCAATAGCACTTGAGAGGGACTTAGAAGGTGATCTTCTCCTTCACGATATAGGAAATGGCTTCGGATTCAAGCCTGGTTCATTTGATGGTGCTATATCTATATCAGTTTTACAATGGCTTTGTAATGCAGACACAAGTAGCGCTAATCCTGGTAGTCGTCTTAATAAGTTTTTCACTTCACTTTATGCATCATTATCTAGAGGTTCACGCGCTATTTTTCAATTTTACCCAGAATCTGATGATCAAGTGAGCTTCATTATGGGTATCGCACAGAAAGCTGGTTTCACAGGTGGTTTAGTCGTAGATTACCCGAACAGTAGAAAAGCGAAGAAATTCTACTTGTGTTTATTCGCAGGTGTTTCACCTAAGCAAGTTAACATGCCAGCTGCAAAAACTGATGAGAGTACCGTTAGTTATGAGGGTAGACAATCACTAAAGCATCGCCCAACTCGTAAGAACGTCAAACATTCAGCAAAGGAGTATATCCAACATAAAAAAGACCTCCAAAGAAGCAAGGGTAAGGAAGCTGTACCATTCGATAGTAAATACACTGGTAGAAAGCGTAAACCAAGATTCTAAGCGTGTTGGAAAGATATTATGTATTTTTATTTATTTTTATAGAAAAGAAATTAATAGTTTTTAATTGGTATACCCCGTCTCTCTTCTTATCCTGAATGTTCAACGACGGTAGTTTGTAATCTACCATCTTTAACGATAGTCTTGAGTTGTTCCGGTATTGGCTTTTCAACAAAGTCGCCATCATCACCTTGTGGAACGCTTATATTGATTGATGAAGTCTTTGCTGTAATAATCTCTGTGTCTGACTCAAGACATTGCTTGCTGAGGTATATTTGACCAACATCGGTGTTGTCAACCGTGACAGTAGGAGCCAAACCGAGTATTTGAACAGTAAAGTTTGGTGATGTGGTTATACTTAAACTAGAAACTAAGTTCTCAAGTAAAACTGAAGTTTTATGACAGCCAACAAGGTTGACAGCGTTTACTTTCCCTTTAACTTGAATAACTGAGTTCTTGCAGTTAAAGATGTTAACAGTTTGAGTGAGTTTAGTATCCTCGATTACGATATTGTTGTTACCAGTATGGTTCTCCTGTGCGATTGTTAGAAAAGCCCTAAAAAGCTCTGTTACCCACAATGAACCACTTTTGTCCGTCTAACTCCAATTTAGCTTGTTTTTGAGTAATAGTTGTTTGTGAGGAAGGTGAACGTGTCAAAGCTTTTGGCTTGGCAGGTAAAGATGGTACAGCTTTCTTTGCTGCGAGCTCTGGGTTTTTGTGATTCATTTGAGATTTATCGACTTTACGTAATCCCTTTGTGATATCTGACCCCTTATTGAGCTCAGCGAATACAGCCTCAGGGTTTGCTGCTGCTGGAGCAGCAGGCGTCGCTTGCTGTTGTGCAACTGGGGCTGGAGCTGGAGCTGGTGGTGGCGGTGGTGGCGGTGCTGAAGTGGCTGGAGCTGACTTAGGCTGTGAAGATTCCTGTTGATCACCTTGTTTGACAAATTCCTCGAAGGACGCGCCCTTGTTGTTCCACGCCAAGCCATTGAAGTGGTGCTTCTTCACATACTTTGATAACTCATCGAGAAGACGTAAAAGACCCTGTACCCATAGCAAGTTCAACTCATTTTTGTCCTTAATTAATCTGTTTGTGTAAAATTGCGTGGAGTCTTTGATTTCTTGAATAAAGTTGAATGGCTTGTCTTTCATTGTGAACCAACCGAATGCAGGTGTAGCTTCTGACAAAATTTTCAGTTGCTGGAAGTGCTCGCTTTTTCTAGCTTCATTCGAGTCAGCTGAGTTAGACAAATCGGTGAATAAATCCATAAGTGGTTGTATATGTTCACTGAATGCGGCGTTGTCGGTTGGCTCTTTGGTGTTTGTGGAGACTTTTAAAACTAGATCATAGGATTTCACAAGAAGTGCTTCCAAAGAATGAGCTTTAGATTTCAAGAGTTCACTGTTGTATTGCCCGCTTAACTCAACAAATGGCTTGACTAGCGTATCAATTAATGAGTTGTAGTCTTCCAAAAAAACTGGTAACTTTTCTACCACGGCAGCAGTCGTTGGCTCTGCGTGGTGGACAGTTTCATGAGGAGTTTCTTGCTGTGGATTAGCAATTACTTTGTTGGCTTGCTGCTGGCTGAATACAATATCTTCCAATCTAGCAGTAGTAGATTCTAATCTTCTTAATACTGTTGATAAGGATATTACGCCGCTATTTGGAATAGCAGGTATTTCCTCACGCTGTTCTTTCGATGATGACATTGACGTATTAAAGGTAGAAAAGTGAATAATCCTTTATCACAATACTTTCTATAATATTTTTATTTCTAAAGTCAAAATTGTTAACGCTAATCACTAAATCGTATTTGTCTTGGATTCTAATAACAGCTAAAGCAATTTTTATTTTCTGATCTTCATCATTTTTCGTTATCTTTTGTTCACCAACGATGAATATCTTATCCCCTGGTAGATGTTCAATTGGCTGATCTATACTGTAATCCTCGCAGTCGTTGTCGTATGCTAATGAATCAAAGTGAAATCTAAGGAGAGAATAGTCAATATAAGCAATAAATAATATAAGATGAAACTAACTTTGCTGCTTCTTCATCTGTTTTAGCTTCCTTAACGTGTTCCAATACTTCAACTATGACAGAAACCTCACTATCTTTACCTATGAAGACTTCCTGATTATCTGGAACTTGTCTAAATTTACTAGCATCAATTAAATTTAAATCAGATTCAAAATTTATTGCACCATCAAAGCATTCATATTTGTTCATCATTGTTGAGGTCATAGAGAAGATATCTTCACTCTCTTTTGTGCGCCATTTCTTATACGTGATTTATATTTCTGTTTGTTTTCATAATCAGCGCGTGTTTTATTCATGGCCAGAAGATGAGAAGTATATAAGGCACTATTAGTGTTGTTCTCATAGGATCAGAATCACTTCAATATAAATAATAAATGATACCCTTGAACCAGTAGATATAGAGTCTACTTTAAATTGTATACAGCGATAGCAAGGAGGTATTGGTTTGTTTGTGGATTAACTGAAGAACGCAAGTAAGGTGGTGTAAAAAAGCAAGGCTTTTATTTCTGCGCTAACGAAGCAGTATGAAAGGACTAATTCAGCCCAAGTATGAATATAATGCATCAATCAGACATATTATACTTAATAACATACAACACCGCTAATTAATTTAACAGTAAAGGGTAGATGATATTGAGACATTTGATTTTCAACATCAGTTTAACCCTGCAATGAAATCTCTGGCATCCACTTTCCTTCATTAAAGCGGCTCGATCTAAAGTCTTGAAGTTTATTTATTGCTTATTCAGCCACTTCAAGATCATAATAGATATAAAGATATGTTCGTATTATTCTGGCTACACTTCCACAACTCAATTTACTCACGAATCTTTTAAAATTGTAGTATTAGAGGTAGCAATGGTATATACGACAGTAAGGTTGATTCATTCTCGTTGAATAAAATCGTTGATTTACAACTCGTTCTGATCACTACGTGAAGGTGTTGCGTTTGCTTAGGTGGTTTATGTTGATTTATTTGAAACACACAATCATAGACAATTCTTAATATGATAAATTATCTCACACATCACCTTCTGAAGTCATAACACGATCACAAATAATCTGCACTCTTCCTACTCAATTAAATGTGCCTCCTTTGTTACCATCTAAGTACATCAGAGGTTTAGTATGTAAATAGCAAAGAAAAGGAATATTTATTAATTTCATCTTTAAAAATCTCAGCTATTTACAACTCTTGATATCTCCACCAAATTGCTAACTTTAATGTCCGTGACCGTCATCGGCTGGCTCAGCTGGTGCCATCTTGAGAGCGTCATCAATACGCAATAAAGATGTTGCAGCTTCGAGTGCAGATCTCAAACTCCTAATTTTACTAATTGTAGGTTCAAGAACACCTGCTTTGACATTATCGCGGATTGTACCATTTATGAGATCAAGACCGTAATTTTGTAATTGCTTCTTAGGATCTCCAGATGGGGCTGATTGTGCAGCATTGTGGTATGCACGAAGTTTTGAAACCAATTCAGTTGAATCTTTAGCAGCATTAACGGAGAGGGTCTTTGGAATAACGAGTAAAGCTTGAGCAAATTCAGCAATTGCTAATTGTTCTCTTGATCCTAATGTAGTTGCAAAGTTTTCCAAGTATATGGAAAGTGCGGATTCAATCGCACCACCACCTGGAACAACGTTACCTGATTCAAGGGTACGTTTTATAACACAGAGAGAATCGTGGAGGGATCTCTCCATCTCATCCAACATGTAGTCATTGGCACCTCTCAAGACGATTGATGATGAACTGACGATCTTTGTACCCTTGACGAGGATGAGTTCGTCATCACTTATACGCTCTTGAGCAACTTCTTCAGCGTTACCCAAAAGTGAGCTTTCGAAAGTTTCTTCGCCTTCTAAGTTAGCCAATGATGAAACAAGTGTTGCGCCGGTTGCCTTTGCAATACGACGGAGATCTTCTTTCCGGCATCTTCTGACTGCCATTGCGCCAGCTTCAACGAATTCCTTAAGACACAAATCATCAATACCCTTAGTAGTGAGAATTACGTTAGCACCTGATGCTAAAATCTTGCGAACTCTCTCTAATGTAATTTCTGATTCTCTCTTTCTAATCTCTTCGAGTTGAGTTGGATCATCGATAGTGATGTGGACACCCATATGCATACGTTGCTTTTGAAGATTGATATCTAAACAAGCGATCTTTGCGCCGTTTATGCGTGTTTTCATGGCTGAAATATGTTAAAGAAGATTCACCACGTAATGATACATACCTTGTGAAGCAACAGTGCAGTTGAGGGCATAACCCTTAACGAAAAGGGATTCAGTAGCAGATTTACCGTGTGCTTTGAGTACGTTTACAGCTTTAACTGGGTATTTGACTTCACCACGTGGGTTTATTGTTCTGACAGCTTGCATAGCGTCAACAGCCATGTTAGCGAAGAATTCGTCATCACTTTGGGATGTTTTAGATAAATATAATGACAGCTATTCAAATCTCACCTTCCAATGATCTTTGAAGCCATTGAAGTTTTTGCGACGTTTATCAATGATTCTCTACCAAGTGCCTCTACATTTGAGCTGAGGTTGTCTTGCATGAATTTGCAAGCTTCCTTGCAAGCTAAACGATAACCAGTTATGATAGTTGTAGGATGAATCTTGTTCTTAACAAGGTCGTTAGCTCTACGGAGGAGCTCAGAAGCGACAATAACGACAGAAGTGGTACCATCACCAACTTCTTTATCTTGCTGCTGAGCTAAATCGACTAAGATTTTAGCTGCAGGATGTTCAGTTTCAATGAGAGAGAGAATAGTTGCACCGTCGTTTGAAATTGTGACATCCTGAGTGAATAGTTAGGAATGTAGCCCTAGTAATAAGAATACAGACCCCAATGTTATCTACCAACATTTTGTCAAGACCTTATAGACCGTCAGAAGAAGCTCAGAGAAGGCGAGATGGACATACCAACTGGACCGAGAGATGACTTGACGACGTTTGCGATAGCCAATGCGGCTCTTACTAGAGTGTATTTAATTATGCGTCATCTCTCTACAAAGTATCCTACCATTCTGCTGACGGATTTCATTGCCAGAGATACGCTCACCCCCGAGCAAATAAGAAGAAGTTGGATCAGGTGCAATAAAAGACCTTATAACAGTGTCAGCCTATTTGATTATTTTTCTTATTTTCATTTTACTCACATTTTGACTTGATCACTGTTCAACCACAAGAGTGTTCTCTACAACTTACAGTCATCATCGAAATGTCAACTGCATTTTCGACGGGATTGACGAAGTTAGTGTTCTATTGAGATTCATCAACTTCTTCTAATTACATCTCTAGTGTTCTCCCTCCTCCAAAGATCCAAGATGACGAAGAGGAGCTCGATCAAACAACACTCTTAGAGACTATGTCCAAGAGATTAGTTGCGCCACCTTACACTCATCGTACAGGCTGGAAACCATCAACTCCCCAGGATTTTGGCGACGGTGGCGCTTATCCAGAGTGTCACATCGCTCAATATCCCTTAGAAATGGGCAGAAAGAAGGCAAAATCTTCAAAGACGCTTTCTTTGACTGTAGACGGTTCAGGTAAAGTCAAATATGACGCGATCGCTAAGCAAGGTAGAGGCGATAATGCACACCTCATTCAAACTTCTTATCAAGACGTTTTACCGCTCGCTAAGCGCACAGATGTCGATAACAAAGAAATGGATAGACCATCTGAAGACCAAATAGCTGAAACTACCGAGAGAACGAAAGCTGCTTTGGAAAAGATTGTTGGAAACAAAATAAAGTCATCCCATAGTCGTGAAATCGCTGGTAAACCAGCCCAAGCACAGTATGTGAGGTATACACCAAATGAGGGTTCACAGAGAGTTATTCAAATCAGAGATGCTGTCGAAGATCCTCTCGAGCCACCTCGATTCAAGCATAAGAAAGTTCCAAGAGGTCCACCATCACCTCCCCCACCTATTTTGAGATCTCCACCTCGTAAAGCTACTGCAGCTGAACAAAAAGAGTGGATGATTCCACCATGCATATCCAACTGGAAGAATAACAAAGGTTACACTATCCCTCTTGACAAGCGTCTCGCTGCTGATGGTAGAGGTCTTCAGGATGTACAAATAAACGACAACTTTGCCAAATTCTCAGAAGCACTCTTTATTGGTGAGAGGCACGCTCGTGATGAAGTACGTCAACGTAACGTCATGCAACAACGTCTAGCAGAGAAGGAGAAACTCAGCAAGGAGGAGAACCTCCGTCAATTAGCTCAAAAAGCCAGAGAAGAACGCAGTGGAGGTACTTCTTCTGGTCAAAGAGCTGCTATGCCAAATCTTGCAGCTTATGGAAGCGACTCTGATGCTTCAGAATCAGAATCAGAATCAGAAGCAGAAAGCGATCAAGGTGTTGAAGAACGTGAGAGAATGAGAAGGGAGAAACGTAATGAACGTGAACGTGAAATGCGTATCAGTCATATGGGTCACGAACAACGCGCTAAGCAACTAGCCCGTGAGCAGAACAGAGATATCAGTGAAAAAGTCGCACTCGGTCTCGCTAAACCAACTCTCTCGAAAGAGGCAATGTTTGATAGTAGATTATACAACCAAGAGAAACTCGGTACATCCTTTGGTGACGATGAGAGCTACAATCTCTACGATAAGCCTCTTTTCCATGGATCAAGCGCAGCTGCTGCAATTTACAAACATCGTAATCAAGATGGTGATGATGAGCTTGTTGGTGGTGGTACCGAAGAAGGTGTCGACAATGCACTCAAGAATGATAGATTCAATCTCGGTGCTAATGCAACGAAGGGCTTTGAAGGTGCTGAATTACAAGAAGCTCGCGAGGGTCCTGTTGAATTCGAAAAAGACGTTGATCCATTCGGTGTTGACCAATTCCTTAATGAAGCTATACAAGGCAACAACACATCAAAACGTGGTCTTGATGAAGCACCTGCGGACTCGCGTAAACGTCAAAAAGCTAGAGATGATGATTTATAAGAATAACCCACATCTAATGTGAACGAGTTTTGTTGTATAAATAAATTTCTTTAATACTTAAAAATTAATTATTATATATAAGATTTAATAGAAGCATTAAGAACTTAAAGTGAAACATTCTATCAGATTCATGGAATCCGTGTGCGTATGATTACACAACAATACAGCATGCGATTGTCAACATCATCGTTTGACAGAATTTTTAGTCCACTAAGTCCAACAATATGTCTTTCAGTTTGAATCCTCATCTCAACCAGGCGGAAGTCATCAGCATCGATATGTTTATAAAGCCGTAATTTTAAAGCGGGGTGATATTGCTTCAATTGTAAAGGTAATTTTCCTTCGTATTGACAAGAGCAAACATCCAAATTCGAAGACACTGTCGCTCTCTAACAATTATTAGTAACAAAGACATAGCAGAACAACGTAACAACGGAAGGCATTATACTTAAAATTAGACGTATTCTGAAAAATGCCTGCATATTCTAGCTTGATAGAATAATTTAAGTATCGTTTGTGTAGCTTCATGCGTCCTTTTGGAATTATGTTTGATCATTTCTGAAGGATCTCCTCAATGAGTTTGTCAATGGAGACTTTTTAGACGTACTTCAAAGTAGAATATCTCCCAATTGCTATTCATTTGCCTGGAAATTCACACATTTGCTCTATGTTATGTGACAGTGAGTCAGATGTGAGCGAAAATAATTCAAATTTAGTTTATGTAAGTACAGTGTTCACATTACTGATCAGAAGCTACTAATTCGTGTGTTTCTTGGATACACCATATGACCAAAAATGGAGGATTTGTCAGGATTTACTCTATATCAGCAATCATACGATATAAACAAAGGATAAATTCGATTTAAATGAACCTCAAAAGCTTTTTCCGCAGTTATCCTTGAGGTTTTCCTGATACATTAAAGATTTACTTTAATGTGGTCAAAATGTGACGAAGTCGAGAAGGAAAACACGCAAACTTCTAACCTAACCTATGGATTTCCAATAAAACTAACATGCATATAATAAAAACTGCCTTTTTTGTCCGACTGTGTCCCAGAAACGTTAATACAGCCCTATATGTTGATATTCTTCTCTGGTTCCTAACTGTGGATTTACGAGTGTAGTGTGTTACGCATATATGTACCCGTATTTCAGATTCTAAGTATCCAGCCCCTTCCAAGACAGAAAAAGATGCTTCCTGTTATTCTTCTCGTCATAGATAATCTTCCTGTTCGCTAGTTTCTTCAGCTATACGACTGCAAGTGTACAACATTGATAATATATAAAGGTCTCGCATCATACATCTCCCCTCTGATAATACAACTGCTTCCTTTCCTGACGTTTAGCGGTAGTCCGGCCGGTAGTGATAGTCGCCAAGGTGGAAGACGAACAAATAGTTTGATGAGAGGATGGTATAGAATATCTCGCAGATGTCAAAGTTATATTAGTTATGTAGACGCTCTGCTATATTATCAATTTAGTATTAGATAATACAGAAGAAATAGATGAGCATCCAATAGACTATTACAACCTCATAGAGACAGACATTTACTTAGGAATATAAATTTGTATCTCTATCTATACTTACCCACCTTGAGGAATTTCTGATAGCCTTATCCAACTACAGCGATCATCCAGCTTGGAAAATATGCCACCAAGTATCAGTCGCGTCTATGCTGATGCTAACGAGAAGCACAGCCGCTCTTGGTGGGATTACGGTGTGTTTTTTTAGGCTAATGTCGAACACCAGTGCTGACAACTAGATAGACAACCTCACAGTATCCTGGGGTGAGCAAACCTCCTACGAAATTGTTAGAAGAGGTGTGTAGTTAGTATACTCCCCATATGCTCTCTGATATCCCACTAGTCGGACGTGGAAAGTACTCTGAAGTATTTGAAGGTATCAACATCAACAACGACGAGAAGTGCGTTATCAAAGTACTCAAACCAGTAAAGAAGAAGAAAATTAAGAGAGAAATTAAGATTTTGCAAAATTTGGCTGGCGGTCCAAATGTAATCGCATTGCTGGATGTTGTCAGGGATCCGAACGTAAGTGAGAAGACGTTTTGTTCTATTATCTAACACGCTTTATAGTCTAAGACTCCATCAAGTATGTTCTCCTATTAGCTACACTCTCAGCTAACATCCTTCAGTTATATCCGAATACATAAACAACACAGACTTCAAACTTCTCTACCCTAAGCTTACAGATTTCGATATTAGATTCTACATCAATGAGCTTCTCAAGGTAGGTATTTTGAAAGCGTATGAACACATGCTCATCAGCTCAGGCCCTTGACTTCTGTCACTCTAAAGGTATCATGCACAGAGACGTCAAGCCACATAACGTTATGATTGACCATCAAAAGAGGAGACTGAGATTAATTGACTGGGGTTTAGCAGAGTTCTACCATCCAGGCACAGAATACAACGTAAGAGTAGCATCTAGATACTTCAAGGGACCTGAACTGCTGGTGGACTTCCAAGAGTATGACTATTCATTAGACATGTGGTCATTAGGCTGTATGTTTGCCTCAATGATCTTCAGAAAGGAGCCATTCTTCCATGGACATGACAACTACGATCAATTGGTTAAGATCGCAAAGGTTTTAGGTACAGATGACCTTTATAAGTATCTCGACAAGTATGAAATAGAGCTCGATAGTCACTATGACGATATACTTGGTAGATATGCTCGTAAACCATGGAACAAGTTCATCAACGCTGAGAACCAACACTGGGTCTCAGCTGAAGCAATAGATTTCCTCGATCACTTACTCAGATATGATCATCAGGATAGATTGACAGCACAAGAGGCAATGGCACACCCATACTTTGAGCCAGTCCGTAATTCTGACATTAGACCATCATAATTTAGCTTTGTATTCAATTCATTCTGGGTAATAGTAAAATTTTCTCATGTCCTGAAAACTTTCATTAAAACTCGAAATCCTGGAAGTCCCAGACTTGTACATCCTCTGTCAAATCACCTATGAGTTCCATGAATTGCTGATGAGATTGATCATACAACATGTCAAAAGTAGAATGTGAGATAACAAAATGGCCATATCAGTGTATGTACTCACAGAATTGTAAATCCTCCCAGAGATTGAATTTCATTACGAATACTTGATGGAAACCTTTTCCTTTTCCTTCAGGTGATTGTTCTAAACCGCCTGTGACAGACCTGATGACGCCAGAGGTATCTCCCAAGGCAAGTAATCTGTGGGCAATTTCCTTGCGTAAGTCCGCATTTACCGTGGTCTTGTATTTGAATGCAACGACGTGTGTAATCATTTTAAGTACTCTGACTTATATAGGCTCTCGAGAGTGCGAATGAGAGAAATGATAATGATGAATAAGAAAATGGAAGATGCCCGATTTCTTCGATTTCCGGTAGTATAATTAGTTAGATATTAGATATTATTTCATAAATTTACTTCGACAATTTCAGTAAGGGCGACTCAAGATATCGTACGTAATGATTTCTTTACTGACTAAATGGTTAGATAGGAGAAGTTGAACAAAACGATGTAAGACGACGACAATGAGATATCACTTCTAATTTCTTCCTTGTCAATTAGCTATTTTAGTCATATATCGCCTAAGTAATATCTTTAGATCTACTTCAGCAGTAAGAGAGGGAGATGTTAGCAATTGAGAGCTTTATAATAGATATACGATATCTGTTTCATTTATGCTTTGTTTTGAGAGTAATACATGAACCCTAGCCAAGTTATAAGACATCAATGGAGAACATGTAGTTATAAGAGATATACGCAATTTTAATAGAAAATCGACAACAGCGAGTGTTCATTATCTCTTGTATTCTATGTAACTGCACCATAGTACCTCAAGCTCTTAGCAGTCGGACAGCCAACGGAAGTGCACTCTTCAGGATATTTTAATATTATAACAAGGTAGACATATTTGAAATATATAAAAATGAGACTATATCAAAGGCAAGGATATTCATGAGTGTCAGCTCCATTTCGGTATAGCATCAATCATTATCGTTTCATCAATGAAATAGACAAACAGTTGTCTCACGCAATAATTATCAAAAGCCACTAAGAATGATCTCACGTTAGCTGTGTATGTATTTATAACCCTTCTTTCGGTTCATTTTGTGTAATTGTCTTTAATGGATACTTTTGCTCAAAATTGGAAGTCTTCATAATCCCAAACAAGTACATCTTCAGATAGTTGACCCGTCTCGCTGTTGAATATTTGGTGAGCATGGTCGTAGTTTTGATCTATTGGGTTTTTAGATGAAAAAACACCACGTTTGTATGCTTACAGAAGTGCAAATCTTCCCATCTCTGAAACTTCAATGTATATATTTGATGGTAACCTTTACCCTTACCTTCTGGTGATTTCTCTAAGCCACCAGAGACGGATTTGATGACACCAGAAGTGTCTGCCAAGGAAAGGAGCTTCCGTGATACATCCTTACGCTGTTCTTCAGTGACAGTGTCTTTGAATCTGAAACCGACGATATGTATGATCATGTTAATGCTTGAAAGTATGAATGAAGGATGATGACATCTGCTAGTCTGTTAACAACCGAGAGATGCCCGATTTCATCGATTTAAGATGTAGTAGTCATGTGAGAGGTATATGAATGTTGTAAAATGTATAAAGGTATTTATATATATCCCATATTAGCAACTATCTCCCATATTTATGAACAGCATAACTACAATAAGGAGTCGCACAAATAGCTGAGTATTCTAGTGTACTACAATAAAACATATATGCGTCTAAATTTTTTTATTTCTCTCTTTTGTTATCTCTAATATTCTTTTCGCCTTCTTCCATCGACTTTGAGCATGGTGAGTGGTGCATACGAGAGATGAGCGCGACTGATTCAAGTATAGCGCCCAATTCTTCTCCAAGGTATTTGGTATATACTCTTATAAGTACCAGCTAATTTTCATTAGGACACGAGCGTTCATTAACGCAGATTATATGTGAGTGAAGATATGTTAGATATGCAAACATCTAACAATATATAGACAATAAAGATGGTGATTTAATCTTCTCTGTGTCAAAAGATCATAGAATAAACGTTTGGTACTCCCACAATGGTGAGAGGTATGCATCCATAGTTAGTAGAGAAGACAGCACTAATAGCAGCGCAGATTAGGTACTTACGAAGGCCACAATGGTACAGTATGGTCTGTATCCGTAGATAAAAATTCAGAATATTTGGTCTCTGGTTCAGCGGATAACACTTTAAAACTTTGGTCTGTCAAAACCGGAGAATGTTTATACACATGGGAGTTCCCAACGGCTATTAAGAGAGTACAATGGTCTAATGATGACAACCGTATTTTAGCAATCACTGAAGAGCGTATGGGATATAAGGGTGCTCTCCGTATCATCGAGATAAATAAACAACAACCAACACAGCAATCAGCTGAACCTAAGCATTTCTTTGAGCCAGCAGGAAGTAAGATAACAGTCGCTGCTTTCACAGCCATCGGCAACGAGGTCGTCACTGGACACGAGAATGGAAAGATAGCAAAATACAACTACGAAGAACAAAAGGAAGTCGCAGCTAGTGAAGGTGCTCATCAAGATTCTATAATGGACTTACAGCTCTCATTAGACCAAACTTATTTCATCACTTCTAGCAAAGATAAAGTGTCCAAGGTGAGTTGCTGTTGTTGATGAGTGTAACAGCTAAAGATCCATCAGCTCTTTGATACAAACACATTAGAAACTATAAAGACATTCTCCACGGATTCACCATTGAATTCAGCTTCAATTGCACCAGGTAGCCCCTACATTATCGTCGGTGGTGGTCAAGAAGCAATGAACGTCACGACAACATCCGCACGTCAAGGTAAATTCGAATGTAGATTTTGGCACAAGGTGTTTGGAGAAGAAGTTGGTAGAGTGAAGGGGCACTTCGGTCCAATCAACACTATCGCGGTACATCCAGAAGGTAAAGCATTTGCTAGTGGTGGTGAAGATGGTTACGTCCGTGTGCACTGGTTTGATGAATCCTACTTCAGAACCAGAGTTTATGGTGATTTAGAGCCTGAGATGGATTAGATTGACAAAAAGAAGTTGTAATTCTCAATGCATTATTTGTAGAACTAAAAGTAGATATTCACTACGAGTTTAAATCGGAATTTATGAAAATGTGCTGTTTCTAGAACTCATGCGGGGCTCCCACAAGATTAGCTGCGCGAGGGGTAATGAAATGAAGGAGTAAGGTAGAGTATTTGAAATAATCTATATATCTATATATCTATATATCTATATGCTTCTAAAGAACATCGCCGTTGGAGGTATGGAGTAAATCAGAATGACGAAAAGTAGTATATATGCTAGTCTTTGAATATTAGTTTGTATAAAATAAGAAACAAACGATTAGTTTATGGTAAATTTAGTAATTAACAAGATTTTTTAATTCAATACATCATCATATCCATGGTGTGGGCTCACCTCATCTCACTCCTCCGGCTTGAATCCAACTGCGACGTCTTGATAAAAACAAAGTGTCTGTATGTCGAGAGAAGAACCAAAGTTAGACTCAGACGGTCCTCCTGAGTTTGTCGCTGCTATTGATACAGGTACGTTTATTTGCTACGTTATGCGGTCAAATCTCACGAATTTCATAGGTACTACGTGGGTTTCTATAGCATTCCATAGTATATCCATAACCTAATAACTCTCCAGGTCAACTCGTTGTATTCTGTTTGACAAATATGGTTCGTACCGTCCTAAATAGTCTAATATTGACTGACGTTTTGCCAAGGTACCCCAACACTCATGCATCAGGTTGAATATCCTCAGCATTATCCATATCCAGGGTGAGTCTATAGTTTTCATCCGCTGCAATATCATTTACACGCTCCTTAGATGGCACGAACAGGATCCACTCGACCTTCTAGAATCTGTATATATCGTCATGGACTGTATAGCAGATAAAATGGAAGCTGCAGGTATTCCATTCGACGCTGTTAAAGCTTTCGGTATCACCAATCAACGTGAGACAACACTCGTATGGGATCGTAAGACCGGACAACCACTTTATAATGCTATTGTTTGGGATGATTCCCGTACGAATACGATGATCAAAGAATTGTCAGGTGAAGAAGGCCCTGATATTCTTAAAGACAAAACCGGTATGCCTCTTACGACATATTTCTCTGGTTTAAAGTTGAAATGGCTGGTTGAAAACGTAGACGATGTCAAAATTGCAATGGAGGAAGACAGACTCTGCTTTGGTACGATAGATAGTTGGTACCTCTACAACCTTACAGGCGGACCTGGTAAAGGTCTTCATTATATCGATATCAGTAATGCTTCAAGAACACTCCTTTTCAATTTGCGTACTTGCGATTGGGACAACTCATTGTTAGACTTCTTCGGATTAAAGTCTTCTATTTTACCTGAAATCAGATCATCGTCTGAAGTTTACGGTAAAATTGATCACGGACCGTTCGTCGACACACCTATCTCTGGTATGCTTGGTGATCAACAAGCTGCCCTTGTTGGTCAAAAGTGTTTAAGAGCAGGTGAAGCAAAGAATACATACGGTACTGGTGCTTTCTTGCTTTTCAATACAGGTGAAGAAGTGAAATACAGTAAGAACGGTTTGATTAGCACGGTTGCATACAAAGCTGGTCCTGACTGTCCAACTCACTTTGCACTAGAAGGTTCAGTTTCTGTCGCTGGTGCTGCTATTACTTGGTTACGTGATAATATGGCACTCATCGACAGCGCTTCAGAGATTGGTGAATTGGCTGCACAAGTACATGACACAGGTGGCGTTTACTTTGTAACTGCATTTGGTGGTCTTTTTGCACCATATTGGGATAGCACTGCTACTGGTACCTTGATAGGTAGGTTTCAGTTTTTACTTAGCCGTATTGTCTAATTGAAATAACCAGGTATGACCGGTTATACCACAAAGGCCCATGTCGCTAGAGCCACACTTGAAGCCGCTTGCTTCCAAACAAGAGCTATCCTTGAAGCTATGAACGCTGATTCAGGTGTTAATATCCATATTCTTAGAGTTGATGGTGGTATGACAAACTCAGACTTAGCTATGCAAATACAATCTGATATCTTAGGTGTTGAGGTCGAACGTCCAACTATGAGAGAATCCACCGCATTAGGATCTGCAATTATGGCTGGTTCTGCACTCAATCTTTGGGGATGGGATGTAACAAAACCAGAAACCTTGGAGAAAGTAAACACAGCCGGTAACGTATTTTTCGCACCACATGATGATACGAAATTACGAACAAGGGTTTACAGACTCTGGAACAGGGCTGTTGAGAGAGCTTCTAAATGGAATACGATAGATTTTGTTCAAGAAGAAGTCGAAGCTGAATTAGAAGAAAAGCTGAAGATTGAAAAAGGTGATGATAATGAGAAAAAGAACGAATCTAGGCAGTAAAATAAATAGCTAATTGAACACTGATTGAACACTCTATCCTAACTGACTTAACACCAAACGAACCCATGTAGAAATCCCGCAAACAAACGTTAACATTACTATAACAACTTGAAATGAATGCATTTAATTTTTGACTCATTTGTTTGTGATGTAATCATTCCGGCTAATCGAGCCTAATCTCCGACTACGATGACTATGTTCAAAATTATTCCAGGTATACAATCATACGATTGGGGTAAGATTGGTAGACAATCTAAAGCTGCTACTTTCGCTGAAGTCTCGATTCCTGGCTTCAAAATAGAAGACAAGCCATACGCTGAGGTGAGATAGTTCTATGAGAAGTTTGTATAGCTAAGTATGTTAGCTATGGATGGGTACACACGATCAAGCACCTGCCTATCTATCTAGTGATCCCTCCACAAAACTCGCTGAGTTCCTCTCCCGCAATCCAGATCAAGTGGGGCAAAAAGTGAAGGACGCTTTCAAGGAAACGACTAGCGACGGTGGACTACCATTCCTCTTTAAAGTTCTCGCTATAGAGAAGGCCCTGAGTGTACAGGCTCACCCTAACAAGAAGTTAGCTGAACAGCTACACAAGGCCCGTCCGGATGTTTATAAAGGTCAGTCTAGATTAGAGAACCAACGATGGCGCTAAACATGCTTTATAGATTCAAATCATAAGGTAAAGACATTTATTTCTCCAGTGACGACATTCTAACAGCTGTTCTCGCTAGCCAGAGATGGCAATTGCGCTTACTGAATTTAATGGTTTCTGTGGTTTCAGACCTAAAGACCAAATTGTCAATTTCTTAGAGAACGTAAAGGAGTTAAGAGCTTTCGTAGAAAACAAACACGTCAATGATCTCAAACAAGCCACCACAGACGAACAAACTAGAGGCGCGCTTAAAAACGTTTTCAGAAACATCATGTCTGCATCTGAGAACAAAATCGCTGATCTCACAAAGGCTATTGTGGATAGATATTCCAATCAATCAGGAGAAGACGTCAGTGATGAGAACGTCTATCTTGTACGTCAACTCGTTTTAACGTTGAACGAGCAATTCCCAGGTGATATTGGTATATTCTGTGCATTCCTCCTTAACGTCGTACATCTCAAGCCTGGAGAAAGTGTGTTCCTCAAAGCTGACGACCCACATGCTTACATTTCTGGTGATATCATGGAATGTATGGCAACATCAAACAATGTCGTCAGAGCGGGGCTCACACCAAAGCTGAGAGATGTTGATACGTTGGTCAATATGCTGACATATGAAAGCGCTACGGCTGATGCACAATTAATGGACACCAAATCACTCGATGGTGCAGCTGGTACGGTGGTATATGATCCACCAATTGATGAATTCAGCGTTGCGAGGGTTACACTCAGCAACGGTAAATCAACAGAACACAGGGCATTGAATGGACCAAGCGTTATTGTCGTTGTCAGTGGATCAGGTTCAATAGAGACTGATAGCCAAACCGAAACATTACGTAAAGGAGAAGTTTTATTTGTAGGAGCTGACACACCAGCCGTAATAAAAGCATCTCCAGATATTGAATTATATAGAGCATTTGTAGAAGTCTAAAAAATTTTATTTTTGAATGAATCAGGCTGATGATGATGCTAGAAGTCGACTCGCCTCACGAAGCTGCGTTGAACGTGAAAAAAATATACCAAATAGAAAATGTCTGGTACATCACAAAACAGATTCTCCACATCGTCTTCACCACCTCACACGAGTTTAAACCCCCCAAATATACAATCTGCGCACTCACGCTCACCAAGTCCAACAACTGGTGCGTATAACAAAACTGCAGCTGCACAATTAGCCAGAAACAACCAAGCTAGGCAGACATTTGGTGCGCCATCCAGAACCCCAGTCAGTCCACGTGTACAGAGACCTGCGTCAGAGATTGCTCAGTCTGCTGGTGGTAATACAGGATGGAATCAGCAACAAAACCAATTACTTGGTTCAGCTCAGCTCCCACCTGGGTCAGCTGGTTTGGGTATGAACACTCCAGACACACTCGACCAATGGTTTGAAAATCTCGGTAGCTACGAAGACACTTTAGAAGAAATGGCAGCTGCCTCACTTGATCAGAACTTTAAGGAGGAGTTGGTTGCTATCGAACAATGGTTTAGAGTTCTCAGTGAAGCTGAGAGAACAGCTGCCTTATATTCTCTCTTACAACATTCATCACAAGTACGTGTTTTTAATTTAATCTTAAGTGACAACAACTAATAAGCCTTTTAGATGCAAATCCGCTTCTTCATTACAGTACTTCAACAAATGAGTCGCTCAGATCCAATATCACAAGCACTTTTTAGTCCTTCAGCTGGCGCAAACCTTGACGGTCAAATTGACACAGAGTTGTCTAGAATGTCATTGAAATCTCCACATTTGGCTGCTGTATCGGGTATATCAGCAAAGAATTCACCAAATTTAGCTGCAACAACTGCTATCAATCGTCAGTCATTAGCTGCAGGTGAATATCATTTATCACCAGAAGATGCTTTGAGCGCACATAGACAAAGGTTTAACTCAAAGAGAACTTCAGCACCAGGTCATTTACCTGGTCCTGGTACGATCGGTGCTGGGTCATCGACAGATAATCTTAGATCACCAAATTGGCAAAGAGGTTCTGGTTTGGAGCAAGTACAAGAAAGACGCTCTCCAACACCTTCTGCTAATTCTGAAAGACCAAAATCTTCAGATTCTAGCTCATTCGTTAGATCTGATTCTATTCAGGATTTAAATGATGATCAAGCTTTAGCTATGGCACAAGCTAATGCTAACATATCTTCACCTTTGCAACAATCTGCCAATTGGTCTTCAATGGTTAACACCCCTTCAATTGGTAATTTCTCAATTAACCAAAATCAAAATCAAAATCAATTTGATACTGATTTACAAAATTGGTACGCCAACGTAACCAATAGCGGTAATAATAATAATGCAGTTCGTTTGGACGATGCTCGCAAATTCCGTCGTCAATCTAGACAGTCGGTTAATTATGATGATGTTACATCTGCACAAGATGATTACAACGGTGTATTGAACAACGGTTTATTAACACCAGGCGGGACGTCTGTAGGAAACAATCAAACTAACCAGAATTTACAACAATTGTTAGCACAACAGCAACAACTTATCAATAGTTTATCCTCACCTGGACAAGTGAGTGCACCAACTTCACCAAATCCAGGTAACCCAATTTTGGCATTACAATTACAAAGTTTACATCAACAACAACAATTATTGCAACAGCAACAACTCGCACTTGGTAGACTTCAACAGCAACAGAATGTAAGAGCAGGACCAGGCTTGGGTATTTATGGAGGTAATAATTCAACTAATGGAAGTAGATTACCTTCACCATATAAGCAATCTTTCAATCAACAGCAATTAGGTATACCACCAAATCAACAAGGAGGAAATAAGAGATCTATATCGAATCAATCAAGACAACGTAATAATACCACGAACAATGAAGATGAACTTGATGAAAGAGTTTTAAACGATGTTGCAACTTGGTTAAGAGTTTTAAGATTACACAAGTATACAACGAATTTCCAAGATTCAAACTGGAAGGAAATGGTCGCAATGTCTGGAAACGACCTTGAAGCTAGAGGTGTAGCAGCTGTGGGCGCTCGTAGAAAGATGCTCAAAGAATTTGAGAAGGTTAGAGAAAAGTATGATATACCAGCAACACCTGAACAGGAAGCTGAAATGAAGGAGGAGAAGGAAAAAGCTGCCAATCCTACTGCTAGCGGTAATGAATAACATGTTTCATTTGAGTAAATTACAATATTTCTTCACGTTTTAAAATAAATTTTATATGCTTTTTGCTTTCTATTTGTATATGGTTTATGATATCTTTGAATTTTTTACTCTCGTACGCGCTCTAAAAATAACGTCATCACGGGCTTAAAAAATTTTAGCTTTGTCACGCCCAAATTTAGTCAGCTTAGTCAGACTAAACTCCGGGGACAGGAATCTAAGCAAAATTATGCGAAAAGACGTAAAAGACGCATTTCGATACATAAATGTGACATGACTTCGGTTATAACCGCTCGCTATATTACTCCACGAGAGTGTGAATATTCAAAGGGTAAAATCTGCCCTAAAGTACTGTACAAATTTGTTTTCAAAGATAATTTTTACATACAATACTATTGTGCAACAATCTAAGCCAAGAATTAAGGACGTTACTCCGAATTATGATGATCTATGGAACTCCTAGGAGAGGTCCTCATATGTAAAAATTGCTCTGTTGTCCGCCAAACGTAAACACTTTTATAAAGTAATTTCTGGTATGTTTGCTCCATATTTATCCTATATGCATGGTGCGTAGTCTATGAAATCATAGGAAAAATTCGATTGTCCAGGGTAATCATAGTCTGCTCCTTCGACAGAAACTACGAAGAATGAAATCAGATATCACAGACAGTATTAGTAATAGTTACAATCAACCTGCAGGTCCATCCTGGTTAGACCAGCGTTATTTAGTCTGGAAAGAATTTGGCAAAAATCAGCACACTTCAGAAAGCAGCTCCTCAGAAGATGACGAAGAGGATACAGATAAAGGCGTAAAAGAAGCTATACAGGGATACACTCAACACAAGAATTATGTTATAGCATGGGGTTCTCCCCTCTGCGATAAGACTCGTTGGCCTATAGTGTCTAGAAAGTTTATACACTTCTGCCAGTCTAATGGCTGGACCTGTGTATGGACCTGTGTAGAGTCAGAATTCGAGCATGTACTCGCAGAAGCTGAGCTTAATTGGTCTAGTTTGTCTTGCATACGTCAGGTGAGAAACTTTTACTTTTTGCTTACAAATGCTTACAGAATGTTAGGATATTGTAGATCTCACACATGTCAACCTTACACGTTCAAGAGATGTACGCAACAACGTCCGTAGATCGAATAAAGCAGGTCTGGCTGTGCAGGAAGCACTCGAGATCGTCGATGCGGATAAAACAGCAGTAGAGCAAGGTATACATGATTGGAAGAAGAAGCGTACAGGATTACAGATCGCCACCCAAGATTTGCAGCCCTGGGTTGATCTCAAACATCGTCGTGTTTTCTATGCCCGTCATCTTGAATCCGGGAAGGTGAGTTCTTATATGGTTCTTAATCATAACCAATTAACAGTTATAGATTTGGGGTTTCACTGTAATTGCAAAAATTTCGCAAAATTGCCAACAAATTGAACACTCAGTGACTTTTCCAAACGCCCCACGCGGTATCAGTGAGCATCTTCTTCATGACGTCCTTGAAACTCTTCAATCGGAAGGTACACTTTACTGCAGTTTCGGAATAAGTGCGGCCGATAAGCTCGTACCTACAAATAATCTTAGTAGCATGCGAATGGCTTGGTTATCAAAGATGTACAATTCTATAGTTGCAGCAACAGGCCTCACTAATAGAGGTGCATTCCGCGAGAAATTTGATGTCGATCATCAACCACTCTTTATCTGCTACCCTAAAGGTAAATTTGGAACAGAAGCTTTGAATGCCCTCATGAAGAGTGTGCATACAAAGTAATTTTTACAGTTATGTTTTCATTGCCCACTTTTTAATTCGGATAGATTTTGACACTCCACTCTTCACAACTATAAATATACCCCAAACTAGATTACGACTTAAAAATATGGTTATACATAATTTCTACATTATAATAGTCTACATGGTCATATATCCTGCTGAGTAGCTGACACTTGAGTCAGTTGGTAAGAGCGCCTTAGATGATTGTGTGTAGTGTGTCCATTTGACACTACCACTTGTGTAGTCACGGTTTGCATGATGGAGAGCACCTAGAAGTATGCCAAATGCATGCCTCCCGCAAATTGTATTGCCAGTCTCACTCAGGTATTTTGTAAAACTTTCATGTGTTTGCTTGGGGTCTTTGAGTGCTTCACTGAGTATATCCCAAGCTTCATGGTCTAACCCTGAGATGGACTCATGTATAGAGTCACCAGTCTCATCAACATCATCAAATTTGCCCAACCTGCCTCCTGGCTCATTTCTCGATGGGCGATAATACGTGTATCTAAATCTAGAACCCCTGTAGATTATTAGTTTTGTTATTCTAATAAGAACGTGCTCACCAATGACTGAAATCAGAAGATATTGCAAACAATGTCTCAGGATCATTGATATACTTTGCGAAATACTTCCCGTACTCGACTTCACGTTCGTGAGAAATATTACCAACGAGTATTGGAACAATCTTGATATCATGTCTGTTAATATTATTAGTGAAAATGTTCAAAAGAAAACTTTTGACAAACTCGTTAGCTAATTTTTTAATAAAAGGTGTGTGCATTTCAAAGCTATGTTCATCCTCATCCGTCACTTTAGACATTCTTTTAAACGCCTTTGTAGATGAAAGTTCGTCATTTATCTCCTTATCTATTGAGAGTGTACCTAGTGGTGTATCGTACGCATCAAAAGGGGATAAAGCGCACGATTTCAAGTAAACATGATGACTAGGTCCTAGTATAATAATACGCTTGTATTGTGAGATATTCGCAGCAGAGTATGCATAAGCTGCCGTTCGACCAGAGAAACTTAGACCAGCGTGACTAATATGGTAGTTAGATGGATACTATCGTTGTACTGACTATACTGACGGTGCAATAATCACTTTAGATCTGCTATTATTGTGGATACCATCGGAGATGGCATCATCAAACCAATGTTGAAGTTGTTTATTTAATTTAATTGCTATGGTATATTTAATGTGATAATCACTAGATGTATTTTACTCACAATTGTCTGTATACCATGCCCCTGCATGAGTCGGTTCTCTGATATTTTGCATGATGGTAGAGATGATAGAGAGATGGTAGTAGATAGAAAGAGATAGGATAAAAATATGGTCTGTATCTCATGCCATCTCTCAATAAATACTCCTTCTTCAGTCACTATCAGGATGACACAAGATGTACTCGAGAAATACACAGAATTGTTAGCAAGTAAATCCCACAATCTTGTTAACGGAGATGAAGAAATAAAGAAACAATCTCTATTAACATCTAAGCACTTATTCGATAGAGGTAAGTTTTATCAAATATGAGAAGAAATCATTTAACAACCTAATAGGCTTACGAGATGAAGAAAATAGTTTTAAACATATAAACGATATACTAGAAACTTTTAAAGTTCCTTCAACTGTTATAGAAACTCGTCAAAAGAGAAAGAGAGACGAGGAAGCACCTTCAATGAAGATTGAACCAACGCCTTTAGATGAACTCTTCATCGATGGCTTCACTAATGATCAGATTTATCACCAATTAGACCTTAGAGCGAGCGTTATATCTTCTTTAGTTGAGAAGTTAGTCGACGCTTCAGATGCTACCGACATACCAGAAGACGACGACGACGACAACGAGAGTGATGATAGTATAAACAATAATATTGAAGACGAAGAGGATATCGATTTGGATAATCTCTCACCGGAAGAAATTCAAGCACTCAAAGACGAAGGTCTTCTCGACGATGATGAGGATGACGAGGATGACGAGGACGACGAGGAAGAGAACAGTGAAGACGAAGAGAGTGAATCAGAAGATGATGATGATCCTACAATTGGTGAAATCAGCTATCAACAACTCAACGACGTTGACGGAAACAGCGATAGTGAGGACGATGAGGATGATACAACCACCACCAAGCAAAAAGCGCCTAAAAAGGATGTTTGGGGCTTGGATGATGCTTTCTTTTCTATAGATGATTTCAACAAACTCACAGAAGATCAAGAAATCAACGATCGTCTTAGATCAAGGTCAACAGATGATGATGATGAAGATGACGAGGAAGAGGAAGACGTTGATATCTTCTCAGCCGATGCTGCAGCTCAACTTGAGAATGACGATGAGAACGCTAATGATATCTACTTCAATGACTTCTTCGCCCCACCTCGTAAAGGATGGTCACACAACGGTAAACCAAGTTACTCACTCTCAGATCCTCATCCAACTACGAAAGAAAAGAGTAAACAAGACAAGAAGAAGAAAGAGAAAAGAAGGTCATCTGTTCGTTTTGATGATTCCGTAAAGGTACAGAAGATTAAGAACAAGAGTGAGTTTAATCAGTTTGATGTGATATTTAGCTCATTTTATCCTAGGTAGAGGTAGTATGCGTGATGATGATGACGAAGAAGACGAGGATGAGGATGATGGTGACGAGGTCGTTTTAGACGAAAATGATCTTGTTGATGGTGACATACTCGATGAAGATGCTCTTGGTGAAAGTGTAGGCAAATTCGACGATGAGGAGATGGAAGAAGAAGAAGAAGAAGAGAGTGAAGAAGACAATGGCGAAGAGGATGAGGATGAAGAAGATCAAGATGACCAAGCAGTTGGACAGCAAACAATGGAGAAGTTCAACTCTGATCTTTTCGCTGAGGAGGAAGAAAATGATGAGGATGCTGATGAAGGTAGGTAATTTTTATGTTATCCTTTACAGTTGGCTTTAACAATCTCGCAGCTCCAGCATCTGCTCACGGTCGCAGAAGAGCAGCACTCGCACGTCAAATTGCTGACTTGGAAGATGAAAATGTCGCTGATAAGGAATGGACTCTCAAGGGTGAAGTTACATCAAAGGCCAGACCAGAAAACAGTCTTCTAGCTGAAGATCTTGATTTTGAAACAACAGCTAAAGTAGTGCCGGAGAACACTGAAGAAAAGACACAAAGCCTTGAAGATTTGATAAGAAAGCGTATTATAGAGGAAAACTTCAATGACGTTCAAAGGGTTAGCCAAGTGGATGATAAACCATTCCTTCCTTCTAGGTTATTTGAATTGAGTGATCAGCAATCCTCACAAGGTTTGGGTGATCTTTATGCCAACGAGTATGCAGGAACGTCTCAAAACCCAGACGACAAACTTGCTAAAGAACACAAGGAAATTGATGAAATGTGGAATCAATTGTCAAGTAAATTGGATGCGCTTTCTAATGCCCACTTTACACCAAAGGCACCAAAAGCTACAATTGAAACAGTTTCTAACACTCCATCAATTAGTCTTGAAAATGCCTTACCTACTGCTCAAAACAGCTCTACTGTTGCTGCACCAGAAGAGGTTTATAGTGCTAACAAATTTGGTAATGTCGCTAAAGACGAAATGACACCAGAGGAGAAACGCGCACAACGTAACAAGATCCGTAAGAGTCGCGCCAAGGATAGACAGAAGATTGCATCCGTCGTTGATGATAAGTCTCGTAAACAGAGAATGACTGTAGCAGATGAGAAGAGAGAAGCATTGAAGAAGTTAACCCAAGGAAAGGGTGTAACTGTCGTTGGTAAAGGCAAAGTTGATAATAAGAAGAAAAAAGGAAATAGTGAAACAGGAAAGAATGCAGCAGGGTTGAAGTTGTAATTTAAAAAGTTAATTCTATAGAAACTATTTATTCTACATTTTGTTTAAGACTAAGCTAATTGGTGAGAATGGTAGGAGTGGCTTAGTGAATAATCCTGCTTGATTCACTTCATCAAATGCATAAATCGATGTATTTGATAACCATAATATTACCCAAACATATGAGAGTGATTTGAATGCTCTTGACTGTGAGATATTCGACGGTATAAGTGGTAATACTTTAGATTGGAAAACTTTTTCAAGTAATATACCAATTGGTTGGATTGAGAATGATATAAGGGCACCTTTACCGGCTCCAGTAGAAAAATCACCACGATGTAAAGACAAAGTGAGTAAACTATGAAACAAACCACTAACGACGAAAGTTACGATCATGCCGAAGATGGTTGGTAATCTAAGAAATCGTACAATACCTAGTGATACGCCAACGAAAGGTTTCTTCCAATTGCCATGCCAGAGTGTTGACCAATAGGTCGCGATTGTCGTCGCTTGTGAAATGCTACCAAACTGCGGTGGACACTCCTTCGTAGAGCTCAAATTGAGTAATACGCAAGGTATAACCATAGATGAATAACTCATTTCGATCAGCTGCCAGAGGTGCACACCATGAGCTAAGCCAGCTAGATGACGTAGAGGTGTCCCAAGAGACATCTCACCCATTAAGCGAGGTGGTACTGTAAAGAAACCAGCAGTCCGTAGGAAGGCATCTATAGAATCCATTAAAAGGTATCTCCAAATGATATTAGTCATGTGTCCTGTGAGGAAGTTCATTTTCGTAGTATTGACAGCTTTTGGTGTCTTTCTTGACTCCCAATTCCAGTTTATGCCTCTAAATGTACTCCAGAATGCTATTGAATACTTTAAACGCTCGGTGAAGGTCCTTGGAGGCGTAGGCGAGGATGTTCTAAATAAGGTCTTGTGCGGGTCACCAGAGAAGAGCAATGTGTCGATTGCACGCAATGTTAATCCTATATTGACATTAAATGGGTAGAAAGAGCGCAATTATTCTCACCTATCGCGTGGCTAGGCATACCGAATCTGTGTCCGGGGGAATCCTCTATGTGCGTACAGCACGTACGATATATATATACACAAACGAGTATAATAAGTGGTAATATAATGCTTCTATTAACAAATTTGAGCGTCCGTGGAGATAATGGGAGCGCCAGACTTGTTATACAAAGTGTAATTATTGAGAAGTATCCCAATACGACACTAATTGGTATAGGATATCGCTCGTGAATAATACGGGTATTATTTGGTGTCATTATGTCGTTTATTTTGGCATATAAACCTCCTAATATGCTCGTGGCTGTCATAAGTGATGATGTAAGTTGTCAATCGAGCTGTGTAAACACTACGTGGTCGTCAAGAAAACGGAATTTTTGAACGTACGAAAGTCTAATCAATCAATCGCGATAATTTATAAAAGTAAAACTAAAATGTGAATTTTTTCAAGAGCTTAAATTTGGTCTCAATGAGAAATCCCTTCTTTAACGCAAAAAGGAATGACGCTTCAAAAAGTAAGTTTCATTCTTAGAAAGCATATAGAATACAATCTAATGTATAATAGGCGCTGGTTGATAGATAGCTCCTTCGGTTGAGCAGTCGATAATCATGTCCAGTCGTAATTGCGTCAAAGAGCCAACGACAGCAACGGGACTTGGGTGACGCGACAAACGGTAGACCTTCGCGTCTCACCGCATGATTGTATGCGTCAATGTCCTGTGGCACATTCTACTATGAGTTTTGTATTTTTAAGAGTATTTCATGTAAGAGTTGTTTTAAAAATTTAAACCAAGATTATATTTGTTTGCTATGTGTCTATTATTCTTTATATAACTATTGATAGATTCCCCTGTTAGTCCCTATCAATCACCACTATGGAAGCATTAGTGCCATTCACAACATCCGGGCAGCTTTTAAACTGCGTAGATAGTTAGTATAGAATATATATCATAAACTCTCACTAAATAACAAAAAGAGAAGATGTTGGTCGCCCTACGGGATGGTAGAAAGATAATTGGGGTTTTGCGGTCATTCGACCAATTTGGTTAGTCTTATAAGGCTATATAGAGAATAAAGCGTATTAATATACCATTATCACAGCCAATTTAGTCCTAAATGATGCAGTTGAGCGAATACACGCCTTAAACGAGTATGCGGATATTCCGCGTGGTATTTTCTTGATCAGAGGTGAAAATGTAGTTTTGATGGGTGAAGTGGTTCGTATTTGATTCTATTATAACTTCACACTCTTACATACTCTCAAGGATTTAGATACAGAGGACACAATACAACTCAAGCAAGCACCTATTGAACAAGTCCTTCAGAAATCACTCCAGTTGGACGAAGAGAGAGCTATAAAGGATAGTATAAGGGATGAAATATTAAAACAGCGTGGATTTTGTACAGAAAGGGTTGAAGGTGATGTTGACGTGCATAGGTATGGACATTCACCTTATAATATCTAAATGCCTCTTTATTAGATTGTTATTATTAAATTTATTTTGTAATTTCATTATCTTTGACTCAAAGCTTGATTTATTTACTTGTAATTTATACTCGAATAGCTTCTTCCAGCCTGTATGTCTATTACATTGGCTATCTTTGAGGATACATAGTAATTGATCATCTGTGGGCGATATATCAGATATACTATCAATGTCGAATTCTATCCATTCATCATCGTCCATTAGTAGTCTATAATCGAATCCACAATAACCCCTTGATTGCTTGGGTTTCGTTGCTTTTGGTCCCCTTTTACTTGTTGGTTGATCAGCTGTATCATTCACAGATTGTAGACTATTTGTAAGTGTGTTCGCTCTATTGATGACAGTTTGAAGAAACTTTTCTTGCTTTTCTATAAGAGAGATATTACTGCTAAATTTATTTATACTTGCTTGTATGGTATCATTCTTTCTAGATAACTTCTCCAGTTGATATTCAATTGATTGTCTTAAGGACGTCATTTGTCTATTCTCCTCATCAAAGACAATCCAAGGGAGCTTATTATAATTAATGACCAATGGTATAACCATTTCAATTGAATCAGGGTGTAAATTATATTGACGTAATTTCAGACTCATGAGATAAATTCCACAAGCATCTGAACAATATACAGATACCGGTAATCTACTCGCATGTGTACAACCTTCTCGTTGACATTTTACCCTCCAACTCGTCTTCTGGCCTGTTTTCTCTTCACATTCTTTGCATACGAATACGTCAACTAATTCATCGTCCCCAGCTTCCATACCGATACAATCTAAATGATACCAAGTTTCGCAGCTGCTTTGGTTATTTATCTAGTAGAAAACTCTTATCAAACCTACCCTTCACATAATATCATAGGTAGACCTTCTAATCCATTAGATTTACATATGCAGTGTAAAACTTCGTCCTCTTGTTCATTATCGGAAGAATAATCCATTTTTATTTTTTATTATCTATTTTAAGTATTTTTATTTAAATTGACGCGTTTGGTTGACTTGACAGTTGCTGTCAGCTCGTCGACCTACATCCACTAGACTGATATGCAAAATTACATACAGTTAGAGAAGTTAGGTGAAGGTACATACGCTTCCGTACACAAAGGTAGATCTAGACTCACGAATGAGATCGTCGCTTTGAAAGAAATACACCTCGATGCGGAGGAAGGTACACCTTCAACAGCTATACGTGAAATTTCCCTTATGAAAGAACTCAAGCATCCAAATATTGTTAGATTACATGACGTTATACATACAGAAACCAAACTCATGTTGGTTTTCGAATACATGGACCAAGACTTAAAGAAATACATGGATAGTCATGGTAATAGGGGCGCACTTGAACCAAATACAATTAGAAGTTTCATGTATCAGCTCATCAAAGGTACTGGTTTCTGTCACGAGAATAGAGTACTTCATCGCGATCTTAAACCACAGAATTTACTCATAAACAAACGCGGTGAACTAAAATTAGCAGATTTCGGTCTCGCGAGAGCATTTGGTATTCCAGTTAACACATTCTCAAACGAAGTCGTCACTTTGTGGTACAGACCACCAGATGTTTTGCTCGGATCAAAGACATACAGTACAAGTATTGATGTATGGAGTGCTGGTTGTATTCTCGCTGAGATGATCTCCGGTGTACCACTCTTCAGAGGTAGAGATAACAATGATCAATTGAACGCTATCATCAAGGTCGTTGGTACACCATCAGATGACGTCTTGCGTAGAATTGCAGCAGAGAGTCCCGAAATTCAGCTCAGAAACTTCCCGCGTTACCCTAAAGTAGCATGGCAAACTCTTTATCCTACAGCCCACCCGTTAGGTAAGTATTGTTGCTCTTAGTGCGATAACTCTAACCAAGACATCCACAGCCCTCGATTTACTTGACAAACTCCTTCAATTTGACCCAATCAGAAGGTTAAGTTGTGAGGATGCACTCAGACATCCATACTTTACTGCGGCATTCAACGATCCTGCATACCTTGTAAACTAATGATTTAATAAATGCAGATATCTCTATCTAATCACACTGAAGAGGTTTAATGTACTATTGAAAGGCTGTTGACCCTATTCGGCATTTCTACCTGTCAATGATCGATACACCGGTGAAAGTGAATATTGATTTTGCATATTCATCGGAAATATTCATTATCAAGCTCTTGGAATGCTTATCTCATCCTAATAGACTTAGATATTATCTTCTTCGTCAATTTGATGGGAAGTATGTTTTTCACTTAAATTACGTCGATCAAAGCGTGATATTTTAATTAAATCGGGTAAACAGTATCAGCGGGTATTACAACTTCACTATCCGATTCTATTCTATCTAACTGTGAGTAAATAAAGAAATTTAGCACGCATCCCGAGTGTATAGAGCATTTAGACGCGTAAAAAACGAAATCACCATTTATCTTGTTGCGACTTCATACATTCTACACTAATGAGTCTAAACTGTTATTGATAAAGTAGCTCATTGAAATATTGATCACTTCGGCGAATTCCTTGAAAGTTAACACATAATGTTAAGTATGGAGTTGAGATAAAAAATTGATAATCACAGACACTAAATTGTACAATGTAGGAGTACTCTCAATTCCCTCTTCCATCGTACCAAGGCGTGATTGGGAAGTGTCATATGCTAAATTCTTAAAAGATTACGCATGCATCGGATTTATTCCAGTTTAAAATGTATGTCATATGAATAGATGTGATGCGAGTTACGTTATACATACATACAGCTACATTTATGAGATCAACTGTATCTTCCCTTTTACACATGAACAAATGTCTCAGAATTTCCCATACATCACAGACGTTACTCTCTGCACCACTGGATATGCTTCGTTAATGTTTCGATTATTTGAATGAGCTCTTTACTGGCATATATAACCATTGTCACTATAGTAAACCCCCAGCAGATCTCTATGCGTAAAAAACTTAAATGTATCAACAGTAAAAACTTGAAAATAGTACAACGAAAATAAATGGTAGACCTTAAAACATAATGTATTATTATTAATAGAGTATTAGAATACCACAACCTAAATCAGTCATCGTGAAGTGAAGTAATTAATCCCATTGAGCTTATTTTTTCTTAAAGTCCAATGAGACGGTTGGAAGGGTGAAGTATGAACTGTCTGGGGTCAAGAGACCAGCAAGGCAAACATACCATCTAGAAAATCATCAGAAAAGCCTTGTTTTACGAGATTATACGTACGCGTTGAATGCAGTGATACATCCGATTACACCACCTGCTTTTTTAGTGCCAGTGCTTCCTGTGAATTCTGCAGCAGCGAGCAAGATAAAGGTAATCGTAAGGAAGAAGAAAACTTGGAGAATCTCAGCAAGACAAAGACGACATGGATGATGACTTACCACCGGAGAGTGCGACAGAGGATCTGTGTGAAGCAACCAAGAAGATGAAGGTGACTGTATTTGTGTTAGCTATATTTTTAATGGTGCCTTTGGTAACTTACTGATGAACCATCCGATCAGGAAGATACCAAGAGCGGAAGCCAATTCCTCTTCGGCACCCTCATATGCTGCTTCAATTCCGAACCAAGGGATATAAATAACTCCGTATGATCTATTTTACGTCAGATTTCGGACTTTCAAACAAAGAAATTCTTACAACCAGAAACCACCGTAAGTTGAGAATGCAGTAGCAGCGAAAGTGTTACCAGTGGTGAATTCCCACATACCTGGAAATGGCCGATCAGTTACTTTTCGACAAAGAAATGATTTTTAACTTACCAGCCAAAAGTTGTGTTAAACCACCGTAGAAGAGTGCCGGACCGACGACAACATTTGGAGCGCTAATACCTCTAGTGGAGATGTTATAGAGGCTATTTAAGCGTCAACAAACGGCTTCTTGTTAAGAATCTACTCACGAAAGCATGAAAGTTGTAGTTGCGAAAGATGCGAGACTATTCGCGTGTATCGTCAGCCTAAACCAATGAGAAGACAGCTAAACATACCCGAGTGGAGAAGGATTAGCAATCTTTCTGTGGAAGATTGGGAAAGCTGGCTAAATGCTATTAGCTCGTTTCTTTAGCTAGCGAATTGGTACACACTTGTGAGCTGTCCGCTGGGTGACCACCTGGGGTAATAAATCTAGCAATGTTGGCCTAATATACTATTAGAAAACTTTTGTAACGTCTTCTCACGTACGTTTGCATTTGGGTCTCCGTTTTTGAAGCCTTGGTCGTTTGGAATTCCTTGTTCTGCTGTGGACATTGTGATGGTAGTGATTAAAGAGTATGCGAATTTATTTATTTATTAAAGCGTAATGCGAAGCTGATCAAGCGAACCCGAATAATCTTCTTCTTTATTAAATTTGTGTAACGTGACCTACGATGTTTTATCTTTATTCGCGACTCAGGTTAGTGTGGAAGAAAAAAAAAAACAGGCTAATTTAGTCTAAAGAATGTCAAATATTCCGCTAATTATGGTAAGCTTTATTACTCCTAAATATGCACTCCGGGCTTTGATCCAACGTCATTAATAAGCTTTGGCCTGTCAAGCGGGTAAACTTATTCATCGGAGAGCGTCAAAAGACAATGTAATGTTACTATTTTAGTGTACAATGTATTAAGGAAGCATTATGTCACATAAAATTATTCCGTTATTAAAAATGCATGTATGTTCTTATGTATGCAGGGAATTGGGGAACTTGCATTAGCGTCTCACTCCAAGTTACTTCACTTTCACAAATCTGAACTTGTACCCCTCGATAGCGACGGATTCACCGGACTAAGAAAATGTCAGCCAGGCCTTGCCAAGCGGTCACGCTTACCTTTTCGTCGTAGTCACTCCATTCACCATCGAGTGTGACATCCTCGAACTTAGTATCACTGAGGGAACTAGTGCATATGTAGTTGTCGTCTCTGAATATAATTCATTAGAGTACTAGCAAATAGCCCTAATTCGAGACTAACCTCGCTTCAAATCCGATTGGTTCGAGGTTCCTGCATTCTAGTACCAACCAACTCTTGTAACTGTGATTTTCGATATCTTCTACATTTACAGCTGAAGCGCCCTTGTTCTCCACCTTTGCGTGTGCGCTTTTCTGAAACTCTACGTCAGCAACGCTAGGTCTGCTGAGGAAATATCACACACCCCGCAAAATGAGCACTTGAAAACCAAATTCGCCGTATTACCCTCCTTGGTGTTCGGTAATTGATCTTCTTCCTACGACTCTGTTAATTCAATCTTGTAGTGTAAATCCACCCACTGAAGGAATGATTGCGATTGTCTTTGGGTGAACCTCGTGGCACATTGTACATTTTATCTAGCATTTATTAGATTCCACCATCTATGACCTTCTACTACCCACTTGAAGCCAGAATTGGTGATCATTGAAATCTGCTGGTTGGACATTTGAAACATTCTCACCCTCGATAAGCACTTGTAAATCTAATTTCTAATACATTGCTCTATTTAGAATGTAATTTTCGTATTATTAACGCTCGTACTCACAACCATGGCGCTCTCAGTTGAAAGAAATTCACATCAAGAAGAAATATATAATTTACATTACAAAAACAAAAAAGTATCTTTAGCTGTTCCATCCTCTGGAGTTATCCCAACTTGCTGTTGAGGCATCTCCGGATGTGTTCCAACTGTCACCTTGAGTAGGCGCGCTATTGTTCCACCCCTCACTACCTGGAGCTTCCCATGAGCTGTTATTGTTCCAATTTGCATTTGCAGCTTGAACGGCTTGTGCGGGCGTGCGACCACCGTGATTTATGGCTGGAGTGCGACCTCCATGGTGAGGAGTTCGACCACCTCCCCACCCAGCTGCTGGTGTCCTGTTTCCACCGCCCCATGCAGATGCTTTACCTTGGGCGGGTGTTGCACTCCAGGTTCCTCTTGCAGGTGTGCGCGCGCCAGTTGCAGGTGTACGACCTCCGGCGAAAGGCGTCTTTCCTCCATTCGCTAACCTACTACGAGGATTCTTCAGTATGTCCGCATATTGCAATTTGAAGGCACGGCAAAGATCCGCGACTGTTGGTAATTGTGCACCATTGAGAACATACATTCCAGGTGTCACCTGTACACTCCATCTATTGAGTGCTGATTTGGCTGAGGCCATGAAACCCAACACAAAGCTTCCAGGATCTTTTCTATCAAGACAGAACGCGTAATTGCTACGATCGATATTGGCCTTAACGAAGTCATGAAGGTATTTAGCTGTAACAAACTCATTAGTAAGCCACTTCGTCATGATTTAAATACATACCCATGTCATCTTCAGTAGGTCCATGATACTTCTCATGATTAATTAGTTCTTCGACTTTACGAACCATCGGTTGTACGTGCATGACCAACATTTCATCTAAATCAGTGTATGTTGCGTTACCGATTCTGAGTAATCTACCCAATGACCATTCGTTAGCTTTGTCAATTTCAAGGACATCGATATGTTGATATAAGTCCTCATCAACTTTCCAAGTAACGACCAAGTGGTCAGAACCCTTCGAGCTTGGTCGTATAACTACTTCACCACGTGGAACACCTTCAAGGAGTTGTTCAGCTTGTTCGGCTGAGAAGTTATGGAAATTTGGATGATCAACAACTCTAGGCGCTCTATTTGCTTTACTTTGCTTTCGTCTTTGAGCACTTTCACGATCTTCCATTGCTTTAATTGTATCATAGTATTCATCTTCCGCGACAATCTTTCTATATTCAGGTGCCATCGCGAGATCTTGAGGACGTGTAGATAATTCCACTTGGAAAGTATCATAATCTATATTGAGAACCATACCTTGAACAGTCGTAGCCTTAGGGAATATGCTATCCATACGACGATCAGGATCACCTTCATCAGTGGCATATACCGAGCTGACGAAAGCATCAACGCCTGAATCTAATCTGAAGTATGCAAATTGTGGTTTAGTTGCTTTGACGACTGCAGGTACAACTGTACCAGGTGAGAGTGTCTGATCAGTTTCACCAGTGAGTGCAGTAAAGATATCCTTATTTTCAGGTGTCTTGAAGTCGTCTCTATCCTCACCGAATGGGTTCAACAACTCATCTCTAATCAAATTCAAAGTTGATCTCTTGTAATCGCCTCTAAACTGCAACAGATTGAGTGCGTAATCGTCTAAATTCAATTCATCAAGCTTTGATTCATTTTGCTTATCATCAATGAGTTGCTTAACGACAGCTGATTCATGTTGACCTTCAAGATCCTCTTCATCGAGTTCTAATGCATCCGATGCCATTTTCCTCGCCAACTCGTAATCTTCTGGGTGTATTCTAGTTTGATCGAGTACATCTGGAAGTTCATCACCAACTTTAGAATCAAATTCTTGAGTAATCTTGATGAATGCGACTGCGTTTGTGAATTCCTTGAGATACATGAGATCTGGATGAGCAAGTTCGGAGCGATTAGTGATGTAACCTCCCTAAAAATTCGTTAGAGGGCTTCTCTGAATCATAAATCATCAACTCACCCTAGCAGCGATTCTTCTTACCAACGCTTGTGCTTTACGTGGACCCAAACCAGCGACGAATTGCAAAAGATGTTGGTAGTGAGTATCGCGTACAGCAATGTTGATATCGACACCAATGTGATTGACAGTGTTAATGAACGCCTTCTCCATTGCTTGGAGGAATTTGACATTAGTCAATAATCTCTGATCAGGATCGATAGCAATAGCGGTGACATCTTCACCTAACGCTGCGAATTCGTTCAATGGACTTTGAGCATATCTAGCTAAACCGACACAGTATTTACCAGTCAAAGGTAATTCACCGAATTCAAGTTCAGCACGTTTTGAATGTTGGTAAATACGTGCAATATCATCGTTTACGAAAATTACGGGTGTACCGGATTCAGGATTGATTGTTGGTTGTTGTCCTTCATCCGTTACCATTGGTTCACCCCATTCATCAACTTGGCTGTTAGGATCTATTTGTTCACCTGTTTGTGTCTTAACGAGTTCAAGTACACGTTGGTATAAACCGTGAGTTTGGGTACCCATACCACCAACGACTACAACTTGTGGTTCACGTCTTTTGAGAATGTCACTGAATATTTCCATAGTTGTCTCATCGACCAAGTTATCGATCTTCTGTTGCTCTCTCAAGCGACCATCCTCATCGAGGTATACAAGCAAGATCGCATCCTTGCGTGGGTCACCTTGACCAGCTGATACTGACAATACGGAAGGAGTCTCACCTTTTTCCCACCCAGGGGCTGTGAATGGAGCGACATCAATACGTTGAGATACTCTATCGGTCAGACGCTGTGCAAGATAATCCTCTTGCTTTTCACGTAGCCATTCACGAGCATATTTGCGAGCGCTAATGAGGAGAGATTGTTCGAAAGCCTCAAAGATTGCATCTCTGATAAATGTGTTCCAGGCTTCAGATACTTCGCCGGTATCTTCACCTTTGGTAGCTTCGAATATTCTATCAATAATTTCCTCTTGAACATCTGGATGGAAACCGATAGACACAGTAATAAGATCTTCTTTTTCTGCTGCCAAAATGGAAAGGAATTGGGTTGAATCTTCTGAAAGTTTATCAATTGGCTTGTTCTTCAGATAGAGGAACCTGTTATATGGATGTTGATCATCAACCTTGTTCAAACCCTTGTCGGTTGGTAAGACAGATACGATACCTTCACTAGTGAGTCTATCACGGACATGCTTTTTGATAAGTGGATCACGACCCAATTCAGTTATAAATATGAGCTTAGCCATTGAGAGCATCATTTGGGAGTTTATTGAACCAACAGTAAATGTTTCTGCTAAATCAAATGGCCCTAAAGATGGGGTTGGAGGTGTGAACAATTTACCAACTTCTGAGCGTAAATTCTGAGCAACTTCTGCGACTGTTGGTACAACCTTTTTAATCAACTCAGATGATGGCATCTTCTTTGCACGTTCATAGGCAGATGCCTTCGTTGGTCTCTTGAATTGACGTTCAGACATCGATCTCTGCTCATCTTGCAAAATTTTAATTTCGTGTGGGTACATTCCTAGTAACCATTCGTGAAGATCATTTGTAACCTCCATTTCGTCTTGAGCTAATGGAACAAGGGTCCCTGTGAAGTAATTATCAACGATGTGCGCCTTCTCAGCTAACTCAGTGATTCCAGATAATCGTATATGTAATGAAACGTATTTGCGATATAATTCGTAGATCTTCCACAAATCTGATCGTGACAGAAGACTCATTTGATGTCTATTGCGCCATACTGCACTGGTACCAGCAGGGTATTCATGACGAAGTTCTTCTGGTGCTAACGGGACAGACGTTTTGGCTGGATCAAAGTGAGAGACCAAGTCACGTCTGTGAATGTGTATGAAAGGTACTTCCATACCATTTTGGATACTATCAACAGCAACAGTGACCGCCCTGATAAATTCGTCTTTTAGATTGTAATGTGGTGCCAATGGATCTAAGAACATATTTTTCGAGGCTTCTGATAGTCTTGGTGCTATCCATGCTGCACTTTTGTCTTTGTCTGGAAGGCGGTGGGCATATTCAGTATCCGTAGCATAGTGGTCTCTAATAACATTCGATATTGCGATACCAGGGGTGAGGAGTTGCATACGTTCCGGCAAATCTGTGTAGCGAATAATTTCATCTTCATCAGTCATCAAACGGGCTTTGATTTCTGAAGGTTCAAACACCTTTGTTGGGTTAGTAAGTACTATAATACGAGCTATAACCCACATCAGCCATTTTCGTGTCTCCTCTATGCTCTTCAAACTCTTCCTCCTCGTCCACTTCCATCGCCCAGCCATACTCAGTACCATCACCGAATACCTCGTAGATTTCATCCATAGTTTCCTGGTCAACGCCAGCTTGCTCAGAGAGAATACCACGCTGATTTTTACGCGCTTTCTGCTTCTTTTTCTTCTTCCTACGATCATCGCCGCCTGCGTAAGCATTTCTAGGATCTTCTTCGTCTTCTTCAATAAAATTACCAAGGTCGTCGTCATCATCATCCTCCATCGCTCTGTTTGCGTCTTCATTGAACATATTAATCAATTCGCTGACACCTTTGTTGCGCTTATCTCTAACGCTAGTGTCCTCAGCAGGCTCAGCATCGAGATCCTCCTCATCAGTATCATCAGCTTTCCTGCGGTGTAATCTACGTAATTGAGAGACATCTTTACGTCTAGATCTACCAGTATTTTCAGCTATCAAATCCAGATCATCCTCGTCGACCTCCTCATCGTTCAGATCTGATGCTCTGCGAACTATAGATTTCTAAATAAATGAAGAGATAAGAACGAGAAACATACGCTTTTTTAACTTCTTTTTCTTCTTCTTTTTCTTCTCGCTGCCATCTCTCACGCCTTCAGAATCATCAACCTGCTCATCTTCAATAAAGCCTTCTCTGACTTCTCTCTCGGCTTCTGAGTTGTCGTCTTCTTCCTCAGAGCTATCTTTATCACCGTGCATTGGTATAGCTTCTCCTTCTTCGTCTGATCCTCTTGAACTCATTTTCTTTTAGAGAGATGAGATGAGAGTGTTAGTGAGAGGTGAGTTTGACGGTGGCTTTGGTATAAAATTGAGAGATCTAGCTGGGATGATATTATTATCTATTTATTATTAACCCCCACTTGATGCATCTCTAATGTATGCACCTCTGCACTAACTCAGGCTGATGACGACGATCGACGGGAAATTAATCAGATGACAGAGGATGAGTCGGATATTTGTATAACAAAGGATGAATACACAATTAAATGTTATTTATTTTCATTCCTTCATGTAAATCTCTGAGATCTGATATCATCGTTGCCGGGTGCAGCTATGTATACAGTAAGAGCGAAAACTATGCGGACGAATTGATTACCAGGTGAATACTCATCATGAGGAAGTACAGCTGTGCAAGTCATCGGCGCCAGTGGAATACCTTTCAAAATCGTCATTCACTCCACATGGATATTTCTAGCAACTCTCTTTTTCTTACAACCAAGTTCACAAGACAACACGAACAAGCTAAGACAAATGCCTTCAAGTACAGCACCAGCAGAGATCATTGTCAGTATAATGGCTAAATACAACGCTTATCTAACAGAAAGACAGGTAGATGCCGTCCTTTTTGATATGGACGGTACACTCGTCAACTCTATAGCAGCTGTCGAAGCTGCCTGGGGCGCCGTCGCAGACGAGATAGGACAACCCCGTAAATCCGTCATCGAGGTACGTTCCATCCGGATCTTTGGTAGCGTCTGAGATTTCTTTAGGCAACTCACGGTCGCAGAGCATCCGACAACCTCAAAGATTGGAAACCAGACATTAAGGACGAGCACCTTGATGGCGAAGTAGCGAAATTCGAGCAAACTATTCTCGATCACGCAGATCAATACAAGAAGCGCCGTGATAGCCGCTCATCATCTCAGTCCTCATCCAGACGTGCTTCATCTTCTTCATCATCCAGACGTCCATCTCAGGCCCAGCTTTTTGGCTCTTTCACGCCTATTGATAAATCACGCCAAGATTCGACATCACAACAGGACAGGCGCCCTAGCTCAGGAACACTTGCCCAAAAACTCCAGCCGTTGTCCCTCCAGGATAACAGTGCGGTCGAAAACGAGGAAGCTGTTGAGGATGAGGAGGATGAGGACCTCGGACCAGACATGGGTGTGAAAATTCTCCCAGGTGTCAAAAGCCTCATCGACAGTCTTCCAAAAGGCCGTTATGCGGTTGCCACATCTGGCGCACGTGTCTATGCATATGGTGCCATGGAAAGAGCTGGTATCGTAGCCCCAGACGTTACTATCACCGCAGAAGATCCTCGTTTGGAGAACGGCAAACCTCACCCAGATCCATTCCTTCTTGCAGCCAAATGCCTTGGGTATGACTGTAACAAGTGCCTTGTCGTTGAGGATTCACCATCTGGTATTAAGGCCGGTGTAGCATCTGGAGCAACTACCCTCGCCGTCTGTACTTCTCACGAGAAGGAACAAATAGAGAACGCAGGTGCTCAGCACCTCGTACGCAATCTTGAGGCTGTTAGAGCTGAGCAACTCGCGGATGGAAGGATCAAGATCACCATCGATCCAGCACGTATTGTCACAGATTCAAAATCAGACGCTCGTACAGATGTTGGACTTAAGGATGAAGACAAATAGATAGCTTTGTAATGTAGAAATAGCTAGATAGCTAGATGTTTTTTAATGAATAATTTGTTACCTACGAAGTGAGACAAGCGAAAGAAGTGTGACTTAGGTGATTTGTGAAAGGGGTATCATTGTGGGAAGTATTTCCTACGTCTACAATAAAGGAACATATAATGTAAAGTTCAACATGCATGACTTTGATAGTTAAACGTCATGAGACAGCACATCATAATACACTTTTCTCCAGAAGGTAATGGGAATGTATAATAAAAGACAAGACAATCTCGCTAACCTCTCACAACTTCGTACACTTAGGTCTCAGTGTCTAAACATGTAGTCCGTCGTAATGTTAGAAGGAGGGACTTTGTACGTTTATAAATAAGTTACGTCAAGCGTATGGAATTGCAGGATATCTGTCATTATGTGTCACTGACTCAAGCACCCAAAGTTTAGAAAGTAGACGACGAACAAATCAAATCAGTGTAAATACTAGATCTCTTGTAGGACTTTCAAAAAGCAATCCTAGAAATCCCATATGAATATCTCGTTTTTAATATAAGTACTTTTGATCAGCCCTTAATTTTGTTTTATCCGACCGTTAGGGATCTGCTAACATCCTTATCAAATACCACCAAAATTCCAACCGACAATATTAAACGCAGATATTCACAGACGAACTTGCAACCTGCACTTTCGCATCCACCAAAGCGTGAGAGCGAGCCTATACTAGGTGAACCTGTCTCTATACCATTCAACGCACTACTTTCTCCAATTACGACAGTGAGCTTGCTAGCCTGTATAAAAGCAGCTTTTGGGCCTGATCCATCATGTCTTGGTATAATCATTATCACAGATCTACCTCCACAATTTGCAGCATTACGTACAGAGTTACTTGAGTTTTCAAACAAGTTTGCGAGAATGAGTGAGGATAGAAAGGAGAAATATGCCGACGAAGAGAGCTCGTATAGCTGTGAGTATAATTTGCTATATCCGAGCATACCTCATGTTCTTAAAAGTTGGTTGGTCGAGAGCTAAAGAATACATGGTAAGCACATATTTACTATCTGAATGGTATTTAATAGCCACAGAATGGTATGCCAGACACTCTCAAAGGTAGTTACTACGGTAATCCACTACTCGATCGCCCAAATGTTGATCCTGAGATAAGAAGGAAGCACCCAGAGTACTATAAGGGTAACATATGGGTGAGCAATTTTGCATTAGTTTTGTCATGCTAATAGTATCTTAGCCAGACGAAGAGGACGATGAAGAAGTACGAGGTTTTCAAGAAGCATTCAAAAGACTGGGCACATTTGTAATTGAAGGTAGGTACTTCTAAACGATGGATTTTCCTCTAACAGATCTTTTAAGTTGGCTTGTTATTAACAAGAGCCTGCGAGTCTTTCGTATCACCTCAGCTGCAAATCCAAACAAACAAAACCGACATTTTGGAAGGTATGCTAGCACGATCATCAGCTCACAAAGCCCGTTTATTGCATTACTATCCACCACCTCCATCTGGAGACGGCGATGAAAATGATGAGGATCAGGATAGCTGGTGTGGATGGCATCTCGACCACTCACTTATTACCGGACTTGTTAGTGCGATGTACATGTTCGAGCAGGGCGCCAACTACAAGGCTATTCCAAATCCACATGAACGCGCGGGTCTTTACATACGTAACAGGGCTAACAACGTCGTTAAAGTGTCTATACCGGAGAACGCACTTGCTTTCCAAACTGGTGAAGCATTAGAGTTGTTAACTGGAGGTAAATTACATGCGACACCACATTGTGTCAGAGGTGGTGGTGCTGGACAAGTACGTCTCGATGGCGCATTAGGTGAAGTTAGTAGAGAAACTTTTGCAGTTTTCATGCAACCGGATGTATGGGAACAAATTGGTGGACCTGAAGAAACATTTGGAACATTCACAAAAGAGGTTCTAAGAAGACACTACCGTAATAAAAAGCAAGAAGAAGGTGTCGATGTCGCTTATAAGTTTGACGCCAATGATCATTTACCACCGATTACGGAGCTTACGACTTCAAATATAACGATAAACCTCGATTGTCAGGATCCAGCATTGTCTTATAAACACATTTAGATGTATGCATGAATTTTACAGAACTTAAATTACCACTTCTTTTTTGGGCGAATAGATACAGGTTTCCAGAATACTTGCTTAGCCTGACCAGCTCTGGATGCTTGACGAGGTACACGTGTGAGTGGTGCAAGTGACTGTGCACGTATCCTATCTGGATCATTTGAAGGTTGGTAATAATACAAATTTGGTAATGGTCTGTTGGCAGCGTCTCTGCCCGATCGTTCGACACAGCCAAACATCTGTCCAGGAGCATTAAGGAGTGTACGCTGTACGATATCTTCCCACTCTTCGAGGCTTGCTTCTTTCTCAAGGGAAGGGTTGCAATTGAGCAGACATGAAGCAATTTCTTTAATTGGCGTGAGTGATGTTGGAACGTTGAGAGCTAACGTTTGGGCAATAAGTCCGAGGTGTTCCTGTGAAACTTCCTCGGTGATGTCGCTTGGTGTACTCCTTCTCTTTCTCTTTGATGGCGTGGTTGGCATCTCTGTCTCACTTTCATCACTTTCGCAATCGCTCAAAATGGATTTGTGATGAACAAGATCACTCCAATGAAGCGCCAGCTTTGTATCACCAATCGTAAGGTTGACTTGCTTCGCGCGACTCTTCATGACAAGTTTATACCGCGGTTTCTTGGCCAATTTGTGAGGCATCAAACAACTAATCGCCAATCCATCATCTTTATTCTTGCTTACCCGTAGTCGCGTACCTTTGCTAAAATGTCTGCCATTTAACTTTATTCCATTCTGTCCAAGAATGCGAATATTGAAAGAATTTTGTTTGACATTCGGATAGATCGATAAATGCGTCCGAGAGATATGGGAAAAAGAGCTTGGAAATACGTAATGACGAATTCTATCGATTTTTGGACTAAGGGGTATTTCTAATCTTTTCTGTGCGTTTGTCCAATTCTTTCTTCCTCTGCCTAAAACTAAAGTACGCGTAGGTGATGCGAATAAATCGGTGGTGTGTGCACTTTCAACACTCTCATTTGATTCCTCTGTCGGGTTTGGTTAGGACATACTCGTGTTTCTCTGTGTTACCTACCTCTAGCGAGTGTTGCGAATGTTTTCGCTGGCGGCGATGAGGCCAATTCTGCCGGTGATTGCGACCTCAAAGGTGAAGAAGGCGGTGGCGTAGCAAAAATGGTTGGATTTGTTGCAATTGCATGATTCATGTGTGCCACTTTAGGAAGTGCAGGCCGCGGAGGGAGTGCAGGCAATGCCGGTTTCTGCAATCCAGCGGCATATTTGTCATTATCACTACTTGGTTCTGGCGTAGGCAGCCAATTCTCTTTATTGTAGCTTCTGCTGATGTTCATCGTTGTTGTGCGAAATCACGCGAAGTCGCGACGCGTCTCGTTCCATAGTAGAAAGTCAATTGACGCTGAAAATAAAAATAAAATATAATTATTCATTAAGTATATCTACATTTGGTATAAATTGATGAGAGTGATCTGGTAGTTCTTCTTGCTTTTCCTGCATCTGGACGTCCTGCATGGGGACTTCAGGCGGCTGACTAGAGACATCCGGCTTTGGGGCTGTTGGCGTCGCCCCATCGACGGAACCTGTGCCGTAGAATTGCTGATCAGTTCCACTTAATTCAGCTATCGATTGTGGGATGAGTACGTCAGCCACATCTGGCAGTTCGGCACAGGCTTCATCATCTAACAACCGCATTTCCTCCCAAAATTCGCCAAACCTATCAGAAAGTGGCTTATATGCGTGTTTAGTATTTGGTGGATATGCAAATTCAGGACCTGGGTTAAGTGTGGCTTGTCCACCTTTATACAAGCTCACCATGGGATAATAACCGCAAGTACCATCGTCGTAGTCTAAATCTTTCTTTAGATCTTGCTTCTTGGATGCCTTGGCTCCCTCTGGTTGTTTCTTCTTCGGGAGATAGTCTAATAGATCAGTATAAGCTGGTTCACTTGCTACTGGTTCACCATTTTTGAAGAATTCAATAAACGAGCCAGGTATCCTGGGTATTTTTATCCCTTTCGCTGACTTCTTACCCAATCTGCCTTTATCAATCGGTATCTCATCCTCGTGTCCATAATCCATAAGCAAATCCATCTCCTTTGTATGCGGGTACTCTGATAACTCAAACCAGAGTAGTTCCTTGTATTTAATAGGTATTCTTGTTTTATTTATCGACACCTTTCTTGGTTGATTGATAGGCAAATGAACTAAAACACCAACGACATCTCCAGTGGTGAAGCCATCAGAGTATTTCTGCGAACGACTGAGGTGTACTTTATGACCATTGATATCTCTCCATCCGTAACTGTATCCATCGTATCCGACAGGTGCACCAGATTCAGCTTCACGCCTACTCACACCAACGCGTACGTGGGCTTCATCAACACCACCTCCTTTGTCTATCTTAACTTCATAGTAGTATGTACCTGATCGTATAGGTTCTGAAGTTCTAGCTGATCTGTAGCCAGAGTTTGAGATAATTGTCCGATGATCTAAACTTAATTCAACATGTGGGGATCTGTCTTGCATAGAAAACTGGACTTGGTTTTGTCTGAAAGGGATTGTCTTAAACGCTGATGGTTTGTGCTGATAGGATTCACAAGCGTAGTATCTAAATCCTAGCTAGAAGAAGGTTAAATATTATATATCAACAACTCCTTTTCTCACGCACTCTAAACATAGGCAATATTTCGGTCGTATAAAAGCCCTCATTCTGGCCAGCTATCAAATGAGAAGACATGGACGAGATGACGAAAGGGAGAATTTCGAGATAATATTAACAAAAATAAAATAAAACAACAAGTCGTTAGATTATCACATTAATGTGGGTCTTTGTATCGTTAGATGAGGGATGCTTTAGTAAGTTTCTGCATGTCTTGCCATGATATCCCTAACAGGTCCTAATAATCTCGTGAATGCAGGTGCATCTAATGCAACGACTTTTAACTGGTTTTCGGCAGTTGATTGGTTCTCAGATGCTTTAACAGTTGCTGCTCTTGGTGCTGAATTCAATAAAGCTAACTCACCAAAGTAATCACCTTTCTTGTATGATCCTACTTTTTCACCATTTTTGATGATATCAGCTTCACCTTGTTCGACAAAGTAGAAAGCATCGCCTGTATCACCTTGACTGATAACAACCTCATTTGGTGAATAACTACGTGATTCTAATGCATCTGCGATCTTTGAACGTTCAGAAGGATGTAACGATTTCAATAAATCAACCTCTGATAAGAAATTGTCATATAAATTACGTTTATTGTATGTGTGATTAAGTAAGATTGATCTGAATGTTAGCCTATCGACCGACCATAACTCGCTGTCGGATTTGGCTAGGATAGATGCAGCTCTTGGAGCATTATACATCAAAGCTAGCTCACCGAAAGAACCCCCCTTGGTGTAATCTAAAACATTTTTTAATTTAAACTCTTTCGGGCAAGAAGCTGGTGGAGTGACGTCATTATCGAAATCATTTGAAGTTGCAGGTACTCTAATGTAAGCGGAGAATTCACCTGAGTCGACGACATAGAAATAATCTCCGTCATCACCCTCTTCGATTACCCACTTCCCTTTAGTAACTTTTATCTTATTCATTGCGTTTAAAACGTCATCGTATTGCTCAGTTTGTAAGTTCTTGAAAAGGAAATTCTTCTTAAGTGATTCCTGTAAGAAAGCTTTCTGTTGATCTGACTTGGGGATGATAGTTTTTGTTGTGACTTTGTTAGGCTTTATAGATTCAGCTGATACAGACGTTCTCCTATTGATGTTAACAGCCGCTTGCAAATGATGGAGATCTCCTAAACCGTCGCCCTCCTCCTCATGGTGGCTTTCATCTCCTGGTGCAACTCCAAAAGGTTGAGCGTTTTGGAATAAATTAGAACTATCTGCTAATAAATAACTATTAATATATGGTGGATTTTTTATTTTCCCTAATGACTCACCCATCTTGAACGCAGACTATCTTGGACGTATACAAGAGAGAGATGACAGCCGGGAAATCTATCGGCGTTCTGAGTTTACAAGGCGCTTTTATAGAACATATACACAGACTCAAGCAGTTAACAGACGCCACCGTTCTGCAAGTCAAAACTCCGGAAGATTTAGAAAAGTGTCATGCATTAATCATTCCTGGTGGTGAATCAACTACAATTTCACTTGTGGCACAAAGAAGTGGTCTTTTAGAGCCCCTTAGAGCATTCTGTAATAACCCAAATAAAGCCGTTTGGGGTACATGTGCCGGTATGATTTTACTCTCAAAGGAAGCAACGAAGACAATGAGAGGTGGTCAAGAGCTATTCGGTGGCATGGATATCACAGTAAACAGAAACCAATACGGTAGCCAGATTGAATCTTTTCAAGCAGATTTACAGTTCAACTGTCTGTCTACGGATGAAAGTTTTAATGCAATCTTCATCAGAGCGCCTATTTTACACTCATATGATCAAGACAAAGGAATTATAGAATTAGCTAGTTTAATAGATAACCCAATAGACGACAAACTTGCACCAAAAGGAAATGTTGTGGCTTTACGTCAATTCAACAAAATGTGTACAAGTTTCCACCCAGAATTAACACAAGACAAGAGATTACACGAGTACTTTTTGAAGGAAATTGTATTCAAGTTATGAGGATATCACTTTTTACCTACGTCCCACTCCCTTGTTGTACCTCTCTTGTTATATTGCATAGACATTAACGTACTTTCGTTGTCAATTGAACTGATTACTTGACTTTTAATCATCTCTTTTGTCTCTTCCTTTCGTGCTCTTTTTGCCTCCTTTTTACGCTTCTGATATTCCTTTTCTGCGTCTGGACCGAGCAGTTTCGCAATCTTCGCCTTCTCTCTACCTAGTTTTATATTCTCACGCTCACGCTCCTTTCTCTTTTCCTCTTCCCAAAGTTCAGCTTCTCTTTGCTGTTTAAGTTTGTTGCGCTCTCTGACGTTATCAAGCATTACATTCCAACTATCGAAATCCTGGTCGGTTGCGTTATCAGGGAGGTTTATATCTGTGGCAGGATCGTAATCAGCCTCGAAATACTTATCCATCTTTGATTCGAATGGGTTTGGTTGTTTAGATTTCCCTTTTCTAGATTTATGAGTGCTGTCGTCCCTCTTCCTTTTCTTTTTGGTGAAATCCGCGAACGATTTGCTATCAGAAGTACGATAATCTTTATCTAAAGGTTCTGCTAGAGGTATAGATGATGTACTAGCTTTTGGAACCGTTCTATTGCCCCTATTATGCTCATCTACGTTTCTCAGGGTATTGAGCAGGAAACGCTGATTGATCGGACGAGGCTGTGCATTATTAGTGCTACTGCTATTGCCAGCTAGACTATCTCTAGTTAAAATATCTGCTAATTCTCTATCGCCTAAGGGCATCATCGTCATCTAATAAAAGCGCCGCACGCGCGCGAGAAGGCGAGAGTGATCTTCAACTTATCCAATCAAGAATGAAATTGAGGTTCTTGAGTTTTGCAGCTATTTTAATAGCTATAAATGCTCAGCATGAGCATCAACATAGTACCAATATATCAGCCACTACTAATACAAGCTCTTCATCCCCTGAGCACTCAAATATGTCTAATATGCAACATACAATGTCTAGTATGCCAGGTATGGATGAGACTCTTAATGAAACAGCTATTTTGAAAGCCCACGGTCCTGATCCTATGAGCTTTTATGACTTCGATTACGAAAGTGACTCAAACTCAAAACCTGGATGGATGATCCTACACGCTATCGGGATGTCAATATCATTTGGTCTTCTATTACCTATCGGTGAGTACTCTTTTATATACTCATTATGGCGGTATTTACAATCCCGGTCCCTCAGGCTTGGCGTTGAAAGCGTCACACAATAGTTTATACGGCATAATTAATTTCACATTCTTGGTTAGCATTTCAGTTTCAACTGCCTTCTCTACAATTTACAAAAAACTTACTCCTGATTTGTAAGCCTTTGTCTTTTTATTACTCGGGCGCTTTACTAATTGACGCACGTATCAGATATAATCACAGCGCGCACGGTAAATTAGGATGGTTTACTTTGTTTTTAATTGCCGCCTTATCCGGTTATGATAGCTTTAAATTCCTCCAGAGAACGTTCCATTGGTACAAGTCAACTTCTCAAAAGACACCTTCTTCCTTCAAAGCTTATGTCTTAGAAGCCCGCAATGACGACTATGAAGAAAGGGAGGACGAATGGATCCCTGATAATGATCACGACGCTGTACCACTCTATGAGACGGCAAATATGCACGATGATGACCGAGAGGAAGCGGAGTCACCTTCCTCCTCTGGCTCACGTAGATCAGAAATGACCCTCCATGACGAACAACCTGTTCACCTTGGAAAGTCTGTCTACACCAAGCGTAAACTAACCTGGAAAGAGTACCTCTGGTCTTCGGCTCACTACTTGAAGGTCACTCTTGACCGCACAACTTTTGTCTTGGGTTTCGCTGGCTTCACCACAGGTGTCGTCAGCTACAGCGGTATTTGCCATGCTACATACCTTAACGGTTGTTTAGCACATTTGATTAAAGGTGGCATTTTCTTCGGATACGGCTTACTCACGTTCGCCCGTTTTTGTGGCGCGTACTCAGATATTGGTTGGTCATGGAACCTCATTCCTAGAAGGAGCTATGGTACATGGAAACAAAATGCAGTTAGTGCAGAGCTTGTTGAGAGCGCCGTCATTTTCACTTACGGTTGCACAAACACCTTCATGGAAAGATTCGGCGCTAAAGCCGGTGATCCATGGTCAATGAAACAAGTTCAACACGCTTCAATAGCTGTCATGTTCTTCTTCGTTGGCGGTTGCGGATTATTCATGGAGTTACCACAAGTTAAGAAATTCTTCGGTGGATACAGATCAAATCAACCAAACTCAAACCCATTCCCTGCTCTTGCTATCGGTATCACTGGCTTTGCTATGGCGTCTCATCACCAAGAATATGCGTTTGCGGTCAGCCAACATGCGTTATTTGGTAACTTACTTGCGTTGTTCGCTCTTTGCAGATGTACCACTTACGCGCTCACTTATATATCACCAATTACTTCAGAAGCACCAACTAAGCCAATAAGCGAATTACTTGCTTCATTCTTCCTCACCGCTGGTGGTATTGCTTTCATGTTCTCAATTGAACAATTCACTTTCGCCGCATACAGACGCGGCTTCGCTCATCTCATGTTCTTACTCAACTTAGTTATCAGTCTAACTGCACTTTGTATGTTCTTAACGGCTCTCACTATGTTCATAAAGAGCTGGTCAGTCAGAAGAGAAAACCACAAGGGGTTACTCTTTGACGCTAACGATGATGGCAGTGAGAATGGTGATATTCACCAATCATCACAACGTGTCTAATGGTTGGGTGGTTTTTCCTCAACCATATTATGAAACTTGCATTGATTTCAATATAGATTACTTTTTCGCCATCATATGACAAACAATTTTCCGTTCAATTACTTAATACTTTTCCCTCTTGGATCCTCAACAATCTTTCTATGTAAAATAGATCGATTATAATCTCTACTCAGTTTTGAAATGTAATTTTCGTCATAATACTCTATTCTGCCAACCAGAATTAATCTCAATTACGTAATTATAATTGTAGCCTTAAAATTATTCATTGATTTTCCTTTAATTATTCCTTGCTCGGAGAAATCTCACTGATTTCCATTCGTCATATCAGATTCTTTTAAAACAGACAATCATGCTTGAAATGGGGATAGAAGAGCCTGAGCGGATGAGAAGGAGTAAACTAAAGAGCAATTGGTTTAGAATTCTGCTAGTTGTTTATTTCATTCTCTCTCTCTTCATTTTCTGGCGATGGACTGCTTTTCGAAGGACACTACCAACGCTAGAGGTCGTCTACACATATCATCATGTTCCACTTACGTTATTCCACGGTTATTCCGCTTACATACATTACAATCTCTTCTGGAAATTCAGAATAAAGAAAACAGTTTACGTGAAGAAAGAATATAAGGAGAGCGAGGCAAGATTATTAAGATGGTCATTCGATAATGTAAAATATCTCGATAACGTTGGCAGGGAAGGAGGTACATACCTTCATCACATAGTGCACAATTGGGAAGATCTCGCCGATAAGACGCTATTCTTACAAGCGCATTCACAATGGCATGAAATGACGCATGGAAGGTTACGATATATAGATTCCTCAACCGGTTTTCTCAGTTTAGGACTTTACGTATTGTCACAATGCGGTGAATCTTGGCCAGGATCATACCCTCAAATGAAATCAATTTGGTCATTATTTCATGGTGAACCATGTCCAGAAAATGAGCATCAATTGTCTACCTGGTCGGGACAATTTGTGGTCTCAAGGCATCGTATACGTCATAACCATTACAAAAATTATGTCGAAATGCTGCATCTAATGACTGCACCATCTGATCATCCCATTTATGATGAGAGTCCGGATGATTGGACACCACCTCGCGACCCAATAAACCCATACCTTGGTCACTCACTTGAACGATCATGGCCTATTATTTTCAATTGTGAGTTCTACCTGTTTTAATGAAGTGTAGTCAAACTAATGATTACATGTCAGGCAATCAACCGACATTTGCTACAGATACAACTCATTGTGGTGGAGAAGTCTTATCAGGTAGCCCTGACTGTCAATGTTTTGATAGCGAAAATTTGGATTAGCCGCTATCGCGATTTTTATACCATCTATCTGTACTTTACGATGATACATTACCAATAAACAAATAGGGGGATTAATGAAATTTCACATAAATGAAACGTTTCACTAATGGCTAACTGTCATTGTGGAAATAAAAATATTGTGAAAAGCAAAATATACAAACAAAAAAAAATTGCAACCATTATTTGTGGCAAATTCATAATCTGCCCAAAAAGTCAAAAGTAAATGGTCACTGCAGGGCTCGAACCTGCGACTTTGGAGTATCCGCGATATATCGCATTATTAGCTCCACACTCTAACCAACTGAGTTAAGCGACCGTTGAGATTTGGATCCATTTGAGACTATATAACGCGTTGACTAGCTAGAGTTCATTTTTTTTTGTTTCTTTGGGAAAATTAATCCGGTTAATTTCTCAAATACATATTTGGCTTACGGCAAGCTAGTAGCACTATTTGCTTCTACAAAAGCATGAGATCGTACGGAAATGTCACATAATGATTACACTTCTCGTGGAGTCCTCCTCGGACATCAGTTGTGCCATATGCGTTACCTCTAGCTCCCCTAAAAACTCATACGTCCTTATTCATATAGGCATGAATATGCCTGCTTGACTTGGAAAAGTAAATCTAATAGGATGGACAGCACGAATGAGAATAGAAAATCTATCCAAATCAGTGCCATCTATCCTACAGAGTAGAATAGAAGGCGTGCAAAATATTCAGGCAATATATAAACCGAAGTCTATACAATGCATCCCTTCTGAGTAGGCCACTGTCGCCGTGCAAAGCCCAGACGGTCAGCACGACTCCCAGTATACGTGAGACCAGAAGCCTTGCCAAGGTAAGTATGAGGTGAAAAGAAGTTGAGGGCGAGAATTTATAGCGCGCGCCTTTCACGTGAATTCTGAAGCACTTCATGTGAATCTTGTGATTTTAGGAAATTAGATTGAAAATAAAAAATCACATACCAAACTAAATAATTATTAGCGTGAATTGACAGTAGCGTGATAGGCTAATTATTTTTTTTGTTATCCTTTCCGGAATGTGCTTCGTTATTGCTGGCAGTCGATGATGTCACAAATTTCATTATTGTTAATTCCAAATAATTAAGATTTAATAGCCCTTAGTAATAGGTACACCTATATTTCTATTATGCTTATTCATACATTGCCTTTCACCGTAATTTACCTTGTTTTCTTTTTTAATTACATCAATTAATTGAATCATAGTACAATGTTCTGATTGCAGAACGCGACATAAAGTCATTGACTTTGTAGAATTGTATTTCCATACTTTCAGCGATGTATTACGTTACCAACTTCATCGTAATCAAAACCTGTCTATCTTTATGTACTAATGCTCTATGTATCTATAATTAAATGGAAAGTACCAGTGTTATAAAATTGAATAAGCTAAGCATTACAGGTATCTCGAAGAAAATACATCTACCCGTTCGAAATGTGGATGTTTTGTTTGTGGACGATCTCTAAATATCATGACTCGCAATACTAACCACTGACTAAGCTATACAAAACTTCTATCTACATACATACTAGTTGTATTCATCGTGGCTGTAGTTCATCGTAGTTACAACTCCAGCAGGTTCCTATCATCAGTTGGTTTCTCGTGCTCCCAGTATCATAAATGACACCGATAGATAAATTATGATGCATCTTTGAAGCTGACCAATGTCATTTATGTCCAAGTGGTGGAAGAGCGATATGTTTTTAGAGTCTTCATCAAGCATGAGTTCAAGGTGATTCTTTAATGGTTTACTGGTTCTGCATTTGGTACATCAACATAGAGGTTGCTTACAAAGTACATTGTTGGGTAAAATGTAAGTATGTTGTTTACAAACAAACAAAGACACTATGTTGCTGTATTACTGCTATTATCCGCACGTTTTTATATAATCCAATCATTCCTCTATCTATGCATTTCACCACTGAGCCAGATATCTTTGGAACAATCTAATGACTCAATTTTCCCTTCGACTTTATGTGATTATTCTGGCATGATTGCTATGAAGCTGAACAATGAGTATACAATTGACAACAGCCCTTTTACATGTACAATTAATTATGTAGTTTACAATATCGTCGCATTTCTTAAAATTCAGCTTATCACGATTGATCGTGTTTTGTATTTCATCCATTATAAAGTGTTTCCAAGTGGACAATTATAATACATTTAATAAATAAACTTAAATATTGCATAAATTTAAATCCTATGGATTAAATTTGGCGAGTGTTCTTGCCTTCAAATGGCTGCAAGACACCTTGTGCATCTAACACACCAACTGGTGTATCACCGAGGTCACGAACACGTTGTTGGTTGCTTGGATGCTCTTTAAGTAAGACTGACAACGTAAACAGAGCACTTTCCCTCATGGCTAAATGTATTTTCAGCTCGTGTCCCCAAAAATATACTAAATCAGACTTACAACTTTCACGTGCATCGACGTGTGCGCAATTCATACATGCTTTAAGACCACCAACAGCCCCAATACGCTCTTTGACAGACACATCGCTTCCTGCTAAGACTGACATTAAACGCATAAGCGCTGGCTTGAAATTCGCAAACTTCTTCAAAGGGTCTTCTTGCTCGCTTTCCTTTGAGAATGGCTGTATAGAAGGCAGGAATGAAAGTGATGCTTCGAGTGTGCCTGCAAGCAATGAGGATGTCATCAATCAATTAAAGTGCACCTACCAACAGCAATTTCCGGAAGATTTGACGACCGTGAATTTCCGAGTAATAAATGCGAAGGTGCATGCTCAAATGCAGATTGGAAAGCTGTGAAAGTTTCTGCAGCTACTATGGATGTCTGGACGACAGCAGCTAAACGTGGGTCTGGCTCAACGTTTGCAGAGACTGACGTTTGCATGGATGTTCGTGCGAATTCTAATGCACGCGTTAAGAAGGATATAAGGAACAGGGGTGTTATATCTTTCGGTCCATTTTTGTGAATGTAGGCGTCGAAACATTTAATAAATGCCGCTTGAGGTGGTGTTAATGGTTCCTCTACGAATGTACTAGATTCAAGTTAGGTAAATAAAGGAAAGCCTCCATTGTCCACCCACTCTAACAAATTCCAAATACTGTCCACATTCTCTTGCTCAATGATTGATGATACGACAATAAAGCTGGTCTCACATTAAACGTGTTAAAGAAAAAGCGATAACTCACGCTAGATGAAAAACGGAATCATCATCTTCTTGCGTAGATTCCAACCTAATAAGTAAATCCAACAATGCTATCAAAACCGGTCTCTCGGTTACCAAGTGCACGTTGGCTGTCGATGACAAGTTCCGTATAAAGATTAGTCCGGTAGAAACAACATTCAAATCAGGATAAGATAGTAAGCGCGGGATATCACCTTTGAATTCATTCCAAATTAATTGTTGGTTGGCGCTATGTTGAGTGACGAGGTTAGATAGCGTTTGTGTGAGCAATATGAGAATAGTTATATCATAGAATCCAGATTGAGGGGAAGTGAACCGTATGAGTAATTCCTTTAATTCTTCTAGATGTTCCTTTCTACAGAACGTTGTAAGAAGACAGTACAAAGTTGAAATTGATCTACATACGCCAGCTCAGACTGCTTCTCTGTACCTTCTACACAAGCATTTCTAATAGACTTCAGCCTTAATTTGAGCTCCTCTGATCCCTCTTCGTATATTTTCATTAGACTGTCTTCTCGTCTTCGCTGCAGCACTCAAAGGAGTCTGTCTTCTCACTACGATGATCACAATAAATCCATTAGAGCCTTATTATAGGCTAGATGACGATAATTATCAGAAGGGGCCCTTAGATGCTTTGTTTGTTTTGCAATGGGTTGCTTTACTTTTCGTACTGCGTGAATATACGATACGATGGTTACTGCGACCGCTAGGCGAGAAAATGATACCAGAGCAATCATCTAAGAAGGAACGAAATAAGAATGTAGTCAGATTTACAGAGCAGAGTTGGTCCTGCTTGTATTATATCTTCTTCTGGTCCTGGGGTATGACATTAGTCTTGAATAGTTCATTCAGTCCAATGAACAATGAATGGACAAAATACTTTTGGACACAATATCCACATCTCACTATGACAAAGATCAACAAGATTTATTATCTCACTCAAGCTGCTTTCTGGGTACAGCAGTTATTTGTTTTAAACATTGAAAAACGTCGTAAAGATCACTGGCGTACGTTCCTTTATCATTTAAAATGTCCGCTAAAAACTCTACAGAAATGTTCGCACATCATTGTATCACTGTATCACTAGTCGTCATTTCTTACCTCACAAATTACACAAGAGTTGGTCAGGCAATCCTTGTCACGATGGACCATGCGGATATCTTTTTAGATGTGGGTAACTATATCAATGTTTTTCATTGCTGACACCACTGAAAGGGCGCGAAAGTCTTCAAATACATGGGCTGGGAGAAGCTTTGTGACGTGAGTGTAAAACATACCATAATAAGCGACAATCTAACCACTAATTTAAGGCAACATTCGTTGTATTCATGCTATCATGGGTATTCACACGTCAAATAGTGTTTGGTAAGATTATCTGGAGCGTATGGGTTGAAGCACCTTTCTACGTCGAGCACATCTGGTCACCCTCAGATGGACATTACTATTCGGATGGATTACATAAGTTCTTCCTGGGATTATTGCTAGCATTACAACTTATTCTCTTTTTCTGGCTTATATTAATTATTAAAGTTGCCATTAAATTTGTGCGCAGCAATAACGTTGAAGATATTAGATCAGACGAAGATGAATCAGAAGGGGATAACACCGCTTCACAGGAAAAGACACCTTCACCTTCTTCATTCGCTGAGCCTATGTCAACAAGTTCGTCTACTTCATCGTCACAAACCAATCAGGAGCTTCGTAAACGGTGAAATTTCTCATATTGGTATCTTCGTTTGCATTTGCGTTTTAAAAAAAGATAGATTTCTACAACATTTCAACTTACTGGCCATCTTATAAAACATTTGCTTATTGTTATGAATTACTTTATAAATGCACAGAACATTCACACAATAATTTATTTTCAAAAGCATACCAATTATGACTGCTGCTGATAGCAAAATTTAAAAAAAAATACGAAAAAGTCAAAAGTAAATGGTCACTGCAGGGCTCGAACCTGCGACTTTGGAGTATCCGCGATATATCGCATTATTAGCTCCACACTCTAACCAACTGAGTTAAGCGACCGTTGAAGCTCGATTCAATTTGAGATTCTATAAACTGAGTCTCCTTAGAGTTGCAAATTTTGATCTCGTGAAAATTTATGTTATCGTATCGTGTTGGAACGTAAATATCAGACACGCTTTACTATAGGTTGTGAAAGTATAAGTACGTTATAGAATGATCATTTAAGATGATGGTTTATTTTACAAGATATGTTTCTTTATATAGTCTCTACTGTCCTCAAGTTCCTTGTTATCCTCTTGTCCTCTACTGCGCCTCGGTGTCCCTCTTGGTTCTTGGTGTAACTCCTTGTTCCTTCTATCCTTAGTCACTAAATGATGCTGTATGTTCAGCCCTGTATCTGTGTATTCTGACATATCGTCATAACAATATATTCAGATTTGATCGTCATCATCATCAAATCTAAGTTATGGTTACGACGTTAGTCAAAAAGCGCTCCCGGCTAATCCATGTTGGATTTTGGAGTACAAATTCGGTCATAGTTCAATAAAAATTCAATAGGGTCTATATCTCAAGATCTTTAGTGCATATTATTTTCTCCGATGTATATATTTTCCAGCGTCTCACTATTCTGGTCCATTTATTCTTTACCTGTCTCGGTTGACCGCGCTTTCGTCTAATTGTATATGACAGTGGACTATGTGAGTTTTGTCTTGTCTCTAATCGTAGCATTTATTTACAGTTTATGTCAACGGTCTGTGAAACACGTTGGCGTCTCATCCTTGGTTGGCTCTTTTATGTTCAATCCCAATTTCTGGGTTCCAACAAATATTTAAGTATTGATAATTAATGTTACTTTCTAAACTATCTTATCACTTATATGGTATTCATTTTTTAGTTGTTCTCGATGTTCTATTTCTGTTTTATCGCGCACTAAGATTTCTACGACTGTGTTAGATTTCCCTGACATATAACTGAAGCCGTATTTTCGGAGCCTGTATTAGTACTTTAAAACATTATTCCTCCTCTGATAAAAACGGTAGTAGGTTCGATTCAAATACAATGTAAAAGGTATCAAATTTACGACCACGGTCAAGAGGCACTTCCATAAACCTGCCAGTTCAAGTAAAGAGTTCCCACACTAGGAGAAGTATTGATGAATGAAATTATAATTATTACGTCTTAACAATGTATTGATAAATCATCACTTACGGCATGGACATACAGATGCAAAGGAAGGAACAGTACGACATATAAGAGTTAAATCAATCCTATGTATTCATCTGGATGACGAACATTCAGAAACTGATCAGTTTGGTCATTGGCTTCTTTACTTAAACAAAAAACTTGCACTAGTTCAAAAAGAAGAATGTCAATTATAGACCGTTTCTGTGAGAATTTTGCTAATACTTGAAATGATTTCAGAAATACACGAAAAGGTTATTAAAACGGTATAAACTGATCATAAATTTACTATTTTACGACAAAAAAGCTGATGAGAAGAAACATAGATGCGAATGAATTGATAGAAAAGAAAAATACGCGAGACCACGAGATCTAACCAAATATAAAATCAGTAGAATCATTCTCAAATGACACTCAGTGGTTATTTCTCAGGTTTATCAATTCCGTTGGCGTTAGATGAAGTATTGTCATTATCGTCATCGTCATCCTCATTGGCGATAAGTTCAGCAGCTTTACGCATAGCTTCCGCTTCATTTGAGCTGGTATTTATGAGTTTGTGATAGTTGTAGGAAAGTAGGAAAACTCACTAGTGCTTGCCTCTTTTCTGCTGGAAATCTTTGTGTTTCTCAGCGAGCTGTTCATCTTCCTCCTCCTCACTCTCGTCTTCCGTCCCCGCATTGACTATCCTCTGCTCACCTCTGAGCTCAGATCTGACGTCGTCGATATGCTCAGGAGGCAGACTGAAAGAAGCCGATCTCGAGCTTGTTGGTGAACTAGGTGAACGCTGTCCATCTAGGTTCAGACCTGGTATTTCGTTGATATTCTCGACCGTATCGGCTGGAGTAGTTAGCGTATCTATCAACTAATCAACTCCATGTGGCTCACTTTCTGCGTTGTATTTGACGTAGGGTGTTTTTCTACGATTCGTCAGATAGCTGCTAGTATATCGGTAGATTGTCCTACGGTTCTGTAACTTTCATCGTCGAGTCTTTCTGGGACTCGGTTACTGCGATATTCTCTTCATCCCAAGTAAGTCCATGATCCTCCTTCTGAGAATTATCCCCTTGCGTGTTTTTTAGAATCGATTTTGGTCGCTGGGTCATCGTCATAGTTTCTCTTTCCCGCCGTTTTCGAGTGAAGTGACGAAAGAAATTGATTAAATTGACGAAATAAGAAGATCTATTAGAGAATTTATTTTAAAAACGTTTTATTTACAATGGAATTGAAGCATATTCATCTAATCCTAATGCGATGTTTAAGTTCTAATGTGATGTCAAGTTAGCAGCCATATCTGTTAATAAAAGAACACTCACTTGCATACACTGCGTAGCAGCTCCTTTGAGGAGATTGTCAAGTGCACCAACGACGACAACTCTCTCTCCCTTTGAGTGCACTTGGATACCACCACCAATCCATCCATGTCTTCCTGAGATATCTGGAATTGTTGGTACTTCATTAACGAACTTGACGAGTTTCTCATTTTGGTATCTGTCCTCATACAATTTGCGCACATCCGATGCTCTCATATCCCTTTCGAGCGGGACGGATGCGACACTAACTATACCCTGGAACCAAGGTCCTACGACAGGAGTGAAAGCGATGTTGATTTCGCCAGCACCCAATCTAGACAAGTGGAAACCAGCTTCACGTTCGTGAATGTGGTCAGTTAATGCGTATGGCTTGCAAGCACCACCAAGTGCGACATCATCGATCTTTGGCAATGTAACCGGAATGCCATTAGCATCCTTCTCACCTGTCTTTGTACCAGCACCTGAGTATCCACTCATACCGAAGACAGTTGGTTGGCTACCTTGCTTGAGGTATGGAAGGAGTGGTGCGAGTAAAAGCTGGCTGTTGGTAGCGTAACAACCTGGGTTTGAAATACGAGTTGATTGCTTAATCTCCTCACGTCCGTATAATTCTAAGTTATTTAAAATCAGAAATGCATAGTAAAAACTAAATTTACACACCAGGTAAACCATAAACCCAATTGCTTTCAAAACGCATATCAGCTGATAAATCAACGATAACGCTACCTTTGCCTTCCTTTTCATCTCTTGCTGAGGTGATAGCATCGACGAATGGCTTGCAAACACCATTTGGTAAGGCCATGATGAAAGCGTCTACGTCTGCTCTCTTTTCCATTTCTGCGCATTCTTGTGGACCGAGTGCTTCATATTGAACGTTTGCCTTATCGTATCCTTGCAAGGATTTACCAGCCAATTCACGTGAAGAAACAGCGACGAGCTCAACGTGTGGGTGTGCATTTAACAATGATACTAAGTTTTGACCAGTGTATCCACGTGCACCGATGAGAGCAACCTTCTTAGGTTTTGGTGCTTCAGTTGCGTAACCTCTTCTTGCTCTAATTTGCATTGCGACAGCTTTGCTAACTGATGGTCTGGCAGAAGTCATGAATGTTCTACGACCAGCTGGTGGTGGACCAACAGGTAAGAATGATCTTTCAATACGACCTCTATTTTCGTAGTCTTTTACAGTTTGTTCAACTTCAGAGATTGATTGAGCACCATACCAGAATAATGAACCGCCTGCACGTGTGAATGAACCATCAGCTTTCTCGAAGTGCCATGAACGTAATTCATCGTCTGCACGGGCAGCCCAGAACAATTTACGGTAGTTCTTACGTAATTGTGACCAGATGTTGTCAACTACGTTGTTCAATACACCATTAGTGGATGGTAAGAAGACTCTCAAAACTGGTGTTTCGCCTTCTGGGTGAGATACGATGGCAACAACGTCGAGTGGTTCATCACCGTAGATCGTGTATGGGTGTTGCTTCAAATCGGAGAAGAATTCAGATGCAGTCTTCAAACCGGACTTGATTTCAGGTTCACGCTCTTCAAGGACTTTACGAAGCTTGTCAACACCAACCTCTTCAATAGATGATGACTTGAAAAGCTTGTAACCTCTTCTAATCAAAGTACCTGCACCTGAGTCAGTGAACAATTCCTTTTGGAGTTGATCAGCTGAAATGATTGCAACTGAGGATGAGCGTGGAAGGTGGTCAAGAAGATCCTTGATTTCACGTAATTTGAGCTTTGTACCATAACGAACCCATTCTTCTTTCATGAGGTCGCTGTATTCCTCATCCAAGTTGATTGTTTCGATGAGTTCGTTGGTAACACCATGGAAAAGACCACCCTTTTCGTTCAAGTATACAATCTTGAGCGGTTCAAGTGACTTTGAGAGCTCACCAGCTGCGACATCAGCATTGACGTTCAAGAGTTGACCGTCTGGAGTCTCGGCGATTGAAGTCAAAATAGGCAAGCAACCTGCTTTGATGGCCGCTTCAATTGGTTCCTTGTTAACCTTGTCAATTTTACCAACAAAGCCGTATTTGTCTTTATCAAGGTAGCTGGCTGTGAATACACCTGCTGGAATTGGGCGGGCTCTTGAGCCCAACTTTTCCAACTCATCACACATACGTAAGTTCTCCTCCAAGAAAGTCTCACGAGCAACTTGGAGTGTCTTTGCGTCGGTGATTCTAATACCATCGATGTAGTCTGGGATAACACCTGCATCCTCCAACTTCTGGTTGAGCTGTGGACCAGCACCGTGAAGAACGATCGGGTGGAGACCAAGCTTATGGAGAACGGCAAGCGAGTGAATCAAATCCGGTGATGTGGTTATAGCGCCTCCAACTTTGATAACTGCGAAGTTTTTGTTCGTAGTGGACTAAAGCGGCGGAGTGAGATGGATATATATGGGAAGAGAGAACTAACGCTAAAAACACGCAAATAGCGCTCAATCTCCTGTCTAGAGCTGATATTTGACAATAAGTGCAACAGTTGATCCTACATTTCTTAATCAGATGCTTATCTACTTCAATCTACCCACGCGATGGCTGAGATCTGGCTTAGGAGTGCACAAGCGGCTTGAGAGAGCAAAGGTTCTCTTGGATGCGCCATATAACGCTCTCCTGGCTGCAGACGTCTGTCTAATTCCTAATTTCGTTCTTGGGATCATGACTGTATGTAGGCAACTCCGAAAGCAAAAAAATGTATAAAATTAATTATAAATTACTCGTCTTCTATTCGCAGGTCCACGCGGTTTATTAAACTTTATTTCGGCTGTCATACTACCAGCAGTCGTCGGATTAAGCTCCGCGGTAATGTGTCCCTCTGTGAGCTCACTCGGGTCGTTCGTCTCAAACTTTTTCTTGATATTGATCGCAAATGCAGTTTGTATCGAGCTTGGGAAGTTTGTAGCCGATGAGCTGTAGAGCATCCTTGATTTGATGTTCGAGTTAGGTGGGCATGTATACACGAAGACTATAGGATGTTAAAAGGGATATTGAAGATACACTATACTCACTGTATTGGCCATTAGTCATCTTGAATATCGTGTACCTTGGCTCAACTGTAGATATGTTCTCTTTGAGGTTGCTCAACTCAACATCCTTCTTATCTTCAAGGATGATTGTCTCTGTTTTGATATCGATAGCCTTGGTTTGTTAGATTAGACCGTAATTAGTAATGCGACCTACACACTGCACAAAGTTGTGCTCACCATTGACAATACCATTGAGTGCCTGAGTAACGTCGTCATTCCATCCGAACTTAATAGACTGGGTAACTTTTGACAAGCTGGTGGATGACTTGATAAGGTTGTCTATCTCGTTAAGGCGCTTCTCACGCTCTGAGTATGGTTTATCAGCTTCCTCGACAACCTTAAATGGATGGCTCTCCGCATTAGCATCGTCGCTGAACTGCTTGATATCGTCAATGAAGTCGGTCTTTATAAAGAACTGAGATCCCAGTTGTTTCTCTAAAGACGCGCGTGAACTAGAATAAACCATTTTATCCTTAATTGAGGCAGATTCAGGTGCGTAATGTATAATTCTGAACTTTTTGTTATCCTGTTTAAATAATAAGAAAGCGGGTATATTCTGCGATAGAATCTTATATAATTCTGCATAATCTACATTCTCATCACCCTTTATTTCTGTTTTATGGGTTGATTTCAACTGTTCATCTTGTATCTCTACTTTTATACAACGCGTCGTAGAAGTAAATGTATTAGCATCTTCGAACTCCCTCGCTAATGCAGCTGTTGGTTGAATTCCTGAGTTTACTGACATCTGATGATCACTGCTGAGCTGTAAGGTCTTAATCTATTACAATCAGGATGGAAATAAATGTTGGCGGTATAAAATCTATTATATACGGTTTAGATAACTTAAACAAACAACCAAAGAGGGATCTAGCCATAGTATTCATCTTACATGGACGTGGAGAATCTCAAGATGGTATTCGACAGCGTTTGATAGCGACAAAGTGTGTAAGCGTAGCCAACGAGTCTGATAAGAGAACACGTAACTTGATAGCCGTCACTTTTGACCAGCGTAATCATGGTAGCAGGCACCTCAGCGATCTACAGAATCAGGGATGGCCAAAGAACCCAAATCACTTGTTTGACATGTTCTCGATACAGCAGGGTACCTCTAGAGACGTTAGTTATTTGATAGATTACTTACCCTCCTTTTTATTCCCAAATAACGAGCAAAACGTCGTTGATTTTGGTTGTGTTGGTTCAAGTCTCGGTGGACACGCGACATGGATGGCTCTGCGACAGGATGAGAGAATATCAGTCGGTGCACCATTAATCGCCTGTGCTGATTACCTCTCTTTGATGCAGCCAAGAGCACGAAAACACAATGTCGATCTCAACCCACCAGAGACTTTCAAACAGTTGATCAAGAAGTATGACCCCATGGCATCTCTAGCCAGTTCCACTGATGTTTGGAAAGGCAAGAAAATAATGGCTTTGAGCGGTAGCGATGATAAGTTAGTGTCTCCTCAGCATCAGTTAGGATTTCTGAGTAAATTGAACGAGTTGTATGCAGATGACGACGCGTCTCTCATTATGTTCAAGTCATTCGACGGCGTGAGACATGAAGTAAACGAAGAGATGCAGAACGCATGTGCAAACTTTATCGTAAACGCACTCTTGTGCAATCTATCTAAAGATCACTTGCTCGAGAAGGGATTTCAGACAAGTTTGGGAATATGTAAACTATAAATAAGATGCATCTAAATCAATTATCCTCTTCATCGTCATCATCCGAATCATCGTCTTCTTCGATAGCTTCATCCTCCACCATGGCATTTCTATCGCTATCGTCGCCATCCAGACTATTATCCTATATATGTGTTAACAGAAGTATATGAGAATTAAGAGTACTTACGATTTCTTCATCGTCTTCTACTTCCTCACCGCTCTCTGAGTCACTTTCATCCTCTCCATTACCAAGTTCAACATCTTCTATAGCCTCAGCATCGTCGTTGTCATATTCAACATTATCCTCCTCATCTGAATCACCTTCGATATATGTGACTGCGTTATTAGACTTCTTGTTCTGCTCTTTTGATCGCCTCTCTTCTTGAATTGATCTTTGAAGGGCTATTTGTGAAAGTACTACGTCGAGTCTGCCTGACAAACCCATCAACTTCTCGTGTGAGCTGATACGTTGGCTAAGTGCGGAATGTAAACCGAGTAATTTTTCAGTGACATTTGGCATAGAGAGCAAGTAAGCTGTGTGTATGGTTAAAACAGCTCTTGACCACTCTAACAAGCCCTTAGCACGCTGAGGACCAGCTTTGCCAGGTTTCGCGAGTCTAGTTGTACATTGATGGAGTAAAGGAATAGCTAATTGTGATGGTAGTCTGTCTACGGTGTTTCTTATGATAGACGCGTCTGTCTGTCCTAAGCAGCTTTCTAAAAGGTTTGTATCGTTTGAGTTGAGTGATTGTGTGAGGAGCGTAGCTAAAGAATTGACAGGAAGCGCAGGTGTCTCTGTATCCTCTTCACCATCCAATTCTTCAGCTTTCTTAGAAGAGGCTTTCAACCTCTGGCCGAGACTCAACTCAGCGAGGTTGTCTGTAGGCAGCTGAGCGTGCTCATCTACGTTCTGGTCACTTTGTGATTTGTAGATAGACGTATGGGCTACTGGCTGCTGTGATTGCTTCGATTTCTTTTTTATCGGCGAGCTCATGGACGTCTTCTTCGAAAAGGCAAATTTATCTTGACGATCGACAACGATGTACTACGATGAAATTGAGATAGAAGATTGCAGTTTCGACGAGGATAAGCAATTATTCCACTACCCATGCCCCTGTGGCGATAGATTCGAAATATCAAAAGAACAGCTCGCAGATGGCGAAGACATAGCACGCTGTCCAAGCTGCTCATTGATTATTAGAATAATTTATGATCCCGTAGGTCAGCTATACATCAAATACAGTAGCTAATACAAAAACAGCTTGACTTTGAGTGATCTCAGTCGAGAACACCCAGATAATCTTCCTTTATAGTACCAATAGCAAACTAATGATAATTTATAGACTAACTTTTGTATATCTTTTGTACTCACAATTTCCGTCGCATCGACTCTCGTACCAACGATTTTCAGCCTGACTTTTGAGCCTTTCTCGATAACTTGATCCTCTGAGCTAAAGCAGGCTGGATTTGAACTCGGATCGAATTTGATATCTTGTGGAATGAGCTGATATCTTGTCAGCTTGCTGTCTAGAACAAGATAGCGGGATACATACGTGACTTGATACGAAGACCTGGAGTGGTCCAACATCTGCAAAGAATCCCATTTTATTTACAGAAGCCACCTGTCCATCGACTACTTCACCTTTGAATGGCTTGTAAACTATCGCGGTATATTTAACAACGAATTCAGCAGTACCAACACCAGGGAGTACAGTTCCGGAGCCAGGATCTGAAATTGATAGAACTGCTATAATGTAACCATATCTACCTGTGCAGGTACCTTCTACGTCAGCGTACAACTTGTTGTTGATGAAATCCATCGTCTGTGGACCGAAATAACTGGGATGTAGATGCAATCTATGCGTGAGATCATGTTTCTAGTATAATCAGATGTATATCTCCTCAATAGACTAAGCACCCACAACAAAAAACATCCCTCTACTCAGAGATCTTCGTTGTACTTCAACAACCAAGAGATGGCCTCGTTAATCGCGATATTAGATTTAAAAGGAAAATCCTTAATACAGAGATCTTATAAGGATGATATTCCACCATCTGCTGTAGAGAAGTTCATGCCTATAGTACTAGAAATGGAGGAAGATCTCCAAACTGTGACGCCTTGTTTTAGCAAAGATGGTATCAACTATATGCACATAAAATACTCTAATTTGTACAGTGAGTTGACTGTTATATACTAATATACACCCCGCTTAGTCACAACAGTACTCGCTCTATCAAAGAGTAACTCAAACGCAGCAGAAATTATCCTCTTCTTGCACAAGTTAGCATCTGTCTTCACTGAGTACTTTAAAGAGTTGGAAGAGGAATCTATTAGAGACAATTTCGTTATCATTTACGAATTATTCGATGAAATGATGGACTATGGTCACCCACAAACGACAGAGTCCAAAATATTGCAAGAGTACATCACTCAGGAATCTCACAAGTTAGAGGTTCAAGCTAGACCTCCAATGGCTGTCACAAACGCCGTCAGTTGGCGTAGTGAAGGTATCCGATATCGCAAAAACGAGGTATTCTTGGATGTTGTTGAATCTGTCAACATGCTAGTGAATGCATCAGGTAACATTATCAGAAGTGAAATATTAGGCGCCGTTAAAATGAAATGCTTCTTATCCGGCATGCCAGAATTGCGATTAGGTTTGAATGACAAAGTCATGTTCGAAACAACAGGTAGAACAAACAGAGGGAAGAGTATTGAAATGGAAGACGTCAAATTCCACCAATGCGTTAGGTTGTCGAGATTCGAGAATGACAGAACTATCTCGTTTATTCCTCCAGATGGTGAATTCGAGCTGATGAGTTATAGATTGTCAACATCAGTCAAGCCGCTCGTTTGGGCAGAAGCTAGCATCGAATGTCATTCAGGATCGAGAGTCGAGTATACCGTTAAAGTTAAAGCTAATTTCAAGAAGCGCTCATCTGCAAACAACGTCGAAATCCTGATTCCAGTACCTGACGACGCTGATACCCCTAAGTTTAGAAGTGCAACTGGTTCTGTAAGCTATGCGCCTGATCAGAGCTGCTTCATTTGGAAAATAAAGCAATTGGCAGGAGGAAAAGAGTTCCTACTCAGAGCAGAATTTGGTCTTCCGAGTGTGAAAGGTGATGATGTACAGTCCAAGCGTCCGATTTTGGTCAAATTCGAAATTCCTTACTTCACCGTGAGTACGTGACACAGAAGAGAGCATCGACTGACTAGTGCAATAGGTATCTGGTATACAAGTACGCTACCTCAAGATAGTCGAAAAGAGTGGATACCAAGCTTTGCCTTGGGTCAGATACCTCACTAATGATGGTGACTACGCATTACGCACTAACATAGATAGGACAAATAATGCTAGCAGTTTAACAAATTAAAAAAGAATGCCTGTCTTATTGTATCAATTATTAATTTCAGTATTCCGGAATTTGTTATTTTCGCGTCTACGCGTCTAAACGTAAATCGCGACGCGTTCCTCAACCACCAAGAGTGAAATGCAGAGGAGTCCACTAAAACCGAAATTTAATAAAGAGATAAGTCTAGCGGATGCAGCTGCGAATGCAGAATTCGCCGAGAAGAAGCGAGTCTGGGTGCCAGACCAAAAAGAGGGTTATCTCTCTGGATGGGTAGCGAAGGAGAATGGTGAGGAGTGGGATGTAGTATGCAACAACACTGTGAGTATATTTCATTATAATATACAACATTCACTCACTTATTAGACTAAAACTCTGCGGAATGACACACTATCACCACAAAATCCACCACGGTTTGACAAGGTCTCAGATATTGCAGAGCTCACATACCTTAATGAAGCATCTGTCGTGCACAACCTCAGGTCTAGATATGGTTCTGATTTGATTTACACCTATTCAGGCCTTTTCTTAGTTGCTGTAAACCCTTATCGCGAATTGCCAATATACACAGACGCACACGTACAAGCATACCGCAATAGGCGGAGGGAAGATAATGCTCCCCATATATTCGCAGTTACAGATAGGGCATGGAATGATATGATGGCCGAGCGCGAGAATCAATCTGTCTTAATTACGTGAGTATTATAATTGTATTTGAGCTATTCTAACGCGTTTTATTAGCGGTGAATCAGGCGCTGGTAAAACAGAAAACACTAAGAAAGTAATTCAGTACTTGGCGTCAATAGCTAGTAATTCAGCCGGTAGAGCACCTTATGATCCAAGTTCACGTTCTGAACATGCACGCACACCATCGAGAACATCCACCGCATTCCTCAATCCATCCTCAGTACCTAACTCTCCGTCAATTGGTAACAGCACCGGAAATGGCAGTCTGTCGTCGTCATCTATGACCACACTCGGTACTCTAGAAAAACAGATCTTGCAAGCGAATCCAATATTGGAATCCTTCGGTAATGCCCAAACTGTCAGGAATAACAATTCATCCAGATTTGGTAAATTCGTTCGTATTGAGTTTAGCACGAAGGGCCAAATTGCAGGAGCTCACATTGACTGGTATTTGCTCGAGAAATCTAGAGTTAGCGCAAGATCGAATCAGGAAAGATCATTTCACGTGTTTTACCATCTCCTAAATGGTGCTGATGAAGATCTACTCAACGCTCTGAAATTACCATCGACGGATCTACTCCAATACAACTACCTTTCAAAAACACGCAAGCAAGTTGACGGAATCGACGATGAAAAGGAATGGAATAGCCTTATAAGCGCACTGGATGTGCTTGGTTTTGATAAAGAGGAACAATTCAATCTCTTTAAAGTCGTCGGTGCTATTCTCCACTTAGGAAACATAGACATCAAGGGTGATAGACAAGGACAAGCACGCATAGATGATAAGGACGCTCTTGAGAGATTGTCATTCGTATTGGGTCTTTCATCCTCCAAGGAGCTGGAACAATCAATTGTGAACCCACGAGTAATGGCTGGCAAAGAGACTGTTATTCAATCACGTTCGGAAGATCAAGCGAGAGCTGAAATTGCTTCTCTTGCTAAAACCATATATGAAAAGAACTTTTCGAAACTTATTGAAAAAATCAACACAGTCCTTGATAGAGCAACAGAAAGTAATACTTTCATCGGTGTTCTCGATATTGCAGGATTTGAAATATTCCAAAAGAACTCATTCGAACAGCTTTGCATTAATTACACTAACGAGTGTTTGCAACAATTCTTCAATCATCATATGTTTGTGTTGGAACAAGAAGAGTATCAGAGAGAAGGGATAGAATGGAATTTCGTAAACTTCGGTCTCGACTTGCAACCCACTATCAATCTTATCGAGAGTGTCTCTCCAATTGGTATTCTCAGCTGTTTAGATGAGGAATGTATCATGCCAAAAGCAAGTGATCAGACATTCACACAAAAGCTCACCTCCCTTTGTCTCAACAGGGAAGATAACAGTAAATCGAAATTCAGTCCATCGAAGTTCGGCGATGAAGGGTTCATTGTGCAACACTATGCTGGCAAAGTTGAGTATGATACCGATGGCTGGCTTGAAAAGAACAAAGATCCAATTAATGATCACTTGACGAAGTTATTGGCAAATAGTTCAGATCCATATATCGCAGATATGTTCACAGAATATGCCAGTGACGATAGAAAAGCAAGAGGAAAAGGTGGTGCATTCAGAACTGTAGCTCAAAGACATAAGGAGCAACTAAATGCGCTTATGAAGCAACTCAACTCGACACAACCACATTTCGTTAGATGTATTTTACCAAATTCGATAAAGAAACCTGGTAGAATTGAGGTCGGATTGGTTCTCGATCAGCTTCGCTGTAATGGTGTTTTAGAAGGTATAAGAATAGCAAGATTGGGATATCCGAATAGATTACCATTCTCAGAGTTCAGATCTAGATATGGTGTCCTCACGCCTGACGTTATTTCAGTTCATTATATGGATGCCAGGAAAGTCTGTCAGAGAATGCTAGAGAGTCTCGGACTCGACGTTGAACTATACCGACTTGGTAATAGTAAGATATTCTTTAAAGCCGGTGTGCTTGCCGAAATGGAAGAAAGAAGGGACGCAATCCTCTACGATTTGTTTGCATCCATCCAGGCTTCCTCGAGGGGCTTCATCACAAGACGGATAATACACAAGATGAGAAACAAATCAAATGCTGCGCAAGTCATAGGGAAGAATATCACACTCTACAACGAGCTTACACAATGGCCTTGGTGGATGGTCTACGAGAAAGTAAAACCGCTCTTGACGGCCACGCGATCAGAAGAGGAGTTAAGAATGCGTGATGTGAGTTGATTAATTATACAACAGTGAAAGTACTAATGCGATTGCAGGAGAAACTCGAGTTGTTGCAGAAGAAGTTAGACGCTATTGAACATGACCAACATGAAAACAACGCTGAGGCCAAGCGTCTCCAGAAGCTACTCCTAACGACCCAGACTGAGCTCGAATCTGAGAAGAATCAGTCAGTCAACCACCAACACGTCATAGAGAGATTCCAGACCCGCGAGATTGAAATGGGAGAAGAAAGCGATCATCTCAAAACACTTGTGCGTGATCTTGAAGACCAACTGGAGAAGGCTTTGAGTGGCTTAAAAGAGTCTGAAGCGCGTCATGTCGACCTAAGGAATGACTTTGATAGAGCCAGCAGTGAAATTCTGCGTTTGGAAAGAGCAGTAGAGGACAATACCAAAATGAAGAGTCTAGCGGATGAGTATGAAACCAAATTGTCAGTTACAGCATCTGAGCGTGATAAATTTGCAAGGGAACTCTCTTCTATCAGGTCAACCTTAAATGAAACTACGTCAGATTTGAAACAATACCAAGAAAAAAGTCGTAAATCTGATGATCTTGCTTCAAGATGTAAAGAAGTGGAGATGGAATTGGCGCAAGTTATAGAAGAGTTCAAGGAATCTAAGAGCAGTAGAGATGAAGAGATTGAAGGATTACGCCAACAACTTGCGCAATCTATCGATGATGCCAGTCTTGCTAGAAGTGAGAGCGACACGTACAAGAAGCGCACGCATGAGTTGGAAACATTCGAGGATAGCTACAAAAGACTTCGAAAAGATCATGATAATGAGGTTTCTGGATTACGTCAAAAGGATCAGGAGAACGAGGAGCTTATTAGACAATTGCAAGCGCAATTGAGCAATAGCGAGGAGAAGAATGAACGTATAATGCAAGAGTTTGGCTCAATGAGGGATATTCAATCCGAATTCGAATCCATTCTTCGTCAATCGAATGAAGAGAAGGAGGTAGGTGCTACTGATATAACATGACTCACATTTAACATGCATTTTAGCAACTTCTTAGAACCTTGGAATTATCACAAAAAAAGCAAAATGACTACGAGGACGCCTGCCTCGATCTCGAAAAAGAGCGTGATGGTCTAATGAAGGAGCGCGATGAGATGCGTCAATCTGTTGAATTGTTGAATTATGACATAAAGCTAGTCGAAGATAGACGTATCCAAGAGGGTAAAGCCCGCAAGACTGAAATTAACAATCTCAAGGATGTAATCTATAATATGGAGATGAAGTTCGCGAATCTCAAAGATGATTTATCAGCTTCTCAAGATGAGGTCATGCTGTTATCAAAGACGCGCTCAGACAAGACAGTTATTGAGCATGTACATGTATTAGAAGAAGCCAAGCGGGTGACAGATAGACAACTCAAGGAAGCAAGAATGGAGATCAATAAGTTGACTAGTCAGATGAAGTCAGCTGAGAAGATAAAGAGTAGATTAACACCTGATCAATTGACAGAATTGGAGATACGTTTGAGAACTCCGCAAGATCAAAGACTTGCGCAACTCGAGGCGATCATCAAAGCTAAGGAACGCGAATGTGAGAACGCCTATAAGAAATTGCAAGATGCCAGAGATGCTATAACAGTAGAGAAACGGAGGTATGAGAGGGATGTCAGAATGCAAGAAGAAGATAATAAGCGACTTGAAGCTGATATGGAAGTATTGAGGAATAGAAGTCGCGCAATGTCAGGTGGATTAGATAGAGACAGTGCACTCAAGGCATCAAATAGGAGTCATCATATGCATTCTCAATCGATTTCTTCAATGCAGTCTATGCCACCGCCACCACCACCCGCATCATTTAGACAAACGCCTGAATTAAGTAAAAGATACTCGTTCGAATCAGCTAGAGCATCATTTAATAAAATGTAAGAAAAACTATGTATTAAATTCTTTATATGGAATGTAAATTTTAGCAAATTGTGTTAAGTTTATTGAAGTCACAGAACTATTTGAGTATGTTTCAATCATTTTCGAGTATTTTCGTTGAAGGTATTCAATGGAGTGTACATCCCTCGGACTAATATCCTGATACTGTCTAAACTCATGTCTGACGAATGCTATCCAGTGTTTTCTCATTTCTAATGGTTTTGATAGCGCCATCCGTAGTGCTTTCCTGTATAAACTTATAGTGAATAATTGTAAACCTGATTTACGCGTCGTCATTTTTTTATAACATGAATGTGGATGTACAAGGTATAATAGTAACTCCTTGTCTTCTGACGTCGATAATGGCGAAAAGAAATATAGAGAGTAATCTATACCTCGATACAGTTAATAGGCATTTATTAGATTTCGATTTTGAGAAAGTCTGTAGCGTTACACTCTCGAATAAGTCTATTTACTGCTGTTTGATTTGTGGAAAGTACTACCAGGGGAGGTCGAAAACGTCAGCTGCCTATAATCATTCAATTGATGAAGAACATCACGTTTATTTGGGTTTGGATAGCAAACAATTCTACATTCTACCCGAGAATTACAAAGTCGATGATAACAGTTTGGCCGATATTTTAAAAGTTTTAGAACCAAGCTATGAGAGCGGCGATTTGGATAAGTTAGATAGCGATCTTGTTGGACAAGATCTGAATAAGAATGACTATTTGGTTGGATACATCGGTTTGAATAATATGTCGAACAATGATTACGCAAATGTTATATTGAACATGCTTACGCATATAAGACCACTCAGGAATCACTTCCTTTTGTTGAATGATTGCAAGACCGAATTGCTGAGACGATACTCACTCTTCAATAAGCGTGTTTGGAACGATAAGCTTTTCAAATCTCAAGTCAGCCCCCATGAAGTCTTACAATTGATTACCAAACTGTCTGCTAATAAGTTTAACATCCAAAATTCATCAGATCCAGTGGAGTTTTTGACCTTCTTACTCAATCAACTACACAAGGATCTTGGTGGAAACAAAAAACCTAATTCTAGTATAATTTACCAACTATTCCAAGGTCAATTGAGAATGACGTCCCAGAAGATCATTCAATTGGATGAAAATGAAGACATAAATAAAAAGTTCATTAAAGAAGATAAAGTCACAACAATCAATACACCATTCTTAATATTGAGTTGTGATTTACCACCTAAACCAGTTTTCAATGATAACGAAAATATTATACCACAAGTCAGTTTGGGTGATGTACTGAAAAAGTATGATGGTGTTACCACGCAAGAACACCTAGGTCAATCGAGGCAATACAAGTTGACAAAATTACCTAAATATCTACTTATACATTTTAAAAGGTTTAGTAAGAATAGATTTACAAGTGAATACAATCAGACTATAGTTAATTACCCAATTTCCGGAGTTGATTTCAAGGATTATGTCGATAGTACGGAAAACATCAACACTGTTTATGATCTCGTTGGCAATATTTCACATGAACATCAAGCGACCGCTGGTGATGATAACAATAAGAGCAAATGGAAGTGCCAACTGAAGTCACCAATGAAGAATGATGATGGTAGTAGTAAATGGTTCCAACTTCAAGATTTATTCGTTGAGGAGATCGACAGAAGGTTGATTTTCCTTGGTGAGACATACTTACAGGTGAGTTGAACAGAATATAAAAAGGAACACGCTGATGTACATCCAGGTATGGCAAAGAAGAGAGTAGATAGAGTAGATAAAGTTATGTCATATCTATAAATAGATAATGTATAAATAGAACCTGTATATTTAAAGCTGGCCGTCAGATCCAAAGTTTGTTCTATAACAATCAACTTTTTTTTTATAAATATCATCTCAGCGTCCAAAGAAGAGGATGCTATATGGTCCGTATAAAGTTCGTACCAAGGCCAGGCGATAAGAGGGGCGACCACCTTTTCTTAGCAGCTATTTTGTTAGCAGTTTGTAAGAGATAGTAGTTTAGCTATAAGCATTTTTAACATTCTCACTCTCAGTCATAATTTGTATTGGATATCTAACTGTCTTCGTAATAATCTACAGACGGAAATATAGACTCTCTGGGATAGACAATGACACAGATAGAGAAAGTAATAAGGATACCAGATTGAGTATAAAGACGCTCAGCAGTCAATTATCAACAAATAAGCAAAATTCTGTAGAAATAGAAGAAATGTATTATTAATTACTGAAATTCAGGTTGGCAATGCTGACCAGGACCGTATGGTTTTTCTGTGAGATTTGTGAGACCAGCTGAGTTCTCACAGGTGTGTCTAGTAGATTGTGGGCCAATCTTTGGTTGTTTACCTTGCTTGAGTTGCTTAAGAATGTCTAAAGTTGTTGATTTTGTAAGATCCTCATAATAGTGATCGTTAATTTGTACCATTGGAGCGTTAGAGCATGCACCTAAGCATTCAACTTCTAACAAAGTGAACTTCTTATCTGAAGTGGTGTGACCTGCCTCAACACCCAAATCCTTCTCGATAGTGTCCATAATCTCGTATGCGCCATTAAGCATACATGGAGTTGTAGTGCAAACTTGTACGAGGTGGTCACCAACAGGTTCTCTATTAAACATCGTGTAGAACGTCGCAACTTCGTAGACTCTCATTGGTGGAACTTCGACCATTTTCGCGACTTCATTCATACAACTTATAGACGTCCAGCCTTTGTTCTGCCTTTGTGCGAGATCCAAGAGTGGCATAATTGCGCCCTTCTTGTACTGTGGTGGATATCTGGCTAATATTTGATTGATGATTGGTTCATTCTCAGCGGTGAATTTGAATGGAATCTGTGGATTATATTAGATAATTATATGATAATAAAACCAAACTAACTGAGCTGTTGTTATATTCTGTGTCTCTATGCTAGAATAGACTGTCAGCTTCTATCCACCCGCTGAAAAGCGACATACGACAAAGAGAGCATCAGATTTACGTGCTACAGACGTTGAAATACTCCTCAAGCTTCTTGTAGCTTCTCTCTCTACACTTCTGACTGCTTTTCCAATGAGACTCATCCTGATGGTCAATGTCGAAAAAGGTTTGAAATTAATAAAGAATTAATACAACAATTTATTAGAATTCCTGCATCTCAGATGATAATGGTTTGTATGTCTTTTTAAATTTATTCCTTATTATCGCGGGTATATGATTCACTATGTCGACTTTACGGAATTTTATGTAATTGCTTATGAAGTAAACTGGTACGCTTAATGCTATGAAACCGAATGCTGCTGCTGCTTCAAGTGGCGCTGCGAACACAGGCATGCCTTGTATCTTGTTAGCCTTCTTTTCATCATTTCAACAAACTCACAAAGTAAAAAAATTGTGACGGAGGAGAATATCATTGGTATAGCTATCCATGTTTTGTATGGTCTGTGAAGATCTGGCTCTTTCATACGTAATACTATAACACTCAAAGCGCATAATAGGTAGAAATACCAAATAGCAACAGAGTAGAAGTTCACCAGTGATTGAAATCCACCTCCGATGATGATGTAAACGCAAGTCAAGACTAGCTGAAGTACTATTGCATTCACTGGTGTTTGAGTTCTTTTGTTAAATGCTCCCAATGCCTGTGGGAGGAAGCCTGCTTCAGAATTTGACGATGCTGCACTGCTTATTAAGCGTGAAGTTGTGAAAGATCCGCTAGTGAGCGCTCCGAGTGTGCTAACTGCGACTAAACAGGTGAGTAATCCGCTACCAACATTTCCGAGTACAACGTCACCCAAATCAAGTGCAATTGTGTTTGACTTTGCTACCAAATTAACTGGAATGGCTATCAAGTAAGCTATGTTTGCAAGTAAGAATATGATTATAGTAAGTGGTATAGAAGTATGTATCACAATTGGTAGATTCCTTTCGACGTTTTTCATTTCACCGGCTACATAATTAGATTGATCCCATCCGTCGAATGCCCAAAGAGAGGAGTATAACGCGAGTGCTATTGAAGATGGACTCACTTTTGTTCCTTCGAGAGCTTTGGATGGTGAGAAAATTTGATCAGGAGATCTCACAGCGGCTATTACACCAAGTACGACAACCAAAAGGACTGCAGCGATCTTTATGACCATCAAAACGGTTTGAGTTCTCGTCAATAAGCGCGTGGAGATGATATTGATAAGGGAGACAAGAAGAACCCCGAAACAAGCTACGAGACGAGATATCCAGCTTGGTATATCATTTGAAGATAACACCTCATTTGAGCCTAATAAGTAAAAGAAGCGTGCGACGTATTCACCAAAAATTATGGCTATCAAAGCCGCTCCCGAGGGTTTGATGATTGAAATTGACGTAAAAGTGAAAGTGAAAGATGTCAATGGACCATAAGCATAGCTCAGATATGCTTGGGGACCACCAGAGACAGGTAATGCTGTACCCAACTCAGCAAAGCAACTAGCACCCATCCACGCTAACGATCCACCAACGATCCAGATGAGTAAACTAGCACCAGCCGAGCCTGTCAAGCTGACGATATTTCCAGGACTACTGAATATACCACTGCCAACGATCATACCGACTACTAAGGATATACCCTCTACTATGCCAATAGTCCTACTCGGACTAAATGTCGCGATATCTGCTTCCTCTTCAGTGCTACTGAGGAGAGGCATTGGATTTATAGCGAATTCATTCCCTATACTTGCGCCTCGTCCTCTCATTAACGGAGACCTCGCTTCACCCTCGTCTTCTCTCGTCATGGCGTGTCGAATCTAACAGACGTAGTAGAGAGTAGGAGCAGAAGAGGAGACATAAGCAGTAAAATAACAGTGTTGTGATAAACAAATTATATTTAAATAAAAACAATAACTCTTCAAAATAATGTCCGTCTGTGGGTTTTGCACAACCGATAGTGCCAAAGCGGCATCGCAATGCTTAGGAATCACAGACAGGAAGCTATCGCACGCAGACCACCATCAACACCAGAGGTGGACGGCCCGACCGCGAAACGACGACTTTGTTCTCCAGTACGTCTACAGGTGCTATACGTTACGCCTACTAAAGCTGACAATAATGTCTAACGCCACCATTCAGTTGATCTGCATCTTGTTGAGTATAGCAATAACACTCTCATATGCTCGTACTGTTGGTTGTTTCTTATTGAGACGCGAGGCAAGTTTTATATTCCAACTATTTCACGTGAAAATGATGAAAAATTTATTTGGTATTCAAAAAAACAGAAAATCAGTACGTAAAAAATAATGTTAAACAGTTGATATAATTTCCTCCGCTTTGTTAAGTGCTTCGACCATCTTTATGCACTCTTTCCTTCTTTGTACGACAAAGTCAGATTCTTTCATCAAGTCGTCAAGCACTTCATTCTTGTAGAGCTCTTGAAGCAATTCCCTTTGTAGTTGATCTTTCGACTTTTGTACAAGTGTGTATGTGATTGCTTTTGGAACCATATCAATCATTTCTCTCTTTACGATATTGAAGTATGATGTTATCAACATCTTAATAACTTCAGTTTCTAATGCCTCTCTATCATTGAGCGCAGATTGTGGTCTAATTTGTGGTGGAGGTGATTCCATAATTGGACCTGATTTCTTCTTTTGAGCGCCTGCACCTGTCTTTGAGAAGAAGCTGCCAAAGAATGATGGTTCTTCTTTCTTTGTGTCGACATCCAAATCACGGTTATTGTTGAGCACTCCTGGCGCCAACTTACCGGTCTTTGGATCAACAGCTGGTGGTGGTGCCTTTTGAGCTTGCTGTTGGCGTTCTGTTACAAGTGCCATTGCCTTGGGGGTATCATCGTTAGTAAGGTCACTTCAGTGAAAGACTCACTCTCACCTTGTGTCCTGATAAGAAATCTGGGTGAGTGGTGTTGATATAACATGCTTGCATGTTGACCATGTCGGTAACCAACTTCTGTGTTGGTTCCATCGCTTTCTTGAATGAAGCAATGACAACAGAGTTGAATCTCTCCTTGAGTGCTGGGTAACGCTTGAATGATTGAATCTTACCAAGTAATTGACTGAGTATTCTAATCAATTCCTCGTAGATAAGTGCACAGCACTTGATTGCAGGTTCTTCTAATCTTCTAATTTGTTGCTTGACGATGATTTCGAATGCAGTTGTACCAACGAATAATGCTGGTGTTGATCCAGATGAGTTATAGAGGATAGTTCTAATATCACCATCCTTGACTTGGTCGAATGGATCAATTGATTTGACACCGTTGTTAAACAACTCGTGGTAACAGAAGGAAATTCTAGCACCACCTGATAATTCTTGAAGTGATAAGTCATGCGTGTTACCATCGATTACAGTTCTGAATTCATTGCAGAAGTCAGTAATAACTGTCAATACAACATTTGCACCGTTTCCTTCACCATGTGCACCACCTAAGCTTTGTAATTCAGCTTGGAATTTAGCCAAGCTAGCAGAAATTTTTGCTTTGATATCTGGTAAGCATGATTTGATATGATGCATCAAAATCATATTCAACTTTCTGGTCAAAAATGGTGTACCACAGTATTGAGCTTTTGATCTATAACTGTTGTGATTTTCAAAGAACGATTTCTCGGTTTCTAACGCAGATGAGATAGCTCTCTTTTGTTCGATATCACGTTGACCTCTGTTGACAACAGGAACGTATCCCAACCTAAGTGGTATAACTCTACCGGCTAAAATGTCAACGACATCAGTACCGGCATCCATTAAATCTACTTTTGAAAGAACACCAATGGTTCTTGTACCTTCTGGGTCGACTTCTCTGGCTAATTTCAAACCATCAGAGTTTGCAAGATCAGTGTTGGCTGCTGTGACAGCTAAAATGACAGCATTAGGCTTGCTAACGAATTTGTAAAGCATATCACGTATTTGTCTTTCAATATCCCTTGGTTGATCACCGACAGGTACTCTGGTCATACCAGGTAAATCAACGAGCGTTAAAGTGAGTACATTTGGTGAAAAGATCCTTAAATTGATTGGTAATGGTGAAATACCTGCATTTTTACCTGTTTTTAATTCTGTGTCTCTGACGATTTCATCCCTAATCTTATCAAAATCGTGGAACTTTTCACCCGGTAAGTGAAGGAATTCACCCCATTCATCTGGGTTATTTTCATTCGTACGTTGTTCTATAAGTAGTGAGTATGTTGTCAAGCTGTGGAGGGAGAATCTAACCATTATCATCCTTTTTGGAAGTTGCAGGTCTATTGATAAGTTGTAAAACCTATAAGAACGCGTTTAGATTGCTACTGAAGAGTGTAGAGCGACATACGAGAGGTCTTCTGGTGACTATACCAGTGCCACGTGGGAGAAAGTCTCTACCGACCTAGTAGATGGCGTTAGCTGGTAATGGCATGATAGAAATGCGGAACTAACGATATTCTGGCCGTAAGATAAATATAAAGTTGTAACTATAAAAGACGATTACTAACCTCCAAAACGGATGATTTACCACTAAAATGAGATATTAGATTGTATATAAATAAATAAATAGTCTATTTACCTAGATTGTGATCCAATAACTGTAATTTGTGGTAAATCTATTGGATTTGGGATACCGACGTTTGTGAAAGCGTCCTGTAGTATAAATAAGGGGTGGATATATAATTATAGGATAACTCACTTGTAACTTATTGACTATTCCTATTATTTGACTGTCCATACTTTCTCACTGCGCACTGCGATGATGATGGTTTATTATGACGAATATACAACAAAAGAGAAGACAATTAAGAAAAGCTAAATTTATTTTTGATCAAATCATTCAATTGTGGCCAAATCTCATCTGAGGTTTTTCCTGAAACCGTCTCCAATCTGTTGCTTGACTGGTAGTATTCCAACAATGGCTCTGTGTGGCTTCTGTAGGTGTTCAATCTGGTTTTGAATGTATCCTAAGAAGCAGATAAGCTGGTGCAACTAGATGATAGATTATAGACTCACAACGTTGTCATCATCACGCTGTGTCAAAGCTTCTCCCGTTACATCATCTTTGCCTGCTACTTTTGGTGGGTTGTAACCAAGGTTGTATACCCTGCCGGACTTCTCGTGTATCCACCTCTGTTGTATTCTATCGAGGATGATGGAATCAGGTACGTCCAAGTTTATGACCAAGTTTATCGAATTGCTTTCTAATTGCTTGTCTAAAAGCTGTCCCTGTCCTATCGTTCTAGGAAAACCGTCTAGTATCCAGTGATAGTCGTGTACTTTCTCGAGTTCACTTGTTAGAAGCTTTAACATCACATCATCTGGGAGAAGGCCTATTAGAGGGTATGAATTAGGTACTCCTACTATAATAATGCAAAACCTACTTCCTTGCTTTATAACTTTATCCGCCTTTTGGCCTAACGGTGTTCCCATTCTGACATTCTTCCGTAATATGTCACCAGCTGAGAGTATCTTGAGCGTATTAGAGGCTGTGAATGGTAAAATAAAAGCTGCCCACATTAACATCATACGATTGCAGCTTTTGTGACATCGTCCCTTTACCAGATCCCTTGTAAAGAAGTAAGTTAGTGTCTATGATGTAAACTGGCCGGACTCACGGGTTTGCCGAATAAGAGTAACCTCATATTCTTCGTTGATGCATTTAAAATGCTTGTATATCTCATTTTACCGGGTATATATATCCGTGGACGTAATTAATAGAGCTAGCGGGTTTAGTCCGTTCAGTTCATTATCAGTAGAAATATAAAATCTATTAAAAATAATTTATTAAGTTATGCAAAGACCTTTGATCTTTCGAGTTCACCGGCTAAGCCCTTATCGAGATTTGAGATATCCTTCTTGCGTTGCTTTGATTCAGATTGTGTGTCTTTCCTATTAGAGTACTTCTCAGCCTTCTTCTCTCTCTCCATCTTACGGAGTTTGGTTGGTGGTAAGAATTCTAAAATGTATGAGTAAAAATTTCACCCTTGACAACACCAACTTACCTGGATTAGAGAACACAGTTGGGCCACCGAACGAACCTTCGAATATACGGATTGGGGTAAGGACGAATCTAGGACCAATTTCGACCAATGTTGTAGCAGGTGATTTGTTCTTGTTACCTAACTCTGCCTTGATGGTAGTCGCATCTTTTTCAACGATCTGGATGTATCGTGTGAGTGAGCCGTAAGTGGTTTCAGTAGATATGACCCACCTGATGTGATCTGAACCATATCTTACCATCGAGGTAAGAGAAGGACAAAACGTGATCAAAGAATGGTTTAACACGACGTGAAGTGCGTGGTACACCGAAAGTCTATCACTTTCGTCAGCCAATCACAGTAAAAAGAAGATAGCTTACGTGGGTAAAAAGTTCTTTCAAAAGTTGTAACCAAGGCTCACTATCAAATTCCTCACCAAAGCTGAGTATACCTCTTGATCCTTTAAGACAGTTTCCAGTCATTTTAAGCTCGTCCATTGTGTGTAAATTCTGTAAGTGAAATTTAACTGATGGTCCGTTAGGTGCTTTCGCGAGCCATAAGTATAAATCAGTAATCTGGGCGTGATGCTTTGTCTCGAAGAACATGATGTTGTTGCAGCTGGCGAGATCGGCGAGCTCATTGAGTGTTGCTAGTGACGTCTTTGAGCTGATCTTTGAGTCTATGTGTGGCGTCAAATGGGGCATAGATAAGCGCTATATACTCACCTTTCTTTGTGTGAGGGAGTAAGGCTTGCAAATCACTCATAAGATGTCTGTAACGCTCTGTTACACCCCTACTAGAGAGTACGAGGACGCGCTGCTTGTTTTGTACTGTTTTTTTTGTAGCTGGAGCATCAGCTTCGTCGTCACTGGCAGCTCTTTTCTTAGAGAGTGCTTTGAGTGTTGTAGACATTTGGTAGTAGAGGAAGTAGAGGAGGTAGAGGAAGAAGAGAAGAGGGAGAAGAGGGAGAATCAAGTGAGGGTTTTTCGGAGGGGATGGAAAATAACTCTAGGCTTTCGCTGGTGTATACTAACAGAAGACTGCCGTTAGACTTCTGAACAGCATCGCTATCCCAAATCTAGTCAGATCTCAGAGACAGAAAAACTGTACTGAAAGGATAGAAGGGTATTTGATTGCATAATGTATATGTATACATGCACTATCATCTCATTCACTAGAAAGGCTTTCTAAAAGCAGTTCGGTGACAGCTACCTGTCGTTGGGGCTACCGTCCAGGGAATTTAAAGAAGAGGTTTAGAATAATACAATAGAGCACTGCATCTAGTGGGAAAGCTAAAAAAATTATTTCATCTCTCCTTTAGACTCTTGGATCCAGCTTTCAGCTTGACGTCCACCAGCAGCGACAAGGACGACGAGATAACGGGAAAATAACGCCCCAATGATACTGGCAAACCCTATACCTAATAAAGCGAACGATTTGAGTAGATTATCTGGGTAGGTCTTACGCACTCAGTTTAGAAATGTCGCTGACTGCTTTCCAGCGACGCAGATGATCAGCTTGGCTTGACTTCACCTAATAACGTCAACGGTAGTACTCAAAATATCAACTCTTTTAATCCAGTTTCCGTTTCAAGAGCCAGCACACCAAATCACTCACACTCTTCTATTCCTTCACCGAGAAACCAAGCACAGATACAAACTGGTAAATTTTTGCTCCTCTCACAGCCAGGTTTGGAAGAGGATAAAATTTATAGCTTGATTATACAGCTTCAACAGCCCTCAACTAGAGAACAAGCTTTGTTGGAATTAAGTAAGAGAAGAGAAGCTTACGATGATCTGGCTCTCGTTTTGTGGCATTCATTTGGCGTTATGAGCGCTCTCTTGCAAGAAATTGTCGCAGTTTATCCTTTATTAAGCCCTCCTTCACTTACTGCACACGCTTCTAATAGAGTCTGCAACGCTCTCGCTCTACTTCAATGCGTTGCAAGCCACAATGAGACCAGAGGATTGTTCTTATCAGCTCATATTCCTTTATTCTTATATCCATTCCTCAATACAACATCAAAATCAAGACCTTTCGAGTACTTAAGATTAACAAGTTTGGGTGTAATTGGTGCTTTAGTTAAACAAAATGACAACTCTGAAGTTATCAATTTCTTATTATCAACAGAAATTATACCATTATGTTTGAGAATAATGGAAACTGGTTCAGAGTTATCTAAAACCGTCGCTATATTTATAGTACAAAAGATTCTACTTGACAATCTTGGTTTAGCATACATTTGTCAAACATATGAAAGATTCTACGCAGTTGGTACTGTACTCGCGAATATGGTAAATCAATTAGTTGAAACTCAAGCAGTTAGATTATTAAAGCATGTAGTCAGATGTTACTTACGTTTATCGGATAACCCAAGAGCAAGAGAGGCTTTAAGAGCATGTCTCCCAGAGCCATTACGTGATGCAACTTTCTCTGGATTACTTAAAGGTGATATGGTAACAAAGAGATGTCTGGCTACACTCCTACTTAACCTCTCAGATAGAGTTGAGTAAATATTAATTATTGGATGTACAAGCAAACAACAACATGCGTGTATTCGTGTATCAACAGAAGAAATTTGCATATGATCAAATCAATCAATCATCATTAATTATACAAAAAGCAAACCTGATCTTAACTTAATAATTTGGATACAAAATAAAATAACATAATGACAGTTACAGTACCCCACAAGTTTTTTTTCATAAAAATTCCTTAAAAATTGCACCCAACGAAAGTTCTCTCTCACTTAATTTGTATCAATGTATGAAATGTCATTTAGTATTCTTTAATAGTCTGAGATTGGTATTTGTGCTTGGGCGGCTGTCCAATCGATATTGTTTGACGATAATTTGGTTACGTCAATCTTACGTTTACGGAGGTAATCGATGGAGATGTTCTCAATAGAACCTTTAAGGACACCAATAAGGGTGTTTTCTATCCACATAAGGTAGTTCATCTTGTCCTCATCAACCCTCTTCTCTTCTTCCTCAAGCCAACTGAGAGGGAGTGACTGTGAGTAAGATGAGCATTGCAGTCCATGGGCTTTGTCAACAAGTGTGATGAGGAATCTCAAACGAACGTCTTCCTTTTCTCCGCCTTCGACTGATGTGATTTGTAATTGTGGACGTGCGCTTCTCTCAATGTATGGTTGAACACGAAGTTTGATGTGTGTGCGTTTGACACTTTGTTCTTCATTGTCCTTTTCATCTGCTATTTCTGAGGAAGTTCCTTGTTCGGCTTTCTTCTTCTCATTGAAGACTTCCTCTTCAGCTTCAATGAGAGCATTCAAACGCTCCTCTGTGAGTTGCAGAGCTGCAGATATGTTATCGAGGAGGTTTAGATTACGATTCTTCTCTTCTTTGTCGGTCTTTTGTGAATTGACGATAAGTTCGCCACCTTGTATAAGATCAAGGTGCTATAACCTCCAGTGAGTGGTTGACCATATGTTACTTTAAACCTACCTTTGATAAACCAGAGTAAACTACGTCAGTAATTCCATCATAGCCGACCATATCATGAGAAACCCAGACTTCGAGTAATTCAGCATCGGAAATTGGTGGCACAACAGCATTGTAGATGTCACTGAGTGCGTGTTTACCTTGCTCTGCCAAATCGTGGGCTATCTTATCCAAACCAGCGCCTTTGACCAAGCCACCGATTTTATTCTTCCATTCTGGTGCGTTGGCTGCATGAAGTGCATTCATAGCATTCTGCTTGGCTGTTGTCTGCTCAGCGACATGCTTGGCCTGTGCGAGTGCAGCCTGTGCTTGTGTTTGGGCGGCTGAGAACCAACTTCCCCAGCCAGTAGGCTTCTCAGCGATGTGCTCCTCTGATGCAGTCTCACGTTGCTTCCCCTTATCGAGGGTTGGTGAACCCGTCGGAGTCTTGTCGTCGAGGCGTGGACTAGAAGCGTTCTTTTTAAGAGCCAGGTTCTGTAAATACTGAATAGTCTTCTCAGCTTCCTCCGTCTGGGCTGATTGTGGCTCTTCGTACTTTTCTGACTCTGGGTGGTGTTCTTTCTCGTGGCTGCTATCTTGGCTGACGGAGATAGCCGCACCGGGCGTCTTCAAATCTGTATCGAGCTGGTCTAGAAATGATAGCACCTCCTTTGAGCGCGTCGTTTTCTTCTCGTCTGTCATTGTTGAGGAGTAACAGTGCGCAATTATATCATAAATGATCAAATAAATAAAAATATATAGTTCTATACAAATTACTTGTTCTTCTTCCTGCTCTTACGAGCTGCGTCTCCAACTTGTCTGTCGAATCTGCCTCGTTTGTTTGACGCACTCTCAATTGTATTGGCTGTCTCACCTCTAGCACGCTTAGCTGAAGCCTTATCGAGTGCGCTGCTCTTCTTAGAGAGTTTATCAAGTTCGTCGTAGATACCTGCTCTGCCGTTTTTAGATTTGGACGGCCTGCTATCAACAGCGCGCAGAACATCGTCAAATTCACCATCCAATCCACCAACACGTCTACCACGCATGACACCACTACCACCAAGTGCGATATCAGCTTCGTCGCGTAACCTCCTGTTAGCGTCTTTGCGGTTTTGTACCAAACGTGTGAAATTCTCCTCTTCATAATCTTGCATATGTTGCAATTCACGGGCACGTCTACTTGATAATTTCGAAGGTACGTCTGCCAAACCAGATGATGACTGCATTGTAACTTCGTTTCCACCAACCAATTCAGGTAGGATCGCCGCTGGGATTACCTTCTTCTTGTCTTTCTTAGTTTTTTCTGGATCTGTGTATGGGACTGCTGCTAGTTTTGGTGGTCTATATACGCCATCATTTTCTTCTTCATCGTTTTCGTTGCCGTTGTCGTCTTTGGCATTCTTGTTGAGTAGGGCTGATGGATTTGGCTTAAATGCTAATGGATCAACGCTATCTTGTTCTTCTTGAGCACCACTAGCTGCGCTAACGAGTTTGTCTATCCTATAGCGCATCTTTGTAGATAAATTCCTAGACTTTTCGTGTATAACTCTCAATTTAATCAGATCGTCTACTATATCGCCAGATTGTACTTCTGATGCACCCCTAGCTTGTATTGATGATTTTCTTAATCTGAGTGTAGACAAATGGATGAGATCGTGTATATATTGAGTCAAAGTGTGGCATTTTGCAGTTAAAATAGGTAAACCATTTGAAGGAATATCGCTATTAGGTGTTAGATTTTTACATCACTATAGAGGCTACTAACGTATTATTTAAAGCTTCTATAACGCCTTTAACGCTCTCAACAGATTGCTGTATTGTCTGTAAAGATTCTCGTATTTCTGACATTTTAGATCGTCGTAGTCGAGAAGACAGCAACTTGTAAGCTGACTATCAGGGTTTATTACTGAAAAATGGGTGTACTTGAGAAAGTAAGTGAATATAATATAATATATCTATCTATTTACTTATTATCCACTACAGATACAAGAAATTGAAGGTATATAGTCAATAACTAGTTGGTTAATCTACTCACAACCGAACAGATGAAATGAAGAGGTGGGGATCTCATGCAGTCAGACAGCACTTCTAATGCACAGCCAGAACTCAGAAGAATAAGGCGACTGAGTATCACTTGGGTATGGCTATCTTACCACTCTAGGACCCACATTTACACCCACGAAGGTCAACTTAAAGCCAAATTGGCGAAATATAGACAACAACTATTGGAACCAACTACTAAGTCTTCAAAACCGGGTGAAGGTTTCGATGTCATGAAGGTTCGTTTCTCTCTTATCATATGAATATCCACTCAGACCAGAAATAGAGCGGTGACGCCCGTATAGTCATGATTGGTGGGGTTATATCTTCTATTCTTTGTCCACGAAGGTTGACTTATATAAGGTTTCCCTTCTGTCGGTAAATCAACACTTCTCTCCAAGACAACAAAGACAGAATCTGCCACTGCAGCTTATGAGTTCACAACTGTGAGTGAATAACGTAGCTTATTTTACTATTATTGATATCCTCTTAAGCTCACTGTATCGTCTAACTCATCCTTAAAATGTTCGTGCTGACAATCTTCAGGCCATCCCAGGTGTCTTGGAGTACGAAGGTACCCGCATCCAGCTTCTCGATTTGCCGGGTATTGTTGAAGGTGCCTCAGCTGGTAGAGGTAGGGGTAGACAGGTCGTTTCTGTAGCAAAGACCGCCGATTTGGTATTGATGGTGCTTGACGCTACTAAATCATTAGAGCAAAGAACCTTATTGGAGTATGAGGTAGGTGTTCGGTATTTCTGGAAACACTCTAACAACCACCAGTTGGAAGCTGTTGGTATTCGTCTCAACAAAAAGAAGCCGGATGTTCAAATCAAGAGGAAGAAGACAGGTGGTGTTACCATCAACTGCCCTGTCGAATTGACAAAGACAGACCAGAGAACGTTGAGGTGAGTGTAATCACCTAAAAATATACCCCCTCTAAACAGACATAGGTCTATTCTTCAAGAATATAAGATCCACAATGCAGACGTAATGATTAGAGAGGATGTGCGTGTTTCTTTACAACACATGATCGTATCTGACGGCTAATTGTTATAGATAACAGCAGATGACTTCATAGATGTTGTTTTGGGTAATGTTCGTGTTAATGTTAACCTCCTGCAAATTCAACTTAACACCAATGCAGAGAAAGTACATGAACTGCTTATATGCGTACAACAAAATAGATGGTGTATCTTTGGAAGAAGTAAATAGGTTAGCACACCAAGACCACACAGTACCGATCTCATGTGAGATGGATCTCAACCTTGACTACCTGATTGAAAGAATGTGGGAACAATTAGATTTACTTAAGGTATACACAAAGAGACGAGGAGTACGTTTATACTTGTTTAACACACTCTTTACTAACCAAATAAACTCAAGACACACCCAGATTTAGATGAGCCAGTTTGTCTTCGTAAAGGCGCAACAATCGAACATGTTTGTCATTCAATTCACAGATCATTAGCGGAATCATTCAAGTATGCAATCGTTTGGGGCAAATCAAGTAAATTTAGTCCACAACCTCAAAAAGTTTCGTTCAGTCATAGAATAGCTAATGAAGACGTTGTAACGATTGTAGCATAGAAAACTTTCATATATTTTTGCTTAGAAATTTGATTGACAAAAAGTATTAGAAGAGAAAAAAATAAGTATTCTGAATTAAATAATTACTCAATTAGCTAGTGCTTTTTAAAGTTGTCAAATAAATTGTCCGATGAGGGATGTGTCAGGAAAATGCAAAGGATAATAATTTTGACTAGCCGTAAATATTGAGATTGATGGGTACTATTTATTAGTTGTTAAACTTGTTACTAATATAATTGTTCAAAGACCAATAAGAAAAGAAGATAACTAGATATTTTGACAGATATCACAAGTGACATCTACTTGATTTTTGATCACCAATGGTACGATGATTAATGCTGCGAATCCACAAATTACGGTCAAGTAAATGAGTGAGTATCTGAGAACGATTGAACGTCTTTGAGCTCTAACTTTGAATGAGAATATTGGTGGTCTGATTTGCTTTGAAGGTCTAAGCCAGAATAAACCAGTTGAGTGAATCTTGTCAACAAATGGAATTAAGAGTGGTAAACTCAAACCAATGAGAATGATATGACATAAGATAAGATCTGCAGCGAATAATGAACATTCAACAACCTTAACTAAGAACTCTCTGAGGGGTTGAGAGACTGCATGCCAGCCTAATCCAGTAGACCACCATTTACCACTCCACCAAGCTCTGTTAGATTCATCGTTCTTGAACTCTCTAGTCAAGAATCCTGAAATGATTATCTTGAAGAATGCTCTTTGGATTGAGATAGCTGCCAACATACCAATAACAATGTTAGCGACTCTCCATCTCTCCAAATACCAAATAAATTCGAAGAAACCTAATAATCCAATGACAGCCAAACAGTGAACTGTTGCTGCGATGAATGCTGGGAATCTAGGCATAAAGTGTGTTAACATTGGACCCAAGAATAAAGATGTCAAGAATCCAACAATAAGAACTGCGGCATTCCATACGATTGGACCGAATGCAAAGATCAATACTCTTATGAATGCACTACCTTGTTGATAACCATCAACTGGGAACGATTCCATGAACATGTAAGCAACTGAGAGAATGATTGCCATTGAAATTGGCCAGAGAATCTCTGAGAAAATGACAGTTCTCCAGCCAGCTCTTGCAACATCACCAGATAATTTTTCAGATGGATGTCCAAGACGCTTCTTCTTGTAACCTGTAATTCTAGTTCTTGACAATCTGCAGTATCCAATCCATGAGTTGGCATGGGAGCGTGAGTTACCTCTGCTCATCCATCTCAAGAATTCTCTGTAATCAATGATGAAATCGCTCCTTGAGAATTGATGTGGGTTGAATAAGAATGGTGCGATTCTACGAAATTAGTTAACAAATATCACTTGTAAGATAATAACTCACGTTAAGGCAGCAGATGAAATCCAGAAGTAGATAATGTGTGGAATCCAGTTGGTTAAGGTAACGAAGAGCAACATCATGAGCGTTCTCATACCCATATAAATAGATGGACCTGCGAATCTAGAGAACAAGATTGGGAAACTGATTCTAGATGTAGCGAAACCACGACCGGTAGCGATATATCTTGCACCACCGAATGTCAAAGAAGTGATAATTGAGTGACGGTAGATTTGAGTGGAGAAGACCTCAAACAGTGGCGACAATGACAAGAAGTGCTTCGACAACCTGATGATGGCCTTGAAACTACCTCTTTCAGTCAATTCTTGAAGGAAGAGCGGCAAGAATGCGATCATGAAAACCAAGAAAATTGAAATGATTGTTCTCTCAATCCAGTCGTAGAGTGGTGACAAATTGTAACAACCAGGTTGACCACCGAGGTAGTCACCAGAAGATGAGTATCTACAGATATCAAGCATCTCGTTAAGTGTACCAAGGTAGACCATAGTAGTTGTAATGATTTGAACCGAGAAGATAACCAAAATGTTGTTGACGTGGAAACCACCGTGACCGTAGTAGAAGGTAAGGAATCTGTCCATTGGAAGTTGTGTACCGAGGTAATAGTATTCTCTTGAAATCATTTGTTCACCCATACCAGTACCAATCTTGGTTTGGAAGTTAAGAATAGTACCGAAACCAAGATCACGTCCTTTACCACATTGGTAGTACTCAGTATGTTTGATACGACCACCTCTTGAGAATGCAGTCATACCACCGAAAATATCTTCATTCAAGTGTAAACCTTTTTGTGCCTTGGCAACACCACCACGAGTAGTCATGAATACAGCGTTTAAGAAATCTGGGTGACCATAGTGAAGTTTACCACCAATTTGAGAAAGCGCTCTAGCAGCCATTGTACCGAATGTTTGTTCTTTACCTGCAGCAATATCACCAAGAATACCGATGTTTTCAGAGAAAATGTATTCACGAGCACCAATGATAGCGACTGGAGATTTCTTAAATTCAGCGTGACCCCATTGAGCATATGGTGATTGACTTGATACAGCGTATTCTTCGAATTCACCGAGAATGTTACGGATCTTAAGACATTCTTCAAGGTAGTTATCCTAATAAGGGTGTTAAAATTATGTGCAAAGCGAAATATGACTACACCTACTTGGTTAGCATCAATGAGTTGTAAATATTCACCACGGTAGAAAATAAGAGCATGATTTTGATTGTCGGATTTACCATCACCAAGGATAGGGTTACCTGGCAATTCAACACGGAATTTAGGACGACGTTTTCCATTTGGCATTATCTCTGAGTGACCATCAATCAAGGCTGAGAACATACGTGGTTCAGCACCCTCCTTCCTTGGAGGTTCTTCATCGATGTATGCAATCTGAAGATCCGGGTATGCACGCAAAATGAATTCTGCATTCTCTTGTTCTTCCTTGTTAAATTTGGAGTATCTTTGCATAGAGATGATGAACTTGAATTTACGTCTAGCCATGTATTCCAATTCACGCTCCAATCTGTCAGTGTTACCACCGAATAACTGAACGACTTCTGGGTTTTCGACACGGTAAAGAAGTTTGATAGCCTTTGAGTAGTTCATGAAACCAGAGATAGTACGGTAGAGAGTTTGTGCTCTGAGAGAAGCCCAGATACGAGTACGGAGTGTGTATTCTGGTGCTGCACTCTTGAAACCGATACAGTAGAATGGTAAGTCGTCCGCCTTCTTTGGTGTGTCCTTTTCATCTTGTGATGGTGAACCACCGAATGGGTAACTTCCTGGACCGCCGTAAGCTGCTGACTCCTCTGCCAAAATCTTGGTGTCCTTGACAAAGTTATCCCATTCGACAGGATGTAATTGCTTGAGATATTCGAGCAATGTAACCCTAGTGTTTGTGTCTTCTTCACGAATAATTTCTCTCAAAGATAACAAGATCTTTTCTGAGTAGTGAGGAACCAAGACGGTGAATGTAGGCATGGCATCGACTGGAAGAGGTTCTGGAATTGATGTCGTGAGGGATTGTGCAAAGAAGGAAATACGACGTTCTGCTTCTGAACCAGCTGGGAAGAACTCGGCTTTCAATCCACGATCTTCTTGACTAATGAAGAATGCTGGAGCCCTGAGTGTACGTTTACCATCATGCTCAGAAGGAACTTGGTGGTAGAGGAGTTTCTGAACGTGATCAATGGAGAGTAAGTGTTCACGGTACATAGAAATAATGATGGCGTTCCAGACTTGAGAAACCAAGACCTTTGGTTTGTACTTAACCTCCATGTCAGCGGTAGCGAGCAACTTGGCGTAGATACGCTTTGGAAGACGTTGGAAGATGTCTTTCCATGGTGTCCAAATAGATAATCCGAGTGCGAATGAACGAGCAATCGAAAAGACAGATGACCAAATGACGTACCAAAGGTACTATGGGGGTGTTAGCTGTGATTAAAAGGGAAAATGAAAACCTACAGTATCCAAGAAGAAAAGACATAAGTCCATAACAAACATGATAGCCAAGGTGAATGCTGCGTGATTTGTACACAAAGCATTGCTGAAGAGCTTATCATTACAGTTCTGAATCTTCATACCAACCATGACGGCGAGTGGATCCTTGAATGAAAGGGTCAAGAAGAAGTAAGATTCAGTGAATTTACATCCGAAGACCAAGATCCAAAGTGCAAGAGATGCGGCGCGACCACTTGGAGTGAGAGATGGATAAGAAGCAGTGAATGTCTGACTAGCAGCATACTTTCTATTTTTACCAGAAACTCTATCACCGAGGATACGACCAGATGGGACAATACCGAGGAAGACAGTAACTAAAACCGAGAATGCGAATTGACAGATGGATAAAATCAATGCTGTTCTACTATCTCTATCGAAACCGGCTACGTAGATAGTAGGACCGACGCAACCAGCTAAACAAATTATGAGGAAAATTAGTTTGCGGGTGAGGTTTGATGCGTTGTGCCAGGTTGTAGGAATGAAAATGAGTTCAGCAAGGGTAGCACCAAGCATAATAACGGTTGCAACTGCACCACCGAGTGCGGTAGCAGACCATTGCATGGGTTGTGTTGGCGCAGGATCACCATAACGTCGGTAAACATTTGGAGCGTTCCATGCGGTGTAATACCAGTAAACAGCAATGTGCGCTATCCAAATACGATTGAAGTTGACAAGTAAATGGAAGAAAGATCTACTCTCTTTGAATGTCTTGAAAAATACGGAGTACCAATCAATCTTGTCGAATTTTAAGAAACGTTGAGCAGGTGGAACGTCCACAAGACGAGTTTTGTCGGTTAAGACGATCCTGTTGATACCCTCTGGGTACCAGAAGAGTTGGTTGATATCGTCGTAACCAATGATATCTTCATGATCCTGCTCACGCTTTACGAATTTACCATCTACAATTTCATAACCTTGATCACGGTAGTATCTGTAGAGTGGTTTGATGACGGCACGGAGGTAGAGACCCTCAGGAACCGGGTCAACACGACTTTGACATTCAGGTGAACGGTAGTAATCGTCAGCGCACTTGAAGATGAAACAGACGCATTCGGGCATGAAACGCACGTTTCCAGCTTCACCCCAACAAAGGAGGTATAATGCGATTTGACGTAGTCTATCGTATGGCGACATGTTGTGCATTGCCTGACGCCAGCGATTCTTTGCAGACTCCAAAGATTTTTGACCGGCAGACATCAGTTTTGCTTTCTTTCCCTTCGTGAAGGAGAAACCACCGCCGTTTGATTTGCCTATTGCATCGTCGAGGTCGAGCTGAGAAAGTTAAAAACGAAATAAATATATGAAAAGTACCGACCTGGGCAGCAAAGTACCATCTACGATAGTTTGCGTGTTCACCACCGATATAATCAGCGTGGAGGGTTGTTAAGGCCTGCTCGGGACTCATTCTAGAGGATCTTGAATCCAACTGGATCATGAGATGATCATATTGATTCCTACATGAATCCCTCTGAAAACCGAACTTATTTGTTAAATCGATGAAAATGTCTTCAATTTCCTCTTTCGACATCGGAATTTGATTCTCAACGGTCCAGCTAGGGTAGGGTTCGCGTGGTCTCTGTTCACGGAAGCTGGATTGCTGACCGCCTAGGTAGCTAGGTGTGCTGGTTCCAGACTGATAAGGTTTGTTCATAAGTGATTCGGATGAAGCGCCAAACGGCTGTTCTGGTTTGCGATCTGAGATGAGTTATGAGTTAGGAGAGGGGAGGAGATATATGGAATACGCACTATATTCCCATTCTTGCTCGTTGAATGGATCGTCTAGTTCGTCAATTGAGTTGTTGTGCTGTTGACCGTTGTAGGCCATTTTAAGGGAAGTCTCTGGGGATGGTATATCTATAAGAGGTCCTAGATTGCAGATAAACCAAGATCTCTATAGATCTCTTAATATATTTTATTTGACTTGGTCGTCTTGTTTGAAGATGTGCTCAGCTAAATTCAAATTCCAAACAGAGGCACGTAGCGATTACTTAGTTAGGAAGGTATATACGCAAACAGTTTTATTAATTTATTAATTCGCGTTACTTTGCCTTATTTTATGCCTGCATAACGCTAATTGTTACTAGGAACACAGCCTTAGAATTGGGAGGACTTTATGAAGATTTTCACGAACCTGGCATTTATATCTTGGAACAAATAGTTCTTATCTATCGGTACCGGAGATGGAAAGAGTGTCGCTATATGGCCGTGCCTGCGATGTCTTGGATTTGTCTGTGTATCTCGATATCGGGGTGTATCTCAATATCAGGGTCCATCTTTTATTACTCTTGGTACCTCCGTGAAAGATGAGCGAGGAGGGTGAAAGAAGATGTGGTGTAGATACGAGGTGAACTATATGTTTGTGTCTCTGCGACATCACTCTTCACCTACTTCACGACCCTGAACTCGTATTGCTTCCGAGTAGGCAGTATAGAGTAGAGAATATAGTTGTAATAATATATATGCATACGGATATATTGTTTGTCTGAATAATATTTCTTCTCGCGTCAGCTTGTTTGATTTTTTACTTCGCTTCATACCGGTCTACGAGGAACTGTCATCGAGTTGTTGATAGCTCAATACCCAAATATTTTATGGCCACACCAACTCCATACCCTGAGAGTTACAGTAACAAAATACCTGTAACGCTCCCCTCTGAGCGCAACAAGGTTAGGAAGAGAACATCCAGAAATGACTACAGACGCGTAAATAAGCCAGCATATGGGGACGGATATTTTGGACGCTTAGGGAAGCGTTACGGTGCGGGTACTGCTCCAGATAACGAAGGCTATCCTGAGTGTGATAATGTTTCAAATTCCGTTGTTACCTGCTATCCAGATGCAGACACCTCTATAAGATCAGGCGACTATTCAAAACTAATATGGAATCCTAATTTACCACAATTGTGGGTTTTTGTTTTATTATCCTTCATTTCTCACACATCATAGTACGGAATCTGGTGATCTTGACATTTATCTTTTCTCAGCGGATACAGAACAAGTCGTACAAAGCTGGAAGGACGTTCCTAACCAGCGTGGCTCACAGCCCATCAACCCTGGCGACGACTGGTGGTCTCCTATCGACGATGGTTGGGGTCCCTACGATCCAGAGAACTCTTCTCAGTGGGCAGACACGACGCGTGATTGGACGTACTATGCCGTCCTTGTGCCCGCCGGACAGTCACTCAGTGGCGGTGAGGAACATCAAGCTACTTTCACTGCTGTGCAGACAGCACCACTTCAAAATCTTGTCGCTTCAAGTTCCAGTTCTAGTATGTCATCTGCATCAAGTCAGAGTAGCATATCTAGTCTTAGTACGGCCTCTCTGGCGAGCGCAAGCGCGACCCAGTCTGTAGTGTCTTCAGTATCTAGCGTATCCTCGGCTTCAATGGCAAGTTTATCATCAATTTCACAATCAAATAGCGAGTTATATTCTTCAATGACCCGTTCCTCCCAATCCACACGGTCGGTCTTATCTACGGCAGCAACTATGAGCGCGATAACGACGACAGACTCGAATGGCGATAGGGTGACTTCATCAGTAAGGTCCACACCGACTGGTGTATTGCAAGATAATGGCGACGACGATAGATTCCCCGCCTGGGGTATAGCTGTAATAGTAGTCCTCGGTGTTCTCGCTTTATTGGGTATTGCCGGCGCGATGTATTTGCTTGCGAGACATTTGAGGCGCACTCACGGAGCGGCCGCAGCGGCAGAAGCGGGTGGAGCTGCTGGTGGAGCGAACACACCGACGCAGTCTGAGCCGTTGATGAAGGAGAATCAACCAAATGACGGTTTATTGGCAGCAGGTGGAGGCGCTGCTGGAGGTGCAGCGGGTGCAGCAGTGGGTGCAGCAGCTCTAGGTGCTCGTTCAGCATCGAGCGAGAGGTCCTCAGCGGAGAACGACAACGGAGACGGACCGATTACTTCAAATGAGGCAGCTGCGATGGCTGATGCATTCAGACAAGCACTACGCTCTCCAGAGTTCGATAGTGGTTCAAACAGCAATAAACTGAACAACTCTGATCCCAACACGACAGAGTCTTCGAACCAGGGCCTGACTGGCATACAAGAGAATTCTGTGGCTAGACAGCCAGAGCTCGTCAACGCCTCTGACGGCTCACACTAAATACAAGAGACACACTAGTGAATAATAATTTATGTAGCGCTTTGTAATATGGACAATTGGTTTAATGAATAATTGTATATGCTATATGCTAGCCTCTTGGTTGTTGACTGCCAACTCTTGATATGGGAGATCAATTTATCAGTGATGCCTTTATAAGGGTGTGTATAGAGCTAACAATAGCGTTGTTATCTAATCTTCTACAGCATCTCGGTGTCGCCGATTCAAAAATGATAGATTACGCAAAAGATCTTGCGACGTCAGCCAAGTCGTCAGACTCGCTCTTCACGAAGCTCACAGCGCTCGGTTTCCCTCAGAATGGAGACGTCTCCTCCTTCGCGAGCGATCTCTACAACGCTGTACCCCGTAGATCTAAGACCAAGCATGATTTCTCGAAGGCTGATAACAGGGAGGCCAGAAAGAAGAAGGAGAAGGATACTATCGATATCAAGTCACAAAAATACGGTCTACTGCTCGATGACAATGAAGCGAGCACGTCGACTCTCCCCACTCTCCCTATGAAGAAGAAGGACAGGAAGACCAAGGAGAAGCGTTCCTATAGGAAGAGAGACGATGACGATGCCTGGAAGAGCGATGAGGAGGAGAAGTCGAGGAAGAGAGCGCGTGAAATGTCCCCAGATAGCGCACCTCCTGGCGCCCGTACTAACGATGAAGAAATTGAAGACGAGGAGGAGAAAGAGAGGAGACTGGCCGAAGAGGATGCAAGAGAGCGTGACGAATTCGCCGAGCGTATGAGAGCCAAAGACAAAGACCGCACAAAGAAGTTGGTCGAGGACCGTACAAACGATTCGGAAACAGCAATGAGGAGGAAGCTCGCAGACGATAAGGAGGCACGCAAAAATGCTGTGCCAGATTTGCGTATGCGTTCTCGCCAGGAATATCTCACAAAGCGTGAAATGCAACAGCTCGAGTTGCTCAAGAAGAGTATCGCGGATGAGGAGGCAATGTTCGCCGGTGTAAGGATGTCCAAAAAGGAGATTGACGAACTCAATCGTAAGAAAGCCGCCCTCGCGTTGGCCGAGGAGCGACTCAAAATCGACGACAAGGTTGATGGGTATATGCTTCCAGAGGATTATATCACCGAACAAGGGAAGATAGACTCGAAGAAGAAAAACAACGTCCTCTACGCTCGCTACGAAGAGGGCAAGAAGGGTCAAGATCCTTCCGAGTTCGTCACCGACGTCGACCAGTGGGAGAAAGAACAAACCGATAAGGCCCAGCTCAAGACCGGCGCACTCGATAGGGAGGAAGCCGTAGACGATTATGACTATGTCTTTGACGAGTCACAGACTATCCAGTTTGTCGTCGATACCCAACTTTCGGGTACCAAGCGCCAGACAACTGAGCAAGCACAGATGGAAGCACAGATTAAGGATGCTGAGAGGAGGGCACAGAGTATAGATCAGGTGAGGAAGTCGCTCCCAATTTACGACTACCGCGACGACATCCTCAAAGCTGTCGAAGAGCATCCCGTTCTCATTGTCTGCGCTGAAACAGGATCTGGAAAGACAACACAGTTGACACAATACCTCCATGAAGCGGGATATACCAAAAATGGAATGAAGATTGGCTGTACTCAACCGAGACGTGTGGCTGCTATGTCGGTCGCTGCGAGAGTCGCTGAGGAAATGGGCACGAAAGTGGGCTATGAAGTTGGGTATTCTATTAGATTCGAGGATATGACTTCGGACAAGACGGTTGTCAAGTATCTCACCGATGGTATGCTTCTCAGAGAGTTCCTCACGGAGCCGGACCTGGCGAGTTATTCTGCCCTTATCATCGACGAGGCCCACGAACGTACGCTTTCGACTGACATCTTGTTCGGTTTGGTGAAGGACATCGCCAGATTCAGACCCGATCTGAGATTACTCATTTCGTCTGCGACTATGGACGCCGAGAAGTTTAGTGAATACTTCGATGATGCGCCGGTATTTTATGGTAAGTGGTTCTTCATTGTAGGAACTGGCTGACATCTTCCAGTTCCTGGTCGTCGCTACCCAATTGATATTCACTACACCCCTCAACCAGAAGCCAACTACCTACATGCAGCCGTTACTACAGTTTTCCAGATCCATACTACACAACCACGCGGCGACATCCTCGTCTTCTTGACAGGACAGGATGAGATAGAAGCTGCTGCCGAAAACATCCAAGAAACGGCCAGAGTATTGGGTGACCGGATAGCGGAGCTGCTCGTCTGTCCCATCTATGCCAACCTGCCGTCGGAAATGCAAGCCAAGATATTTGAGCCCACACCTGAGGGAGCAAGGAAGGTAGTTTTAGCAACAAACATCGCTGAAACCTCGATCACGATTGATGGTGTCGTCTTCGTAATCGATCCTGGTTTCGTCAAGCAGAATGCCTTTAATCCACGTACAGGTATGAGCAGTCTGATAGTAACGCCCTGCTCGCGAGCTGCAGCAAAGCAGAGAGCTGGTAGAGCCGGTAGAGTGGGACCTGGAAAGTGCTTCAGATTGTATACCAAATGGGCACATAACAATGAGTTAGATGAGAGCACAGTGCCCGAAATACAGCGTACTAACCTAGGCATGGTTGTGCTTATGCTCAAGAGTTTGGGTATTAATGACCTCATCGGTTTTGATTTCATGGATCCGCCACCGGGTGAGACTATCATCAAGGCACTCGAAATGCTCTACGCACTTGGAGCTCTTAATAGCAAGGGCGAGCTCACGAAGATGGGCAGGAGGATGGCTGAGTTCCCGGTCGACCCTATGCTTAGTAAGGCCATCTTAGCGAGCGAAGGCTATGGATGTACCGAAGAGGTGCGTTGATAGACAGCACTTATTATCACTAACGGCCCGTAGGTGCTCAGTATTATCGGTATGCTCTCCGAGTCTGCTTCTCTCTTCTTCCGTCCAAAGGACAAGAAGATGCATGCCGATAAAGCAAGGCAGAACTTCATCAAGCCCGGCGGAGACCACTTTACGCTACTCAACGTCTGGGAGCAGTGGGCAGATACTGGTTTCAGCCAGCAATGGTGTTACGAGAACTACGTCCAGTATAAGGTGCTCTGCCGCGTGCGGGACATCAGAGACCAGCTGGCTGGGTTGTGCGAACGGGTCGAGCTCTTTGTCGAGAGCACCCTCAAGGCTGGCGAGATAATACCCGTGCAGAAGGCGATCTTGAGTGGCTACTTCTACAACACCGCTCGACTAGACAAAGGCGGCGGCTCCTACAGGACCTTGAAAAGTAGGTGCTGAAACGCTTTCATAACAGCGCTGACGGTGTGACAGCTAACCAGACGGTGCATATCCACCCCACGAGTTCAGCATTCAATATGCAGCCACCGCCTCGACACATCCTCTTCTACGAGCTGGTGCTGACCTCGAAGGAGTACATGCGGCAGATAATGCCGATACAGTCGAACTGGCTGATCGAAGTTGCCCCGCACTACTTCACGTCCCAGGACCTCGAGGACCTGAATAGCAGCAACAGGAAAATGCCGAAAGCAATAAAGAAATAGAGCTGTGATCTTTGCACGCTATTTGTAATGAATAAATTATTCCTTTTGAACTTACATTTCCATAATTTATATCTTTAGATCAAACGACCACAAATGGCCGACAGAGAGCGTCGAGAAGCGAACGACGAGAGGGCGCAGACGCCGCAGAACGAGCAGAATGAGCAGAACGAGCAGAACGAGCACTTCGCGGGATTCAACAGGACGTTCATCGTCCAGCTCGACGATTTCGTAGATGGCAACCAATCAGCAAACGCTGGCACGGATCGGGATAGCGGCGCTGAGCAGCCACCTGAAGGCCCTGGTAGGTTCCATATCCACTTCTTGACACTCTCTCACAGCCGCTCTCTAGAACGTCCCGCCCGTCCAGTCCTCCCCTTCCAGATCCTCTTATCGTCGTTCATGGCTGCATTACGGGCACGCAACGGCGCTGGGAATGGCGACAACAACACCGGCGATTTCGCTGGGATGGGTGGCCATATACAGATAGAGCGTGGTCCGCTCCTCCCAGAGTTCTACCCTATGCACCAGCACCACCACAGTGAGGGACATGCCCACGCACATCCGCCAACACCCACAAACAATCCAGCCAACGGTAACGGTGAAATGGGCGAGCGCAGCAGCCTCCTAGAGAGGATAGAAGAGCTCAGAAGCAGAAATCCCTATGGCGAACAGGGGGCCTTTCCGCCGCCATTCACTATCACTATCAACTTCCCAATAGCCGGTGGGCTGCATCACGAGAAGAAGCCCGACCCAGCCCGCGCCGAGCGGATCCTGAGTGCTCTCCCAAAACTACACAAGGGCGTCACCAGACGCATGAGCAGGGTCGGCATAGAGACCACCTGCGGTGTCTGTCTTGACAGCCTCAACGCGAGAGCGGAGCTCCAGAAGCCAGAAACCGAAGAAGGCGAAGCTAGCACCTCGGCCGTGCCCCCAGAAGAGGAAGCCCGGCGCGAGGAAGAGATCGTCGCTCTGCCGTGCTCGCACGTCTTCCACTCCAACTGCCTCAGGCCGTGGTTTGCGCTGCACACACTCTGTCCAATGTGCAGATTCGACCTCGATCCCGAGTCGATGACGATGTCCACGCCCCCTCCGGAGGAGAACAGGAGCGAGGGCGACGGCAACCCCTTCGTCAGCATCATCGAGCGTCTCGTTCGCGGCAACAGAGAGCGCGCGGGCAGAACCCAGCAGCAAGAGGCCGAGCAGTCGAACAACGGCGGGAGAGCTGAGAGCGCGTTTTCGGCGAGGCAGAATAGACACCACCCGTATGCACGCACGCGGTCGGCGACTGACCCGCGCGGCGAGCGCTCGGAGCGCGCTCTGCGTGGCGTGCGCGCAGACGAGAATGCCAACAACGCCACCGCCAACACACATCCAGACACGAGAAGCGCAGAGGAGGAAATGCCCCGTCCGGCGCCGCCGCCGAAGAAGTTCGAGATACCAAAGGCCAGCCGTTCGCTCGAGGATATCCTAGTCAAGCGCGAAAGGGAAAGCGGCTTCAGGTGCGACATGAAAGACTGCAAGCTCGGTCCGACAGACGAGTCCGACGCCCTCACAACCGCCAACATGCTCTCCATCGGCGGTTCAGAAAAGCCCGCCTGTGCCCACTTCCTGCACTCCCACTGCTATCACCTCGCGAACAGCGGCTGCCGATACTACAACCTCGAGCATACGCACGACGACGGCCGCGTCGACTCTAAATGCCCGGTGTGCAAAGCAGCCGGGAGGGTACACAAGCACGAGTTGGCATACTAGTCTCCTCATTGCCTATCTGCTGATCTGCCGACAGCAACTGGATAACGAATAAAGTAGAACGATAACGATTTTGCATCTAGCATCTTTTGTATATACACCCACACTCATATAACTCTCTCCTAACTGAGTCTTACAATGATGTGATAATCAACGTGCTTATCGCGGATGTATTTGATTTGATTGTGCAAGTGATTTACACGAGGGGATGAGTGTTTCGGTAGTTTTATATGTTTTATATCTATGTTTATCATTTTTGTGTGCCGAGTCGCTATCTAAATGAACGAGCTCGAATGCGAACCTTACGTCAATTAGCCTAGACTAGACAAACGTTTAATTAAATGCATAGAATAATCCAAAGTTTCTTCCTTTTACCTTGTCACGATGCACTTTAGACTTTCTACTTTGAACTTCCACAATAGAAAAGGGATGGGTAACAAATCATCGAAGCTGCCACCGCAGGATTTAGAGAGTCTCATTAAGGAGACATACTTCGACAGGAGAGAGATTAAGCAATGGTTTGTCATTTACTTCCCTAATAGAAATAGAGCACAGCTTACTTGGCGTAGGTATAGGGGATTTCACAAGGATTGCCCAAGTGGTGAGCTCGACGAGCGTAGTTTTGCAGAAATATACAAGCAGTTCTTCCCATTCGGAGATCCTTCTAGCTTTTCCAAGCATGTTTTCAAAGTATTTGATACGGACCGCAACGGGCGTATCAATTTCAAGGAATGTGAGTGCACCCTTAGTATTGACGATTAACCTAACGCGTGGCAAAGTCTTGTCTGCACTCTCCGTCACTAGCAGGGGCAAACTCGACGAGAAGCTTAAATGGGCATTCCAGCTATACGATATAGACGACGACGGCACGATCACTTACGATGTGGGTGTCTTCTATAACGCATCTCTATTACTCACCCGTCGCAGGAAATGCTCACTATTGTGAGGTCAATTTATTTGATGTCTGGCACGATTGTAAAACTACCAGAAGACGAAAACACACCGGAGAAGCGCGTAAGCAAGATATTTGCTGCTATGGACAAAGATAAGAACAGCTCACTTGACTTTGATGAGTTCGTCGAGGGCTCAAAGAAGGATCCTACCATCGTTCAAGCTCTCTCGCTGTACGACGGTCTGGTGTAGTCATGCCTGACTACCTCTATAGACTTACGCTTACGACACTCTCTTACTATATTCGACTTGTGCGCTCGAACTCTTTCCAGTCATGAAATTTTTCTTTGTATGATTTATCAAGTGTGCATTAATACAGGTTATTATTAGCAGTAGCAATCTGAGCGGTAGAAGATGTGAAAGTAGACGATGTGAAGGTAGAAGATGTGAAAGGTAGAAGATGTGAAAGGTAGAAGATATGACTTCATAGCATCTTGGCTAATTATGACACAGGTACTGATACAGGATAAAAGTTAGACATTAACACAATACAGAAGTGCAAGAGACGCATACCCCTCCGATCTACAGCTTTCCCGATGATGGACTCACCACTGCCAAGTCTTCTATAGGCTATCCGCAGCTTTACCATTCTGGTTTGAAGGTACTCGGGATAATACCCATTAAACTTAACAACTGGCTGCCAAGGTGTAGCGTTGCTGGAATTCAGCAATATGACCGTAATGGATGATACCACAGGATTGCTAGATGAGCGATGTAAAGACGAGAGATGATATACATATACATTATAAAATTCCAAGAGTTTACTCATTACTCCAAGATTACAGCTGACTATAGCAATGAGTGTTCAATAGCGATGATCAATGATTCTGCAAGATTAAGAGGATAGCTTTCTTACCCGGGTGATCAGGATGCCACCTCTCCTTCTTTGCTTAGTCATCCAGCGATTGATTCTACACGCTTATTAGTTTATTTTTTGCTTAAATATGGTCTGCGTACGTAAGTGTCGTGAAAGTAGCAGTAACCGTATTTGCTACATGCCAAATGCTCACAACCATCATAAGCACACTCTTTATTGCGACCCTTCTTGTCAATGCTGTATTGCTTGCTCTACGAATTGTTATGAGTAAATGCACTCTATTTACGACATTGTCGACCCACTTCTGTCTTATGTACAACAGCACAGAAAGGGGTATCCAAATGTGCAATATGTATACAGCCTTCAGTGAAACATTTGGTAAATTCAGCCGGTGCAAGCCAATCATACATCTATGTGGAATGTTAAGACATCTCCTTCTAGTGTTCACTTACAAGAGCCTTATGTTTCTTGTTACGCTTACAGAATGGAGTACGATTAGCCTTTACTTCTGTGCAGTTGGGCATTGCGCATTCTTTGGATTTAGGATCGGCGTCGAGGTCAATCATCATTATCAAAGCTCCTCTTCTAGCAGGCAAAATAGGTGAAGTCGATTGATTGACATGGTCCTCAAACATCAGGTCGTTCATGTTTACATTCTAAGTCGTTTTAGTGATTGCAATGTACAAATTTTACTTACAAGGTATATATGATCCAACGTACAGAATCTGTTTCCAAGTGCCACTTTATGGTTGCAGCCTGGTTCCATGCATGTACCATGTTTATCGTTGTGGTCAAATTCATACTGTAATTTCTGTGGGAACGTTAGTGATGATTGTGCTTAGGGGCCCGCCTACGAATTGGCGATGGTTTTGGGAGCAGTAAGGTGTACCATCTGCTTTCAAATTTCTGCAGCCAGGTTCAATGCAATAGTCTGGAGTTGTTGCCATCGTCGTAACTATTGAAGACTGCATTGTCGTCATCGTGAAAATTATATCATGATTCAACTTTTTCAGGCGCAATCACCACAAATATACTGAAATAGCTGAGTAAATACATAAATGCACTGCTAAATAAACCACATATACTTACAGCTTTAGGTATGTCCGTTCTAAGCAAAATCATAGATGAACGTGAGTAGTGTTTATAGCATATACCGCGAATAACACGGAGATAGAAAACATACGCTTCCAAAACATCATAACAGAGGAGTTTCCAATCCATTACAGAGTAAGATCTCCTACCCTCGATGTTCTGGAGGGTAAACTTCCAGAGATAAGGACCAGAATCTCTAGTTATGAGGGCTCCGTGGAGTTGCACTGGGCGCAAGTACGTATAGCTGTAAGAAACCTGGCTGCTTCTGGTATTCAAGAGATATCTCTGAGGAAGGCAGCTGTTTTGATGGAGACGTTGTCATCGCACCTTCATCCATCTAGTCAACGCGTGACATTCACACGTAACACCAGAAGTGAGGTTATCTATTATGTCAACGAACTACGTGCAACAAGGTTGATCGAAGATGAGACCTTTTTTTCATCAGCTTTTGCAAACAAAACGCTTTTAGTCACGCCATTAAACAAGTATGAAGTCCATCAGATATGGCTCGATAGTTCAAAGCGCTTGTCTGGCTTCCCCTTGATAACGTTCGCTGATACCCTGATCAAGCTGGGACGAGTCCACGCGTTAGAGACGAGGTATTACTGCGCTAGATATCAAATGATGAAAAGCATGGCCAAAACTCAAGCTGACGACAAGATGTCAAAGTCTTTGATTAGTTGGAATAGGTCGCTCATGAAAGACATCATTGATCAAGGAACAAGCGATGGTCTCCAATTCAAACATATTGAAGTAGACTGTCGCCACACATTCAAGAAAGATCATTGGCCAAGTAACGAGATCATGAGCGAATGGGTCAAAGCCATTATACCTGAAGAGCATCATCATAAGATAATAAACGTATTTGATGACCTGAATGGCGTTTCGGGAGAAGGGGGTAGTATGCCCCAATATCTAGCAAGTAGACCATGGCACACGTTGCACTTGTTCGCAGGTGATGACCGACTGTCAAGAGATGTCGATTCGTTAGAAGCATCCTATGCAATTCTGCAAAATAATGGCTCGACTGCGGTCAGTCTTTCCACCAGCCCATATCATTTATGTGAAATGCCAGCTGCTTACAAGGAGCTGATGGATAATAACAGTGGTGTCGAAAGGCTCCTCAGCGACCTTTCTGTGCTTTCTATCCACGAAAAACCTTTATTGTTCCCTAGAAGGATAACCCCTGCAAGCAAAGTCACCGAAATAGCATTGGATTGGTCTTCCAAGTTCATGACGGTGATCAAATCTATTTGCGACCAACGCACAAGAAAGGCGGCTGGTGGTGAGATAGGATCGCTAGAAATGGATACTGAAGGAGAAGCGATCGTTATTTTTGATGACGATATGATTGTCGACTTGGACGATAATTCCGATGATGATATCACGGTGATTAATTCTGATATAAACGATGAAAAAATCTCTCAATCAATCCAAATCAAAAAGGTTGTGGGTAAATCAGCATTTGAATGTCTTTCAAGGACGACCGGTATTGTTGAAGATGACTGCGATTGCTCGTCATGTCGCGACATCCTCACAGCTAGATCCGAGAATATCACTCACGGCGAATTGTGCATATGTAATACTGGAAAATGTGCTAAGGTGCGTGGGTATTTGACATGCAATTCAATCTAACATGAAGCAGACGTGCAAGCGTATTAAAAATGTGAAAGCTGTGGTAAGGCAATATACAGAGGCGATCATTGTTATGAACACACTATCAAAGTAAATTTATATCTTATAAGCTTGGAATTTGCAGCTAATAGCTTACTAGTCGCGCGCTGAAAAGTTCAACAGAGATACCACGTTGAAAAATTGCGAACACAAGGGATGCACAAACAGACATTCTCTAAATTCGCAATTCTGTGCAATCCACCGCGACCATGCAAGTACCTGGTGTTCTTAGCTCTTATCTTAATTATTTTGCAGCAATTGCAACACAGACGTGATGTGGAAGCTATGACCGACGTATGTCTAAAGGAGTCTTGTCAACACAGGAGCGCGTATGGGAATGACTATTGCTATCATCACAGGCATATTGTGGGTTGATGAGGCTGCAGTGCCAGCACTAACTTAAACAGCCACGTCAAAACATCATAAATAAAGTAGCGACTCTATCGAAGTGCAAGATTCCAGACTGTCAGCACAAGTGCTGGAAGAATACCCCATACTGCTATGTCGTACACAACCGATTCGTAACTATATCCGGAGAGTCAGGTTAAACGTAGCTGAAATAATCTTAGGCTACGCAGTATATCTGTGATGAGAATCCTTCGCTTCAAAAGTGTATGATCAAGAACTGCAACCATAAGCAATATGCGAATACACCTTTCTGCTTCTTGAAGCATATGGCAAATGTGAGTACATCCTTTCGATAATTGCTGACGCCAAACGATCCACCAGCGTTCACGCTATAAGAGATTCATGGAAACTGACAGAGTGTCACAATGCTGCGTACAGTCTTGCGAGGAGCAGGCTAGCAATGACAGTCCTTATTGTGTGCAAGCACACAACAATTTGGTAAGTATAAACACTAGATGATAGGGTTAACACGCGATGAAGCGAGAGCAGTGCCTGATCAACAATGAGAACACCCTGGGCAACTGTCATGAACCTAATTGCGACAATAGAGTTTCAGACACAGAGCTGTTCTGCAAATTGCATGGAAATAAGGTTAGAAGAGTAATGTTGTTCTATTCAACTAACACGTCTGAACAGAACGAGCAAGGCTTCTACGAGCAAAACACAGATAATTCGGTATGCATTCACGCTGAATGTGACATGAAGAACATTCAAATAGCTCCCTTCTGTATCGAGAGTCACTTCACACAAGCGAAAGCTTACGTGTCTTACATCAACTCTGCTAAATGTGAAATGGAAGGGTGTAAAGAGCGCGCTGAAAGTGATGTACCTTATTGCGCTAGCAGGCACAAGCATCGTAATTACCAGTGGAAACGCGATCAAGACGTTACCCTAGAGAAATGTGCAGTACCCAATTGTTCTCACAGGGCAAAGAGAGGGTGGGTCTACTGTGTACTCTCGCATCATCACTTGGTGGGTGAAACTTCTCGATTTGTTTAGTTGGTTTTCTACACCACACAGGAGAGACATTTTCGACAAAGTAGAGCAAATAACACCCCCCCCATGTGCCATGAAAAGATGCACAAAGGCCAGCTCTGGTGACACAATATTCTGTACAGCATCGCATAAAGACTGGGTTGCGGAGGAAAGAGCTAAGCCTGGCACAAACTATTGCGAGATTCCAGTTTGCCCCTTGAAAGCGACAGGCAGAGGTCCTCACTGCAACATATACCATAGTAGAGAAGTCAGTAAAGTCTCCTCAAAGTTGCACCACTAAATATCAACAGAATACTCAGTTTTTCCTCGACAGAGATGTAACTAAACCAATATGCTCCGCAGAAGGCTGTGATTATCATACTAACGAAGACGAACCATTCTGTGTGCTTGGACATTACACTCAGGTAAGGAACAAACCTTGCTGCCATCATACTAATGAGACACAGCTCAAGACGTTCCGTAATAATAAACGTCGTCCTGCTGAAAATCCTGAAGCCGGTACAAGCGCTGGACCATCGAAAGTGGCCAGAAGAAACTAAAGCTCTGACTTGGCTGGCTGTTATATTTGAAATTGTAATATTGCTATTTAATGTGAAAAATTGCTGCAAAAAGAGTGAACAGTCATGCATATAACACAAGAAGAATCCCACTATCGCACAGAACACTCGCCAGACGATGGTCTGGTGTGATATACCGATCTTGTACCCTAGAACAACTACATTTATGTAATGCTATCCTATAAAATAAGTACGTTTATGTAATTTTTGGCTGTGCTTCATAAATATGAACTAATTTGTCTTGCAAGGGTTGTGAAGAATTTCACAGATAAGAGCTTCTCGCTGATTGGCTGAAGAGGGTGATGCGTTTAACCGAGATTAGAAATGTCGGAGTAGGCGGAGACGAGCTGTTGTTCTGTATACATATTTCTATCCAATCCCCATTCATTTTCTTTCTCTGCGTTTTCCGCCGATAAAACTCAGGCATCGACTGATAAGACACCAATTCCGGAAATATGCGGAGACGACGATAAGCAGATAGCGTGATAAGATTAGCTTTTATCTGATATTCATGAGCTATGCGTCTCTTTCTTTCGGCTGGGAAACCGAAATAGCGGTATGTGGCAGGAAAACGCGACGGTATCTGGCTAGATATGGAGAATTGGGAAGGCACAGAGCAGGGCAGTGTTGTTTGGCGCATGATAATCTACAGACTCCTTCATCGCCTTTATACTCTCACCCAGGTCGCTCATCCCTTATCTAATTTTTTATTTAATCCAGGCTGGGCTGCAGTCAAATGAGAACACGAGCTCTTCAACCACAACAACAATACTAGAAGACATGGTGAGTTAGACAACTTGGCTGTCAGTCTTCATGCGCCCCGATTCGCTCGCTATACATGCGGCACATTCGCTCGCACCTCGCTTCGACGGCCAGGAAACGTCTCGTGCAGGGTAACACTATATGGTGGTACCCGTAACAATATATCAATCTACATAGAAGCCGCATCTAAGCTGCTGTCACTGCTGTCGCTTCGTCTTTCGGTGTGGCTGTGGCGAACTTCTGACTCCGTCATCAACATGTGACTCGCACCAAATGAAGTAAGACTCAGTAATTGGACAAATGTTGTTATTTTCAAATATTATTCCAATATTAATCATCAATCTCCAAAAAACTAGTCGCAGTCGAAGCAATCGAAGCTGTTGGAGCATGCGAAGCATCCGAGGAAAATTTGATCCGTCACTTGCATGAATACTGACAGCCAGGAGATACACCCATACCATTGCTCACACTCTCCAGGCACCACCAGCAGAACCAGAATTCGAACAAGCTCTCCACGAAGTCGAATCCACTTTGGCTCCACTTTTCGAAAAGCAACCAGAATACAAAAGAGCTTTGCGTGTCATTCAAGTCCCTGAGCGTGTTATCCAATTCCGTGTTCCATGGGAAAATGACAACGGTGAAGTCGAAGTCAACGTAGGCTACCGTGTTCAATTCAACTCTGCCCTCGGTCCTTACAAGGGTGGTCTTAGATTGCACGAATCTGTCAACCTCTCAATCTTGAAATTTTTGGGCTTTGAGCAAATCTTCAAGAATGCACTTACAGGCTTGTCCGTGAGTAACAATGTATTGCTATCAGGATAACGCTAACTCTAGGACGAGCTTGGCGGCGGTAAAGGAGGCTCAACGTTTTCTAGCAAGGGCCGTTCTGACAACGAAATCCGTCGCTTTTGTGTAAGCTTTATGAGTACGTGAAAATTTTCAGACACAAAAAATCTGACGTCATGCAGCCGAGTTGTCGAAGCACATTGGTCAAGACACAGACATTCCTGCTGGTGATATCGGTACCACTGGACGTGAGGTTGGCTTCATGTTTGGCCAATACAAGAGACTTCGCAACGAGTTCTCTGGTATCCTCACCGGTAAGGGTCTCTCATGGGGTGGATCACTCATCCGTCCAGAGGCCACTGGTTATGGTGTCGTCTACTACGTCGTAGAAATGCTTAAGCACTTCAACGAGACTGTCAAGGGCAAGCGCACTCTTGTCTCAGGTTCTGGTAACGTCGCCCAATACGCTGCCCTCAAGGTTATCGAGCTTGGTGGTTCAGTCCACTCGCTTTCTGACTCCAAGGGCTCAGTTATTGCTGCAGATGGTTTCACCCCAGAAGACATCTTCGAGATCCAAGACCTCAAGGCCAAGTTCGGCTACCTCGCTGACTGGGTTAAGACAAAGGGCGACAAGTACGTCTACCACGCTGGCGCTCGTCCATGGACTCTCCTCGAGAAGGTCGACATCGCTCTTCCATCAGCTACCCAAAACGAGGTTTCAGGCGAAGAAGCTAAGGCTCTCCTCAAGGCTGGCTGCAGAATCGTCGCTGAAGGTTCAAACATGGGTTCAACTCAAGAGGCTATTGACGTTTACGAGTCAACCCTCACCTCCGAGAAGCCATTGTGGTACGGTCCAGGTAAGGCTGCAAACTCCGGTGGTGTTGCTGTCTCTGGTCTCGAAATGGCTCAGAACTCCCAACGTCTCCGCTGGACTGCCCAGGATGTCGACCAGCGTCTCGAGCAAATCATGAAGGATTGCTACGCCAACTGCTTCGAAGTTGGCCAGAAGTACGGCTCTGGTAAGGGCTACCCATCCCTCGTCACCGGTGCCAACATTGCTGGATTCTTGAAGGTCGCTGATGCTATGAAGTCTCACGGCGACTGGTACTAAGCCCTTTCATAAACTTTTCTTCAGTTCTTTATCGCTGTGTTTTTCTACTTCCACTGATATATAACCACAATCTTTGTAACGCATAAACTTGTCATAACGATGTCTCGGCGTGCAGTGTAACAGTCGTGCAAAAAAAAAAATGGGATAATAAATTACAATAGCTACTGGTGGTCTCGCGGGAGACGCTCGCCGAAGGAGCCCGCAAGGTTGCTGACAGGCCCACTCAGGCCGGACTGGGCCTTGAACGACTCGAGGAAGTTTCTCATTGTCGAGTAGTCGCCCGACTGCAGCTCTTCGCTCTCGAATTCGTCGTCGTCGAGTGTCTCGTCGTGTGGATCTACGCGCGCGAGGATGGACTTGAGCTCTTGGTCCATCGCTCTGAGCTGGTCGTCGTCGTCCTCGCGGGTTGGGTGCGTACTGTGGGGCCGTCCGGTGGTCTTTGCGAGCTCGTCGTCCATGGCGGCCATTACGGCTTCGAAGGAGTTCAGCTTGTCGTTGCGTGCTGGTTTTGCGTGCTGGTCTTCGACTCCGGTGTGTGGAGCTTTCGTAGGTGGCTGCGGTGGCTGTGGTGAGGCTGTATGTGCTGCTTGCTGCCCATTGGCTGTGGATGACGGCACAAATGCGCCTCTGTCTTTCCTCTCGCTGATGATCTTGCTCCAGAGGGCGTCATCGATACCGAGCGCCTCCCTCGAGAACGCCAGGAAGTCTTCCTCTTCGTTGCCCATGTCAATGTCGACGTCTCCCTCCACCTGCGGGAGGTTCTCGATGTCTTCTGCCTCGTCGTCGCCTATTTCTTTGACAGCACTCTTCAAGCGTTCGGCGTTCCTAGTGTCTTCGTCGATGCCGTCGTCAGAGTCTGAGTAGCCGTCGTACTCTTCCTTCTCGAAGTAGGGCCTGCGCAGGCGGTCGTCCTCCTCCCTTTGCTTTGTTTCAGACGGATCGTCAGCGAATTCCCGCACCTTGTTTAGAAGATCCTCCTCTTTGGCGGCGGATAAGTTGACAGTCTGGTCTTTCTGCTCTTGCTGTTCTTGTTGGAGTGCAGATTGCGTGGACGCACCCCATTCACTTTGATTTAGCGAGGGTACGAGGCCGTCCATTATCCGTCGCTTATCAGCGTCGTCTAGTTCTTCGTCGCTGCCGCCGCTGCTGTCGCCATCGTCGTCGGAGAATTCTTCATCCGCGAACTTTGCTTCGGTCACTCCACCCTGCCCTTCAACGAAGGCGTTCAGCTTGTCGCTGAACTGTCCCAGTGTTGCTGCTGAGGCTTGCACATCCGCGTCGGGTGCTCCGCTCGCAGTGGACGCCTGCATCCGCTGAGACAGGTAGTCGTCGAAGTCTGTGGCGTCGATTTCCATCCATTTCTCGTCGTCATCCTGATCGGTGGTGGGTTTGCCGACACCCGGTGCTTTCAAGAGTGTCTCGACTTCCTGGGCAAACGAAAAGCGGTCGTCGCTTTCCTTCTCCCGAATGGAAAGCCATACACGCTTGGCATGCTCGTACCGCTGGTTGTAGAGTCTACTCCCTTCGATCTCGCCCTTGAAGAAATCGACGGCTGCTAATTTGTCGATGTAGGTCCTAAACGCTGGATCGTTCTCAGTCAGCACTTCGATGGGTTTGTCTGCATCAGGGTTGTGAACCCTCGTGGACTCCCTCCCAAGGGAATGCTTGGATTCATCGAAAAGGATCTCGAAACCGCACGCGAGACGCATGCCTTTCTCCCGCTGTTCGCGTTCTCTGCCAGTGTTGGGCCATTGCTCAGCCTTGTAGACCCTCGGCGGGTAGAACTTCTGGCCTTGCATTTGGGCATATGCCGTCCTGCTGACTGTAACGCTGCAACGTGTCGTTTCGTCAGGCGCAAAGCGAGACATCTTCTGGGCAGCTCGCGTCCCAGCGCTGTCACGAGTCGCAAACGCCTCGATGGCCTTCTGTGTGAGTGAGGTGGCTGTCTGACGTTCAGGTGATACAACTTTCGCGCTCGTATGTGCGCATATTTTCGCCAACGACGGCGGCAAGTAGGCCACGAATGTATGCTGGTGTTCTCCCAGACTATACGGGTAGGTCTCCAGGCGGGAAAAAGCAGCCTTTTCGAGACTTGGCGACGCTAGAGTCTCAACTTGAGGGTTCCTAACCAGTTGGATAGCTTTGCGGTGGTCTATCCACGCGTCGTTCTCCTCCTGGGGCTGTAAATCATCGAAGGTGTTGTCTATTTCGAATACTCGTCGCTTTTGGGCTGGGCCAGGAGAGGTATGGTCGATTGGGACGAGATGGAGTTTGCCATTGTGTATCCACAGTCTGTTGTCTGCTCGGGCAGGTGTCAGCCAATTTGGTAGCTCATTGGCTGCCTCGATAAGGAGAAACTGGCCGTCAGTGTCGTGGATCCTGTAGTTTGTTAGCGAGTGTAATATAATCGACCCTACGCACTCAATGACGAAATCGTATGTCTTTGAGAGCTCCCTCAAGAGCCAGACCGTGATCCATTCATCCTGGATTGATTCTCCAACGCGCATACGCCCCTCTAAGAAAAAGCCCCTATTGTTTCTGACTTCCAGATCATTCAGCGTTAATTCGAAGGTATCTTTGTGCCACAAAAATTCATATTTTCCCAGTAGCTGGTCGACAGTTGATAGGATGAGTGTGGCCAATGCAGCTAGTGATTCCTTATTGTCTAAATTGTCGCTGGGATATAACGCGTAATACAAGGTTGAGAATCCATCCATTTTTCTTCTGGATGTTGTGATGCAAGGATGCAGGCGTGCGACGACTTCTTTCGTCAGAACAACGAAGGCGAAAAATGGAAAACACAGTAGACGATCTACACGTTAATGTACCTCTCTTCAATAAGCTAGCCCAGGCGGGCCAACCAAGCTGGCCAGGTTTATATGCCCTATTAACCAAAAACGGTGGTGGCTTTTATTTGCTTCTGCTAGGGACGCTGCTCGGCGTGCAATTCTGGCAATCTTACATAGGCGCCGTGATCACCTACAAGGCTAAACCGTTCGAGGCTAGATTAGCGTCAACTTATTGCATCATCGGCAGTACTATTTCCAGCGCGTTGCTTGGCAGATGGATTATCAACCACGGCCATGCACTCGACTTCGGCATACTCTGCCAGACCGTGAAGGCGCTCGATTATCACAATCTCTGTAAAGCTGTCAACAGCATCCACGTCGATGCATTCCACACAATCTTACTCGCGAAGATTGCTCTATCACACTTTATCCATCTGGTGTTTGTCGGCCCAGCCACTGCAGAGTGAGTGGATGTTCTATACAGTAAGGTGAGCTAATGAGACACAGATTGCTACAATCTCGCAACAGAGCATCCAACCCTGAGGAAGTCAAGTGCGTCGATAAGAAGTTCACAATCCTCCGTGTTATTAGCAGCTCTATCGACTTGGTTTCATTAGCCATGATCGTATTACACACTTTATATATCGGATACGTCGGTACCAGTAACCTCTAATAGCGTTTTATAGCGTTAGCCTTAATGGCGTTTAATAACCTTCAATAACCTTTAATAACCTCCAATAGTCTCCTCTAATTGTCTCTTCAATAATCTCCTAGGATGAAACATAGCAATGAAACATAGCAACGTAGTAACGAGAAATGTAAAATATCAAATTAAGTAACTGCAAAATAGCAAATAATTACATGTAAACGTCAAATGCGATAATAAATGTACATTTAAACAACCTGTTCGTTTGGCATACAGACTGGCTCATTGTTCAGACACAACGTGTGTGTTCTTGTTGCCGTTGAATTCGACCCTGCCGATAGACTCAAAGATAGCTGGCTTGTTACTTAATGCTTCTTTGATCTGAGAAGAAGTCAGCACACATAATTAATAAGACGTTCACCCCATACGGAAGGCAGTGCTTTGCCAGATTGAGACTTTACTGTCTGGACCGCCTGGACTGCTTGCTTTGCGAACATTTGTAGTTGATGGTTGTAGCAGAATAGGTGATTAGTCTACCCAATTTATATCTTCCCCAACCGATCAACATTCATAATCGTATGATTTCAGAAACGCCAAAGACACCAAAAATAAAATCAATGCAGCTTATCGCACATAGCGGGGTAGGTGTAACAGCATAGCGTTAGACATGCACGCGAATATTAGAGTTGTGCATATTGGCGAAAAATTTAATCACAGCTGCTTACTTAAGGTATAATTGTGGATACGTGTAATCGCAGGGGCTGCATTCCCCGTAGCATTACTATCTGCTAAACTATCTTTATTTTATTTGTTTTCACTTGCCTTCGCGCTTCGAACGCGTTCAACAAGTTTAGAAACTATCGAAATGTGAGTAGCGGCGGATATAACGACACTGAGCTGATTTTTAGGGCGTCAATACTGGGCGACGATCCACAACTCGAAACTGATTTGAAGGCCCAGCGTATCGAGGTCTTTTCTGCATTCCTTGATAGTGATGTAGGTCTAGATCGAGCTGCAACGCGTATAATCTGCTAATACGCTACCATAGGAGTCTAAAACCTACAATTACAAGGAGGAAATCAAGAAGATGCTTAGACAAGGCCAGCAACGCCTGATAATCAATATCGACGACATGCGTGATTACAGACGAGACTACGCAGACGGCTTACTTAAAACTCCAAACGATTACTTCCCAGCGCTTGAGGAGGCTCTCTATGAGGTTATCAAAGTTGTGCATAATCCAGACACCGATGACATTGTCAACAAGTCATTCTACTGTGGTCTGAGGGGTTCTTTTGGTGATAACCATGTCAATCCACGTACTTTGCGTGCGATGCATATAGGGAACATGATATCCTTAGAGGGTATCGTTACTAGATGTGAGTGACCGCGTTAAGCCAACTCAATTCATACATCTTACACAACTACTAGGCTCACTCGTACGTCCAAAAATGCTCAAGTCTGTCCATTATTGCCCAGAGACAAAAGAATTTCAGTCACGAGAATACAGAGATGCCCAAATGATGGGTAATGCACCAGTAACAACTTCTGTCATACCTACAACTGACGATAACAACAATCCTCTTCAAACTGAGTTCGGTTTCTCAACTTTCAAAGACCAACAAATGATTTCAATCCAGGAAATGCCAGAAAGAGCACCGGCTGGGCAGTTACCTCGCAGCATTGACGTACAAATGTACGACGATATGGTCGACAAAGTCAAACCAGGTGATAGAATCCAACTCGTTGGTGTGTACAGAGCTATAGCCGGTGGTGCGGGTACTTCGGCAACCGTTAGAACTGTTTTGCTCTCAAACAACGCCATTCTCCTCTCATCTAAGGCTGGCGGTGGTATTGCACAAATGATGATAACCGACAGTGATGTGAGACAGATCAACAAGCTTTCGAAACGCAAAAACATCTTCAACTTACTCTCGCAATCACTTGCACCATCGATTTACGGCCATGATTACATCAAGAAGGCTATTCTACTGTTATTGCTAGGTGGACAAGAAAAGAACCTCGATAATGGTACACACATTCGTGGTGATATTAACATCCTCATGGTTGGTGATCCATCCACTGCCAAATCACAGATGTTGAGATTTGTACTTAACACTGCACCACTTGCGATCGCAACTACAGGTAGAGGTTCATCCGGCGTTGGTTTGACAGCCGCTGTCAACACTGACAAAGAAACTGGTGAGCGTAGACTCGAAGCTGGTGCGATGGTACTCGCAGACAGGGGTGTCGTATGTATAGATGAATTTGACAAGATGAGCGATGTAGATAGAGTTGCTATCCACGAAGTTATGGAACAACAAACAGTCACCATTGCCAAGGCTGGTATTCACACGTCCCTCAACGCTAGATGTTCAGTCGTGGCTGCTGCCAACCCAATCTATGGTCAATATGATGTTCACAAAGATCCTCACAGAAACATTGCGCTGCCGGATTCCTTGCTCTCTCGTTTCGATTTGCTCTTCATCGTCACTGACGACGTGGACGAGCAGAAGGATAGAATGATGTCCGAGCACGTCCTCAGGATGCATAGATATCTCCAACCGGGAGTCGAAGAGGGTACACCGGCGGTTGACAACCTCGACCAAGCGCTTGACGTTGGCACCCAAGCTGAGGAAGCAATTGTCGAAACACAACCATTCGAGAAATTCAACCCACTTCTGCACGCCGGTGTAACAACCACCATTGGTAAAGGCGCAAACAAACGTAAAGAAGTCCTTTCGATAAACTTCATAAAGAAATACGTTCAATATGCCAAGAACAGAATCACACCGCAATTGACAAAGACAGCTTCAGAGTATATTGTTGATGTCTATGCTGGTTTGCGTAATGATGACCAAGCTGCTAACACCCGCAGAACCACTCCGCTTACTGCTCGTACACTTGAGACTCTCATCCGTTTGGCTACCGGTCACGCCAAGTCGAGATTGTCGCAAACTGTTGATGAAGTCGATGCGCAAGCTGCTGAAGAGATTTTGAGATTCGCCTTATTCAAGGAAGTAATCAAAGTTGGTAAGGGTAAAACAGGCAAGACAGCAGCAGGAAAGAAGAAACGTAAGCTCAACACCGGTGGTGGTGCAGAACCGAGCGATTCAGAGATGGATGAAGATGAAGAAGGTGATGGTGATGCTAGTGAGGACAGCGATGAAGGAGACGAAGAAGGAATGCAACAGGATGGTCAAGAAATGCAGCAAGATGGCCAAGAGAATGACGACGCTCAAGCAGCTGCCATGCTTGACAATTCCATGATGGATACTTCTATGAATTTCGATAATCTCGCCAGCACTAGAACTACGCCGGCTCCAACAGCGCCACCAGCACCATCAGCACCAACATCCGTCGACGATGCCCTCACACCACAACGTGTAGCTCTCTTCAAAACGAAATTTGCGGATGCTTTACAATCAACTTTCGACGGTGAAGAAGCTGTCAGCGTAGAGGATGCCGTTCAAGAAGTCAACAAAGGTCTTGGTACTGATGCACTCTTCGGCTCTACCGAAGCTATGAAGGTACTCGAGCGAATGAATGATGAGAATGAAATGTGAGTTCAAAGCTCGTGAGAGCGCTGCCCATAGATGCTAATTACTAACACACCCCAACCAGTATGTTATCAGGTGGCATCATCTACAAAATCTAAGCAACCTAATTTATACCACTAAAAGCGCATGTATTTATAAGTCATTAAGTCCGATTACTGATTACTATTAATGAGGTCGTTGTGTCGTTGTGTCGTATCGTAAAAATATATAAAAGCGTTAATGGTTCATTAATCGATTCTGTGGGCTGCGCAGCTAGATTATCGTGTCAGCTACTTCTATTAGTTCAGAGACACTCACGCTAAGAAGTAGAAAGGTGTAGCTATCATGAGAACAAATGCTGTAATCCAGACTAACCACAATGACACGCCAAAGTGGACATAAACTCCCAGCGCTTCTGAAATCATTTTCAACAACGCTCTACTTCGATGACGTAACTTACCTCCATTGATATGCCTGATTTTTGCAATCAAAGCTGTAAGTATTGCTGCACCAACAGCTACAGTCAAAAATGCAAGCAGACAAAATACTCCACCAAAGAAGAATGTGTAACGCGTAGGCACGACACCGCTGATTTGCGTCAGTTGAGAACACCTACTATAGCCTATACCTACGTGAAGAGAGCAACACCTGTGAAGATGGCAGAGAGGAAAATGAGCCAGTAGGCTGCAGCACTGTACCTTCTCAGATAGTCACTGGCTGTAAAAGTTGTATCGGGAGCTTCGAGGAGGGACCTGACACCGTCTTTAAGATTCTCCGGTGTGTCATTAATTATATAGGTGTACGGATCGAGTCTGGAGATAAACTCCGAGCCCGAGTCTCTCCCTAACAGGCATACACCATCTCGTCTACCCTCAAGTGTACCACAATAGGCATATTGACCGAAGTAGTAGTCCTGTCTAACCCCTAACCCTTGTCCGAGAGGGTCGTCCGAGTTTGTTGTGTAAAGACTCTGTATAATAATAAGTGAAAATCTTATTCCTTTGTCACACACTCACTGATACATCTAACTCGGCATTTTGACTAGAGAGCGACTGACCCAGTAGAGAAGTATCTACTGTAATGTATTTGAGTGCTGATGGTACCAAATCTGTGCTGATGGCACTAATGTTGACAAAAATATTGATCACTCCAGCAGAGAGTGTCAATAGAACGAAGATCAATTGAGCAATGAATTTGAGCATGTTGGAGTTTTGAGATTATAAAGCTATCAATTGTAAAGCTATCAATTGTAGTGCTATCTATTCAATTTGCACTTGTCCTTGATGGTTGTCGTTAAATTAAAATTTCACACACAGGACTTGGTAGTCAAGGAGGCAGAGGTGACGAAATATCATGATGCAATCAGAATGGAGCGTTTTGTTGATAAACAGTTCCAGAGTCTCTCACGTTTACCACGTCTATCATGTCTAACCTGAAGTTCCTATTCGGGAAATACCTGTTGGTACACTCATTTACACATCAAAGCATGAAAGCGTGTAATGGAGGAGTCCAGCTAAAACACGTATCCAGTTATCGTCGTAGAATAAATCTCTTTTTGAGTTTTAATATACCACACTGACTGTCTATCAACTATATCGGTGTTCTTGCATGATGTCTCATATGTCTTCTCTTTTAACAAAATCAAATAAAATGCATTTAGCTACAGAAAAATGTTCTACCAAGTTTCGTAACCGCCGCTGATCTTCACATCACAGCCTTGGCAGAAGCTGCTTGCTGAGGACAGAAGCCAAACCGCAACGCCTCTGAGTTCATGACTGGGAGGCTGACATTAGCATTATCGCTTTAAAATTACTATCCACCCACTGAATACCCAAACGTTGCATAGGCGATCCTGACTCCCATTTCTCCTTCAATCCGGGGTTTTGCTCAAAAACTTTCCTTGTCATTGGCGTCTCGAAATGGCCAGGACTGATACAGTTTACCCTGATATCATCAGGCCCTAATTCAGCGGCCATAGAGCGTGCCATTTGCAAAACTGCACTCTTCGATGCATTATACCCAACCCAGTGCTGATCTCTATTCGTGATCGATCCACTCATACTGGCGATCATAGCAATTGAGCCGGCTTGATTGTACTTCTTCATCTGTCTAGCTACACCTTGGCTAGTATATAAAACGCCTGGTCAATAGAGTGAGACAGCATCATATAAAGAACACCACCCTACCACCTGCATTCACCTGCATTGTTTTCTCAAATTCAGCCGAAGGATATTCGAGACAGTCATATGTCTCTAATATAGCGGCAGCACACACTGCTCCATGTATACCACCCTCCTTTTCGCCGATTTTGTCACATAGTTCAAAGACAGCTTTCTGGTTAGTAACGTCCATCTGGTGATACTCAAGGCTACTGCCAAATGCCTTAACATATTTCTGCACAGCTTTGAACGTGCTGCTTGGCTCTGGTGGCATATCGAAAACATGTACGACAGATCCTGCTTCACAAACAGCCTGCGCAATTTCCAGACCTAGTCCACCACCACCGCCTGAAACTACAGTGCACTATACCTGTTAGAGCTGTCGTATAACTTCATATTAACCTACTTTACCCTCCAGTGAAAACTCGCTGAAAATGTCTCGCTTGGCATCTCTCTTTCCCTCTACAAATTGGAGAGCAGCTTCATTACCTATAACCTGTCCACCTGGGAGCCTACCCCGTGCATTTGGGGCAGATGGAGCATGCGACAGTGCTGAGGGTATCGGTGTATGTAACACTGTCGATGTTCTGTACATCCGCACTGTTTGGGATGAGCTTAAAGCATTTCTTGCCGTTCTTGTTATTTTAAACATTACCGCAATAGAGAAAGCTTAAGCTCTGGAACTCTTAAGTGTGAGATGACGCCGGTCGGTGTCATCTGGTAATATATTCGGATGAAAGGTATGATATAATGTATGTTTATAAAATACCAATAATTTACAATTTGTTATTTAAAATATAAAATTGAAGTCGTAATCGTTCAAACCGTTACCGTACGTCCAATCAACAATGACGGTCGTATTAATTACGGGTTGCAGCCAAGGTAATCAACGGTGAATTCATAAAAACTCTGCTGATAGCCATGCAGATGGGATTGGAGAGGCACTCGCATCTAGTTTCCATAGAGCGGGATGTCATGTCATAGCGACGGCACGAAACGCCGCCAAAATGGGCCGATTGACTGACGCAGGGATTATGACGATGGAATTAGATGCTACTAGTGACGAGAGTGTCAATGGCGTTGCAAAGAAACTAAAAGATGACGGCATTGTCTTGGATATCCTGGTGAACAACGCAGGTATTATTAACAACAGTCCACTCGTCGAAACCTCCCTGGATGTTGCGCAGAAGGTCATAGACACAAATACTATCGGTACTTTTCGAGTGACTAAGGCATTTACAACTGATATGATACAGGCGAGAAAAGGTCTCATTTTGAATGTGAGCTCCGTCGTCGGAAGAATGCCACTTCCTGTGAGTTATGTGACTTTTTAAAGGGCCACCTAACGCCCTCCAGTTCGGAGGTTTCTACGCTATCAGCAAATCAGCTATCAATACGATGTCAATAGTATTGCGTTCCGAACTTGAACCATTCAATATCAAAGTTATGGTGCTTGAACCAGGGGCCGTCAAGTCAAACATCGTCAACAACCAAGCTGGAGGATATGAACCATCAGACGATTCGCCCTATTACCCTATCAAAGATCTCATCATCAATAGACTGCAACTTTCTCAAATCCACTCCACAGCACCAGGTAGGGATGTATTTGCAGACGATGTTGTGAGACATGCCTTGCAGAAGTCGCCGCCTATCACTCTCATCACGGGAGGAAAAGCCTGGTTGTTCAAGGTATTAACACACCTGCCTATTTCTTGGGTACAATGGCTCTTCTCGCACCGATTTGGTTTGAAAAAGCTGAAAAACATTGTATCAAATGAAAGCAACAAAAATGATTAGCGAGTTAATATATAGTATAGATCATTCAAGCAAACAAAAGTAATTAGCAAGTTGTTGTGATATCGTATAGATCATTCAATAAGTACATTTAAAAACATATAAAAGAAAATAGTATAAACGACCAAAAGAAAATACAAACTAGTAAAACCTTTCCTAAGTTTGACAGCTTGATAATTCCTGTTTTCCCCTGTTTCCATAGAACTGTGAAATATATATATTTTTTCGAATAGAAATGCAAAGAAGTTTGATGCGATTTTTAATGCTTAGAATAAAGTGAAGAAACTACCAACCAATGATAATGTCCTTATAAAACAGTGGAATGATAATAGTTGAAGCTAAACAGCTCATAATGATCAAGTAAATAAAGCCATACTTATAAAAGACTCTCCTACGCTCGATTTGGATTTTGCGTGAGTAGATAGGCGGTCTAATTTGCTTTGATGGCTTTAACCAAAACAATGCGGTTGAATGTATTCTATCAAATCCTGGTATTAAAGTTGGAATTGCGAGTATAAAGAATAAAATATGACACAGCAAGAAGTCAGCTGTAAAGAGTGAACATTCTGCTAACTTTGCGAAAAATTCCCTCAATGGGTGTGTCATTATATGCTGGCCTAATCCTGTGTACCACCATTTTCCGCTCCACCAAGCTCTATTAGTTTCATCGTTTTTGATCTCTCTGCCAAGGAACATTGCTACTATGGATTTGACAACCGCTCTTTGTATAGCCATTGAAGCAATTATACCGAGAAGTGTGCTTGTACCTCTCCAGTTCTCTAAATACCAGAGGTATTCGAAGGTGACAATTTGTCCAAGAACTGCAACAGCATGTACGAAAGTTGCCATAGCTGCGGGATATGCCTCCCATTCTGTCGACAACTTTCTACCGTAGAAGTATGACAGTAAGAAACCAGACACCAAAACCACAGCGTTTAATGCGATCGGTGCAAACGCAATGTAAAGTATCCTTATCAACATACTTGGCTTCTCAATATACTCATTTTTTATTGAGTTCATGAACATGTAAGCGAGAGTAAAAACGAATGCCATGAAAGCTGGCCAGACGATCTCAGAGAATAAGACCACCTGCCATCCTGCTTTAGCGCTATCATCGAGGTACTTCTCCGAAGGCAGACCGAGGATCTTTTTACGGTAACCCGTTACACGCGTACGTGAAAGACGACAGAAACTGATCCAGGAATTTGAGTGCGATTTGGCATTACCTCTCGACATCCAATGGAGGTATTCACGATAGTCAATTATAAAGTCATGCAGAGAAAATTGATGTGGGTTGAATGCGAACGGAGCAAGGCTGTAGTGAGGTGAGTAGTGATCAATAAACACACGCTCTAAACTTACGCAAGTGCAAATCCAGAGAACCAGAAGTAAATGAGGTGTGGAACCCACATGGACAAAGAAATGAACGTGAGCATGAGCAGAGTGCGCATACCCATGTAAATACTAGGTCCGGCGAAACGCGAAAAGAGTAATGGGAAGGATATTCTGGTGGTAGCAAAACCACGTCCTGTGGCGATATATCTTGCTCCACCGAATGTCAACGATGTTACGATCTATTTTCTGTTAGTGGATTACATATTATCATTACTTTCTACCCACAGAATGACGGTAAATTTGCGTTGAAAATACCTCAAAGATTGGTGATAACGACATGAACTGCTTTGTCAATCTACTAAAGGCTTTCCATGCACCTCTGTCCATGAGCTCATGCATGAATAATGGAAGGAACGCAATCATAAAAACCAAGAAAATGGAAATTATCGTGCGCTTTATCCACTCGTAAACTGGATAGAGATTGTAGCAACCTGGTTGACCACCCATGTAATCACCGTTGTCATCATGCTTACAGTCCTCAAGCGTCTCATTGAGTGTACCAAGGAGGAGCACTTGAGTATGTCAGTAGCTATTTCCATAATATCCACAAACTCACGTGTAACAGTAATAATTTGAACTGAGAAGATAACCAATGTGTTGTTGACGTGGAAACCACCGTGACCGTAGTAAAAGGTAAGGAATCTGTCTGTTGGAAGTTGTGTACCAAGATAGTAGTATTCTCTTGAAATCATTTGTTCACCCATACCAGTACCGATCTTGGTTTGGAAGTTAAGAATGGTACCGAAACCGAGATCACGTCCTTTACCACATTGGTAGTACTCAGCATGTTTGATACGACCCCCTCTGTTGAATGCAGTCATACCACCAAAAATATCTTCATTCAAATGTAAACCTTTTTGTGCCTTGGCAACACCACCGCGAGTAGTCATGAATATGGCATTTAAGAAATCAGGATGACCGTAGTGGAGTTTACCACCAATATGCGAAAGTGCCCTGGCAGCCATTGTACCGAATGTTTGTTCTTTACCTGCCGCAATATCACCGAGAATACCGACATTTTCTGAGAAGATGTATTCTCGAGCACCAACGATCGCAACTGGGGGCTTCTTATAGAAGTCATCTTGTCCCCAATTAGAATATGGTGAATGCCTAGAAGTCTGGAAAGACTCGAATTCTCCTAGAACATTACGAATTTTGAGACATTCTTCGAGGTAGTTGTCCTACAAGATTGTTAGTCGATTGCTTATGTATCTTAAATCACCCACTTGGTTAGCATCAATGAGTTGTAAGTATTCACCACGGTAGAAGATAAGAGCATGGTTTTGGTTATCGGATTTACCATCACCCAGAATTGGATTACCAGGTAATTCGATCCTCATCCTAGGTTTACGTGTACCATTTGGCATTTTATCGCAGTGACCATCGATTAATACTGAATAGTATTTAATTTCATCGAAAAACTCACTACTATCATCTTCATCTGGAGTGACGACCTCCTCAATGTATGCTATTTGTAAATCTGGGAATGTCTTTAGAAGAATTTCAACATTTTCTCTTTCTTCTGCGTTAAATTTGGAGTAACGCTGCATCGAAACGATGAATTTGAATTTCCTTCTGGCCATTATATCCAACGATCTTTCTACCATTTGATCAACATCTTCATTCAGATCATCGTAATCTGATCTTTCACCATGTTTTACACCTAGCTTTTGACTATCGTCACTTGAGTCCGAAGATTGGTTGCGCTCTTCGAGCAACCTGTCAACTAAATCTGGTGTCTCAACATGATAGAGTAGTTTGATGGCTTTGTGGTAGTTCATGAAACCTGAAATTGTTCTATACAGCGTTTGTGCTCTTATAGATGCCCAAATACGTGTGCGTAATGTATAATCAGGCAACTTGGCTTTCATATTGTATGAAGCGAAACTGTCACTGAAAGATCTATGTAAATTCTCAACTGGTGGTGTCTTTGGTGCTCCAAATGCACCTGGTGAAGCCTTTCCAGAAATAGTAGATGATGGGGATAGCAGAGGTGTTGCTGCTGGCGTCATAGATGGCGTTGTGAGATTAGTGAGTGAAGGTGATGCTGTAGGTGTAGCAATTGGTGTACGATACATCCCGGATTCTTCAGCGATTGTCCGAGTATCACGAATAAAATGTGACCATTCAACTGGATGTAACTGCTTCAGGTATTCCAACAAACTGACTCTAGTAGTTTCATCCTCTTCACGAATGATTTCGCGAAGGGACAACAACATCTTTTCAGAGTAGTGTGGTACCAAGACCGTGAAGCAAGGCATCTCCGGTACAGGAATAGCCTCAGGCATTTTGATAGCTAGTGATCTTGCAAAGAATGAAATTCTACGCTCAGCTTCTGCATTTGTAGGCAAGAATTCGGTACGTAAACCATACTTCTGATCGAAATCTACAAAGAATGGCGGACTTTCGTAGGTACGTCTGCCATCCTCCTTCGATTGTACCTCAACGTAGAGTAACTTCTGTACATGTTCCTTTAATTGTGTTAGCAGATTGTATCGAACATCCCGTTGATACCTACAATAGACAAAAGATGATCATGATACATAGACAACACAATCAGGTTCCATACTTGCGCAGCTAGCAGTTTTGGTTTCATTGGTAGATCATTTGGTACGAGCAATTTGGAATATATCATACTTGGTACTCGTCTGAAGAGATCCCTCCATGGTGTCCAGATGGATAAACCGAGTGCGAACGAACGAGAAACTGAAATGAACGTACTCCAAATGACATACCAAAGATAAGTATCAAGGAAGAACAACACGAGGTCCATAATAATCATGATTGCCAGTGTGAATTTAGCGTGATTTGTGCAGAAAAACTCTCCAACCAGGGCATCTGAACAGTTCTGTACTCGCATATTCATCAATGCTGCCATAGGATCTTTTGAAGACAAAGAAAGGTAACAGTAACTTTCGATATATTTGCATCCAAAAACCAGAATCCATAGGGCAATTGAAGTGAATCTACCGCTGTTATCTAATTTTGGATAGGAAGCTGTAAATGTCTGAGAAGCGACATATTTCCGAGCTCTAGAGCTGACTCGATCACCGAGGATTCTACCTGAAGGTACCAATGTGTAAAATGCAGTTATGAAGATTGCGAAAGCTAAATGAGCTTTTGCCAAAGTTAGTGAAAATGGTGTGTCTCTTTCATATGTTGCAATGTAATAGGTTGGACCAATGCAGAGAACGAGTGTGGTTGTATATAATAACAATTTTCTGATTAATGTTGAAAAATGATTCCAGTTCAGAGGTAAGAAGCTAAATTCAGCTATCGTTCCTAAGATCATGATGAATGAGGAGACTGCACCACCCATGGCTGATGCTGATATTTGCATCGGTCTAGCAGGTAATGGTTCCCAATCTCGTTTATATGCTTCATGGGCGTTGTACGCTGTGAAGAACCAATATACCGCAACGTGAGCGATCCAAATTCTATTATAGTCAACAAGTAAATGGGCGAAAGTACGCTTTTCCTTGAATGACTTATAGAACGGCTGATCCCATTTCACACTCGCTAATGCTCTAAAGCGTTGATCGGGACGTATATTAGTTAAACGAGTTCCATCTAGTAGATGAATACGGTTAATACCCTCGGGATACCAGAATAACTGATTTATATCATCATATCCAATTGTCTTATCATGGTCATTTTCACGCTTGAGGTACCTTCCATCGACTAATTCGTAAACTTGATCTCTATAATAACGGTATAATGGACGAATAATGCTACGTAAATAGTACCCCTGAGGAAGAATAGGTCGCTCCTCTTCAGGTAATTGCTGGATCTTCGTATAATGATCATTTGCGCATTTGAATATATAACAAAGACATTCAGGCATGAACCTGATATTTCCAGCTTCCGTCCAACATAATAAGAATATTGCCATCTGGACTATTCTATTATGGCTGGTCATTTGTTCCATTGCCGTGCGCCAGCGCTCTGTAGCTGAACGTAATGATTGTTGTCTAGTTCGATTTCGAGTGAGAAAGGCGTAACAACGTTGTCCGAATGTTGCGTTAACCTCATGCGCTGCCTCACCTAACATTGCCATACCTGGGTTGTTCTCCGTGCCAATGGCATCATCGAGGTCCAACTGCGCAGCAAAAAACCATCTTTTGAAGTTTGCATGTTCACCACCGATATAATCAGCGTGAAGAGTCATCAAAGCTTGATTTGCTTGCATTCTCGATGCTCGTGAGTCTAATTGGCGCATGAGCATTTCGAAGGCATTGGTTGATGCATCTGACTGAAATCCGAGGTAGTGACTGACATTATGGAATATGGACTCGATTTCTGTAATTGTAATAGGACAAAGTGGGGAAGAAGACCATGAAAGGTATTCTTCATGAGAGGGGTGGATATCAGAGTTGAAGAGCGTCTGCGGGGGGACGGACGTCGATGGTGTTGGTGGTTGTACCCTCCAGGGCGGATAACCAGAATCTGTTGCTACATTTGTTGCTATTGTTGGACCAAATACGCTGTCTCCAATTAAGGATTCGCTGGAGTCGTTGTATTCATCGTAGTGCTTGCCTGTATCTGTATAAATATTGTCAATTGTACGCTTTAATGTAGTAGGATATCTATACGCACTCAGATCATCTATATCTTCGTACTCTGCATACTGCTCGGGCTGACTGAGCAGAGATGCAGGCGAGACATCCGTGTCTACGTTGAGATCTCTCGAGCTAGATCTCATTCGCTAATATTAATTGATTATTATTCAAATCTGAATTGCGGACAGCGTGGTTCAAGTTCAAGAAGTGTATAAGCGCTGTGAGGAAGATGGCGAGAGATATGTCTAAACTATATACCACTAGTAGACTTTTATAATTCTAGTGTATTTTATTAGTATAAAAAATGGCTCAACGATCGACTTGTACCTCGCTCGCACTGATAGCTTCTAGATTAGCACAAGGGGAGGATTAGACGTGATATTTGTAATATACAAACATTAAATAGCGAAAATATCCTCACTAAGACTATATTACACCAGTTTCCATACCGTCTTTAAATTATTTCAATCTTTTGAGTTACAATAAAGAATTTTAAGCAACTTGACCGCCTGCTCTTGCTAAGTAGCCTCTAACTTGTATCCAGATTCTGGAGGCTTGTGGATATGGTGCTACTAATCCATCAATGCGAGCACCAACATGAGCAAATGCATTCTTGGTGTATGGACTGAAGACATATCTTGAGCGTAAGAATAAAGCGTAAAACATTGGCATTGAGATTGCGTTTTGGAAGCTGGTTCTATTAGTCTGTGCCTGAAGAATTTACGCGTAACTCACATAAGAGCACCAAGGAAAAGTCTCACAAAGACTACCATTTCAGAGTATGAAACAAACTTCACTGCGTAATTGTAAGTATGTTATACTCAAAATAAAGGCGTTCCTTACTTGCTTTGGCGTAGTTTGCCTTTACAAATGATCCAATCGACTTTTGGATTGATGGGCCTGCGCCAGAGCTGGATGGAGGTGTTGAGCCATCGGTTGAAGTTGCGTTTGACTGTGGTGGAGGTGGGAATACCAATGGGATTGCTGTGTTCTTGACGAAAGAGAGAATGTGGAAGAGTGAGAAAGTCGCATATGGGATAAGTGTGACTATGTACAGGTTATTTACTTCACCGAGCATTATATTCTATAGCACTTACGAGGTACTGGCTTGCTAACGAAAAGGAAGGCGGCGAGGATCAAGTATTGAACATTCTGCGGGTTTTGAGTGAGAAGTGCTGCGTTTTCAGTATAATGTACGCACTTCATCGAGCATGGCACGTTGTACCCATGCTAAGTTGGCTTGTGGGATACCGAATGATTTGAAAACAACGACTCCATATGAAACGCTAGAGAACGTCAGCGAAGGCTTCCCTCAGTAGGTTGGAACGAACATAGCACCAAAGTATGAAACTAAACGGGATGTTAGCAAGTAAAAATGCTACCAAAATTCGCAGCTCACGCTTGTATGCCCAGCCAAGATCACCACCTCTGTATGCGGGTCAAAATGAGACTAACGAGCTAAAATGGGGTCTTACTTGAAGGTGATCAAACCGAGAACATATTTGAGTGTGCTTAACTGTTAAACGTGTAAATCTAGCTGAAATGGTCATACTACGACAAAACATACGAAGAGGATAGCGTGTCCAGCTGCCCAGGAATAATGCAACGCGCTGCGAGCCATCTTTAGTGTTGTATTAGAGAGTTTATACTTTATTGAAAGGAATTCTCACTATAAATTTCTGTGGGTGGTGATTGTATTACTCAAGATGCTACAATTGGAGAAACATTCTGTTGAGCTCGTGGAAAAGCTAAATAATGTAGCAAGAGGAAATGGAGAGTATAGAGAAGTTGATGTCAGCACACTAACACATGAAGATATTACATATATTATCAAGTTTGTGAGAAAACACAGTCAGACACTCCAAGAGAAAGGAATAGGTGAGTATATGAGAATAAAATGACACTACACTGACAGTTATATGAAGATACACGTCAATATAGCGTTGTGACGCTCCTTGCTGGTTCTACTAATTCAGATAACGCAATACAATCGTTCAAAGTAGGTAACTGGAGGATATATGCTCAATTAACACCAGAACAGAGCACGGAATATGATGAGAATATGAAGAAGATCAAAGATGAGCTCAATAGAAAGGCTTATCTTGAGATGGTCGGATCTTCTCTATTTCCTCAAGACGAGCAGAAGCGCAAGAGGAAGTCTGTATACAAGGAGACGAAGGATGAGCTACAAGTAATTACATCGGTGTTGTTTAGCATGGTAGCTGTAGCAACTGCTATATGGTGGGCCGGTGGTACGATGAATCCGACATATGTGGGTGACTCAAATGCAGTTATAATATATACTTACTTAGTAATGCGCAGAAAACATTACTGGCGATGTTTGGTGCTATCGCAATTGCAATAGTAGAGACAGCGCTGTATGTCATAATACAGATGCGCAAAAGCGAGACTGGGAGGGATACAGAGGAGAGAAAAAAGAAATCACAGTAGAATGTATGAATAAACTGTTGTATGAATATTTTATATCGTCAATCGATGATCATCTGACCCGGTAACATCTCTTATTCATCAACAGTGACTATGTCGTTCAATGCAATGTTTGGTGGCGGTGCAGAATGCTCTACAAACTCATTCAATCCGCTAAACAACGTACTCAAGAATGCAGATGTAGATCGATCAGTGATGAAAGTAAGTTGATATACTCCATATACCCAGATGTAGCTCACATATACTCTACAGGAACGCCCCGGCTTGGGCACTTCTGTAGGCAACACAATTTGCATTCTTTATATCTTTTAATCTTCGTCGATAGTCATTATCCGCCTTTCCGAAGAGTTCAACATCCCTCAGAGAAGGCGATAGATTGCAGCATTTTGGGAATAGCTCACCTGTAGCACACCACACAGGCCCATTTGGTATGGAGGCTATGAGAACTGAAGTTGGTAGATTAGCACCTGCAGCTTGTTTGTCATAGCTTTCTTTAGCGCCACTTTCTAACCTAAATTACAGCTTCTAGTTCATCAGCCTGGGCTCATGAATTCAGCGGAAACCAACATCATGATATACAGCGTGATCTACTTGAAAGATCTTTCAACCAGCAGCATAGAAATCTCAGCAAGTCGAATTGGAATGAGGAATATTCACAGCAACAGCGAGGTGTTTCACCTGGTACTTCCGCCAGTCCTGCTTCTTTGTCACATGCAGCTAGTCCTTCAAGCTCTATGTACATGCAATCACCGTATATGCCAATATCGCCTTCATTTGCTGGTACAACTCAGCAGACGGCGCCAGTTAATGAAGCAGAGGAGAACGCTAAATGGGACGAACAGTTCGATAAAATGAATGAGGAGATTTCCAAAAAAGCTGCTGCTGTTTCAGAGCAATCAACCGCTACTAAGGAGGAAGACATACAGGAGCAATTTAAGCAGACACTTCGTGATGAAGGTTTAGATGTCGACAATAACCAAGATTATCTCGCTGAGTTTGAGAATGTCTGGAATACTCAGTATGCACCACATGAGGATGCAAGTAACAAAAATCTTGCTAGTTGGGAGAAGCAATTTAACATGGAGATGAATAATGCTAGAGAGAGTATTGAGAATGACTTGATAGAGAATCAGGCGACTAGCAATCCCAATCAGTCCGTCCAGACATACCAATTTGGTGGGTAATTTTCATTGATATAGAAGAGTTTACTAAATGATCATATAGAAACCACCAATCAGTATATGGAATCAGCAGATCCCTTTGCAGAAGGGCAAAGGTTGTTGAAAGAGGGTGGACCCCTCAGTGAACCAGCGTTGGCTTTCGAAGCAGCAGCTCGACAATCACCTCACAATGCAAAGGCCTGGTTATGGCTTGGCTATACTCATGCAATGGACGAAAAGGAAGAGGCAGCAATAAAGGCATTGGAAAGGTGCTTGAATGAAGACGCAAATGAACTCGAAGCAATGATTCCACTCGCAATATCGTACACCAATGAGGGTGACGACAATGCGGCAACTCTTACACTAGAGAAATGGATAACAAGGAAGTATCCGTCAACATTAACACCAGATACCGGCACATCAACAGCCAGCAACTGGCCTTGGGCAACGCACCAGCGGGTGATTGATTCCTTCTTGAATATCGCAAGGACGCAATTCAGTAGCACGGATAAGTTGGATCCTGATGTGCAAGTGGGCTTGGGGGTGCTTAGTTATGCAACTAGTAATTACGACCAAGCACAAGATTGTTTCAAGACGGCGCTTTCAATGCGTCCGGATGATTGGTTGCTCTGGAACAGATTAGGTGCCACGTTAGCAAATGGTGGTAATTCTGAGTCTGCAATTGAGGCATACACTAAAGCATTAGAATTGAGGCCGACATTCACGAGAGCGATACACAATCTCGGTGTAAGTTGTCTCAACATTGGCTGCTACAAGGAAGCAGTCGACCATCTTCTCAGTGCTATAGCACTTCAGCAAGCTAGTAATGATAGGAGTATCAATGAGAGTCAGAGTTTATGGCAGACACTTCGTCGATCACTCTTCGCGATGGACAGACACGATCTTGCTGCTATCGCCCAACCTGGTACACCTGTGCATAAATTCAAAGACCATGGATTTGATATTTAACGTCTAATGTATTTAGAAACCATTGTATACGAAGATTTATGAATTATCGACCTCTTTATAATAACGGCGATAAGAAATATGACGACTACACTGAGATTTCCGCTTAAAAAGTATTTAAGATCTTCTAGTATGGATTCACAACATTGGTCTACATTTATATCGCCGTCGATGGCTGCAACTTTGGAGATCTCTCATCAAACGCGAGATGGAGATATTGCTAGACTTTCTATAACGATAACGCACGATAGTGGTTATGTAGACACCATGGTATATCGTACCATCATCGTGATTATTCACATTTCTAAAATATCACTAGGAATCTATAGCGTTGCACTCAGATGAGAATGCAAAAGTGACGATGCGATTGACATTCAAAGATAACATCGTGATGGTGAAGCATGTGAGCTGAATGTTAGCTATACCATTAATCTAACACCTCAGTCAGCCAGATGGGAGATTTCAGATAACATTCACGACAAACTCCTCAGCAATTGAGTTCGTAGATCGCGCGAGGAAGTTCAAAATTGAGTGTGTAGCTGCTAATGAGACGATACCTCTCCTTCGTGATGGTATGAGGAGGACGGAGAGTTCGAGCAGCAAACTTGGTAGCCAATCTAGTTGTTATTCCATGCCGCCGCCAGCGACTCAGATTCAAACACAGTTTAGTCAGAGTTACAAACTATCTCAACAAGCTACACCACCAGCAAGCCAGAAGCGTAAGAGAGGTGACGAAATCTCTCTTAGAGAAGCTGATAGCACTGATAACATCGATATCGACATCAATAATGACAAGCTACTCACAGAATCAATTATGAGAGTCATACACGAACCTGATTTCGTCAAATTGGTGTGACACACTGCGATCGTTGTTAATTACTCATAATTCACAGGTCGATAGACTGAGATCGGTAGATGCACTCCGTCTGACACCGAGAAGTGATTATTAAATCAAAGAGGGTTAATGTATTATGCTTTCTATTAAAGTATCCGATAAGCTTCTTAACGCTTCATTTTTGGCTTTGGTTGGCTTCTTTTGGCGACCTTCTTACGTTCCTTCTCTTCGTGCTTGCGTCTTTGTTCTGGAGTCATCTTCTCATATTTGGCATCCTCGATTGCTTTCTTGGCGATACGCTTACGCTCCTCGGCTGTCTTTCCTGTCCTTTCTTCTTCTTCATCTTCGAGCTGTTTAGCGTATTCCTTGATTAAGGAGACTTCCAAGTCTTGACGATTCTTCTGTAAGCGACGCAATGTCTGGAAAGTTTTGTTAGGAAGTATAAATTATTTTGGATATCACTCACATCAGCGTTGAGAGATAACTTCTGAAGATGGATTGCGTCAATGAGGTTGAAGACCAACATGATGTATGAAGTGAGCTTTGACATATCACTTGGTAACTTAAGGTTGATCTCAATTACGCGTTCCTTCTCTTCCGGCTTGAGGGGACCCTTTGATGGTTTCTCGGTTGGCTGGTCAGAAATAATGAGCCAATTGAGGTATGCGCCAGCCTCTTTGACAGTTTCAGGCAAACCAGTAAGGCCTTCCTTTGAGAATGACGAATTAAGAGCGTGTACTTCAGCCATTGGTGAAAAGTCGTTGGTGAAAGCATCAGAATCGTTGATGGTCTTTGTCAAACCCAAATCGAATCTCTTTTTACGGAGGTTAGCCATTTTCGATTTCTTTACTAAGGCGTAGACGAATCCTACGTCTTGGCCGCCCTTTGGTGGAGTTAACTTTGCAGTGAGTGTAACGTTATCTGAAGAGTCAGCACCGAAGTCGATAGTAGACCAAGCGAGATTAAAGAGTTGCTGGAATATATCGTGACGTGGACGTGTGTGTACGTGGGTGTAGAACCTCTCCATACCTCTTCTACCAGATGCATAGGTGAGGTAGTCAGTTGGACCATCAGCGTAGGTTGGTGATTGCTTGAAGACATTAACCATAGCTACTTGCTTGTTGATAATGCCCTGCCAGTGATCCGCCCTGTTCTCGTCAGTATTGTGTGCTGGCAGTGAAAGTCGAGTTACCATTTATCAGCTATTCTCTTGTTCCATCTGCTGCCAACGAAAGACCAGAGTATGTAGACTAGAACGAGCAGAAGACCTATCAAATCCCACTTGAAGAGTGCTGGTCTGATGACGAACATCTTCCACTTCCATTCAATTCCATTGTAGTTGCTCTCGAATAAGCCTTCACGGCTTGGTGGCATGAACGTCTTCACAACGTTTGCCAGTCTTGACGATGTTTCTGAGGGTTCAACCATGATAGTGGAAACACAAGGGAAGTTTGAAATGCTCGAACACTGTCTCCTCTAGCAGCAACCTCACAGATATTAGTAGCATACTACAACATTCTCAGCCTATCACACCATTCTCATTAACGCTCTTCTTCTCTCATACGATGGTCAACAGTTTCTCGATAAGTTCACTGTATGAGTGAGTGTATGGTGACCTAGCTACCCTCTTGCTGACTATATTTAGTGCGCCATTCAATATTTGCGCCAGGGCGTTCTTCCTCAGATACCCAAATCCATATGCTGGGCATATCGTCAGCGTTGATGTACTGAGTAGGGAGATTACGCCAGACAAGAAGCTTAAAAGTGTTAGACTAATACTCAAACGGGGTCAACTGCCGAAATGGCTTCCGAAGAATCTGGTCGAAAAGGCAGAAAGCTGGGTTTTGGAGGAAAGCATTATCGATCCATTGAATAAGCGATTAAATAGCAAATCCTACAATGTAGATCACATAAAACTCATGCGCTTGATTGAAGAAGCCAGTTTCACAGCTGAGAAGACAAACACCACACGACATGAGACAACGGCAACGGTAATTAGTAACATTGGTACAAGTACGTCGTCATGGATGGACATTGGCGTTAAAGCTATGCGAAGCCGTATCGAAAATTACACGATAAAGCGATTTCAGAAAGGATTACACAAGCAGCGAGCGGGATATCTGCACACGCTCGACAATATCGGAGCCGGCTACGGTCATAGTCTTAGTAGTCTTAATGGCAGCACCTCAATATTCAATAGACTTAGGAATATGTTGTATAGTACATAGAATTATTTACATTACTCGCCTACGAGCTTCTGCACACGCTTGAGAACGCTATCTTTTTCGGGATCTGCGGGATATTAGGGGAGTATTAAAGTATAGATATACACACCATATGGATGATCCTTCGATGGTATTTCTAGTAGCGCTGGGAATGCCTCTGTGTGTCTCTCCACTAATGGGCGTATGAGCTCAGCGATGTGCTGATTAATCAGTAATATCGCAATATCGTCTCTCTCTTGTGTAAACTCCCTGAAATGCTCCTCTAAAACGCTGCGTTGTGCTTTTGGATCGTGGACGTAGAAATTCTTGCTGTTATCGTAAACCTGACCAATACCAGCTAATAACAATCCAGTTATAGTATCTTCATCACCTATTGCAGCTATCAGTGTGCGTTTGTTCGTTGAGCTCATCGTTGCAGCTCTTGAACCAGTGCAATCACTATCTAATGGCAACCAAAGAGGACTACAAATTGGATAGCTTGCCCTATTATGATAAGGAATTAGAGAATGATACGAGTGAGTCTTTAGTTTGCTGTATATCGCCTCTCATACCACTGTAGAACTTCGTGATGCGGCTGCTAAGCTCATAGCTGATGAATTGGCAAATTCTGAGAGCAGAGACTTGAGTGGTGAATTGGGTGATGATATTTCAACAGGTTTTTTAACTGTAAGTCGCTATACGCGCTCATATCACTCTAACACCACCCAGTCGAGCGATCTTCTAAGGCAGGAAATGGAAAGAGCGGGAAAGGGAATACAATTAGACAGCTTTGATGCTAGTAGATACGCACTCGCTGAACCTGAAGTAGAGAATGTAAGCGAGTGGAAAAAGTCATACAACAACGCTGTAATAGCGAGTGAATACCAGCAATTACGCTCTAGTAACCTCGATTTACTCTCCGCGTTGGGTGCTAACGCCTGGAAACTCTCAAATCACACCCTAGATGCAGATGCTCGCTCACTTGAACAACAATCTGAACAGATAAACAACAAAATTATCGATATAAACCGCTTACGTAAATCTGAACAAACGAAAATAGGTGAAAATCTCAACACACTTGAGAAATCCTGGGGTGGTCTCGTCAGTAACAACTTGGAATTGGAAGTTGCAACAATAGCCTTGGAAGTTGAGTTAGCACAACTCGCAGAGAGGGAACAGCAGCTGAGGGCGAGTCTACAGTAATGGATACGAGATTTTAAGTTATGTATATGCTTCAAGACATGTAATATTACAAAACAGATTGACTACATCGCCAGATGGCTATGTTTCTAAATAGTTGGTTGTGCTTTCGCGTAACTCTGCTCATTCCGCCTTCCACCTTCGCCTTCATCTTCACTATCGCTGAATTCATCATCACGCTGGATGGTTTTATCCCAAAGTCTCTGCGGACGCCTTTCATTTGGGTCGTCGAGGTCTTCCCGTTTGTTGTCATCGTCGTCGTCATGATTCATTCGTGGGATTGGCTGCATTTGTACGCTAGGTGCGAAATCTTTATCGCGAAGATTTTCAAATATGGCCGACTTGAGATTAGATAGGTATGCAGATGTATTGAGATCTTCCATGTTAGATGAAGGGACGTCTAATTTGTAAGAAGGACCGAAGTAGTCGATGTATTCAGTTGTTGGTAGTGTTGGACTGAGTTCTTGGCCAGCTGCCAATCCAGTTTCGTACGCCCATGCTCGACTAACATTTCGAATGGTGTATCCACCACCACCGAGCATCAAAAGCGGGAGATTAAATTGTTTAACAAATGAGACACAGTTCGCGTGTCCTCGCATACTCAAGTTGAAACAACCAAGTTTGTCACCGCTTAGACTGTCTGATCCACATTGTAGAACTATAGCTGAGGGTTTGTACCATTCGACTACTTTACCGATGACGGGCTCGAAAATACTCTTGTAATTATCGTCAGTGATACCATCCCTTAGGGGCACATTCAGAGAGTATTTTCTTCCTTTGCCGAAACCAATATCCTACACCATATTAGAGAGGCTCACTGATAAGTAGAGGACTAACCCTAAGATCACCAGTGCCGGGGAAATACTCTCCAAATTTATGAAATGATACTGTCATAACCCTATCAGTTGTGTAAAAAGCTTCCTCAACACCATCTCCATGGTGAATGTCGATATCAATGTAGAGAACTCTGTCGTGGTATCTTAATAGCTCTAGTATACCCAAAACTATATCGTTTATGTAGCAAAAACCAGACGCTTCAGCCTTCTTAGCGTGGTGAAGACCACCTGCCCAGTTTATAGCGATGTCTGTCTTGTTTCTACTCAGTCTGGCTGCACCTTCCATCGAACCACCTGCTGAAATGGAACAATACTCGAATAAACCGTCGAATACAGGGCAGTCATCGCCAACGTTAACTAATCACCGTTAATGTGGTTGATATGGTGTTGTTATACCCACATTTAGCTTGTTCTTTAGCGTACGAATCCATATTATCCGGACTGATCCTGTTAAGGAAATCTACATACTCATCGGTATGGAATTGAGTCATTTCTTTACGAGTAGCTGGTTTAGCGCGCTATATTAACGCTCTGAGTCGGTGCTATACTCATAAGTAGTTCTACATACGAATATTTCCATTTTCTTATATAAACCGTAGTTCATAACTAGACTATGACACATTTTAACCCTTGTGGGTTTCATAGGGTGTCCCTGTGTATTCTATTAGCTACCAAATTGAGCTATTTCCTCTGATACTAACAGGACCATAATGATAATGACCAATATCTGTATCGTGGAAGTAACACTAATGGATAATTTAGTAAGTATTCTAATAAAATAGTGATAATAACTCACCACACGCTTATTTCTCGTATTTTCTAGCGGTGTGAACATGACAGTCTAAGTGAAAGATACTTCTTCAACTTATACGACGATGTCAGACGAGGAATTGATGGATGATTTGTTCGGTGGTGCAGAGGAAGATATAGAGAAGAAGTACGTCAATAGCTTACTATAAATCCCGCTTTATTAACTTGCATAACTTACTTTAGAAGTCAACAAACGGACGATAATGACGATAACGACGATAATCTATCAGAGAGACGTGCATTGGAGTACAATGAGGAGGATATGCCTACAGAAGGTGTCATACTTGAGCAGGTTAGAACTGCTACGATGGATATCAACAATCTACCACCAATACGATCCGTAGATAAGAACTGGCTGGCGAAAATACCTAACTTTTTAAACATACAATCTGCTGGCTTTGATAGGAATACATTCGAGGATGACGATAAGAATTTACCTGATAACGCAAACAGTTTGAACACTATCAGGTGGAGGTGGCATCAGGACAACAGCGGTCAGACTATAGCTCAGTCTAATAGCAGAGTTATCAAATGGTCAGATGGTAGTCTCAGTCTACAGGTCGGTTCTGAAATCTACGACATGAACACAAACGAGGATGTCAAAACGGTATCCTCTTCTGAGCCAAACAACCCACGTCAGTACGCTTATACGAATCACGAGAAGAGTGAGGTCGTTATGGGCGATACTGTCATCAATGGTCAACTCAACTTTGTTCCACCAAGTTTAACCTCAAATGTACATAAAAAGTACGCCTCAACAGTCAACGATAAGCACTTTAAAGCTGCTAGACTTAAGATGGTGGATAAAGAAACTGAAGCAAAGGATCCAGAGAAGGAGCTGTTGAAGAAGATGGAGGACGACAAGAAGGTAGCCCGTCAGAGAGCCAAGCAAGAGAGGGTAACTGCAAAGAAAGAAGCCGTCGCTAATGGCACGAACCTCGACTGGAGTTCTGACGATGAAGATTTGGCGAGAACGACATCAAGACGTATCGGCGCGAGAGGATACGAGAAGGAGCCAGACGATGGATTCGTGGTAGACGACGAAGACGACGACAAGATGGAGGGAATAAACGACGACGAAGAAGAAGAGGAAGAAGACGGCTCAGTTGATAGTTTGGAAGACGCAGAGAATAGAATAGAAGAGCAGAAGACTAATAAAGTGTATAAGAAGCGTATTGAATCTGACGATGACGAATAATTGTTTTGTATAATCCATTCTTCTTTCTATACGACGATGCCATCCCAGCTCAAGCAGCTCAAGCAGACTGTGAACAACGCAGGAATAAAAAAGAATAAGAGAAAGTTTGAAGGCAACTCGCAGGATAAAGATAAGAGAAAGAAGATCTCTGAGGAGATACACACAAAATTTAACCCATTCGATACCCAAGTACAGCGCCTGAAGCACAACGTTGGAGGGCGTAAGGTCATTGGTAGCATCGGTGCACCAGCGAAGGCTAAGCAAGCAGGTATCAACCAGGTCTGTATACGCCCTATCTTGATCTACAGCCAGCTGACTATCCCGACAGAGAAAGGAAGCTCTACTTCCGGCACTAGAGAATAGAAATAAATCATCAAAGTTCAAGGACAGACGTTTCGGTGAACAGGACCCTACACTTGATGAGGAGGAGAGAATGCTAGAGAGGTACCAGGCGGAGAAAGCTAACAGCGGGAAACGCAGTCGTAACAACGCAGATTTCAACTTGGAGGATAACGACGAGTTGACGCATTACGGTCAATCTTTGGCTTTGGATGATGACTTCGCAAACGCTGGGTTGGGCGATAACGACGACGACGACGCTGGTACTCGCTTTGACGCTTTCGGTGGCTTCAACGATGACGAAGAAGAAGAGCCAATCGATTACGACCACCCAGATGCTCCTCCTCGCCGTAAAACCAAGGCTGAAGTCATGGAGGAACTCATTACGAAATCCAAACAACACAAAATGGAAAGACAGCAACAGCGTGAAGACGACGATGCTCTTAGGGAGGAAGTTGATGCAGATTTGGATGAGATCAAGGGCATGCTTTTCGACGCACCAGCTTTAGATGTCAAAAAGGAAGATGAGAAGGCTCAAGCGAAAAAGTCAGACGACAATAGCAACTACAAAGGCGATAAGTCTGGTAACGAGAACTACGATCAGTTCGTTAGACAGCTCGCCTTTGATAAGAGAGCAAAACCAACAGATAGGCTCAAGACAGAAGCTGAAGTGGCTTTCGATGCCAAAGAAGAACTCGAGAGAAAGGAAAGAGCTAGAGTACTCAGAATGAGGGGCGAAGATGACCAGCAGGTCATCAATCCTTCAGGTGGTTACGCTGCTAGAAGGCAGCGTGCACGCGAAGAAGAGGAGGCTGAGAAAGAGGAAGACGACGACGAAGATGATGAGCAGATGGAGGATGCTGAGACTTACGGTATCGGTAAGGGTCTTGATGGGGGTGATAGCGAAGAGGGTGATGAAGACGAGGAAGAAGACGAGGAAGAAGAAGACGATGATGACGACGACGATGATGGCGATGACGATGATGACGATGAAGAAAGCATTGCCGAATCAAATGAAGGCGAACTGGGTGATGTTGCAGAAACAGACAGCGCTCCAATAAAGAATCTCGTTGATAGCAATAAGAAGAAATCAAAGAAGTCATCAGAAAAAGCTACAGCGTCAGACAGTTCTTCTCTGCCTTACACCTTCGCCTGTCCAACCAACCATGACGACTTTATGGATATCATCGAGTCATACAATGTAGAGCAATCGGAAGTCCCAGTCGTTATCGAGAGAATACGCACGATTTACCATCCAGAATTGGGAGAAGACAACAAAGCCAAGTTATCTCTCTTCAACGGTGTTCTCATTGACCATCTGATTTACACCGCTTCATCTAGTGCCAACATGGAGTTAATGGGTATTCTTTCAAAGAATATCGTACAACTCACAAACCTCCTTCCAATACCATCAGCTGAGACTTTCAAAGAGAAATTGCAACTTTTGCAGCGCAACTTCAACAAAGGTCTTTCATCAGGTTCCACGAGCGAAAAAAGTAAAACCTGGCCAGGTATTCCTGAATTGAGTTTACTTAGACTTATCGGCGTTGTTTGGTCTACCTCTGATTTCAGTCATCCAGTCGCATCAGCTGCTCAGTTGCTTATTGGTCAATATCTTTCACAAGCTCGTATTAGAAATGGCAGTGACATAATCAAAGGATTAGTTCTCTGTGGTATTTCATTGCAATATGAGAATTATTCAAAGAGATTCATACCAGAGGTTGTAAACTTCCTCGTTAATTCAGTTCTCATTCTTGGCGGTGTTTCCAAGAAGGCCGTACCGGGTCAACATCCAGTACCTGATGTTGGACGTTTGCCTCAGTTGGCTCTCACGAAGAATGATAAGGAGCAGCCCCGTGCTTCTATCCCATTGAAGGACTTCCTAGATGAGAGTAGCAGCAACTCGCTCCAAAGTAGGGTTGATATCTTGGACAAAACACTTTCAATATCCCGTGAAGCAGCTCAAATGTGGGGATCATTGGATGGTTTCATCGAAGCCTTCCAGCCTTTAGTTGAGGGTTTGGATGTTGTGTCAAAGAAGGATGTATGTGGCGGTAAATTGAAGGTGAGTTGAGGCATCTGTTTGCGTATAAGACTAAAGACTAACATAACATTAAGAGCCATTTGGAAAAGACATCACAACAGATAAGAAATCAGGTCAAGTTTGCTAAACAGGCTCGCAGACCATTAAGAATGCAACAACACAAGCAAATTGCTATCAGCTCACTCATACCTAAGTTCGAGGAGAACTACAATGCGGATAAGAGGTACGATCCTGATAGAGAAAGAGCAGCGAGCTCGAAACTCAAGGCAGAAGTCAAGGCAGAACGTAAAGGAGCACTTAGAGATTTGCGCAAAGATGCTAAATTCATTGCGGCACACAAGCAACAGAAACGTATTGAGGAACTCGGCAAATACGAGGACACAATGCGTAAGAAGGTCGACAGGATTGGTGATGAGCGCTACGAAGAGAAGACGCACCAGAAAGCGAAAGCGAAGGCCAAGAAGATGGCTGGAAAATAGATTTAATTTATATATTCACCTATTTATATGCATATATTGGAGTACTAATATTAGTGAGAAAGGAGGTCGAGTGTAGAAATACAAGAAGTGAACAAGTTAGACTATATCTTATTGTGTACGATTTGGGTTTGTCTGTAAAGAAATGCGTCTAATCACGCGCTTGTTCTGTCAGTCGTAGGCGACGGATCCGGGGGTACTCACTCTACCGGCTCTGCCGATCTCCTTGCGGGACATTTTGCGTCCACCGTCACCGCCGTAAGTTTCCTGGGCTACGATACGCGTCTCCTGGGCTGTTCGCTGCAAGAAAGAGAGGAGTGCGACGTACGCCTGTAAAGGGGTGAGCGAGGGGAGCATATCGGAAAGTGTACTAACAATTTTATCCAAATTAGGGCCTATTTTCTTGTTTGGTTTCTGTGCCTTTATTATTTTACTCAGCGTCGATCTTGGATAGCTCGGTTTTGGTGGTGCCATTGATACAATCATCATGTCGTTTCGTAAGTAAATAAAAGATTTATTCAATCGATTTATAACAACGCCAGCTAACCTCTCGTTGTCTCCCTCGGAGAGGCATGCCTTTGCTCACTTCTACAAGCTAGCTGAAAAGGGTAACGGTATCGTTAGCGGTGAATCAGCTGTAGCTTTCTTCAGCTACTCTGGCCTCACACCGCTCCAACTCGGACAGATTTGGCAGATATCTGATACAAACAACAACGGTTTCCTTGATCAGCAGGGCTTCAGCGTCGCCTTGAGGTTGATAGCTCACTTGCAAGCAAACGAAACACTCACAGAAGACCTTATCAATAAGCGTGAGCTATCCCCTCTCCTCCCATCACTACTTACACCTATCAGCTGGTCCCATCCCACAGTTCGACGGTATACCACCACCAGCTATACCGCAAGTATCATCGCCTACTAACCAACCCTCGATTTCACCAATCCAAACTCAGCAAATTCCGCCTGTTCAAGTCGATGAAAGGTCCAGGTTCACCAGGATCTACGCTGGTTGCGGCCCTATCAACGGCTTACTCTCCGGCGACAAAGCTAGAGACGTCTTCATCAAAAGCAAGCTCCCGTTCGATGTCCTTGGTCAGATCTGGTCGGTCTAGTTCCTTACTTTTAATACACAGCTTACCCCTCTCAGGAACCTTGCAGACACTCAGAATAGAGGATCACTCGACCTGACCGATTTCATCATTGGTATGGTGAGTCTACTACGTCATATATGTCTCACTCTTGACACGCACTAGCATTTCATACAATGCTATATGAACAAAACTATCAGCCAGTTACCTTCTACCTTACCACCAGCTGTCTATGAGCAAGCTTCAGCTGGGAGACAGAGATCACAATCACCCTTGGTCTCATCACCAATCCAAAATCAACTCACTGGTGGTAGTCAAGCTGGCTCTCCACCACCAAGTCGACAAGTTAGGTTTGCTGCTGTTGGCGCAAATGACTCTCCCCAATCTATTTCAGCTATACCGCCAGTTCAAACACAACCAAGTGAGCCTGCGAAGATAACGGCCGAAGAGAAGAAGTCATACGATGGTTTCTACGACTCACTCAACCCATCCGGAAATGGTGTCTTGGAAGCTGATAAAGCTGTTGACTTCTTTAGCAAGTCTGGCTTGCCTATTGAGATTCTCGCAAATGTTTGGGATTTGGCTGATGTCAGAAAAACTGGCAGTCTTAATAAGGATGAGTTTGCAATTGCTATGTATCTCATTCATGGTTGCTTGGCCGGAAAGCCTCTGCCTTCTACCTTACCTGATAATTTGATACCTTCGTCATTGCGCTCTAGTGCTCCACGTAAACGTAGGTTTATGATTGATTTATTAGAATAGTTTATTTACATCTACAATTTAGCTGCTGACGACCTGTTCGATCTGATGGGAGATGAATCTGATCTCCAACCTGCAGTTGTACAACCACAACACAGTGGCGGTATTCAGCCAGCAGGTATACAACCACAACATAGCGGCGGTATTCAGACAGCAGGCGTTCAACAACAAGGTACTGGGTTGTCTTCACAATCAACTGGTCTTTCCTCTCAAACTACTGGTATTCAAGCTCAACCAAGCGCTTTCCAAGTACCAGGCTGGCAAAATCCACCATTACAACAACAGCAAGCTCCTCAACAGGCTAGGTCACCATTTGAGAACCCTTCTTCTTACCAACAGCCTGCGCTCGTTGACGATTTGCTCGGCGATTCAGACGTTCAGCAATCAAAACTCAACACTGATACAGAGGCAGTTCAGTCTGCTAAAGGACAGCTATCAGAAACGGACAAAGCTCTTTCAGATTATCAAACTCGTCGTGCAGATCTTGAAACACGCGTTAATACAGCTGAAACTGAGCGTAAAGATTTAGAACAACGTTTGACAAATGCGAGAAAAGCACACGATACAGAATCAAAATTGGTTTCAGAATTGCAAGTAAAGCTAACAGAGACTACCGCTGAACGTCGCAGATTGGAACAGGAGCTAATTACCGCTGAAAGTGACTGCTCTGCTCAGAAAGTAGAGAGAGCTGAATTGGAGACAGCTTACATGAGAGAAAAGGAAGAGACCAGAGTGCTTAAAGCTAAGATTCTTGAGATTAGCAATCACACTACAGAAATGAGACAAGCGCTTTCAGAATTCCAAGAAACGACTCAAGCATCAAAGGGTGAGAATGAAGAAACTAAAGAGCAGCTCAGAAATGCGGAAAGTGAGCGTGATAATGCTGCTAAAGAGTTGAAGAGATATAGCAATGTCGATCCAGCTGAGACTCTGCCAACTGATGGTGAAAAGGAGTTGGATGAGAAGTTGAAAGATATCGAAGACTCCAAACAAGAGCCAGAAGTAAAACCAGAGACTCTAGAGACTCCTAAGGAAGATACTGAGACGGCTGCTGAGAACGTCAAAGAGACTCCTGTTCTCGCTCAAAACGACTTAAAGGAAGAGCATAAAGAGTCCAAGGAAATCAAGGAGACTAAAGAAGATACTACAATAGTGCCTACAACGGAGGCCGCCTCAGCAGTTCCACTTCCAACTAGCCCAGAAAGCGCTCAAGAGGAACCTCAAAGCGTCTCAAAAGCATTGAGCCCATCATCAACCAAGTCTACCAACCCATTTGATAACTTTTCCAAACCAGTTGAGGAGGCTGGTACGACTGAAGATCCATTCGCTGTTAATGATACAAGCAAGAGCGCTTTCGACTCATTTGATGACAACTTTGATAAGCTCGAGAACACAAATTCCAACGTTCAGGATAATACCAATATCGAAGCTCCAGCTACTAATTTCGATGACGCTTTTGCTGGATTTGATAGCAAGCCAACTGATTCCAAGGCAGCCTTCGATGAGAGCTTTGCACCAGCTGTTGGCACTGCCCCTGCTGCTTCAAGTGCGGATAAGGAAAGCGCTTCACCATTTGACAACTTCGCACCGGCCGTTGGCGCCACTTTGCCTGCTGTTAAGGGTAAAGAACGTGACAATGACTCAAGTGATGACGATGAAGGCCCAGAGGATTTACCAGAGTTATCCGAGCAACCACCAAATCTTAATCCAAAGGACGACAAAAAAGATGAATTCGAAGATGCCTTCTCTAGTTTCCCTACCGCACCTTCACAAGCTGATGCCAAAAACAAAAATCCATTCGATGCAATGATCGGTAATACAGGCGAAAAGAAGGACGATCATGATGATTTCGATACCTCCTTCGCTGACCTTCCAGCAGCTCAAATTGCAGCTGGTAACGTCCCTGGTGAAAATGATGATGATCATGATTCTGCATTTGATTTTGTAGCAGATTTCGATCAACCTGGTACATCAAACAAGCAAGCACCTAACAAAGCGTTTGATGGTACGTTAAGTAATCTAAACGATTTTACTAATCCAAATTATAGATTTCAGTGACACTTTCAGTATGAGGTCACCGACAAGTGACCAGGCAGATAATACTGCAAAGCCAAATTTACCACCTCGTGCTGAGAATGCGGAAGAAGATGATATTAAGCAAGTAAAACAATTGGTTAATATGGGATTTGACAGACCACAAGCAGTCAAAGCACTTGAAAAGTCAGGCTTTAACGTCGAGAAAGCCTTGAACAGGTTATTAAAGTAATTGAATGACTGAATCTTGTAAACTTTTTCTATATATATATATCTATATACCATTACTTAGTTTGGAATGCCTGGCCGTCGACTATGGTGACGCAGTGTGATAATAAAGCTCGGGCTGTGAAGTCTAGCTTTTGATTATGACCACGAGGTGTAAATGATGAATAAAAAGTTAGTCAGACTATTAAAGTAAAACACGCTATTTAGCTTGACTGACGCTATCGATAGCCGTTCAAGACGAACTGTTACGATCGACTCAACGAAACCGACGCTCTACGAGAGGAGAATGAAAGCAAATGATGCGCATACAACACCGAGAGTTAATTTACCATCAGATAATCTCAATTCTAGACTACTCGGCACCCCAACTAATAGCAGTACAACCAACAATCGCACACATTTCCCGAGAACACCATTCGCTAGTTACTTTGGAAGGTCTACTGAGAGTACTCCATTGTTGCAGTCGCATATAAACCCCCCTAGCCCTGGTCAAAGCTATTTCGGCTCGAGATCGTTGGGGATGGCTATCAATAGACATCGTAATAAGTCTAAAAAGCATGGATATGATGATCTATACGAAAATGATATGGTCGAATCTGGTAAAGGAGTTCGTACCTATGCACATACGCATACTTCGATCGATTACATTCACGATAAGGTGAGCTTGTGTCTTTAGATATTACCAAGGCTTGACACACGATAGGTCAAGGAAGGTGTTAGACTTAGACGTTTGCTGAGGAAGAAAGGCATTCGTGGTTTCTTGGAGAAATCTTTCGATAGAGCTCAAGGTATGCGTGATTTAGGATTTTGAGACACTTAGTTAATATTTGAATACAGGATGGTTTATAGTAACAATCATCGGAATAGTTACAGCTGTGAGTGCTAACGTCATAACATCACACCAGCCCCTTACATATAAGCAGATCATCGCATTCACAATAGTACGCACAGAAGCATGGTTGTTTAGTTTCAGAGATGGATATTGCTCAAATTCATGGCTTAAATCTAAGCAGTTCTGCTGTAATATAAAGTATACCAGCCATCAAGACAACTTTTCTTATCTAAGCGCTTCAATGCCAACACTTACAACTGATTGCCCAGAATGGACAAGCTGGGAAGATACCTTTGGAAAACGCTCATCTACTCTTCTTAATTGGACAATGGCTATAGCATTCGCATTCATATCATCCATCATCACAGTTTACATATCAGCATCTAACGCACCTTGGGTTAACGACTCAAATAGCGCTCGTTTGGAAGCATATCATCATGCAGCTTCTGGTAGAAAACAGTCAGTTTCCTCACCCATGAGCTGTTCACCTCAGCCGCATCCTTCATTGCACTCTCACAGGGACTCTATAAGTAGCTTTTTATACTCAAATGGCACAAATAAGACAAATTCTTTACATTCACATTCTCTTTCTAGGAAATCTAGTAGTGATGATGACAATTCCTTATATAGTGATTCTGACAACTTTGAGGAGGAATTACAAGCGAATAATGACGAATATGCTGATCAGTTTGATACAACTAATTTGCTATCCACACCAACAGCTGAGAAGTTACAATTGACAAGCCCACATAATTATCCCGTTATGTACTTTGCCGCAGGAAGCGGTATACCAGAGATGAAAGCAATTTTATCTGGATTCGTAATAAGGGGTTACTTGGGTGTATGTACTTTACTATGTAAAGGTATCGGGTTGGCTTTTAGTGTAGCTTCTGGTTTGAATTTAGGTAAAGAAGGTCCCATGGTACAGATTGCTGCATGTGTTGGAAATATTACATCAAGATACATTCGTAAATTTGAAACAAATGAAGCTAAACGTCGTGAAATTATATCAGCTTCTTGTGCAGCAGGTGTTAGTGTAGCATTTGGTGCACCAATTGGTGGTGTTTTATTCGCATTAGAAGAAATTTCTACGTACTTTCCTCCAAAGGTTATGTGGAGAGCTTTCTATTGCGCAAGTTTAGCTGCTGTTACATTGAAATTTTTAGATCCTTACGGCACTGGCAAGACAGTATTGTTTGAAGTAACATACGATCAAGATTGGAAATTCTTTGAGTTACCATTTTTCTTCATAATTGCTATAGCTGGTGGTTTATACGGTGCTTACTTTTCAAAGTTTAATATTTGGTGGGGAAAGAATGTAAGGATGCAATCAATCGTTAAGTCACATCCAATTATTGAAGTAGTTGTAATTACTTTAATAACCGCTGTCATTTCTTCTTACAATCCCTTAACTGAAATGGGAGGAACAGAGTTGGTTTCGACTTTATTGAGTGAATGTCCTTCAAAGTCATCTGGTAAAAAGCTCAAAGGAATATTCGCCACACTTTGCGCAAGGGAAGGTCAAGCACCATGGGGTATTATCAAGACACTTTCACTCGCCATAGGTATCAAAAGTGTTTTGACTGTCATTACATTTGGTATGAAATTACCTGCTGGTATTTTTGTACCTACTTTAGCAGTTGGTGCCTGTTTTGGTAGAATGGTTGGATTGGTTATCGAATATTGGTCAATAGTTCAGCCAGATTCGGCTTTGTTTGGTCAATGTAAAAGTCAATCGAAGTGCATGTTAAGTGCAATATACGCACTTATTGGAGCGGCCTCTGCACTTTCTGGTGTCACTAGAATGACTATATCTTTAGTCGTTATCGTATGTGAATTAACAGGCACGTTAAATTACGTAGTTGTGGGTGATACTATGTTTTTAAAGAGCTTCACTGAATAACAATACAGCCAACAATGCTATCAATCTTGATCTCTAAAACTTTAGCAGATACAATCGAACATAAAGGCATATATGATCTCATTATTGATATGAACAAGTTACCTTTCTTAGATGCTAAGCATGAGTACAGATTTGGTAAAGATTCAGTACTAGATGTCGCAACTAAAAAAATACCCGTGATAAGGATTGATCAGGAACATTCAGTTTGCACATTATTAGACAAGTTGGATAGTTTAGTAATGAGAGGATTATCAGATTCAGGATTTCCTTTAATAATTGATGATGAAGGTATAATTAGATTAGTTGGATACATAGCAGCTAATGAACTAGAGCATGCGCTTGATTCACTTTCACATAATCCATCAGCTCGTGTGAGATTTACACCATTCGATACACTCCAGAATAGCATTTTAACTCAATCTACAAATAATTCCAATTCTAATTCAAGATCAAGGCTTACACTCTTTAAGAGATTTTCAGGTGTACATGACGCACCACTTTCGGCAAATCCTTATGATCTTTCAGCATATTGCGATCTCAGTCCTGTCGTAGTTAGACCCGAAGCACCTATGGCATTAGTACATGATAATTTTAGTAAGTTGGGCGCAAGGCAAGTATTTGTCGTTGACTCAATTGGTGGTTGTGAGTTTGTCTACTTCCTTCGTGATGAAATACTGATGAAACGTGCAGTTCAAGGTGTTGTTTATAGAAAACGTTGGATTGATTACCTTAAATCATTGGAGTAATATATTGTCTCATTTAGGAAAGTACGACCGTTGTTCAACAATTTTTTTAACGAATTCATTTACGATTAATTCTCAATTTATCTTATTTATACTAATAGCTGTTGTTACATCGTTTTATACATAAATTACATAATTTTGTTACTTGTATAGCCTGGTACAATTGCCACCGAATCGGAAATGGATGATAACACAACGGTGAGGTCAGATTGGGTATAAATTACATGACGTGTTTCAATTGAGGGTATAAATAAACGTGATTTCTACACTCTGCGCTTTTCATTAACCATTGAAATCCTGAATAAAGTAAATAGTAAGCGAAAATCACTGTCCATTAGTTTTGTCTTTCTAATTATCTATAAGTGAGTTACAAAGTACAATCAGATGACGTTTTCGAGGACGTACAAGAAAGAGGACTTAATGCCTCAGCAGAGGACAATAAAGCTAGTCGTACAGAAGAGACAGGGGATCCATCCGCTGAGCTTGAGGATCTTGACTACGACGAAGACGTAAATAAACTTAAGAACTACAAAGGTCCTGCATCTAACCTCAGAGGTGCAAGACCTCACTTTAAACAAGATGATGTCTTTGACAACCTTGTTGCAAACGCTGAAAGAGACGACTTTAACGGCCAAAATTGATTGTAAAAACACAAATTGATGTATATTTGTACATAACCAATAATTATTAATTGTCCATTCTATAATATGTCTATAAGTTGTCTATTTGATTGTGAATTTCTCCGATAACCATGTTTCATCTGATGTGAAAATTAGATATTACTAGTAAATCGAAGACAATACCCACAGTCATCGTTGTTATTTTCATCACCATGTACTTTGAGAGCACTAATGTGGAATCTGTAAGTTCCACTTGGTATGGTCTGTCCGTTGGCGAATTTGCCGTCCATATCATAACGTTGATAGGAACTACCTTGACCAGAACCCATGAAACCACTTTATGAATGTAAGTGAAATCTTAGAAACTAAGTTACACTTACTTGCGAGATACGCCTAGCTCTTCATAGAGTACACCGCTTTTGGCACTTCGTTCATCATCACCAAAGATATCGTTCATCCAATTGAGTACACCATTGATAACATTACGTTTCGCTGTGTCATCAACTAGATCGATACGAAGATATGGTGATGGTCCTGTCAATCTGTATATAACAGCAGGTTTGTCAAGTCCGATCATACTGAATGAGTCGACAGTATCTATGAGATTTTTATCCGACTGACGGAATGCAAATGGTACTGGAAAACCTTGTTGAAATAGATCATCAGTGTTGTCTAACACCTGCATCTTCGAGAGATCGCCAGCTATACCATTATAAGATACCTGTAATCTAGATTCAGGAGATTCGAGTACAATCCAACCGGAATACACAGGCAGACGATGATCATCTATGTCTTTGTAGCTGAAGTTAACGTCGAGTGAAGCTGAAGAATTGGCAGAAACGGTTAATGTAGTTGGAAAGTCAACTTCTGCGGAATCAGTAGAATGCTCTGGTAACCATGTACGTGGTTGGATGGTACCATCATCGAGGACGTAACCCGTAAGAGCAGGTTGGTGCAATATTGTGAATGTAGTTTCTTCAGAGCCCATATTTACAACCTCGATAGTATGTGATTTGGAAACACCATTGTAGGTGTCGTTTAGATTAAGTATATCAGGAAGAGCATACGTAGTCGCGTCGAGTGTTGCCGTCAAATTTGCGACACCTGAACCTTGTAAGACTGTGAAGGCAGGTCCAGGAATGTCATCGTCTAACATGACACTAGTTGCGCCGTTGAGCATAAGTGCGCGCGCGACATCTGGTTTCAACATTTGTCCTTTCCGACGTGCATCCTGAAGGAGAAGAGCTAACATTGAAGAATAGTATGGTGCTGAGAATGAGGTTCCAGATTGTATCATGTAATTGTTACCCGGTGCAAGTGTTGGAATATTTGCTCCAGGAGCTCCCACAGCTGGTTTACCATAGCCATCTGCACTTGGACCCATACTACTATACTGTGATATAAGTCCATCTCGTGGATTCTCCTGCAGAATTGGTGTATAATGGAGGGTAATGTTCTCTCCATCAAGCAGATTGCGTGTTGTGTTGAGATTGATAATAGCCGTATCTAGTCCTTCCACAGCAGGTGATGAAGTTAGGTTTCCATTAATGTCTGAGATTAACACCAATGAAGCGTTTGCAGACTATCAGAGGTGTCAATTTAAGTTCAGCATTCGTGAAAACATTTAACACTTACTTTAAGGTTCTCAAGCTTCTCGCCAATACTACATCCACCAGGTTTGATGATAACAGCAACATCATCGAGTTTATCAGAAGTAGTGACATTATTGCAAGCATCTGAAGTAGAATTTCCACTTTTATCTAGAATGTAGGCCGGAACTGTGACGTTCATTTTGTTGAACGAGGTTGCAGGGACGTAAGGGAACCTATCACCGGGTTTGCTTTCCATAGTGAGTGATGCATTAAGGTAAGGTACGTATGGAAGATCAGTTGAGGCGACTGGGGTTACACCAATACCACCAGCCGGGGAATTGGAGTATAGTAAACCCTGCAGACCATAATTACCAGCACTTGTAACGACATGTCTACCTTTTTCAACTATTCTCGATGCTACTACAGATGGCAAAGAAGTGGTCCAACCGTCTGGACCACCTGCTGAAATATTTATAATATCGGCGCCATCTTCGTAGGCCTTGATCAAACCCATTGCGAGGACATCATCACCAGAGCTACCATAACAGCCAAATATCCTGTACATACCGAAAGTTGCATTAGGAGCGGCACCTGGCAGCTGCTCAAGTTGTGATGCGGCGACACCAATTGTGGATGTACCATGAGATTTACAAGTCGTCGCACCGAGTGGACCTGGACTGATGTCGTGTGTTGTTGTGTTGTAGTTATCCCCGACTAAATCCCATCCATGTGAAATGGGACAATTTTCACCAAAACAACCACCCAAACCAGGGTGGGTGTAATCGACACCGTCGTCTATGAATGCTATAAATATACCATCGCCTGTTAAGTTACGCTCATGTGCCTGTGTAATAGCAGATTGACGTAATGCAGATGCGGACAAGAGCTGGACTGAGCTATGACTAGGGAGTGCCTGAGTACCTGAGACGAGTGGATATAGCTGTGAATTGTAAGCCGACTGAGTAGACAAATCCAATGAATCTTGTGATAGAGAATTTGCAGGGTTGTCAAACGAGTTTATTGGGTAGACATGCTTGACAGATTGTAGGAGAGGAAGGTGTATACGATCCTCGTGATTGTTTAGTAAGATAGATGCGCCGGTAAACAAATCAGAAGAAAAGGTGTGAGTGAGCGTGTAGGGGATATCCCTCTTGTTAAGCTGTTCGAAGAGTGTCTGATGTGGTGCGTCAATCTCCAAAGTGTAGAGCAGCTGTCTAGTAGTCGGACGGCTATCTCTCCAATCTATAGCGAGAATAAACGGCGCTATAAAGAGACACAATAGCAGATGTACTACTATCATCTGAGACCAGTATTATTCTATGACGGTGGTGGTAGCTAATCAAGGTGAAATCTAAATAAAAAAATAAATATTACAAGCGTCTCTGCTTCTTAGGTCTTGTACCGCCTCTAACGAGATGGGTTTTGTCTTTTATGAGCGTCAATCTTTGTTTGAAGGATTCACCCTGTTGTGAGAGGAGTGCAGCCCAGCTAGCAAATCTACCCTGTCCGAAACCTCTGAAATGCATTTCTATAGGGCCAAATTTAGATTGATGAAGGGGTGAGTCTGGTGAGGATTGGTTGATCATGTCGAATAGTTTGATGGTGGACTGGTAGCCAGCTTCATAGCCAGATTTCTGTGAGGATTTGAAGCCAATAGAACCTGATGATAGCCAAGTTATTGGTTGGTTGTTGTTGTTCGTCAGTGTTATAATAGTGTTATTCCTCGTCGAGTGTACGTTTATTATCGATTTGTGAGCTGTTTTATTGTAGTTTATGAATTGTAGCTTGCTATTTAAATTTTTTGCAAAGTTATTCATCTTTTAGTCCTCAGTGTTAGTTCTTTAGACGTTCAATCGTATGAGAAGGAGTATTTCAACTAAAAATATAAAAATACTTGATATGATTACAGTTTTTAAAGGCAGCGTGTACTTTTCATTCTCCCCTAGATCCTCTGTTTCATTCTTCCTTAGTAGAAATAAAAAACTGAAGTATCCAGCTAGTACGAGGTATAGCAAGCTAATATCGTCGTACTTTATAACGATACTGCTGACTATTATAAGACATATTATCTCCCTGTAACTCAACAACGTTCTATTCCTCGCGTTTAGTGTGTCTTTAACTACTTCATTCATATTTGTGAACTATGAAGAACAAAAACGTTATAAAAACTACGAAGAAACTAAAAATATACAATTTAAATTTATCCAAAAATTATTTCCTATTGTCTTATAATAACAACTTGGCTATCATCAACAGCCAGCCTTTGGAGACCCTGCTGTCAGTCGACCTAAACGGTAAATTATCAAACAGTAGATTATTCAATAATACTAATTGCTTACTATTGATTGGTAACCAGCATGATTCCGCTTTTTCCCCTAATAAGTTGGTTTTATATGACGTCACCACTCAACTTGTCATATCTACCATTGAATTCAATCAATTCATTTCCAACATTGAAACCTCCGGTGAATTTGTCATCATTTCTATTGATAATACTATCTTCCTCTTCCGATTATCGAATAACTACTCAATTGAACGTCTTTTCAGCTCAAGTTGTCATTCAAATAGTCCTTTAGCTATTAACTTCTATAACAATCGCCTGATAACTCTGGCCGCCGGTAACAAATTTGGCCACCTACAGTTAATAACCCACTCTATCAACCTCACTTCAACAAAGTTCATACAAGCTCACTCGTCAAAACTGTCAGCTTTAGCTTTGTCTTCTGATAACAGTCTCTTTGCGACCTCATCAGTAACAGGAACAGTTGTTAGGATTTGGGATACAAATTCCTGTAAAGCTATCCATCAGCTAAGAAGAGGCTCTGATTTAGCTAAAATTTTCTCCTCTTCAATAGCCTTCTCTCCTGATTCAATTCACTTTGCGTTAATATCTGATAAAGGCACGATACACCTCTGGGATTTAACTAAACAGCCTACATCTTCATATTCTTACCTATCACACAAATACTTCACTCCGAAGAGATCAAATGCACAATTTCACCTTCCTTTGTTGGATAGACACGCTAAGCACTCTCCTTTTGTCACATCATCGCAGAATTATGCACAATTTGACGACTTTGAAGAGTCATTCAATCTTTCTTGGGAATCTAACAACGTTATTGTCATCGCATCGACGTTTGGTAGGCTATTCAGACTATCGATACCGACTAATGTTGATGATAATCAATTACAACTACTGGATTTTAGGAGCTTCTCAAAACTACTATAAGCCAACGCTTACAATTACAACATTTCATTATATACCTTTGTCATTACTATCGTTATATCATTTCCTATCATGAATGCATAAGCTGGCGACGTCTCCTGATTTTGTGACCTCCATGATCACACCTAATACATCAAAACTAACGAGCTCTGGATGATTTATTAGTTTAGTCAAATATGAAAGTAATTTCATACCCATCATACCCATATCTTCGTTCCATTCTTTTAGTCCAACTTCATGTGCTCTATCTAACACCATCTTATCTATTTGAACGTTCTTGTTGAGTTTTGCAATGACAGAATCGATCTTTGATGATTAAATTAGCAAAGTTCCTACTATGAGCGAATTAATAGCACTCACTTTATCGACAAATGTTATACTTGTCTCCTGTACTTCACCAACCTTCACATCCACTTTCTCACCATTCGATACTTTATTGTGTTTATTGCGCTTCGTTTGCTTATTATTACTGCCATTTGATTGTTGTGAATTAGTACTTCCATTCGTTTCCTGTGAGCTGGCAGTCCCCATAGGTTGACTGAGCTCTTTCGTGAGATTGATTTGCCAAGGACACCTATTGTATGCTTGAAAGAGTGGTGTTGCGGGAACGTTTGAATGTAGTATCAACTTCTCTACTTTATGGGTAACTGTATTGAGCATTACATCGAAACCTAATGCGGGGTAGTTGTAGAAAACACCCCTTGCTAAGTCAGATGCATCGCTACCAGCATACACTTCCAGTCTTCTATCACGCTTTTCAAACGTAGATTCCGGTGGACCAAAAGCGCTGACTACATCGGTTGAATGTGAGACACCCAGCTTAATTTCGATTTCGGGTGAATCATTAGTAAAGTTAAACAAAACGCTATCGTGTGGAATGACATATACGCGCGATAGCTGACCTTCAAGAGTAGGTGTTGGTGTACTAGAGATGGTTACGGATGTTGACTGTCCGTTGTTGAATGTCCACAACATCCCAGGCCAACTGTCGAGGTTCTCGCTTCTACAAGGGCCGAAAAGCTGACCGGCTGTTGTCCTACTGAGCGCATCATTCCTAGGTACAATAATATCATTTTCGTATGTGAGGTCAAAGGAGATACTGGGCAATGACATCGTCATAGTGCTTAACCGCTGAGTTGTGCCCTCGAAATGAAGATCTATAGTGCTCGGATTAAGTCGTACTATTATGGGCGCTGTAATAGAGCTGTTACAGTCGTTCGATTCACCGTGTACTGTCACTGAAGAGGTTGAGATGATTGGACGATACTTCAACTCGTTTAGGACGCTGTAAAGGCTGTCACCTAATTTAAACATCCCCAACTGTCTACCAGGGTATAGGGCCATCATTGAATCTGGGTGCTTTGCTGCCATCTCTTGACTGCTATAAGGAGAGATCTCTTCAACACCAACAGCCACCATCTCAATCAGGAAATATTAAAAAAGGCGCATAAAAGCCTGAAATATTAATTAATTGTATAATTATTAGCTGTATATATACACAAGATGGCGACAGACTCACCACCGACAACTTCTATCGCCAAAGTTGGTATTAGTCTCGGTGTAAAGGATTTCAATGTCGATAGCTACGCGGCTAGGCTGATAGATCCAGATTTAAGTTAGTCTATCCACCTCTTATCCGCGTCTCTAACTTCTCGTAGATTTGAAAGACAAACTGGCGATATCTCTAGAACTACGAGACAACATCGACCAGATCTCCCAGCATCAAGACTACGCAAAGTACCTCTCCACTCTACTGCCCGCCTTTCTCGGCGTACTCAGAGATTCCAAAATCTCACTTAGTAGCGGGAGCAACGAACACAAATTCCGTAACACTATCCTCACTCTCGTACATCGTTTTCCACCTTCTCCCAGTATATCCTCACGGGTTCCCGAATTGTTCGACGTTCTTCTCAACACTCTTCGCAACGACAACGAAGAGAATGGCTGGCTTTGCGTAAAGATTATTATCGATCTTGTACGCTCTTTCAAGAAAGAATGCGAAGGGCCAAGTAAATCTTTTCTAGAAGTTTTCAAAGGTATGCTCGAACAAATGCCAAATGTCGTCAGCCAGGTTTTTCCTCAGGATGGCTCTGGATTATGTAGCGAACCTTCGAAATTTAAAGGCAGTGGAACGACAGCTGAGCCAAATCAAGCTCCAAAAGAACTACTCGCTGCGTTTAATTCCTTCAAAGTTATCACAGAATGCCCAATAGCCGTCGTTTGTATTGTGCAATCATACCAGATCACACTCGCGCAGTACATGCTTGACACTTTCGTTAGTCTCTCGGTTAGCATTCTGGAACTTGAAGCTGGTCCTCAGAAGGCCCTTCACGAAGAAGCTGAAAAGGAAGGCCGCATAAACACGTCGATATCACCTTTGATCAAGAATCGTAATCTTTACTGCGAATTTATCTTTGCACAAGTCAAAACTGTCTCTTTTATTGCCTACGTTTGTCGTGCTTGGCATAGCTACGTTACACCACATGCGACAACACTCGCGAAGGCTTGTCTTAGACTTCTCAAAGACTGCCCAAGTGAGCTTTACTCAGCAAGGAAAGAAATTTTGGTCGCAACTCGTCACATTGCTGGTATAAATGAGATTGGTAGACCAGCATTCTTGAGTGTTTTCGATGAATTGCTCGATGATGATGTTATTGTTGGTAGTGGTGTCATGACTAGAGAGACACTTCGGGTACTTGGTATGGGTCTCCTTGCTGATGTATTCGGTAGCGTTCGCGGTGATCTCTCCTTTGAGCAAATTAGCAAAACTCTAAACAGGGCATTGGTCAACATGCTTGACCCTACTCTACCACCACATGCCCACTCCATTTCTATAAAGAAAATAGTGGCTCTCATCGACCGCATCGTAACAGCAAACAACTCAAACGGTAATACTAATGCACCGGTTGGTCAAGATAATCCGAATGAGATGCTTCATATGATTGTTCATGCTTTGATATCTAAATTAAAGAGTATTAAGTTGTTCAAGGATGATTTGGTCAAGTTGAAACTTATACCTGGCCCAAGAAGAGGTGTTAAAGTTGAAGAAGACGAAGGAACCGATGGTATGGATATTGATAACGATAATGAAAAGGAGCAGTCGTTTGTTACGGCTAAGTCATCTGCTGATGAAGTGGACGAGATTGCAGTTGAGCAAGCCAAACCAGTTGGTGCACTAATAAATGTAATCGAACCATCGAGTGAGAAAGTTAGAGATGCAAGGATCACGTTTAGGTTTACTTTGCAAGCTTCTATTGCTGCTATTACTGCCTTCAAGCATATCCCTACGAACACGGCCACGGGTCCAAAAGGAAACCTCAATGCTCAGGGTGCGGCTGGACCAGATTCAGAAACACTTTGCGATTTCTTCAAAGCCAGTGTACAATGTTTCGGTTTATATGACAGGAAAGGTGATAAAGAAGGTGCCGAAAATCTTGAAAACTTCTTTACAGCTTTGTTGCGTGTCGAAGCTCTCGTCTTCCAGGATGTCATACAGAAGATGCTACCATATCTCGTCGACCAGATTCTCGAACATCCACCACTTTTTAACTCTATCAACGTCTTCCTAAGTCATGACCCCCAATCCCAGATATTTTTGAGCACACTCATCAAGTTCTTCATCGAGAATCTCGAGGTATTTTCCAGTGATGATCACGAAAGGATTACACTCTTCCATAAGATCTTCAAGCACATTATGAGCGCCATATCACCGCCAAATGACTATCTTTTCGCTGGATGTACAGGTAACATCATGCTCAAGAGTATAAAGTTGGCTCACAAGTCGAGGAACCCTTACAACTATCTCATCCTCCTTAAGATACTCAGTCAAGCGATAGGGGGAGGCCGTTATGAGAAGTTTTACATAGAGGTTCAAGCTCTATTGCAATCCTACATAGATGGTTTAACAAATCTTCTCGATGAGGCTGACAAAGTAAACAAAGAGCTTATCATCCAGCTTTTCTTGATCCTCCCAATGCGATTTCAAGTGGTTTTACCTTTCCTTCACTCCCTTACACGTCCGCTTTGCATGGCTCTTGAATCGAAGAACGATGAAATTGTCGAGCAGGCTCTTCGCTTGGTCGAGATCTGCGTTGAGACTCTCAATCCAGTCTATGTCGATCCAATTTTGGCACCACAGATAAGACAGATTCAAACAGGGATCTACCGCCTCCTTAAACCTGTCCCAGCCAATCATAAGTTGGCGCATACCGCTGTTAGAGTTCTCGGTAAACTTGGAGGAAGAAACCGTAAGGCAATTAATATCCCTGCTCGTGTTTCACCAAGGGTCGTTGATCAATCTGCATCAATACCTGTTGAATTCCATGATAAAGAGGGAGTTAAACAGCTCAATTTAGTGCCTTTAGTCGATTTGGCTACGAAAGCTATCCAAGTTGCCAGTGACGACTATGCCCATGCAGTATCCACTGATCGCAAAGTCCAGAAGGGTGGAGATGAAGAGAAGGCTATTGGTATACTTAAGCATTCGATAGCTCCATTAATATTGAATGGTCTTAATGGTGTTTTGCAGGAGGACCTCTATCAGAAAGTTCTCGATTCTCTCTTCGATGCCGCGCTAGTACCTTCGTTAACAGATCTCAGCTTGGATTTCGTGAAAGAACTCGCAAGCTTCATTCTCACAAGGGAAATGAAAGAAGGTATATACTTATCTGATGGTATTCCCGCTCTGTCGAGAATAGCCTGCTTTACACTAGATGCAGTTTGCTCCAGTCTCAAACTTACTGTGTCTCATGATGATACTCTCTCTCGCGACCTCGTCACTGCTATCATTCGCGATGTCGTTACTGAAACTGTCAATGAAGATTCACAAATCGACGTTAAAACATATATGCTCAATCAGATTGCCAGTAGGTTTGCAAGTCTTTGTCACGATCAGCTCTGGCGCTGCAAACTTGCCGGATTGGCCGGTATGAATATCTTAACTGGTGAAGAAGTTGGTCTTGGTGAAAAATGGGTAGCTGGACATCAAATCGAGTTCTACAGAGCGGCTATATACATTCTCAAAGACATGCCCCATGAACTCCCGAATGATGTTGATGAAGTCACTGCCTTTGTGAAGAAGTAAGTAGCTTTCGCGTCGTAAGATTATAAGCTGACTTAAATCAGGTTGATTGATATATGTAATGGTCCAAATGGACCTGTTGTCAGTGAGAATGCAATGGATTACATGGAAGCTTCCCGTCCATCCACACCAGCGACGAATATTGCAAATCCATTCAACGCCCTCAACCGTCATATGGACTCACCCTCAACAAGCTCCACACCAGGCGGTACAGACCCACAAAGATCGCAATTTAATCACCTGATCAGCATTCTCATTGCTGATTTGACATCGCCTAAGGATATTGTGAGGAAGACGACACAGAAGACTCTCACACAGCTTTCGGAAAGGACACAAATTCCAATTCATGAGCTTCTCGCTCCAGGAAAAGGTGTTCTCTCAAGCGCCATTTATCACAAGCCATTACGTGCTTTACCTGTTCCTATGCAAACCGCTCGTATTGAGGCTGTCACATACTGTCTTCAGCTTAGACCGCCTCTTCCACCGATGGAATCGCAAGAAGGAGAGAACCAGCCTGAGTCTGACAAAGGAACTGCAAATGAAGCCTCAGCTGCAACGTCTGCATCAGTTAATAACAAGCACCCAGGTGTTTTAGAGATTAATGAAGATTTGACAAGATTTGTCCATGAAGTACTAGGTATTTCTGACGCAGAGGATGTCGCAATTATTGGTCAACGACCACCACATATTGTTCAACTCGCATTGGCTGAACTTAGAGTGGCATGCGTTAAGCTCTTGACAGCTGCCACTGCGACTAGTGACATTTTCAGAACCGCAAACCAAGCTCGTATGCGTATAATCAGTGTATACTTCAAGAGTCTCTATGCTCGTAATTCTGAACTTCATGGTGTAGCACACGAAGGAATAAAGCAAGTATTGGTACAATCTGGTAAAGTTCCTAAGGAGTTGTTGCAAACGGCCCTCAAACCAATCTTGATTAACTTGAGCGACACTCGTAGAATAAATATTGCAGGATTGGATGGATTGGCTAGATTACTCGAACTGCTTACTAATTACTTCAAAGTCGAAATTGGTACTAAGCTGCTCGAACATTTCAAATCACTCCTTGATGAGAAGGATTTGAAGGCAGCTCCATCACCAAAGATTAATCTTCCTCCCAATGCAACCATTCAACAGCAGCAACAAGCGACAGCTATGGCGGCACAAGCTAGTGTTCAACCACCTCTTAGTGGTGACCTCGCAGATTTACACGATGTTAAGATCATGGTTGCAATTGCAAATGTTTTCAGACTCTTGCCATCTGCTGCCAACATCTACCTTGAGCAATTCTCAAACTTGATCGTTCAGACTGAGCAGCGCTTTAGAAGGGTTCTTGGAAGTCCTTGGACAACCCCACTTGCACAGTATCTTGATAGATTCCCTAACGAAGCTAATGAATTCTTCTTTGGTGGGTATTGATATGAAACAATCCGCTGAGACTAACGCACACCACAGCTCGGATGGACTCTTCCGAACATTTCAACACTTACAGGGCTGCTTTAATCTCATCTCACGCTGTAAATCTCAGAGCAGACGTGCTTGCCAAACCGGAACGCATCGTGAACTCGTTCTTCTCGCCTGAAGCACTCACCAAGACTGGTTTCGCATTACATGGTCTTAAGATTGTTAGGGCTTTGATGGATCTGTCGCCAAACTTGCTAGCAGGTGAACAGAAAGGCAATGTCCTTTGGGAGGCCATATGGAGTCTTTGGTCACAATACGTTAATTCAGACAAACCTATCGTTGATATAGCCAGTCGTACGAAGGAGATAGAGACTCTGTTGGAGATCCTACTTATACATCTCAGTAACCACCCTGATCCGGCAATGTTGATCTATATGGCTGAAGTCTTCACCCTCAAGCTTCCAATCAACCTTGTTGGTTTGACAAGATTCTATATCAAGGATGTTGCGCTTTCCTCATCAAGTGAACTCAAGCAAGTTATTTTGAGTCACTTTGTCAACAAAATTCCAGATGAAAGCCTATCACAATCACACAAGATGTTCATCGTCAGACATATTGTCAATCCTATCGCGGTTGTTGCCAAGTACCGCCCGAATGAGACCGTTATCGATGAAGCATTTATCGGTGAGATGCACACTAAAGTCTGGTCACCATTCCAGAAAGATGATGAGTATACTGGCGTTGATAATGGATTCCTGATAGAGTTGCTTAATTTCTCGTGAGTGATGCAATTTCATTCTTGTCCTAGTATATTAACATTTTTTCAGTGCTACACTCGTAGATGTAGTTCCAGATCTCCTCGGAGAGTTCAAGAAGGATGTTATCAAATTTGGATGGAACTCACAAAGACATGTGGATACATCAGTCAAGCATTCTGGTAACATCCTTATGTGTAGATTCCTCAAGGCTTTCGACTCTCCAAGCAATCTTGCACGTAATGTCTATGTAGGTCTCCTTAAAGGTGTTCAGCCAGAGACAAAGAATATGGCACGCGAAGCACTCGATATTCTCACGCCTGTTTTGCCGCAGCGAGTCCCAGAAAGGGCACCAGCACCTGTCTCGCATTTACCTCAATGGGCTATTAGAATTAGAAGGGTGTTGGTTGAGGAGCAGCAATCAGCCGCTCAGCTCTCAACGATATACTCGCTTATCATCCGTCATAGTGAACTCTTCTACCCAATCAGAGAACTCTTCGTACCTCACATGCTTAACTCAATCACAAGGATGGGTATCATACCCTCAGCAGCAAATGACACACGCCAGTTATCAATCGATGTTCTCGAATTGATCCTTCAATGGGAGCAAAAGAGAATGAGCATGAGTGAAGAAGATAAGGAATCACAATCAGGTGATAAAAGGAGAGCATCGGAAGGTTTGGATGACCAACCAGCTGCTAAACGCACAAGATCTTCGACTGCAACAAGCACACCACAGCAGGGTACCCCACAACCAGCTCCAAAACCTTATATCCTCCATCATAATCTCCGAGGACATGCTATCAACTACCTTGTTAGGTTTGCGTCGATTTCTAACGAGTCTATCTCTGCTCCAAATTCACTTTCTGCCCGTGCAATCGAGCTCTTGAAGGGCTACCAGTCACTTGATAGTCACAATGATATTAGTGCTAAATTGGCTTACTTCTTGAAGGTGTTAACTCAGGTGGGTTGAAAATAATTTGAAATATTGATCTAATGTAGCACAATAGAGTGAATTGAAGGAAGAGTCAGCTACTGTTCATTGCAACTCCGCAGAAGTTCTCTGTGCACTTGCCTTACCTGAGCAGGATGCTTACTTCTTGAGCAATTTGGCAGGAATGGCACGTATTATTGAGAGATGCTATGCTTCAAACATCAACAGACTTCACCTCACTCTAGAATCACTCGTCAAGCGCATCTTCAGTATTTTGCCGTCAGTTACAGAGGACGACGATAGTCAGCAGGGTCGTGAAATTAAAGCATTCTCCAGTATGATTGAGAATATCATCAATGATGGACTTTCAGGTTCACGCAATCCACATAACGCTCTTTGCTTGCTTAGAGCTTGGACCGATGTACACCCTGACAAGTTCGACATGTTTATTCCGGCTCACATGCGTTTGCTTCAAATTATCACCCGTGAACACTGCTCAACGGACAAAAAACCTAGCTATCTTATTGATCCTAAGCTCATTCCTTTCACCCTCGAATTGGCTTGTAGAAGGGTATCGCAGCTTGGTGAGGCCAGACGTATCTTCCTAACTTGCATCGTCATGCTTATCGAAAGGACTACAAGTATTGACGTATGTAGCTCTATACTCGATATGATAAAGAATTGGATTACAGAGAAGAAGGAGGCATTTCCAACTGCTCGTGAAAAAGCAGGTTTGCTGATCAAGATGATGTCTATTGAGAATCGTCAATATGACATCAAGGGCGTTACGAATGACACACCATCAAAAGAAGCCTCAAAGAACCTCTTCAATGATTATTTGGAGTTAATTCTGAGTATTTATAAGGACTCCTTCTACGCTAGAAGTGAGCTCACGGTTAGGTTGGAGAATGCGTTCTTGTTGGGTTGTCGCGCAACCAATGGCGAGCTCAGAAGCCGCTTCATTGAGGTTTTCCATGAAAGCATGTATCTCTCTATTGCGTCTAGACTACAATACGTACTTGGTGTCCAGAATTGGGATTCACTCTCAAATGTTTATTGGATCCATCAGGCATTGGATTTAGTGTTAGGATCTATCAAATCTAACAATATCATCGTTAGTAGCGAGTTTGGTGAAAATGCCTTCGTACAAAAGTTGAAATCATTTACTATTGAAGGTCTTATCCAGCCTGTTCGTCAATTACAGTACATTGATGATGAATCAGCTCATGAGATCTGGGTTACCATCTTTGGATCAGCATGGTCATCCCTCAATCGTAAAGAGCAAGGCGAAATTACGAGACACATGATCGGTTTGCTTGCTCAAGAGTACCATTTGAAGCAAGTGGATGCACGCCCTAACATCATCCAGAGTATTTTGGAAGGTGTCCTTATAGCGTCACCTTCGATCGCTCTCCCTCCACACCTCGTTAAGTACCTAGGCAAAACATTTGGCGCGTGGCATACATCCATCCTTTTGTTAGAGCAACTGACAGAAGTTGGACGTGAATCAGAGTCTGTAAACGAACTTGCTAGAGATGCTTTGGCTGAAATTTACGCGGATCTTGCTGAAGAAGATATGTTCTATGGTTTGTGGAGACGTCGCTCCGGTTATCAAGAGACTAACGCTGCATTGTCTTACGAGCAGCTCGGTCTCTGGTCAGAGGCTCAAGTTCTGCATGAGAACGCTCAAATTAAGGCTAGATCTGGTAATGTTCCTTTCAACGAGCCAGAATATGCGATTTGGGAAGACCACTGGGTGTTGTGTTCTCAGAAGTTGCAACAATGGGACCTTCTTACAGATTTGGCCAAGAATGAATCCAACGCTGATCTCTTGTTCGAGTGCGCTTGGAGGACGTCTGATTGGTCCCAAGATAGAGAAGTTATTGAAGGCGCCTTCAAGAATTTGGCTGATATCGCAACTCCTAGAAGGAGAATATTCGAAGCTTTCATGTCGCTGGTCAGAGCTCAGGATACTAATGAGCCAGCAAATGACTTTAACAAAATTACTACGGAAGCTATTCAGTTATCTTTGAAAAAGTGGCACTCATTACCTGACATACCTGGTCCAGCTAATATACCATTGTTACACACTTTCCAACAATGCGTTGAGTTATGGGATGCTTCTAATATTTTCCAGACATTCCCAGCTACCAATGAGACCAATGTCGAGCAGCGTTCATCGGAAATTAAGAACATTGTTCATCAATGGAGGGATAGAATGCCAAACTTATGGGATGACATCAATATCTGGTCTGATCTCGTTGCTTGGAGATCACACGTGTTCCAAGCGATCAACAAGGTTTACTTGCCAATTATAAACAATCTGCAAGCGAACCCTAACGCGCCTAATACTGGTCAAAATAGCTTTGGCTACAGAGGTTATCACGAAATGGCATGGACGATCAACCAGTTTGCTCACGTTGCTCGTAAGCATCAGTTACAGGATGTCTGTATATCCCTCCTCACCAAAATCTACACTCTTCCTAATATTGAAATACAAGAAGTATGTTGAAAGTTAGATTGTTTTTCACCTTACTAACACAATCTTAGGCCTTTTTGAAATTACGTGAACAAGCTAGATGTCTTTATCCAACTACAGATGGTTTGGGCGCAGGTTTGGAAGTTATTAACAACACAAATCTGCACTTCTTCGCACCTTCCCAAAAGTCAGAGTTCTTTACATTGAAGGGTATGTTTACAGCAAAGCTTGGCCTGCACGATGATGCTACACAATCATTTGCTCATGCTGTTCAAACTGATTTGAACTTACCTAGAGCATGGGCTGAATGGGGACGTTATAATGACCAGCAATTCAAAGCACACCCAGAGAATATGTCACTTGCTGCTAACGCCATCAGTTGCTACCTTCAAGCTTCAGGCCTATACCGCAACCACAAGTCTAGAAAGCTTCTCGCACGTGTTCTTTGGTTGCTTAGTCTGGATGATGTTAACATGACTATCTCCAAGGCATTTGAGGTAAGTGATCTTTTCTTGTGCAAAAGAAAATTGACATGCGTCCTCAGGCTTACAAGGGTGACTTCCAAGTGTGGTATTGGGTAACACTCATTCCACAGCTCCTACTCTCACTTTCACATCGTGAGGCTCGTCACGCTCGACTTATTCTCATACAGATCGCCAAGAAATATCCACAGGCGCTATTCTTCCATCTTCGTACTACGAGAGAGGAGTACACTGTCCTCAGAAGACAAGCTCAAGCTGTGGCTGCAGCGAAAGCCGAGAGAGGTGAACCAACAAGCGGTGTACACCTTGCACCACCTTCACAAGGCATGCTTACACCACATCTTGGCTCTCCTGCACCACCACATGCTAAGCCTCAACAGCCATCGCAAGTACCACAACAAGCTTCTCAGCCTGGCCAATCCCAAGTACCACTTTACAAAAATCCATGGGATTGGGTTGATGAAGTTTTGTCTATTCTGAAGACTGCTTATCCATTGCTTACACTCTCGCTTGAAACAATGGTTGATCAGATTTCTGCCAGGTTCAAGTCAACACCTGAAGAGGATGGTTACAGATTTGTCAATGCTTTGTTAAGCGATGCTATCATGAACTACTCAATGAGAGACAAGAATTCTTCGTTGGAGTTGGCACAGACCACAAGACAGGCACTTAACAAGTTTGTTGAACAAGCTGTTATTGGTAAAGAAAAGGTGTTCGCAAATGAACCGGGACTCGGATCAGAACTGCAACTCCCACAATATGTCAGAAAACTGTTAGTCTGGAGAAAGAAGTTTGAGAAAGTACTTGGATCTCGACCAAGATTCCAGTCACTTGAGTATTCTCGTAGACATCTCATTGAGTTCCATCTCAACAAGTACGACCAGATCGAAATTCCAGGTCAATACAACAAACACGAGGATGAAGACAGGTCTACATTCTTGAAGGTTGCTAGAATTGCACCTAAGTTCGAATTCTACAAATCACACGGCGTCAGTTGGAAGAGACTTACATTCGTTGCCGTCAATGGAACCAGACATCCATTTATGGTACAAATGCCACCTACTAGACATGTGAGACGTGAAGAGCGTAATCAGCAAATCAGCAGAATATTTAATGCGTAAGTTCATCTTAATTGGATTAATATGTCTCACAAAAAATATAGCGTTATTGATCGTCGTAAAGAGTGCAGACGTAGAAATATCTACTTCAATGCGCCGCTTTCTGTCCCATTGTCTACTAGCTTGAGACTTGTGCAGAGCGATCCAAGCACTGTCTCATTAGAGGATATTGCGAACAAACACTGCGAAGAGTTGGGTGTAGATAACATCACACCAATACTCAATTATATTGAGAAATTGAAGGCCGTGTCCAAACCAGAAGATTCAGTGAGTCCTTTTAGAATTATTGTTTCTAACCTAATGAAATATAAGGAAACTACCACACTTAGCCTCAAGATGGAGATCATTGAAGAAATTGCAAACAAATACGTACCGGAAGACGTCTTAACGAAATACATGAATAGATGTGCAAATAGTCCATCAGAGTTTTGGATGTTGAGGAAGCAAATGACAAATCAAATTGCTACATTGATCTTCATGACGTATTCATTCTGTATAGCACATCGTCAGCCACATCGTATAATGATCACGCCTTCGACTGGCGCTGTTCACACTACAGATGTAATTCCTGGGTCAATAAACCAAGAATGTCAGTTATCCAATCCAGAATCAGTACCATTCAGATTAACACCAAACCTCCAACATTACTTGACGTCTATCGGTATTGAAGGTCTTCTAGTCTCATCGATTGTTTCATTAGGAAGATGTTTAACTGAACCTCAATATGATTTAGAGAATCAGTTAAATTTGTTCGTCAGAGAAGATGTATCTAGCTGGTTCACGAACCAACGTCGTCAAAACCCTTCAGATAGTGAAGTTAGGAAATGTATACAACAAAACGTAGACGGTATTGTCGCAAGAGCAACGGTACTAGGTTGTAAATATGAGCGTGAACAATTCAATCAGAATCAAGGTAACGCAAATAACCAAAAAGTCATACCAGCATGTCAGAGTGTGTTGGAGTTGATCGCTAAGGCTACTAATCCGATAGAATTGGCAAAGATGGATCCACAATGGGCACCAGTAAGTAATTCGTTTGATTTAATTTCAATTCTAACTAATCTTCCCAGTGGATTTAATCATGTTATTAATAGTAACTACACATATGAATGAATTATTGTAAATATAAATTATTTTTCTTTTAAGCTATATGATATTTGATAGATAAAAGTTTCTTATGTGATTAACAATGTGTTACCAATTAATAAATATTACGACATCACTTGACATAGACCATGCATGAAAAAATGTGCATTATGTCGACAATAGGTGATATTATATGTTTTTAGCTCTTAATAACACGAATATATTAACAAAAATTGTATTATCATATCGGCGTAGGTGATAATATCATTCAGTAGTAAGACATGGTGATCATTAGCCATATAAAATTTCACATATATGTGAATTTACTTGTGCAAAGATTTTCAGAGTATTTATATTCCATATATTAGTTCTTGTACACTGTATATCTTCTAGCGCTACTATCTGTCTAATTGAAGTTTGCCAAATGTCGATGGTGATTTACAAATACGTGGATACATATGTTGAAGATAAAATTAATAAAAAATGAATATGCAGAATAATACATGATACTTAATTTAAAAAATACATATAAAGTCTAAGATTCGGTCATTTCGACGTCTTTGCTTGATAATTGTTTGATTATCGTCGTTAAATTACGAATAACATCAATTTCTATACGTTGTGCACCTAAGCTAAGGTTACTAGATTGATGGACGCCTTTAGTTAGTCCATTTGGCTGCAAGACTCTTGGTGATATCCTCTCATTACGTAGATGTGCGATAGCAGTACGTATATCAGTCTGTATTGAATTGAGTAGGCTATAATAAGACTTAGTAGTGTCTACAAATTTAGCATCCTGTGCTTCATCCTGCTCTAATGCGTTATAATCTTCGTTTGGGTCTTCGTCACCCCAGAGTGTAATCTGCGGTTGAGATTGTTGCTGGTTTGACAGCTCTGTGTACTTTTGGTGCTGCTTTTCTAATTCCTCTCTTTCTTGTTGATTTGAAGGTGGTAAAAGTGCTTTGAGTGCATCTGAAGCTAATTTCAACAATTTACTAATATCCTTGATAGTAGTTTAAAATCTAAGCTAATTAATATCATCAGAACTCACTTTATCTGTTTGATTAAGTTTATCTATTTCATTGGCACTCATCGCTATTGTTGAACAACTACAGCGATGTCAAATCTTAGAGAAAGGATTGAAAATAAAACTAAAATTGCTATTGAAGCTAAGGATGCTTTTTACTTTGAATCACAGAATGAACTGCTCAGTTATCAGGATGTAGACGTGAGTTGCTTTATATTAACATCTAATTCAATATCTAATACACTATCCATTAGTTCCAATTAACTATTTGTCCCGCTTTGTTACAGAAACCTTCAAATCCACCACCTGGCGTCAACGGTGATACTATCGATATCCCTTCAAAAAGACAGCGTAATGAAAGCTCAGAATCGAAGTCACAGAAGGATGTATTTGCTCCACCATACAATGAGAATCTATACGTTGACGAACTTAACGATTCTCACGTATTATTGGTGCGTCACTTTCGATTTATAACCGTATCAGCTAAAATGTGGTAGTTAAACAAGTACATGGTGACCCTGAACCATTTCCTTCTCGCTACTAAAGGTTTGTTAGTTTACTATTCCATTAACATTTCTGACTGATCGAAGAATTCATACCTCAGACATCACCACTTTTACCTTCAGATTTACTAGTTGCTAGGAAAGTTATACTAGAATACAGAAAAACCGGACAAGATCTATTATCATTCTTCAACTGCGGTGAGAAGAGTGGTGCTTCACAACCACATAAGCATATTCAATTCATACCATTGAAAGAAACATTACCAATTGAGAAACTAGCAAACAATATAAATATCGATAACGAATCAAAGTTCTTCTCTATTGATAAGTTCCCATTCGCTAACTTCGGTATTAAACTCTCAGTTTTAGCAAACGCGCCATCAGACGATGAACTTGAAGCTGAATTAGCTAACAGATTCATGACCCTTTTAGATGCACAAGCGGATACTTTTAGAAGATTAGAAGAAGGTCCTCCTTCACCTCCATTTAGTTATAATGTCTTGATGACACATGATTATCTCTTCATTATACCCAGATCAAAGGAAAGTGTGGCTATTGAAGCTGCAAATGGACATGAGGGATGGAATAAATCACTCAATTCTCTAGACTACGCAGGTTTAATGGTGTGTTTAATATTACTTGGAAGCTTTTTTCTAACAAAGCATTAACAGTTACTTAGAAGACCGGAAGAAAAGCTGGGTATAAGTAATCCACTGGATATACTACTCCAAGCTTCCTTCCCTAGAGTACACCTCCCTGAACCAGTTTATGAAGCCGATCCTGGAATGTTACAATGAGTTTTGTTTGACTTTCTACAAAATAAAAAATACATGATTTTTGAGAACGAACCAGTGTTAAGATCAAGAGTCATACATTTATTTATTTACTATACAAGTAATTTCAAGACAATAAAGATAATGATGAAATCGAAATAAACAGTTCAAATGAATGGAAGTTGGCATGTGTTGATAACCCAATGACCCACAACAAGGAGATCTTATCGATAGCCAGTCGATAATTCTCGGGTGGGATGGAGGGACTGAAAAAAATTGAGAGAAATGATATTTAAGAGAGAGAAATTGAGTGGACCTTTATTGAAGTTGATTTCAAACTCGAGGAAAAGCATAAATAGCAATCCAAGGGAAACCTTTCAACGAAAAGGAAACACTCTACGTCAGCGTTTAATGAATACGCTGCGGCACGTAGTGATAAAAGTAAAGCCGCCGATAATATTCTAGAATGATGAATAAGTTACCGGGATTTCCTATAAGCTGAAGTCAGTTACAGACGTTCCTGGAGATCAAGTAACTTACGAATTAATATTGAATTTCCTGTTTAACAGTGCTATTAGTGCAACATCCAGTGCAGTTTTTAGCATGTTTTTGATGAATTGATGTTTGATGTCTGAGAAGATCGTGCTTCCTAGAAAACCTTTTACCGCAAGAGCTGTGCTCACATAAAAATGGTTTGACACGCATAGGATTATGAGTTTCCATATGCTGCTTCATATTAAAATGTCTAGCGAATGCTCTGTTGCATTGAGGACATTGAAAACGACGCACAGGTCCCGGGCCCGATGAGCTAGCCGAGGACCCTGAGCTTGTAGAAGATGCACTTGAAGATTTGTGAGCGATAGGGGCGCTTGCTGCATAAGTTGAAACAGAAGGGTGAGAATGGTACATCTTTGCTGGTGGTAGTAAGTAGTTGTAGTCGTAATAACTTGATGGTGGAGAAGGTGGAAAATCGTATTGAGGGTAAGCGTAACTCTGCACTGGTGGTTGATAAGGCTCTAGGTAATCAATTGAAGTAAACCAGGCGTCAGCTTCCAGTAAGGCCAACTGAGCGGGTGAAGTCGACATCTTTGGAGGTGGAATATAGGCTGGTACGGAGAGTAGAGGGCTTGATTCGACGCTTGAAGCAGGAGAGTGAGTTAATTCGGGCGTTAAAGCTGTTGTTGTCTGGCTGATGTCGAACATTTGGTGATGGTTGTAGAAAATCAAGAGAAAACGTCTGAATAAAAGTCAATTGCCGTTTTTGGCAGGTGGGGAAGTATAAGAGAAAAAAAATATAAACAAATAAATTGCTTTAGATCAAGCTAATAGCTTAACTTGTATCTGACACATCACGTCTCCTTCATTCCTAATTTTAGGAGTCTATACGTAATCCATAACATTTGAATAAATTTCACACGGTGTTTTATATGAAGTTGTAGAATTAATCCTCATTATTATTTATTTATTTATTTTATATTAGAGCGCATTTTTATTTCTTAGCGTATGATCTTCAGCCTTCCGTGACGCTTTTGCTTTAAGATAACAAAATGGCAGGCGTGAGTAAATAAATGATAGAAAGTGCTAAACTGAGTAATTTGAAGGTTGAGAACTCGTCCAGTTGGAACGATTTCGCTACGTTAGCTGTCCAGCTGGGCCACCAACACCAGCCAGCGCCAGCACCTGCACCTGCACCTGAGCCTCCGGTGCTAGAACAAAATAAATCAAACCGCAGTTTAACGAATAGTAGTAGTTTTAATGAAAGTTATGAGGAAGTTGTAAATCCACCACGTTTAGATTCACGTAAGGCTGATAACGACCAACCGACGCGAGTTCCAGAGGACAACAACCTCGATACCTCGGAAGCAGACAATGATGACTACATGATTGCATTGCAATTAGCCAATTCTCAGTCGATTAAATCAATACACTCACTTGAACCTCCAGTTCCACCCGCTAGAACGCGTCCAAATGTGAAACAGACTGTTCCACAGCAAGAAATCATTGAACTAAATGGTGATGATGATATGTTGGCTGCATTGGAATACGCTCAAGACCCGCCAAGTTCTCCTGATTCCATAGACGCTATACCTTCTGTAAATTCTGCACCAGTCAAAGTAGTCGCACCAGAGTTAAAGACTAAACCAACGTACTTTCCTTCGTCTTTTACATCATCAAAAGCTGCAGTTGAAAGGGCTAAACTCGCTAGAGAGAGAAGAGAAAAATCCCTGAAGAATCCAGGTAAACCGCGTAAGCTGTCAAAGAAAAGAAGAAGCTTTGGCGGTAGAAAATCGAACTTACATGATGCTTGGGCTCCTTCCTCTGACGATGACGATGTTGAACAAAGTACTGAGGAGGAAGAAGAAGAAGATGATGACCAGAAAAGCGTCATTGTTCCTCTTAAGACACGCATTCAACGCGCGAAAGAAGCTGAACAACTTGCACGTGAGAAACAGAAGCAAGAAGAAGAGGAAGTTGCCAAGGTCAATAGTTTTGGTATACCACATGATATGCTTAACGAGGGTAATAATCAAGAAATTGATTCATCACCTAATCAGCAAACATCTCCTGAAGAGGCTCATGAAGCGCAAGTTCAAGTGTGAGTTGAATAGTTTCATTAATCAACAATTCAACTAAACACATTATTAGAGATAAATTGAGCAGAGCATATGCAAGACAATCATTGATGCCAGAAAGTAGACCTGCATATCATAAACGCCAGTCGACGGCTACGACAATCACAATGGGTGAACGTGAGCGTAGAAGACAATCAGCAGAAATGCATCTTCTCGCCAACCAACAAAGGCAACAATCGATGATGATGATGCCGCAAATTAAATATCAGCAACAACAGCAATTACAGAATCAGAGACAATCGATGTGGTCAAGTCATTTAGATCATCCAAATCAATATGAAAAGTTCGTGGATATTGAACCAGAAATGGATCAAAAGAACTCTAAAGATAAATTTGCGCCCTTTGGTCTTTTACAGGCTGGTATGATGAATAAACAATCTAAAACCGCCAAGGCACAAGAACAATTCGCTAGAGATTATGGAGTCGGTATGGTACTACCACCAACAAAAGTACCTGAACCTCAATTTGGATTATTGGGTCAAATAGCCGCTCATGAGAAAGATAGAAAGAGAGTTGGAGGTCTTGGTGCATTGCTCACAGAAAGAGATAGAGAGAAGAGGGGATTAGAATCAAATCAAAGAAAGTATAACGAAGCAATTCAGCAACAAACACCTTTAATGCCTTATAATATGGCTTCTCAAGCACCACCTCAAATGCCAATGATGGATCCACGTATGTCAATGATGATGAGCTCACCAATGATGATGAATAATGTGATGCCACCAATGCCACCGATGTCAGCACCAGCAGCACCACAATATTTTGATCCAACAATGTCGATGATGGCAATGAATGCTATGCAACAGCAACAACTAATGATGCAGGGCATGATGCATGCGCAACAAGCATATAATGCAACTCTATATCAATTCCAGCAATCGAATTCTAACTATATGCCTCAACAACCGGTACCACCACCACCAATGCATCAATATTCATCTGACGGTGCTGGACTTGGTGTGGGTTTCAATCAATCTACTGGTAGAATGAGTACTGGGCCATACATGAATCCAAATCATAGCTCTTCAAGACCGCGTTCAACATTCTTTTCTGACGCAAAGTAACAATTTTAAGATTACCTATTAGAACTTATGGACACTCTTTAAAACAATTTCAGCTATTTATTCAATTAAATGAACAATTTCTTTTTTTATCTTTTATATGAAACACTTGAAATGCATGACAATCATTAATAATACATCACACTTAAAGCTTTGCTTGTCTTTGCTTTGAAGCTTCCCTGTTCTCAATCAAGCCGTTCTTGATGAGAGTTTGGAATTCAATGAGATTATTTGGGTAATCATTAGTTGGTTGTACGTGTCTTTCACCACCATCAACCCTAAATACTTGACCATTTAGGAAGTTAGCAGCATCACTAACCAGGAACAGCGTTAAGTTGTTGATATCGGTAAAGGTACCCCATCTACCCAAAGGTGAGCTCTTTTCTGAGGTGGTACCTTTATATGACAACTTTTTCATCCCTTCTGTGCCTCTAATTGGACCAGGTGCTATACAATTTGATCTTATACCGTTTATACCCTCCTCGATAGCCAAAACATTGCTTATTGCTTCGACACCAGCTTTTGCAGCTGAAACGTGAACCTGAAGTGGAGTGGCTGAGTAGTGTAAGTAATAATAACATGAGAGTGAAATAATTTACCCCTCTCGTGAAGAGTAGCTGTGATATGTATATATACACCTCTTGACTTCCTAAGATGTGGCATGGTTGCCTTTCTAAGGGTTGTTTCATTAGATATTTTCTGTAATTAATGAGAGCCTTACATTGTGTTATAAGTACCAAGCTAATAAATATTAGTGATTTTGATTTTTGTATATATCACCTACCAAGTCAATGTCAATCACGGTCTTGAAAGCGTTAGCCGACATAGCCGAAATGGGGGCAAGGAAGTTTCCTGCTGCGCCTATAAACTGTAAGTAAGTTTAAATGAATTAATTTAAAGGTGAAACAGACCACAAATGACGACATCAAGTCTACCGAAATCTTTGATAGCCTGTTCTACTGCTTGACTAACGGATTGTGGATTGCGTACGTCACAGGAATATCCAATACAAGTATTTCCTGTTTCATTCGACATTTCACTCGCTGCTTTCTGGGCTTTTTCGAGGTTTCTTCCAATAATGAAAGCATTTGCGCCATGTTGCATTAAGGCTAATGTTTGCTGCTTACATATGCCAGAGCTGCCACCTAATAATTACTTTATTTAGAAGGTGATCTTATAAATGAGTCTGCATATCTCACCTGTAACGAAAGCCACTTTACCTGTGAAAGGGAGTGATGAGTAAATTGACTATCGGAATAAAGGAAACGTACCTTTGAGTAAATCTGATGGAAATGTCTGCTGGGTGTTAGCACTTTCTGGTTGAATATAAGCTGGCATGTGATGGTTGACTGATAACCGACCATAAGCGTACGCTTATTATAATTGATAGCAGTACATTCGAGTAATTCACTGGAGGAAAACGACAACCTCCACTAATTGAATCCGGTTGACGTATTGTAAAATAGTGCCAGCTTATCAATAGAGTAATATAATATAATATAATGATATTAAATTATATACGCCGTTATTTAAATAGAACGAATAGTGTCACACAAATTTAATCTACATACTTACCAAATTGGGCTGCTGGAGTTCATCATCTCCATCTACTACCACCAAACGTATGAGTGTCGAACAGCAGCGCACTGGCAGCGCACTCAGTGGCGACTCCTTATACGCTGATGCTTTAAACTCTCCACTTACACCGCCAGCGCCTACGCCAACTTCTAAAGACAAAGGAAAACAGAGAGCAAGTTCCAGAAGTCCTAGTGTACAATATAATGAATCTATAACGAACAGCCCTGGGAGACCTCACTCAGGCGCCTGGGACCAGAGTTGGATGGCTGGTAGTCCACTTTCAGAGTCGAATGCACCAGCGAAACTCATGGATCAAGGTCATTTAAAACCGTGAGCTTTAGATCATTTTATGACTTTTCCCTGCTAATATAGCTCATATAGTGGTGCTCATGCTTCCTTACTCTCACATAGTAAAACACTCGAATTGTACCGTCAGAACGCTCGCAAGTCACAGGATCCTTCAATACCATTTGAACTTGCCACATTTCAATTAGAAGCCGCTAGAGATTTGGATCCTACACCTTCAAACCACGCAGATCCAAACAACGACAAGGATAGAGAGGAACTTATTAAAGAGGCTACAGGTATTTTAAATAGATTGAGCTCAAGAGGTCACACTGAGTCTCAATATCTACTCGCTGATTGCTACTCTTCTGGTATTGGTACTTTACGCGGTAGACAGGATTTTGATAAAGCATTCCCTCTTTTTGTTCAAGCTAGTAAGCATGGTCACCCAGATGCATGCTATAGAGCAGGTGTTTGCTTAGAAAATGGCTGGGGTTGTAGAAAAGACAACAGCAAGGCGATTTCATTTTACAGGAAAGCTGCGACTTCACTCCATCCAGGGGCGCTTTATAGGCTCGGTATAGCAGAACTCAAGGGTGAACTGGGTTTGCCAAAGAGACCAAAAGTTGGCGTAAAACATCTCACTAGAAGTTGTGAATTAGCAACCGAAGAATTCCCACATGCACTTCACGAGATGGCGAAACTATATGAAAAAAGTGTTGATAACGTCCTTTTTATTGACTTAAATTACAGTGTAGAGTTATTAGCACAAGCAGCAGAGCTTGGTTATGCACCAAGCGCTTATACATTAGGAGAATGCTATGAATATGCAAAGTTAAACTGTCCACAAGATGCAGCGTTATCCATTCATTACTATAACATAGCTGCACAACAAGATCATAGCGAGAGTTGTTTTGCTCTCACAGCTTGGTATTTGGTTGGTAGCCCAGGCATATTACCACAATCAGATACGGAAGCTTATCTCTGGGCCGTAAAAGCAGCTGAGCAAGGTCTCTCAAAGGCTATGTATGCAGTTGGTTACTTCACTGAAGTTGGTATTGGTACTGAACAAGATTCAAAAGCTTCAACAAATTGGTACAAATCTGCTGCAGAAAATGGTGATGAAAGAGCTATAACCAGACTTAAACAAAATGGTCTTAACGTTCAAAAATTGCCTTCATCTGATAGCTCAGGTAAGCTATCAAAACGCTCAAACACGCAAAAAGATTGCATTATTATGTAATATGTTTCCAATTTTCTCTCTTTGTTCTACTTAATTATGCATTATTAGGTTCATTGATTTACAGTTATGCTACATTAGTAATACTTCTTACGATCATATTCTCTACTGTCGTATCGCTTTTCATCATAGCGTCTCTCATCGTAACGTCTATCACTGCGCTTATAGTCATCTCTACCACCGTATCGCTTATCATCCCTTCTATCATCGTAACGTCGACTATAATATCTGTCATCGCGTTTGTCGTATGGCTTTTTATCTCTATCATAGTCCCTGCTACTAGATGAGTACGTTCTCATTTTCTCAAGTTCTCTACTAGGTGGTGAAGGTGATCTCTGTGATTTCTGTAAGATGTTAGAAGGTAACAAATGATAAATTGAGTATGCTTACACTGACACTCGATGATGAAGACTGTCTTGACTGCTTTGTTAGAGGTCTATATGTCGTCATTTCTTGCTTTCTAATCTTGAAGTCTCTACTAGCGGTTTTCTTGTCACTATCGTTGGTAGGACGTGCGCTGGCACCAATACCTAAGAGGGCAGGCCTACTGTCCGGTAAATAAGGCTCTGTTGGTCCAGTTCTAGTACGTGAGGCCGCTGTTCCTTCTTTCCAACCCATACCACGAAGCAAAGCTGCTCCAAATTGATGAACAGGTACGCGTTCATATTCATCTATTGTACTTTCATCAGCTCTTGCAGCGACGTCCGCTTTGAAGGCATCTGAATCAGATAAACCAGGTGCGGTCATCGGGATGGCATCAATTTCTTCTCCTTTTTCATCATGTTTCTCGTTATTGAGGAGTGATTTGAGTGCTTTATCATCTAAGCTTTCGTGCGTTTCTTTAGATTGATCTTTAGGTTGTTCTATATCATCAATGTCGATATTTTTCTCCCTTTTGACAGAAGGATCGGCAGTTTGCAAACCAGCACGCTCTGGTGCATCATTTAACTTCTCCTGTGTAATAGTTTGAACGTTTTGCTGCTCTTGATTCGGTCTGTATCGCTGTGACTTGGATTTCTTCTCCCTCCAATCAACGTTAGCTTGTGAAGGTATAACTAGTCTATTAACTTCTCTATCCTTCTCTTTTCTAAGTTAAATCGTCAGCTTTAGGATACAAAAATAGAGAAATCGTACTAACCTCTTGAATAGATCGCTATCAAAATCAGTGAGGGCTTCATCTTTTAATTTATCTTCGTCCTCACTGTCCTCTCCAGCAAAAACGTTGTATTGTGACATGATAGATGCTATTCAAGCCTTCTTATAATACAACCAAGATCTAAAAATGGAAGAAGAGTCAGACAGTCATTCAAGATGTCCTAAATGCCCTTCAATTGATAATGATCAAGATATAGCAGACGTAGATGATATCTGGATTGGTTGTGAGGCTTGCGATGTTAGTATAATGTACTATAATCCTTTATCAAGCTAATGAATTGATAGAATTGGTATCATTGCGCTTGCGTAAACGTAGATGATCCAGAGGATATTGAAATCTGGTATTGCGCAACTTGCATTCAAAAGTTAGTCCTATTCCATCCCTTATCGTTTGGCTGACATCGACAGTAATTCTAATTTAGCCATAAAGAAGAAACCAGAGCCTAGAAAATCTAAGAGATCAAAGCTTAAACATGATTACGCCGCTTTAAATGATGGTATAACGCCTTCTTACTTACACGTTGAACGTCTTCCTTTTTTACAAACTGAGAATTATGAGTTTAAGAGAATGAAAGGGGAAGATCTAACAATAGATTGGTTAGAAACTGATCCTAATAGTCTATCAGAACCTATTGTTGTTCCCGATCCTGCTGGTTTAGATGTAGGTATGATATGTCAAGATTAGTACACTAAATAACAAATCTATTTAGATGAAAATGCCTGCTTCAAATACCTCAATTGATCATATTGCAAAAGCTGTCGGTATAGATAAGCCTGTTGAAGTTATTGATTGCGCGTATGTCATCATTTTCGAACGTCTTAGCCTTTTCTAATCAGTAAATTAGTACCCAAAATCTCTCCAAATATCCTTGGACTTTAGGTGAATGGGCAAATCATTATTATAAACGCAGGCAAGCTCCTGAGATTGAGAAAACGCTTAATGTCATCAGTTTAGAAGTTTCAGATACTGAATTCGCAAAAGAAATCATACCACCAAAGTTCGTTAGGGATTTAGACTGGGTTGGTAATTTCTGGCCCCAACACAAGAAAAAAGACGCTCCTAGAGTCTTATTATACGTTTTAATGAGTTTAAAAGGTTCATTCACAGATTGGCATGTGGATTTCGCTGGGTCTTCTGTCTTCTATCATGTTCTTCGAGGTAGTAAAACCTTTTACCTTTCTCGTCCAAATAGCTACAATCTTCAACAATATAAAATGTGGTCTGAATCCGCAGATCAAGGCTCACAATGGTTTGGTGATCTGGCAGATACAACCTATAAAGTTACTTTAGAGGCAGGGAATACACTAATTATACCGACTGGTTGGATACACGCAGTACACACACCTACAGATTCTTTAGTTATTGGTGGTAACTTTGTCCACAGCTATGGAATAGAAGGACAACAAAAGATCGTTCAAATTGAAATTGATACCAAGGTTCCGCTCAAATTTAGATTTCCTGGTTACCAAACTCTTTGTTGGTACGTAAAAGACCGTCTAAACATTTCAATAACTTAATCCTTTTTGTAGGTATGTTGCAAATCACTACAAAAATACTTTAAAAGATGGAAAGAAGGTTCACGAACGGGTACTAAGTGGGTTGACTGTTTTAGGGGATTTTTTAGGTAGTCTAGCACTTCGTATAGACAACCCAGTGAATGAAAATGGCGTGGCAGATGAGAAAGCACTCAAAATAGCTAAAACATACAAAGAGAGATTTCCAGCAGATGATATAGAAATTGGACCATTCGAATTAGCTGCTTGGTTAAAGTGAGTCTACTTATTATGCCATTATCACATCTAATTTGACAATTTAAGACTGCGATCAGAAATATTACTAAAATTTAAAAGCTTCAATGAGCCACTTTCAAAGAAGAATGTTAAAAGGCGGCGAGGTGAGACAAAAATAGTGAAAGAAGAGGGCATAGATGAAGATTGGACGGAGCCCAAGATATCTAAAGAAACGACATCGGTACAAAGGAAGTGTAAAAGACCATTTGTTAATGACAAAGGTGAATGGGAGGTTGATATGTCAAAACCTGAGAATGGCGATGGTGAAGACGCGACTATCTATCACAGCTACTCGAGGATAAGAAAGTGGAATGTCAGCCAGCCAGACGTGTATATATGTGAAGAGAATATTAATTTAACACAAACTTATTCTTTTGTAAAATAAATTATGTCTTTAAATCAAACAACGATATGGTTCATGAGCCAGGTGCTCGCGTAAGTACATCTGCGGGAAATGGTACTGTGCGATTTATAGGCAATACTGAATTTGCGCCTGGCGTATGGGTCGGTGTAGAATTAGATAGCCAAACGGGTAAGAATGACGGTAGCGTTGCCGGGAAGTATTACTTTGAATCTAAAGCTGGATTCGGACTATTTGTGAGACCTACGCAAATAAGGGATGCACCTGTTGTAAGTATATTTCTCTTCTTAGTTGAAATATCTCATATTCCATCAGAAACGCTCAGTACCGTCTTCTACACCTTCAAGCAGGCAGTCTACTTCATCGCTCAGACCTAGTATAAGTAGTAGACCATCGTCTAATGCTTCTTCTATTGCGTCTACCCCAGTCACTACGAGAACTTCGTCAGCGAAACCACCACCACCAAAATCAGCGCCAAGGCGTTCTTCTATAGCATTACAAACACCTAAAGCAGTTAATAATACAACTGGTAACACCTTAAGTGTAAATCGTAGACCGTCTATAGTACAGACACAGCCACGACTAAATTCACAAAGAACACCATCTATATCATCACGTACTAAGATCGTGGAACGTCCACCGTCACAGAACGATTCTCTTGATTTCGACGATAACGATTCTCCATTACTACCTACGATACCATTACCTCAAGAATTCGCTGATGAACTCAAACCGCAAGATTCAAGTTCAAAGCCACGGCTATCAAATGGTTCAGCAAATATTAAAGGTTCATTGAACTATTCCAATCAATTCGATCAAAATCTCCCTGTTTCACCTTCACCTCCGAAGCGCACACTCGATCAGACTGTATCAAAATGGGAGTTAGAAGAATTCAAAGCTAAATTAAAGATATCCGAACAACACAGGGAGGCTGATCAGAGTAGATTGAAAGAGCTAGAATCGCAAAAGGAACAAGTCGAACAGTTCAATATCATTAAGCCCAAGTTACAATCAAAGATAGCGGAAATGCAGACTGAAATACGTGATCTTAGACATCATAATAAGGATCTTGTCGAACAAAATGAACAAAGTAAACAGCAAAACCAGGAGATTACAGATCTTTTGGAGATAGCCACGCTAGATAAGGAAATAGCTGAAGAAAAGGCAGACAATGCTATTATCGAACTTGAAGCTATTCAAGAGCGTGAAGTTGATCTTGAAACTGAAGTTGAAATGTTCAAAAATAAACTCGAAGAGATGCATCATAATGGTACTACTGATGTAATGAAGGTAGAGAATGGTCAGGATGTTTCACTAGCTAGCCAACAGCTTACAAAACAAAACGAGAGACTCAAATTGGCTTTGATTAAACTCAGAGATGTCACAAATGAGAATGAGACCCTTCATAAAGAGAGAATACGGGAACTTGAACGCGAAGTGAGAGATTTGCAAGGAATGCAAGGTGAGTAACGTTAGTTGCTGATGTAGTTACTATACTAATCATTCATGTAGATGAGTTTGATAATATGCACAGGAAATTACAGGATTCTGAGGTATACGTAGATGAATTGAAGCAACACCTTGATGATAGCTTGGCTTCAGCAGACTTGGTTGAGCATTTGACTGAAAACAACCTCACTCTTACGGAACAAGTTGAGACGATGAAAGGTACAATTGAGGACCTTGAAGCCTTGAAGGAACTCAGCGATGAACTCGAAGAAAGCCACAATGATACTGAAAAGCAAATGCAAGAGATGTTAGATTACAAGGAATTGCAGCTTCTAGCTAGTTTGAAGCGCATTGGTGGACTCATCGAAGCAACAACTGACTATGAGAATACAATATTACAATTCCGCGAACATATGCATCTTCTTCAAAGGTTAGTAATTGTAGATTGATATCATAATACTAATCAAAATTCAGTGACCTTGAACAAATGCGTCAAACTCAACTCGAACAAGCCACAGAGTCGGAGGCATTAACGACCCGCGAACAAGCAATGTTATCTCTCAATCAGAAACTGCAAACAACAGCTCATAAATCTCAAGCTAAGGCTATAGATTTGGATCTAAGAAAGTTGGATGCCGCTCAAGCAAGTGAACATTTAAGAATCGTACAGAATTACCTTCCAATCACTTTCTTCGAGTCAGGTGATGCGGATTCTGTTAATGGTTTATTATTCTTCCAAAGATGTGCATTTAAGAGTGATATTCTCAATCAAGTAGTTGCTCAAATGCACGGTTTGCCCAATAGTCTATACGATTCAGTCCCTGAAATACTAGTAGGAGTTTGTGAACTTAGATCAAAAATAACCCATTTCGCTGCTATCAATAGAAGATTCGCTGCAATGGTCAAGAGATGCCCTGTCGATATGTACTTACGGATGGGTAAAATAGCCAATGAAGTTAAGGGTACAGAGAAGAGAATTGATCATTGGATTGAGTTATTGCGAAGGGAAGAATTCAGAGAATTTGAATGCACAAAAGATATTATCATGTTACTCGGTCAATTCGAGCATCTCGTCGATTTATACCTGAATGATACTCAATTAGATCTCGATGAAAAAGAGCTGGACTCTGTACTTGCTATTGATTGTGACTTGGATATCACTGCTGCTGCTATTGGTTTATCAAAGCAAATGATTATTGGTATTGATACCAATGATAGCCTTGATAAAGAGATTGGACAAAACGAATTTGCAAGAGATTTCTTTGAACCTCTACAGAAGGTTTTAAATACCATTAAATCTATTAAGTTTGCATCCAGGTATGTTTTAGTTTAACTTCTAAAGGTGTTTTAACGGTTCACAGGAAATTCGTCGCCCGCATTGAGACCTGTATCAGGGATTCGTCAGCCATAGATCCACAAGTCAGCACACAGCTATCAGTTTTATCGAATCAAACAGCTAAATTGAATAATTTCGCAGTGTCTTTCGCACAAGATTTGAACATATACATCAACAGTATAAGAGAAACAAATGATGCTTTCGAGTTCACAAAGATAATTGAATTTGTCAACAACGCGGCGCAAGCACTAAACATTAAAGATGTAACATCTGCTGATGGATGGAACAGAGTCGATGATTTCGTCGATGCATTTGCAGAAACTTTTAATAATGTTTTACAAACATCCTTAGAACCAGACTCTATCGTTAAGCTTATTAGTGAGGAACCTTGGTTGGTCAGAATAGAAGAGTTCAAATCAGTTACAAATCATAATATTGAAGCTGAACGTGCTGTAAGCAAACTAACAAATGATGTTAAAGAGTTAGTAAGGGAGATAAGAAACAAAGATCAAACGTTACAAGAATCTTCTGTAAAGATTGAGGTCATGTCTAAGAAATTAGACACTGTCAGAAAGCAGACTGAGATCTTAGAAAGTATGGAAGGTGAAGTATCAAGATTGAAAAAGCAAGAGAAGACATTGAATGATGCCCTTGACGTCTTACAAAATGATTTGAATAACGTGGAACAAGAGAATGATACCTTGAAGCAATCTGCCACCAAGATAGATCAAACGCAAGGTCTGAATACACCAATGAGCACTGCTGCAATCGAAGGATTGGTTGGTAATGAAGGCAGTCTGGATAAATCAGTACTTATTGAGAAAATTGATAGCTTAATGTCAATCGTCAAGTATCTGAAATCCGAGAATTCCTACTTGAAATCAAGAGATAGATTATCAACTTTGAAGAGTTTGAAACCATTGACTATGCATAGGCCACCAACGCCCACACTTCTTACTGACAGTGAGAATGACAGTGATAGTGACAGTGGGGAAGAATCTTTGCCTGAAAAACCAAGCGTACATGAATTAAGCGTACAAGGACGTTCAATCACTTATAAACTTGTCGATCATCTCGCTAGTAAGAAAGTCGTTGATTTGAGTCGACTCAAACAAGGACAAGTATGGCAAAGATCAGATTGTAAACCTGAACAGCAACTTTATAAATCACAGAATGAGTCAAGAAAGTTAATAAAGAAAGCAGAGGCATTCTTACAGGACTATCAGTCATATAGACATCACTAACATATATCCTATTACTGTATTTATTGTATACACTCTAATATGCCCCATAATAAATTATGAAATACCAATCTCATGAGTGATTAATCTGCCACTAATGTGTTTATCTCTCCTTGTATCTATTATTTTTATGTAGAATGCTACTAAATCAGGTAATCTTCAGATCCAAACACGGAGCTCAAACTTTTGTGATATAATGTCTTATCTGGTTGTTTCTGTGCATCGTACATACATGTCAATTATATTTGCTTATAATTTAGGATAGCGGTACAAATATGTGTATGAAAATAAGATTTAAAACGTTTGCAGTTGGTATAAATAGATTACAAACGGGCGCCCATATGCGCTGCTTACGTTATTGCCCATTATCAACTTAAAATCTTCAGTTACTATCTCTGGAAATGACTATATCGCAGATATGGAATTTACTAGGACATTGTATATTATGTTAAGTAGAACTTTCAAAATTGTCTCTTAAAGAAAGTGAATTTCAGAGGATAGGTCTTATGAATTGGGCCATTTATATCAAGTGAACATATCAGCGAGTTTGTATAAGGCGATTTAGAGAAGATCTATATTAAGCTTGAGTTGACTTTACCTTATATTAAAGTACATATTATTACATATTTTGAATAGGAGGTATCTGAGACATCTTCTACCTTTAATCCACCCTACACATACTATATACTTGAACATTTAAATCAACTTCATAAAACATATACTCAAATAATCCAGAAAATGATTGATACAATGCAATTTTAATCAAATTTATATACTATTACAGATGCTAAAAGACAAATAAAGCTAAGCGTTGCTCTTCCAGTATACAATATCACCATCCTTCATGACGTAAGGCTTACCTTGTTGCCTCATCTTACCAGCACCTTTAACAGCATTTTCGGTCTTGTATTCTTTAATGTCATCGTATGTCATAATATCACCACAAATGAAGTTCTTTTCGAAGTCTGAGTGAATGATACCTGCAGCTTGTGGCGCCTTAGTTCCTTGTGCAATGGTCCATGCTCTAACTTCCTTTTCACCACAGGTGAAGTATCTAATAAGCTCCAATGATTGGTATCCGGCTGTGGTGATTTTACCAAGGCATTGAGTGACAGGTAATTTGTACTCTTCAGCCAAGCTCTTTAATTCTTTTTCTCTGTCCTCTTCAGAGAGCTGCATCAACTCTTCTTCAAGAGCGACTGAGAATGGAATAATCAAGTCACCTGGGTTCTTTTCATCAACCCATTGCTTAACCTTGAGTAACCACTTGTTCTTCTTACGACAATAATCACGCTTTGAAAGGTTAACAAGGCGGATGATTGGCTTAGCAGTAAGCAAGTTTAATGCATTGATAACATCGACCTAATTAAAATGTTAGATGTGTTTTATGACTAAGTCGTTAGCCATAGCCTTTGATGAATCAGAATAAACGTTTTCTCATAGACATGGGCGTTACTCCTGTCTTTATCGACGAGCTGGGTTTCGAGCAATGCTCTTTATCATCATATAAACACCAAGACGAAATATGGCTAACGATTCGAAATGAACTCACTTCTTTGGCTGTCCATTGTTGCTTACGGATGTCCATACCTTCAACACCGTTATCAGGGTCACCTGTAACAGTTTCTAAAGCCTTGATAGTAGTTTGAAGTTTTTCATGTTCAGCTTTACCAGAGAGAGTGGTGTGGTTTGCTGATCTGGCAACACGCTTTTGGTGATCTACGGATTTCTCTAACCATTCTTGATCCTTCAAACGCAATTCAGTTTGAATAATTTCCATATCACGGATTGGATCAACGTCACCTTCAACGTGAATAACATCTGCATCGTCGAAACATCTGACTACTTGGAAAATACCATCAACTGCTCTAACGTGTGACAAGAAAGCGTTACCGAGACCTGCACCAGTCGAAGCACCAGCTGTCAAACCTGCGATATCAATAACAGTCAAGAAAGCAGGAACTCTTGAGGCTGGCTTGTAGTGATCAGCTAACCAATCAAAACGTTCATCTGGAACGATGACCCTTGATTCTTCTGGCTCGATGGTGGCGTATGGGAAGTTAGCTGCTTTACCAAGATCACAAGCAGTCATAATGTTGAATAAAGATGATTTACCAACGTTTGGTAAACCAACGATACCCATTTTAAGGTTGTTACCTGGTCTACCAAGTCTGATCTTTTGTTCTGGTTGTTGTTGCTTCTTTGGTGGCATCTTTGTACGTTTTTTAGAAGAGAATAATAAAGTGGTAGTAGAAAACTGTCTACAAGTTACTAATCTAGTTTGTAAACTTGTAATTGATTTCAACTCTAAGGAGAAAATCGTCGTTTGATGAAAAGAATACTTCAAAACTTCAAATGCAAGTCAAATTTTATAAAATTTGCAACTAATTTACAAGAATTCACCAGTTTCAAATAACTTACTATATGCTCCATAAATGTCCCATTCAATCAAATTCCTCATACTACCTGCGTATAATCGGCTATTATCAGATGAAAACGTAATGCCTGCAATATCAACATCGCCAATATATCGTTCTCTTTCTATAACACTTGGTGTCAATCTGTCCAGGTTAGCGTATGTACTGTTGAAAAGTTGCCGCAATGACCTCGTTGGATTTGAATTTGAAGGGAAGAATGTTGAGAACAACTCAGGTGCACTACTATAATCCTCATCATATATAGAAGGTTGCATAGCTGGTGAAGTTGGTGAAGGTGACTCAGACCGTGGAGATAAGAATGGCGGTGTTGTATTGGAGTCTGTAAAAGGTATTTCTAATACTTGCTTGGTAGAGGGCGAGAAAGTGAGTGCATCTACCACGTGTATCCTATTAGAATGCTCGGTAAAAACCATCAGTTCTTTACTCGCAGCATTTGTCGTGAATTTCACTGCTCGAGATGGCATTTGGTTACAGGTAGTGAATTTTTCTAATGGCTTATTGCTCCTGATATCCCATACAGTGCAAAACCCATCTATGATGACTTAGTCATAACGTTCCTCCGAAGTTGTAACTCACCTTGAGATGATACCGCAAACTTCAGACCATCTGACGACCAAGCAGTAGAAAATCCAGCGTCAGAGGTTGAGGTAAGGGTTTGCATCCTTCTAAAAGAACCTGAAGACCCGCAATCGAAGAGATGTACTTCCGGAGTATCACCAACTGCAACGCAAATACGTGAATTAGGCGAGATAGAAGCTTCAAGTAGAGTTAATGACATCTCATTACATAAATTATCGTTAATCACCTTGGTTTATTGCTGTATTAAACTTTAATGTCTCAGTTTGATAGAGTTGGGGAGTTTGATGTTCCAGTCTACTGTAAGCGACTTTGAAAACGCGAATGATGTTGTCATTGCTGCATACAAGCAGACGCGGTTCAATTGATGATGTAGCTTCTGGTGCAAAGGCGATATGATTGTTTATTGAACTGCCAAAACGAGTTTCATAAAAGCCACTAAGTTAATTAAACATAATGTGATATAAATGACAATCTACCCACCCTCCGCTATCATTATCATCTAAAGACTGAATAGTTACTTCTCCCGAACCACCCGCACTAGCTAACATGCCGTAACTGTGACGTTGTCAATCGAGGAAATCCGAGAATAAAGCGATATATACCCAGTTGATAGAGTAACAGGAGGATAGCTTAATTGAGATTTCACTCGAGGTTTCTATCAATCGTTAATTAAATCGGTCTTTGTGGGATGGACCAATACTTACACCAGGAGCATCTAGATAATGCTTGATAATAGATCTATTGTGTGGATAGTATACAGAGCAGCTATCAGATGTATGTACGAGGTCTCGTAGTTGTCTACAACTCGTGTGAGCTCATAATTCGTGATAATAGTGGGGATTTCTTGATAGTTTCCCGGATAATATAAAACCTACGGATGCTTTATAGTAATCTTAGCTGGATAAAAGTATCTAGGATCGGAATGCACAAGTTCTGCTATTGTCATCCTATAGTGGCGCTTGGTTGTTATCTAGAAACGTCGTCATTTAGCGAATGTTATTATAATAGATATATAATAATATATTTATAGTCTAGTATACGTATAATCCACTTAAATTTACATTTATTTCTCCCTTTAAACTCAACTATGACATCCGATTGTAGAAAACTAGCAACTCTAGGATTAGTAGGCAAGCTCGTGAAGCATACACGCCCAGAGAACTTTGACAAGCTCGTACGCTATTTATCTAGCTGGTCAGGTACTGATAAGGTATTCTATAGTACCAAGTTATAGAAACATCTGACTTAAATTCAGTTTTTTATGCTTATTCAATACATATCAAAGCTAGTAATATGGTCATTGAATAAATCAAAGAAAGCTGATGGTTTATCTACTAGAATGCGCTCACTGAGTGCCCTCGTAGGTGACCACCGTGTTTTACTTCGTTTATGGGGTTAGTAGACATTTTTACAGTTTTATAATACACTAAATAAGCGTTTCAAGGTCTTTTACCTATGCTTCAATGGGCTGAATCTATTGAAAGTGAACGTAAAGTCTCAAAGTTGGCACTCAATGTGGAGAGGTTACAGGCACTTTCTATGATAGCTTACTACCCTCTCGAACACACGTGGTATCTGGCACATCATGGTGTCTTACCTGTAACGCCTTCCACCTCCAACAAAATATCTGTTTGGTCATGTCGTTTCTGGATGTTATATACCGTACTTCAGGTGCGTGTCAATAATCAAAGACACTACATCACTTCTTACTAAATTAACAGCTCGTTCATAACTGGGATGATCACTCTACTCTCTTGAAGGACAAAGAAAGAGATCTCTCTGAAGAAAAGGGCGTCAATAGGTTCGCGATTGACAAAAAGCTCAAAGGGATTGTTGACGATACAATTATCAACTTAGCTTATCTTCCTTTAACTCTCCATTGGTCTCTTCCAGCTGGTATCTTTTCAAATGATGTATGTAGATCTTATCGTTTAAACTAAACTAACTATTGTAGGCTTGGGTTGGTCTATTTGGATCTATAGCTGCTGTAACACAATTCAAAGTAGGATATACCAATGCGTAATTCGTATCTGTAACAATTCTAACTTCAATGTATGATTACTTAAATCGTATAATTCTTATTCTTTTATAATAATTGCCAATTACAAGCGCGCTTCTGGTACTAATCCCCAAAATCCTTGCCCTATGTTCTCTGTTCCTTCCATTCCATCTTCGTATTCACGGGTTGACAACGAGAAATCCCAATGTCTCTCCTCACCTTGAGGAAGGTGTTGACTGTAACCGTTGTTCTTTAGCTCCCATACATTTCCTAGTCGCGAATACTTTGTTTTGGTCAATATTAATACTTTTTGGTCTCAAAGTCTCACCTCGGAATATGAAGTGCATCCGGTGCGTATACCTCTCGTGCTGTCTTTTATTAGGGCTCTACCTAATGCAATTGCGGATGCAGCATGAGTAAATATTATAATTGTTCCACTAACACCCTTTTTCTCCTCTCTAAGGATAAGATTGTCAATAGCGATCTTACAGCGTTCATGTAATTGCTCTAAAGATTCACCATGTCTATTAGGGAAGTAAGTCGGTTGATATCGAGCGTCTACTTCAACGAAGGCTCCTTTAAGATCAGATTCATACGGTTGGGGGTGTAATGTTGGTGCTTTGTTAGGTGGATTTTCATGAAACCATTCCTGAATCTTATCGCCGTTAACTTCAAGTTGAGTTTTAAGTTAAGTCTTACACCAGGCTCAACTTTTATAGGTAGTTTAAACGCCTGAGCTGTTGGTTGAGCGGTTTGAAGGCATCTGAATAATCAGTATAAGTTATAGATACTTTATATGGCTTTCTTACCTCTTAAAAGGTGAACTATAGATTGACGATGGTACGAATTCCTTCTTCAAATGCTCAGCAAGATGACGCGATTGGTCCTTGATATGAATAAGCGATATACTAGTAATTAAACAATATCATACCACTCCATGAGCAGCTAAAGGTACATCCCTGTCTTCAGTAGGCCTTTCGCTATGAGAATTGAAATACAGGCTTAAATGACATACCAACTGCTACCAGCTACCCAGTTCGCTCTAAACTTGTAAAATATTAAGTTGAATAGCTCATTATATTGCTATTTTAAACACCTACTCCGTGTCGACATATTAATATCTTATCAATCATTTTGGTACAGGACAAAGAGCATAATATTACATTAAAATTAATTTTGTACTTCAGATAAACTATCAGAAAAGTTAATTAAAGCCTCACTGGCACTTAATCTAGGTCCAGGGGAAAGCTTTCTTGATTGTTCCAAATTCTTATCGAAGAACTCGTCAAAAGCGATCTTTAATTCATCTACATCTTGCTCTAAGATCTTTTGCTTTTTTTTACGTGGCTTTTCGTTGCTAAGCCGATGAAGAAGATACTTTGGGGAGTACGTCGTCTGTCCCCTCTTTGGCATATTCAATGGTGGACCAGAAAACCATTTGAGTTTGTTACTATCACCATCCGTCTCGAAATATGAAGCTTTGATTTCGTCAAATGGAGTAGCAATGAAAGTGAAACACTCACCAGTCTCTTCAGGTATAAACTCGACTTCACCATCTTGACCTATATCCCTTTTCTTGCAATTAGCAGTGATTGATCTATCAAGATTCTTCAATTTCTTCTCCTTTTTGTCACGCTTTACAGCAGGTTTTTCATATTGAATTTTGTGTGATTTATATTGTGATTTTTTGTCATTCTGCTGACCAGTGTGTACAAGTTGTGCTTGCTGATTTATCGCTTCCTTATGGTTTCTCTTTTTATAAGTAGTTGCACCTGTCTGACTTGCCTGAGCTAAAGCAGATGGTGTACCAGGGACAAGTGAGCCAATTTGTTGAGCGATAGCCGATGCATTAGCAACAGCATGTTGTCCAATTTCCTCTGGTGGTGGTGCATTCTCATCTAATCTACCTGGTCCTTCAATACCACGTAAAAAGGGTGAAGGTAACAACGGCGGTCTTTGTGACTCATCGAAGTAGTGCATTTCATATTCCGTCTTTCTAACTTCTTCAGGTATACAGGCATTCCAAGATTTAATCTTTGAGAAACCACCAGCATCTTCGGTTTTTGACTTTGGTGAGTATCTATGTTCAACTATGTAAAGAGGTCTGCGCTTGTCCCAAAGATGTTCTTTTGGTCTTCCTCTTGAGTACTTGGTAGCGAACATGACAAATGTTTTTTCTAATAAATCTTCGATAGGGAGATCAACATAATTGCCAGATTTGAAAACCTCATTTTCATAAAACCTCCTGTATGGGGCATGCACAGTTTGTTCAGGTCGATAATATCTACAAACTGTAATATGGGGATGAGTAGAGTAATCAGGAGTGAAGACTTTGAAAAGTTGAGCTGGAATCGGCTTAGTTGCATCGTCCGGGTTGATTATATGAACCCAATCACCCATATTTAAGTGTAAACCTCTGTAATGTCCATCATCCTTGAATTGTCTGTGTCTGGTCAAGATTCGTGAGGTAGCAGGACCAACACCTTCCATACCAGGAACGCCTTCAGCTAATTCCTCGGCATATGGGTTACCTGGACCAGCTTTAACGGAAGCGAAATTGAAATCTTGGGATAGGGTGAGGTTTGAAGGAGCAAATAAGCCAACGTAGAAACGTTGTAGTATGTTTACGTTACCGTAACGTGCGCTGCCAACAGGACTACCGAGCCTAAAAGCGTCGAAAACTCTAAACAAATCTGTTTCAAAATCTTTTGTAGTGGTGTAATTACCGTTGTTGACGTTAGATTCTAATTCCGACAAAGAGAATGGGTCTGTGACTAAAGAATAGAAGTATTGGTCTTGTTCAGGGAGATACTCAAATTGCTCAAAAAGAGGGCTATTTGAGTTATCTTTCAAGAATCTTAAAACCTTTATCAATAGCTTGAATATAATAGTATGATCACCTTCAAATTCCTTCATAAAGCCATCCTCACCCAAACCAGCATCCCTGATATCTAACAATTGCTGCTTTTCAGCTAAAGCGAGGTGTTGAGTGATAATTGAATGAAACTCCGGCTGTATAAAGTGATATCGGTTTCCATCGTATAAGTCAATCATATTCATAATGACGGTTTGAGTTAAACGTTGATGAGCTCAGAAAGATTAGTCGACTGTTTGAAAGAGGAGGCGAAAAATAATCTAAGATTAGATTTAAATGATAATAAATTAAAGTTAGCTATCTACGACGCTTTCGTCGGTGACTTTAGACCTCAATACTTTGGTAGTCCAGACGATTTAGTTTTACATTCAAATCTAAGCTTTAATGAGCTTCAAAATAATCTGCTAGGTGGTAAAAGAGGACGATCTCAATTTGAACCTTGTGGCTACGTTTTCAAGAAGGGTGATGTCGTCTATAGGTGTAAAGATTGTGCTATTGATCCCACTACCGTCTTCTGTTCTAAATGCTTCCATGCCACCCATCCTCAAGATACTCCAAATCACCCTTTCAGCAATCATCAGATTAGTTTCAGCCTTATGACAGCCGGAGGCTGTTGTGATTGTGGTGATCCAGAGGCTTGGAGGATCGATCCAGGTAGACCTTCCCATTTGGACGAACCAGATACCATTCAAGTTGACTTACCAGAAGAGGCTTTGGAAAGGGCCCGTCAATACATATCAACTATCCTTAGATTTATCATTGACACTATAGCTCATTCGCCATCAGAGTTCACCCCACCAAACAACGTTCCAAAGGTCAAATCCCTAGCAACTTCCAAGCCAAACACCCCCACAGATGCTGGTCCTTGGTCCGTTGTACTTTGGAATGACGAACGTCACTCTTTTGATGAGGTCATTGAGCAGGTATCTTTGGCGATCGATTGTTACCATTCTGTCTCTAGGTCAGTCGCAGAGCGCATCGATAAGCATGTAAGTTGTTACCCTTTCGGCTTTTTTTTTTTCTAACAAATCATTTAGGGTAGAGAAGTTTTAAGATCCTCAACTGATATCAACGCATTGTTAAAAATAGCTGTCATTATCAATTCAATAGATCTGGCCGTGACGATCAGACCTTCTTATGACACCAACCTTGAAGACATATGTCATCTTCTACTCGAGTTTTTATTCGATCTCTGCCATTCAAGGCCACAGGAACTAAGATCTATTGTCGCAGAGGAACTGCTTAAACTTACAACTTCACCATTTACTGAACATATCAGTAAAGATAGACGACAAATGACAAATCTTCAGTGCCTACTTCTACTCGAATCCAGAATGTGGAAAAAAGCCCGCAAGATATTCAGAGACATGCTTGTTGCCATGTTGGGGGTTAATCAAGATGTTCGCTGTCAAATTGGTCTGTTAATCCCTCCTTTAATACTATTTCTAACCACAAGCAGGTCTCCAATTTGCTTTAGTTTACAAGAATCTCGTCGAAAGTTATCTTTTACAAGATCATGAACCCGAGCTTTCTTCATTGATGTTCTCAATTCAAGTTTTCACCACACCTTCGGTAGCATCATTGATATGTTTCAATTCTGAATTTCACGCAAATTCGCTGCTTACCACGATATTGCACCTCATTTATGCATTCCTAACAGAACAAAGGACTTCACCAAAGCAAATAAAACTAATTGATACCATTGGTAATAATGTCATAGACTGTGAATCAACTTCAATCAGACATAAAAGATATCTTACTATAGTTCAAGATTTGAAGACTCTCCTCACCAATGAAGCTGTCATAGATGAGTTACCAAAGAGAATCGATCTTTTAGATGATTTCGTCAAGTTTTTTATTCCATTCACTGATATGAATCAATTTCAAAGAGCTGTTCATGAACATGTTGAATATGAATCCGATGCTTGGATCAATGCCTTCAACTGTACTATACAATTGACAAAGGTTACGAATGCTCTTGGTGATTTGTCTTATAATTTCACTCCACAACAATTATTCACGCTCATTAAACATATCCTAGATGGAATAGCTGAAACAATTCATAGACCAAACTTTTTTACCAAGTTAACTAGTATACAATTCGGTGGATACTCGTATAATGTCGTTGACTACAGCGTTGCCTACGAACCCGTCAGTTTTCATCATCCATTACATTGGTGGCTTGGAAACGTTCTCAAGCATGTTAAGATTCTTGGTCATTTCTACCCAGGCGGTGTCAATACTCGAGAGCTTCCATTAGTTTTTGGTGAACGCGCTAGAAATAATCTTCTACCAGTTATAGCTCTCTTTGAACAACCTATGAGGGGTAAGTTAGCTTACTATTTAATATCCCTGAATCAAATTCTAATGTTCGTATAGTCTGTGCGTTCGTCGCTCAAGCTCGTTGTGGACTTTGGGTACGTAACGGATTCTCCGTGCGTGGTCAAGTACATCATTATCGTGAAATTACATTTAGAGACAACACATACGATCTAGATTTGTTTAATGTTCAAGTGATGTTTACAATAGTTGATCCTGAGCAAGCATTGGTATCACTTATGACCAAGTTTGATATGCTTACATGGTTTGAAGGTTATATTTATCACTCAGTTTACGATGAAAAACAAACCCCTGCCATGGCTGAAGAATTCATCCTTTTGTTGATAGCTTGTTTGACAGAGCCATCAAATATTGCTGGTTGGCCTAAAGAAAAGCGGATTGAAAGATCACTTATCCATGCACTTTGCTTTGGTCCATCAACTTACTCTGAATTTACCAGAATAGTATCAGATACACTTGTTGATGATCCATCCTTCGATAGAATACTCGAAAAGGTTGCAAAGTATAAATCCCCAGACGGTACAGCAGATTATGGTACATACGAATTGAAGGATGAATATTATAAGTTTGTTGATCCATTCTTTATGAACTTTACAAGAAACATGCGTGAATCTGCCGCAAACTCGTTAAACAAATATTATAAACGTATTGGCAAAGAGGGTGCAACACATATACCAGAGAAACTCGATTTACCAGACAATGGACCCTACAATTCTCTCATTGGTGTTTATAAGACTGAAGTATTCCAACAAATCGTTTACGCTTCATTATTCAACGCTTTCAACGAAAGGGATGAGCAAGGAAGACCAGCTACTTCATTCACTAGAGATATACTCATTGAAGCTGCACTTCATTTAATGATGTGTGCTTTGGTTGAAGCTAAGGTCATCTTTGCAAAGCTCGCTGGATCACGCACTTATTTGATGCATTCAACCCTTGTTGAGCTCCTATGCAAGTATGAAAACGATCAGAGGTTAATTAATGTCAAATCTAGAATTACCTGGATATTAGACCAATTGGCTGATGTATGTGGTGATGTCGTTGGGGCAAATCGTGTTGTCAATGAACATAAAAAAGATGAAAAAGCTGAAGACCACGCCGAATCACAAAAGGCTGCTGCTAAAGCTAGACAAGCAGCTATTATGGAGAAGTTTGCAAACCAGCAAAAGAGTCTTCTTGATCAATTGGGTGATGAAGATGATGACATGGATGATGAAGACTATGACTCAAAGGTGGAGGAGAACATCGATGGTCCAAATGCTGATACCCGCGACTTTGGTGATTGTATTGTCTGTCAGGAGACTTTAAATGGTACATCTTTCGGTTCATTAGCTTTCATTCAACCTTCAAAAATGCTCAGAAATACACCTTCACTCGATCCAAACTTCGTTTATGATCCACTATGGATGTCTGATAGTCTTGATCGTCAACAACAGAGTAATATGTCTGAAGAATACAAACAGCAGTTTATACAAAGCAAATCTAACACGCGAGCAGGAAATTCTGGAATAACAACACAAGGATTCCCATCAGATCAAACCAGATTAGGATTACACATGTCTACATGTGGTCACAGAATGCACATGTCTTGTTTCGAAACATACTTCGCTTCAAGCGTTTCCCGTCATCAATCGCAAATTGCCAGAACTCAACCTGATGAACCTAAATGGAAGGAATTTGTTTGTCCGTTATGTAAAGGTTTAGGTAATGTTGTAATGCCAATTTTCAAAAGGCCAGAAAGTGCCACAAATAATGTAAAGATCACAGAATGGGTTAGATCTGCATCAATAGATTTACTGAAAGACCCGAAGGTATCTCTTTTGAACGATTTCCAGGAACAAGAGACCGGGTCAGGAGAATTCTGGCCTTGGTATGTAAGATCTGCACCATCAAAGTCAGGTAGCTTAGAAGAAGACCCTAAGTCAGCACTCACCGATAGGCTAATGGCGCTTATAAAACCAATTTCTACCAATGCAGAGGATTTAAGGCAAAGTAGTGTACCAGCTGCTCAAGAATTATCTAGTGAAGGAATGTACTTACCTGGTGAATTAGTTGCATATACAATTTCCTCCATTGAAGTAGCCTTACGCGGTATTGATAGTCAGGACAAACTGGTTGCAGATCAAGTGAATGACTCACAGTTATTGATGATTGAGAGTATGCTAGGTTGTTTAGAGAATTTAGCTACTAGACATCCAACTCATTCCACTAATGGGCCACAAATAATTGCCAAAGGTATATTTCAAAGAATACTACCAGAATTTGGAAGAGAGGACAACGTTCGTCAACCTTTGCTATTACGGGATCCATTCAGCTTGTTAGTTGAGACGGCAGCAATTGCACCTGAATCACTATCTCCAATGATCACCCTTACATTCTATGCTCAATTAGTTAGGACTGTTATTGCATTAATTCAAGCATCTAGAACAGACGGTGTTGCAGATTCACCTTTATTGAGACCGCCAACAGAGATAGAGAAACTACCTGATAATGCCGAGCAAATATTTGGTAATATTTCATCAGTTATTCATTATATGTTGCAGTCTTTCACCGCATTATACAATGATGGTGAAAGGATGTTGAAGTTATTACCAAATGAACATTTATCGAAGCTAATGTATAGCTACATGTTACCATTTTTGAGAAGAGTTTCAATACTTAATAAAGTAGTTCGAAAAGCACCATACGTCTTCACAAAGAGAAGTAACGATAATGATACTAAAATGCACCTATACGATGATGATAACCAATGCGAATTCAGAAGATTGATGACTGAATTAGATATACTACCACCAAATGAAGCTTTAAATCAAAGCTCTGAAAGGCAAACTACTATACAAAGGATGGTCGAAGGATGGTGTTCACATTTTGGTCATCATGTACAAGAACTCAGACCTAGAGATTATGCTTTGAAATTGGATTATCCGGAAGTATATAAGTTAACGAATCTTCCTTATCAATTATCAGCGTTGATTGATGATGTACTCACACGAGTCTGTCCAAATTGCAATCAAGTACCGCCTGATCCTGCATTATGTTTACTCTGTGGTGCATCACTTTGTCATCAATCATTCTGCTGTCATGATCAATTGACTAAAGTAGGTGAATGTAACACACATATGAAGAAGTAAGCTTGATCTTAATACAATAACTTACAAATTGCTAATTGAACTTAGATGCGGTGGTATAGTTGGTGCATTCTTTATGCCGAAGAAGTCAGCAACGTTTTATTTGTATGATTTGAGAGGTTCATTTGCTCAGCCACCATATTTGGACGCACATGGCGAGGTTGATATTGGAATTCGGTGAGAAAGAGAATTTGCGATAAAATGATGTACTAACAGGTTATTTAGTCGCGGAAAACCACAATATTTACATAAACAAAGGTTGGATGAAATCTATAGAATCTGGGTAAATCATCAGATTCCATCTTGGATTGGTAGAAAATTAGATTTAGTTAGTGATCAAGGAGGATGGCGTACAATGTAAAACATATAAGATTTATTTTATTGATATTTCTAGCATCTTGAAACTTAACAATTACGTTATGACAAACGAATTTACAAAGATAGAGCCAGGGGGTAGTTTACTTATTGCCTGGCAATTGAAGGATAAGAAAGTTGTATTAATCGGTGGTGGTGAAGTCGCTGCTGGACGTATAGTTAATCTTTTAAACGCAGATGCTAGTAAGCGATATAAAAGTAAGAGTATAGATTTTGACTGAATTAACTCCTTTAGAAATAACTTTAATAGCACCAAGGAAGGGTTTGAATAAAGAAGTTGCTTATCGTATCGACTCTGGACAGATTCATGAGTTTATTGATAGGGAATACAATAATGAGGATGATCTAAAAGGTGCAAATATGGTATTTACAGCAATAGATAATGTAGAAATTTCTAGGCATATTTATAATGTAGCAAAGTCACAGAACATACCAACAAATGTTGCTGATATTCCACCTAATTGCGATTTCTATTTTGGATCAATAGTTAGAAGAGGGCCTTTACAAATATTAATATCTACAGGTGGACAAGGACCTAGAATATCAGCTAAATTAAAGAGCATTGTTGAAGGTGCTTTACCTAGATCAATAGGCCCTGCCATAAACAATGTTGGTAAATTAAGGTCAAAATTAAGGTCTATTGAGCCAACAGTTGGTGGAAAACCAGGTGCTAAACGAATGAAATGGATGATTAAAGTTTGTGATAATTACACCTTCGACGAATTAGCAGAGATGTCTGAAGAAGATCTTGATAGAATTTTGAAGGGTTACCAAGATAATGAGATTCCTAAGAGGTCGTTATTGGATATTAGCAAAGTACTTTCAGCAATAAAATCGATTAGTCCAACCATAGTAGGTATGGTTATTGGGTCAGTAATGACATATAGTTTTATTGGACGGAATAAATGATTTTTTTAAACGATTTATACGTAGTTTATGAGATGATAAAGTACAAAAAGGCGAGAGAAGATAATAAATTTATTCTGCTTAGTTTTTGAGTCTAAATTTTAAAAGCTTACTTATGACGTTCGTAACGAGCTACAACGACGGCGTGATCACGTTCATATGGTTCCAATGAAAGTTGCTCTCTTGGCTTGAATGATTCTTGCTGTAACTTGCGAACTTCTTGAGCGAAAACAGCTTCAGCTGGAGCAGTTGAATCAATACATGAAGCCTTGATAGAGATAACTGCGTGACCTTCATTCTTAAGGAAGTGGTGTGCGTTAAGAGCGACAATTCTAGATTGATCTGGTTGAGCAACATCTGCAAAAATAACGTCGACTGTTCCTAACAACATACGGTACTTCATTGGGTGACGTGCATCTTCAACGATTGGAATGACATTTGTACGCTTCTTGCACATGTTAACAAGATCTCTACCTGATCTGTGTGAGAATTCGACGGCGTAAACGCAACCTTCTGGGCCAACGACATCAGCAACGTGAGAAACTGAAGTACCGGATGCGGCACCAAGGTAAAGGACCTTTGAACCTGGTTGGATGTGGATGTTGTCTAAACCACCCAAAACACCTGCGGCCAACTTTGAACGGAAAGGATTCCAGACTCTGTATTCAACCTTGGTGCCATCTTCACCTTCGACTGCGATTCTCTTCTCACCGTAAACGGCTTCACCTGGAACAAGATTCTTTGTGACAAGCAAGTGTTCCTTTCCTTTAGCGATGAAAATACCCTTGTGTCTGTGTGGTTCGAGGATGACGTTACCACCTTTCTTTCCACCTGGACCAGCTTTGGCACCGCCTCTGCCGCCTCGTCCACCACCTCTTGGTGCACCACCTGGAAATTGTAAGTAAAGCGGGTAGATGTTATGAGACGAAACTCACGTCCACGTGGAGCACCTCTACCACCACCACGGCCTTGTACACCACCACCACGGGTTGCACCGCCTGAGAAGATGAGAAAAGAAGGTAAGAGTAAAAAGAAACAAACCTCTACCACCGCCACGGCCACCGAAGCCGCCTCTACCGGCACCACGTCCACCACGACCACCGCCGCGTCCACCACGATCTGCTGGATGTAAGAAGAAAGTTTGATAGTGAGGTAAGATAACGCACCACCACCGAATGCCATTATAGATTATTTATTTGTTGATAAATTTATTAGTTATTGAAGTTCAAGTGACTGATAAAGCCTCTTTATTTCTTCAATGGGAATTTTAAAGGAAGACGCTCGCTCTCAAATCTGTCAGCGATGGAATTATAAAAAATTTTATTCATAATTTAAAAAATATCTGTTATTTCCTTGAATTTATATAAATATTGTTTGTTATTATTATATTTATTATCACCCTGCTTAATTTCTTCGTATCCTTTTAATAAGCTATGAGACATTTTAACTCGTTTGTCTCTTTTATTCTTTAGTTTTAATAGAAAAATTTATATTTGTTACTTCTTTATCGACCATTTCGTTTTATTATCTTAGTCACTTACCATCAATGGGTCGAGAATTAATGTGAATAGTAATTATTTAAAGCTATTTATCTTACAACTATTATTTAGTACTTTGCAAGCAGGTCAAGCTGGAAACGCGAGTAAGTTTCTTATTTACGCGTTTATCTTTCTTGACATTCTCTACAGTCGGTCATTCCTTCTGGCAACAGCTCTGTCAAGAACACGGTATATCACAGGATGGTACACTTGAAGATTACGCTCAGGATGCAGGTTTTGATAGAAAGGACGTCTTCTTCTATCAAGCAGATGATGATCATTACATACCAAGATCTATTTTGGTCGATTTAGAACCTAGAGTGAGTAATTTACTTAAATTCACTCAAATTAATTATCTTATTCATCATTAAAAGGTTATCAACAACATTTTATCCTCTCCTTTCGCAAACCTATACAATCCTGAAAACATATACGTATCACAGGATGGCGGTGGTGCAGCTAATAACTGGGCTATGGGTTATCACGCTGCAGAGCGCATATATGATGAAGTCTTCGATATGATTGATCGCGAAGCTGATGGTTCGGATTCTTTAGAAGTATGTTCTTCACTCTTACCTGACTTTTATTTATCGTATTACCATAGGGTTTTATGCTTTTACATTCTATCGCTGGTGGTACTGGTTCTGGTTTAGGTTCTTTCTTACTTGAAAGATTAAACGATAGATTCCCAAAAAAACTCATTCAAACTTACTCTGTTTTTCCAAATAATCAAGAAACTTCTGACGTTGTCGTTCAACCTTATAATAGCATTTTAGCTTTAAAGAGACTCGTAAATCATGCCGATAGTGTCGTTGTTCTTGATAATGCAGCACTTTCTAGGATTGCAGCTGATAGATTACACGTTCAAAACCCATCATTCTCTCAAACCAATCAATTGGTAAGTTTATCCTTTCATCAATTTGAATTTTAACCTTTTTTTATTAGGTCTCGACTGTTATGTCTGCATCAACGACGACCTTAAGATATCCCGGTTATATGAACAATGACCTTTCCAGTATAATCGCGTCACTTATACCGACACCGCGTTGTCACTTCTTAATGACATCATTTACACCATTCACTTCTGATCAAATTGAAAAAGCGAAATCAATACGTAAAACTACAGTTTTAGATGTAATGCGCAGATTATTGCAACCTAAGAATAGAATGGTCTCAGCTCCAACGTCAAAGACGAGTTGTTACATATCTTTACTTAATATTATTCAAGGTGATGTTGATCCAACTGATGTTCATAAATCTTTATTACGTATACGTGAAAGACAATTAGCAAACTTTATTCCATGGGGACCTGCTTCAATACAAGTTGCACTTACACGTAAATCGCCTTATGTGCCTTCAAGCCATAGAGTAAATGGATTAATGTTGGCAAATCATACGTCAATTGCATCAGTAAGTAATAATAATTGATGTGAATTTGTATACTAATAAAACTATAGCTTTTCAAGCGTGTAAGAGATCAATATGATCGATTAATGAAGAGAAACGCGTTCTTAGAACCATATAAACGTGAAAGAATGTTCTCAAATAATATGGATGAATTCCATGACTCTAGAGAAGTTGTTCAAGATATGATAGATGAATATCAAGTAAGTTATTTAACTCCAAAATTTCTATTAACTAAACGAACTTCTAGGCATCAGAAAGACCTGATTATACAGAATATCACGCACATCAAGATGATAATTAACAATAAATTAGTAAGATTTTGTACAATAATTGTAATGAATAGTAAACTTCTACTCCTTAAACCCGTACTATAAAGATATGATCACAAGATCAATCATCAACAAGCTAAAGAACACAAATAAACTATTTAATAAGTATTTATCAACTGTTAATAAGAATGAGGTAGATTTCTTCTCAAAGTTGTCAAAACATTGGTGGGATGAAAGTGGTGAATTTGGATTATTACATAAAATGAATGGACCTAGGGTACAATTCATTTTAGAAAGAATAGAAGAAACTAAAAAGGAAGATTTCTTACGCAATAATATCACTATTAACTCTACTACACCAGGTAGAGATTTAGAAGGAATAAAAGCATTAGATATTGGTTGTGGAGGTGGATTATTATCAGAGGTGATTATATATATATATATATATTAACAATTAATTGATATTTCATTAGACGCTCTCTAGATTAGGTGCAACTACAACTGGGATTGATGTCACAGAATCAAATGTAAAAATGGCAAAGTTGCATTCAGAACAGGATCCTTATTTCACGCCTGATAGATTAGATTATCAATATATTGCTGCAGAGGATTTAGCAAAGCAAGGTGAAGAAAAATTTGACGTAGTTTGTGCTATGGAGGTAATTGAGCATGTTGATAAACCAGCTGAATTCCTCAAAACATGCTCAAAATTAGTAAAAGTGAGTTTAATGATTTCAGTTTACCAAAACTCAAACAATAAAAACAGCCTGGTGGACATTTATTCTTATCAACAATTTCACGTACATCATTTGCAAAGTTATTAACAATTACTATGGCAGAGGATGTTTTAGGATTAGTTTCAAAAGGTACACATTCTCATGAAAAGTATATAAAACCAATAGAATTAGCGAATTATTTCAAAGATGAGATTAAATGGTTTAGTCATTCAGATTCAGCTATTGATGGAGGAGGATTTTCATCTCTCATTGGTAGTTCACCTATTTTGAATAGATTAGAAGGTCAAATTAGAGGTATCGCTTATATACCATGGCAAAAGAGGTGGGTATTGTTTGATGAAGGGACACCTGCAAGTACTTTATGTAATTATGTATTTTGGGCTCGTAAACCTATGAATCAGATTTAATGTACTCTTAAATATTTACATCGATGATATCACATAGAATTTTAAGTAAAAGGTTATTTAGTTCGATAGAAAAGAGAAATAGAGTTAGTAAATTGAGACTATTTAGTTATAGTTTTATAGGGTTTACAACTTTGACCTTCAGTTTATATTTAACAATACCATACTCAAAATTTGATAGAAATTTAAAAGAAGAGTTAGATAGATATCAATATTCAAAATTTAAGATTAAAGATATCCAGAATATAAGTGATGATGCGAAGTTATTCACAATAGATCTACCTTCTAATAAACTAACGGATCAATCTATTAATGTTGGATATATACAACATTTATATATAAAACAACCTCATATTCAAATAGAGAGACCATTCACACCATTAGAAGTTATAAAAGCTGATAGTAAAGATATAAAGTTATTAATAAAGCAATATGATAGATCAGAAATGACGAACTATTTATCAAATTTAACTATAGGAGATGATATTGAGTTAAGAGGACCAGGTTTAACATTAAATTTAGGTGATATTAAGGATAAATCTAATCTAGTTTTCATTTTAGGTGGTACTGGTATATCAATATTTAAGCAATCAATAGATTATTTATTAAAAGATCAAACAATAAAATCGATTAAACTAATTTATAGTTTCAACCGTAATTGTTATTTTAAAGACGATCTACAAAAGTTAGAAAAACAATCGGATAAATTAACAGTGAATTTCAATGATACATCAATAACTTCACGTTTAAATAAAATTAATCTATTTATTAAACTTGGTTTGAATTATTTCAATAGTGATAATTTATACATCATATGTGGGAATAAACTATTTAATCGTACTATAACTAATAATTTGAATGTAAATAAACGTAAAATTAGGATTTTATAACCTCTTTCATTATTATATTGTCTTTCTATTCTCTTTTCTTTACCATCATCTAATCATGTCAACTAAAAGAAAAACTACGGTAAACATCACGGATAGTGAAGATGATATGCCTAAAAAACCTGCACCTTCTAAAAAATCTTTCAATTATAAGGATTACCTTCAGCGTACCGGTCCAGAAAACCTCGGTTCGAAAGAGATACCTCAAGGTTCACCAAATTGTCTAAATGGTTTAACTTTGGTTTTCACAGGTGAATTAGACAATATTGGTCGTGACTCTGCCGTTGAAGCTGCTAAAAGATATGGAGCAAAAGTTACTGCAGCTCCTTCAGGAAGAACTTCTTACGTCATTTTAGGTAGAGAACCTGGTCCAAAGAAGTTACAAATCATAAAAGAAAAAGGCTTGAAAACTCTCGATGAAAATGGCTTTTGTCAATTAATTGCTAATAGTAATGGCGACCTCAATTCAAACTCCCTATCAAAATTAAAGAAAGAGGAAGAGAAGATAAAAAAGGACGCGAAAGAATTAGAGAGAATTGAACAGGACAAATCGTCTCAGCTAAAGTCTACTTCCAAAGCGTACGTTCATTTATTTCTTAAACTAGTTTATTGATTACCTTCAGGTCATCTATTTCACCAAATTCCCAACTTTGGACAGTCAAATACTCTCCCAATCAATTAAAAGATATTTGTGGCAATAAAGGTCAAGTTGAAAAGATTGTCAATTGGCTTAAAGACTGGTTTGTTTTTCTATTACCTCATACTTTTCACTCATTTTGGCAATTTTTAGGCAAAATCATTTAAGAAATGGGTTTCCATCAGATAACTCTAAATCTGATATCAAAGGTAAAAAGGCTTTACTCGTACATGGTGCTCCTGGTATTGGTAAGACTACAGCAGCACATTTAGCCGCTAAATCAGCTGGCTATTCCCCTCTTGAATTAAATGCTAGTGATGTTAGAAGCAAAAAGTTAATCGAATCAACTACTAATATTGATAACACTTCGATTGATACTTTCTTTGGAAATAATAATGTTCGTCATTTTCTCTTCTATGATTCTTATATATATTCACACAATTGACTTCTATAGAATGATGCAATTAATACCAATGTCACTCATAGTACTTGCTTAATTTTCGATGAATGTGACGGTATGTCAGCAGGTGATAGAGGTGGAATAGGTGCAATGAATGCTTTGATTAAAAAGACCAGAGTGGGTTTCACTAATCCAGACGATCATTTCTCATAATTTTAGATACCTATTATTTGTATCTGTAACGACAAATCAAACCCAAAGATGAGACCTTTTCAAAACACATGTGGAGACATTTTGTTTAGAAGACCAGAAGCTAGTCAAATCAGATCACGTATTATGTCTATACTTCATAAGTAGGTACCATAATTCTTTTAAAAGGTCCTTTTTACATGTACTAATAATCACGAAGAGAAAAAATGAAATTAGATTCAAATGTCGTTGATCAACTTATTAGTGGTTCACAATCTGATATCAGGCAAGTCATAAATATGATTTCCACTTGGAAATTATTATCTAATACCATGAATTATGATCAAGGCAAAGAATTGTCGGTATAAGTAGTTTTTCTATAGGAAAAGTCTAATTACGTTTCTCTAAGGGTTCAAGATAATCAGAAATTTTCAATACAAACACCTTGGACCGTTATGTCGAATCTTTTTAGTCCGCATATGTTTGGTCCTACTAATCAAAAGCCATTGGCAGCCAAAGCAGATTATTACTTTCATGACCATAGTTTAATCCCACTCTTTGTTCAGGTCAGTTACATTTGGAACTCAAATTTGTCTTAACTTTAGGTAGGAAAATTACGTTAAATGTAATCCTGTTAAGGCCAGAGATTCCGATCATAACAGGTCAGAATTCAACCGTATTAAATGTCTTAGCGATGCGGCAGATGCAATTTCAGATGGTGATCTCGTTGATTCCATGATACATGGGTTAGTAACAGATAATTTATTCTCTACTTTTCATTAATTGATTTTTGTGAAGGTCACAACAACAATGGAGCCTAATGCCTATCCATGCCATCCATTCAACGGTTAGGCCTGCTTCGTTCATGTATGGCGGTTTCAAATCTGGTTATGGACGTGACACAATTAGTTTCCCTGCATGGCTCGGTCAATATTCGAAGACAAATAAGTATAATAGAGCTTTGGGAGATATTCAAGCTAGAATGAGGCTTAAAATTAGTGGGGAAGCCAATGAGATTAGACAGTATTATTACCCAACTTTATGGCCTAGTTTGTACAAGCCATTGATTGAAACGAATGTACGTTTTAATACTGTTTTAGAAAAATTTCATCTGAACAAACGTATCTTTAGCCAGATTATGAAAAGGTTATAGGTTTATTGGATGAATATTTTCTCTCTAAAGACGAGTTTGATATTATGTCTGAGCTCGGTCTTGATCGACTCAGTATTGACAACACAATGAAATTGATACCTACAAAAAATAAGTCTGCATTCACGAGACAGTGGGTTAATTTAAAACTTGATACACCGTCTAATTTCTTCCGTAGTTACAACAATAGGGACCATCCAATTCCATTTTCTAAGGGCCAAGTAGTAAAAGCATCTGCTGCACAGATTAAAACTGAGAAACCTGATCATGAAGATGTTTATGATGATGATGATGTAGTTGTTGATCTTAAAGAAGATGATGAAAATGAAAATGAAGATGGTGACGATGTACTTGATGACAAATTAATCAAGCAGCCAAAAAAATCGAGCGCTGCAAAGACGTCCACAAGGGGAAGAACTACAACTACCTCAAAGCGGGGTCGAGGTCGTGGTAGTACAACAAAGAAATAATCGTTTTCATGTACATGGTCACTTCCATTCTTGCTTGTAGTCTATATTTATAATTCTCTTTCTTTTTGTTAGACTTGTGGCCTTCCTCGCCAGATCCGCCATCTTAAATGCAAGTTACCGAAATTTTTAACTTCAGACAACATAAATTCATATGGAAATTGGAATGTCAAATGGTTATTACCTGATAATTTAATTATGTAATCCATGACCATGGTCTGGTTAGTGCTTAAAAGATAATGTAAAAGTGGCCAGAAAGTAGAGTAGCCTTGTGAGGGAGTTTACTACATGGTTGCAAATAAAGAATCTCAATCCTTGATGTGGCATAGCTTAATTTTATATAGCTGAAAGTTACATTACTATTTCTGACATTTAAATCTTTGTTAGGTCAAAGATATATGGCAAGACAATTTGTAATGTACATGTTAATCCTTAAAATGATGAATCCAAATAGGAATTGCTGTGTAAACTAATGAAGAATAATTCTATAGACTAAAGTGGATAATTCTCGGTTATTATTGGGATTTCAATGAACTTATCGGTGTGTAACGTCAACTATGAAGTAAGGTGTATCAACC